GTATTTTAATATAATTTTTTTATAACATAATAATAATATAAAAACAAAATCAAACAAACCAATTTTTTTTTACAAAAATCATTATTTTTAGTTTTATATTTATAAATAAAAAAATTAAATAAATGATCCTTTTTAATTTTTTTGCCTGAGGCCTATAAAAACCCTAAAATGCCCTGACTCCAATCAAATTCATTCTATTTTTTCTTCTAAAATAATATATGCCTATTTTTATTTTAAATAATTATATAAATATTATTTATCTACATATACATCTTAATAATATTTTTTCATAAATTCAAATAATACAATATGGATAATTTTTAAAATAGTAATAACATTAACAATAATAATAAATGACTTAATTTGATTATATTTTATTGTGAAATATTTATAATTCAAAAAAATCAATAACATAAAAAATTGTTATAAAATCACAATTATATGGTTATGATTTTTTAATAATTTATGTGGAGACGAATACGATCTTCTGACATATTAATATATATTATTAATTTTCTTAGACAATAATTTTTGTATTTTAATATTTACAAGTATTGTATTTTTATTTTATTTTAATTTTATGTTGTAATTTAATATTAATTTATTTTTTTGTTATGCAATATTTTAATTATATTATATATATTGCAATATGAGTTTTATATTTAATTTATAATAGTATATAAAATAATACATAATATAAATAATAAATTAAAAAAAAACTAATATATATATATATATAAAGACCACAATGCAATTTTAAAAAGTCGTTCTTCCAAAAACTGTAAACTTTCTCCATTTTTGTTTTGAAATAAATGTTAAATGTAGTCTGCTGGAGACCTTTAGTGCTATTTTCATCTGCCAAATTTATTTTTATTGTTCTTTTTAATTTATCGTCTAAATTTATCCCATTATTTATTTTTGGCAAAGTCAACAATTCAACATTTAATTATTACCCTCAATTAATTTATAATAAATACCATTAATTTTATTACATTCACTCTCTTCGTTTACTTTACTTTTTAATTAAAATTTCAAAAATACCCTCAACTACCTATCACTTTTTTCAATAAAATATTATTTTTTTAATCCCTGTGCCGAATTTTAATGGCCGGGGGAGTATATACTATAATCTTACAAGTACAATTTATATAATTTTCTATTAAACTATAAAATCAACTATTAGTTATTGTTCCAAATACAATCCACAAATTAGGGCTCCATTCAGACAGAAACTTTGGAGCCTTGAAGTTTGAAAAAAAACAAAAAATAATAATTTTTGATTTGATATTTTTTTCGATAGTAAATAGTAAAATCCAGGTATATGTACATACCACACCACGTTACTAAATAAAATCATAAGTACATAATGTGTAATTATATAAAATGATTAGTATTTAATTTCACAAATTACATCAACTCTGAATTGTTGAGATTCCTTTATAATTCAACTTTAATTTGTTGGAAGAAATCGTATGTATATATATATGCTTCTCATTCATTGGGGGTTACCTTTCTTTATTGTCTTACCTATAGGCTATATAGTTCAATAATTTAAGATGGTTATCAGTCAAATCTCAATTAATTTCAAAATTTCAACAATTCTATCCATCAATCATATCTCAAGAAATATATATATATATAAAACTTGTAATTATATCACAACCAAATGCAATTCAAATCTCAACTAATTTACTTTTTTTATTACCCAAATCGAACCTAATCTGATATATTTTTTACCACTTGAACAAAATTTTATATAGTTAACAAGCCTAACTTTATTTAGTGGACTTTTGAATTAAAGGGACCAGTTGATTTTTGACTTAACAAGAAATTTTGTTTCTAGTATTAAAAAAATTAACGAACATGATCCAATTGACCTAACTATATAGCTATATTTAAATAAAATGATAGGCAAAATAAATTAGGTGAAGATTACATAAATTGACTACATATAAAACCATAACCGCCTCTTTGATTGCGATTGGTGTTTTGACCAATATACATACACATACATATATATATATATATTATACCACTCCATTGTAATTAACTAAGGGTATATATTTTTTTTTATAAGTTAAAAAAAATTGATTTGAATTTAATATCAAAATAATTTATAATGAGATATTTTGTAAAAAAAGAAATATAGAATTCAAATAGTAAAAATCTCAAATTTAAAAAAAACACACAAACAAATCCTAAATACTCCCCTCATCCCAAATATCGTGTCTGTTGCACTGTATACACGGTATTTTAGGAGGAGTGTAATTAGTAGATAATTAAGAATGTATTAGTAAAAATAATTATCCTATAATATAATTAATTATAAATTAAAATTAAAATAATTAATTAATTTAATTAAAATTTAAAAAAATAAAATTTAAAAATTTAAAATGAGATTAAAGTATGTAATATTTTTAAAAAATGAAAGTAACATGGTATGCGGAATAAAACTGCAAAGTGAACATAACATCTGAGAAGGAGGGAGTAATAATCAATGTAGGTGCAGCTAGAAGCCTACCACATATATATATATATATTATATAATATAATATAGAAGTATTATTTTATTATCTTCCTGCCAAGCTGGAGAAGATAATGGTTGAGTAATGCTAATTACTTAATAATTATACAAAATTAAATTAGATATATATATATATATATTAATACATATGGTTTTGTTTGATTAGTTGAATGGTGTAATAGTATTTAATAAATTATTAAAAAGAATGATGATTGTGGCAGCCTAACCTAGTTTCAGTTTTTAATTTTTAATTTTTTTTATAGATAGAATTAATTACCACCTACGACACGACAAAGGCTAGTAAAAAAATAGACTTAATAAAATAAGAATATCACTGGGGCCTGCCTAATGTCAAGTCATGTCAAGTCTTGATTTGTGCATTCAGTAATAAAAACAAAACACTCTACTTAAAACCTAATCTCGTAACGCCAAAACCCTATTTTTTTATTATGTTTTGCTTCAGGTGGCTTCCAAAGTTAATTATTGTTTAATGACAATAAGAAGCATGGGAATTGATGCAACAGCTACTAAGATTATTGTAATGAATTTAAGCTAAGCTTATACTGTGCTGAATTCAATATACACACTAGTAATATTTTGTTCATGCCTTGTTTTTGTATCTACATTTAATTATTACTCCTTCAATATATTTGCAGGCATCCAATACATTTACGACATATATATATATATATAATTCTAATTTAATTACTATTATTGAATATATATATATATAGTGTGTGTGTGTGTGTTTTCAAGAGAGTTACACTACATATTTATTCCATGATTCAACGACTGACAGATGTTTTGTATAATTAACAAATTTCTCACAGAATTCAACTATAATGATGGGTCCAAATAAAAGTTAAAGTAAAACACAAAATTAATAGAATTTCATTAAAATACAACCCTGAACTTGGCCCTTCAATTAAACGAACGACTAATACTAGTTAGTAAGAATATTGGCTTGGTTCAACATATTTATAATACAATATATTATTTTATTACACAAAATTTGTATAAACATATGCTGACTTGGCCAATATAAGGGCATAAATATCAACCAAAAACTCAACATAAAAATTAAAAATTCAACCTGATTTATTAGATTGAACTAAACCCCCTCACTTGATTAAAAGTTCATTAAATAATAATAATAATAATAATAATAATAATAATAATAATAATAATAATAATAATAATAAATTCAGACAAGCTTTTGTTTAGATTAAAACGATTAACACCACGATCTACCATGTGATCAACTCTTAGCCTAAATACTTACATAAGTTAAAAAGATTGTAAGATAGTGATACAAGTTAACTAAATGCAAATCAAAACGTAATGACCAATCAATCAAAAAATGAATAAATGCCATAAGAGACGACAAATATCCTGCACGTGGTCTAAGTTTGAACTCGAAACTTTTTTGACAATTGTTTGAACTTAAAATAATTAGGCAAGAGAACTGGCCAGGAATAGAAAATATATTAACATGATTGGATAATATTTGACACAGATATTAATAATTATTACAATGGGCTATATATATCACACCATTAAAGAGAAGAAAAATCAAGATTCAAACTTTCTATTATCGAGGCTTGGAAATCGGATCAAATCATGCAATTATAACATGCATATCTCTATATTAGGTCATGCCAGATCCTAATCATATACTATTTAACTATTACTACATTAAATTCCATCTACATACACTAAATTAATTAAACAGCACAGTTCCAGGTGTACCCCAGTCCTTCTACAACAACTAGCAACTCTTTTTTTTTTTTTACTTATTTTTTAGAGATAGGGATAAACCCTAATACAGACAATTTATAAGTATGCAAGAAAGAGAAGAGAAGAACAAAGAGGCAAACATCCCATACCACATACATTGGTGCTGTAATCAAGTCGGATTTAAATTCTCAAATACCAAAAACAAGGATTTAAGCATCATGCATGGGGGGATATTTGAATACTATTTTATACTATTAATTAACTCACTTACAAGGTTCTTGTAATTCATTAACTAATCTAATTAATACTTTCATTTTTATAAAACTTATCTTGAATTAAGAGAATCAGCATTATTGAAATCCCACTATTTATAGCTGTGACTGTAATTCATCAACATTCCACACTATTTTCAAGCCAAAGGAAAATAGTGAATTATATAGTGATTGTGAGTTGGGTAATGTACAATTTAAAAATAATCTCTTTCAGAGAGATTATACCTACTAACCAGACAAGACTTTGAATGGTAAACGTATGTAATCATGTCATCATCTATGAAGTCATGAGCTACCAAGATGTAATGAATCTAAAAGTTATTCAAGAACTATGAAATAAGGTAAAAAAAAAAAAAAAAAAGACTTTATATTTGGTTTAAATATGAATTAAGATAATAATATAAACTATTAGAGAATGGAGACTAGATAAGATATGATGCATGCATGAGAAAAAAGTAGAATAGAGAGAAGAATCAACAGTCAAGTAAACTTTCTCATTCACAGAGAGGTAGTAATGAACCACAGAAGTTGGATCTGGTCGGACATTACAATCAGCAAGGATCCTAAGGGGGGCTAGCAACTGAAAAGATTCCATAAATGCAGAACCATTTGACTATATATAATATTACCCACATATGTGTATGTATGTATGTATGTATGTATGTATGTATGTGTGTGTGTATGCATGCATATCTTATATATATATATGTGTGTGTGTGTATGAATGTGTGTGTAAGCATTAATTTAGGTGCAGAAAAAAAGTAAATCTCAACACTACTGATATAAAGGTAATCTTCGAGAACAGCAAACACGCATACACATAAAAACACAGAGGCCAAGGAGAGAGCCATACCCATATATGGCTTTGCTTGATACTGCTTTGAAGCCATTCTCATTCTTACTGCCTCGTCCAAAAGCGACTCCTTCTCCAAGGAAGGAGTGTCGTCTCACCATCGCCTGTAAAGGTAATAATACAGTAATGATACAGTAATAATATGATTTCCATCTACGTTATGTCGAGAGCATGTGATCAAACAAAAAACAATCTCACCAGGTGGTAGATTAAGGGTTCAAAACATCTTCAAGAATAAACAAGACAAGAATGCAAGCTTTTCTGCAAGACCCCTCACGGCAATGGCAGCTGCTGCACTCAACTCTGATTATGGAGCTTCTGAAGTGACAGTCCGACCTCCTGCAAGGGCAGATACAAGGAGCATGTGGAATAGCGTAATGTTTACCACAGACCATCAGGTTCTCATTGCTGGCTCGACTTTTCTCCCATTCCTTCACACAAAAATTTCAAGATTTCCGGCATATCATATGAATGTGCTCGAATAGCAGTGTATGTAGTAGTGCTAAAGCAACAGAGGTCATGCAGGAAATAAACTATGCTGAAGAAGTTGAAGCATTAAAGGAACAGGTAAGGAGCATGGTGGTGGATGAAGAAACTAAACCAGAGGATAAGATGATATTGATTGACACGCTCGAGCGCCTTGGAGTGGCATATCACTTCGAGAAGGAGATTAATGAACAGATTGCACAAATTTTCCAACTTCAAGAACAAAAGGGGGATGAAGACTATGATCTTTACACAACTTCTCTTCATTTCCGCTTGTTCAGGATGCATGGATACAACGTTCCTTGCAGTATGTTCTTTGAACTTCACTTCAATTTTCCAATTCTTAGCATTTCAGGCTGCCTGCCGATATTAGACAATGGCAAATGTCAGCTAACACAATCAGGAAACTTATCTTGAACCAGGTGTCTTCAATAAATTTAAGGAAGATGATGGCACATTCAAGAAATCCCTTACCACAGACATCAAGGGTTTGTTGAGCTTGTACGAAGCAGTCCAACTGAGGCGTCGCCAAGAAAACATTTTAAATGAAGCCAAGGACTTTGCAACCCACCATTTAACATGTGCCATGCCAATAGCAGACTCTTGTCTTCAACAAAGAGTGGAACGAGCCCTGCGCCGGAATAAGCATTGGAGTCTTTCTAGATTAGAGGCCCGCTATTACATTTCCATCTACGAGAATGAAGAATCGAAGAATGAGTTACTTTTGAAGTTTGCAAAATTGGATTATAATTTGCTGCAAAATCTGCACAAAGAAGAAATTAGTGAACTCATGAGGTAAGTAGTCAATCCATCATTTGAATAAAACTGAATTAATTAATGCATATGTATATTCAAGATGTTTTATTGCTTTGACTGTTACAGATGGTGGAAGGGCCTTGGCATCGGTTCGAAACTCCCCTACTTACGAGACTGTGTGGTAGAATGCTATCTTTGGACTGCTGCTGTCAATTTAGAGTCGCGAAACTCTTTTCCCCGATTGTGTGCTGCAAAGGGCTTAATGCTCATTGTAGTCATGAATGATACGATTGATAGTTATGCTACATTGGAAGAAGCAAGAAAGTTTGTGGAGATTCTGCAGCAGAAAAAGTACAGTCAACCCTCATCTTATTATGATAAAGTTATATAACAAAATGGTTTTGACTTCTGAGTAATTTTCTTTTCCTTGCATGAATTCTGAAGCATGGATGTATTGCACATTGAAATATCTTCATGTGATAAAATAAAATTTCATTTTCGATTTTTTGTTGTTGCAGGTGGGATATGGAAAAGATCGATCAACTTCCAGAAATTATGCAAATTGCCTATAAAGCTATTTTTAGTGCATTTGAGGAGTTGGAACAAGAAATATCAAAGCAAGGAAGGCCTTATGCAGTTTCTTATTTCAGAGAAGCAGTAAGTACATATTTGCAAAAAGCTACTGTTCTTGTTCATTACGATTAAAATTCAGAAATAGCAAGAATGAACATGCATGCAAATTTTGAAGGAAAAGGATATTGAGTTCAAATATAATGAATCTAGCAAAAAATTCTCTACCCATTTATTTCAATCCCGAAAAGCTATCCCATTATACCCTGTTTCTCACACAAAACCTTTTCCTTCATTGTTCCTGCCTCTTAACATCACACTAATTTATTGTTATTGTTTTGTGATTTGAAGGTAGGAAGACTTGCAGGTAGCTATCTCAAGACGCTCACATGGTACTTAGGACACGAGACACCTACATTTCTCAAGTGCATTGGTAATGGGATTTATGACAGCGGCAGCCATGGAGTTGTGGCAGCATACTTTATGGGCATAGAATCAGCCTCAGAGGAGGTGTTTAAATGGCTTATGAGTGGTCCTACAATCGTAGAGGCTTCTGGCCAATATGTTCGATACACAAATGATATCGCCACCTATAAAGTATGTTTCAATCTCTGCAACAACATACCACTTACCCACATGTATATAAGTAAAAATATGTTCGTTTTGGCACTGACAGTAACTATCTCATATGCATTTGCAGCATGAACACAAGCCAGGTGAACTTCCAAATACGTCAATTGATTGCTACATAAAAGAATATCGTGTGTCAAAAGATGAAGCTATAGCTAAGCTTTGTGAGCTTGCTGAGGATGCATGGATGGCAATGAATGGGGAATGGTTATCAACAAATCGTGTACCAAGGGAATTTCTAAAACCGGTAATGAACTATACAAGAGCTGCATATCTTTCCTATGGGGAAGGTTCAGATGGATTTACATGCCCACAGACAGGGCTGAGTAAAGACATAGAAGCACTCTTTATCCATCCCATAACAATCAATTGATGACAAATAGTGTACCATCATGTATAAACACATCAATAGATAACATTTCAAAACAAGTTCGTTAAAGGTGCTATTTTTAGAATAGGCTGTTTATGTTTGGTTGTATCAATTAATATTTTTTTATTTTAGTATATTAATTTGTTATCTTAGAATATAGAGCTAGGTTAATAATTCGTTCTGTTTCATACTGTACCACTGTCTGTAATCATTGTCTATAAATAGATCACCTTTCTCTTGTTAGTTGCCACAATGAGCAAATTTGACAATAATTTTGTTTTGCCCCAGTTATCAAATGTAAGCCCTTATTTTTCATTTTTGGGATTGATTTTTCTGCAGTAATGAGTAGAAATAGAAGACAAAATGGATGTGAAAAATAAGTAGATACAGTTGGAAGTTGACACGACAAGGCAGGTATAGACAAGTCATATATTCAGATGTGGGTTATAAGAAAATATGCATAAGACCACATGCATATCCCTGATTTTAGAAACCTGTGGGTGTCCCTTTCATATCCAAAATCTATGTGTCATCTTATTTAATTATTATTGATTCATTTCGTCTTAGACAGACACCTAGGAATTGAGTGAGATACTGAAAAAAATTAGTTAAGGTAATTGGCTCGTCAATGAGACAAGAAAATTCTCATAATCATTTCCTAATGTGAATAATAGCTCAATGTCTTCAAATTATGGTTAAGACAATATGTTATGGTCGACTACACATAGTAAATTCTAATGTCCATCTAGTTTACCATATTTCTTGTCTTAAAAGGGAAATTGAGAGAAAGATGATGTGTATGTTATCATCTTGACAAACATTTCTGCTATGACTGAAAGTTGTTTTCAGTCATATACCAAGCCAATTTGAGGCTAGTTTGCAGTGGAACACTGCAAATACTCACAGCTGAAGTACCTGTCTAGTGGGTCATTTAGCAAGTATTTTCATTGAAGAGAGCTTTTCAAAGTTTAGGTTGCTCAGAGTTGGTTTCCTCAATTTTCATTAGTTACTCTATATTCATTAGTGAACTACAGCTATGAATATTGTCTCTCAAGCAATCAGATATACAAAAAACTTGACAATTGTTAGAGGCGTATTCCCTCTGCGTGGTCAATTCTATATTCTCTTGTAAATTTACAACTTGATAGAATCTTAGGTTGTTATCATTGTGCCTTGAATTATTTAGAATTGTTGGATGTATTTTTATTTAGCACTAAACCTGATGCTTTACTTGCACATCTAATAATGCTTTCCTTGAGAAATGATAAAAAAAGTACCTTAAAGCGAACATCAGTTCATCACATTTGGATATGAAGCAAAAGTAAAGCATTACCCAAAAACATCATCAACTTCAAAATGTAACAAATAAGGTTTTCCAGTAGAATGAGGTTGACGCAACTATGAGGATGGGTGCACTAGAAAGACAAGTAGTTTCTAGTAAAGGGCTCAATAAGTACCAACATTGAATTTGTTCAAATCCTGATGAAATTCACCATGATTCAAACTCAACAGCAGCAGATGAGAAAAGAGAAGAGGGGTGAGACTCAAGAGATAGCGTCTGCAGCAGAGGAGGTTTTGACATTCAGAATTATTTCTAAAAACAAAATGAGATCAAATAAGCATAATTATCTTCCAATAATCAGACTACCTTTACCTATATACTTCTGTTATACTCAGATTTCGTCTTCTTCACATTATGATTGAACTAACTCGCAAAGCTCTTAACAGATGTGAACTCAAGAGATCAATGCAACTTACTTATCTAAACCAAGATAATTTAATAAATACTGGAAAACAGAATTCAATAGAATTCTCGAACATCACTCTAGGGCTGCGCCATGAGAATGGTGTTGGCCAAATGGTACTGCAGATTAAATCCTGGGCCAGAAGCCATTCTAAGTTTCTAACAAATTTTGTTTCTACAGTGATATAATCATCCATACTTATGGATATAGTATATATCCGCCACAATCTTGCACATACGCCGACACAAGATATAAAGTAAAGCATTACTCAAGAGCAGCGTCAAATTCACAATATATAAGGTATATAACAAACCATGCCTAGAGACAAACTTTCAGGTAGATTGAGAAGCATGAATGACCGGAAGAGGTCGAAAAACCGCTGAGGATAGCCGCGTCCGAGAGATTCCTTAGAGCGGGACGATGAAAATACCCACAGCCGCGAGTAAATAGTCTCCGTAGCTCCTGCGCACAGCCGATGAAAATCATGAGTCCTATGCGACAGTAGCGGCGGAGAGATGAGAAGAATAGCCAGATACCGGCGGCGAAGGCAAAGAAGGGACTCCTGCCGTTGGTTCTCAGCGCCGTGTCTCATTCTCTACCGCCGGTAGCCAGAGATACCCATTTGTTGCTACGGTATTTTTTAAGTTTATATGTATTACATATATATTTAAATGGAAAAATATTAAATACTAAGAATTCAATCTATTTGCATATATTTATTAAACTTTCACTTTAAAATTACTTTATTTAAAACAATAAAAATAAATATATTTGTATGTTATATAGTTCAGCTTTGGTAACAATATTTACATTTTACTTTCATTTGTTGGGTTTTGATTCGAAGAAAAATATATATATAGGTAATATAAAAATAATAAATTATGCATTATATTATTTTTTTTAAAAAATATTTTGAAATATTTTCACTAGGCTTTTTTAATAAAAAAAAACATTCTAACGGATTCTAATAGCTTGTAAATTAAACACAACAAAGCAAGTTATAGTAGACAGATATGTAAAATCAAAGCAAGTTATAGTAGACAGATATACAAAATCTGAAAGTCATGACCGATCAAAAATTCATTTTCACATTTTCACAGTACCAGACCATACTATACCATCCTTACGCCACTACTATGATCTATTATTGTTGGTGTGAGATGGAAGAGAGCACATGAATTATTTTATTTTATTTTTTGGTTATGGAACAGCATATTTATTTCATTTTAAAAATATAAAACAATGAAAATAATATATAAAATAGCAAAACAAGTGTGCCCACGAAAACACATAAAAAATAGGAAAAGATGTAAAAATACTCAAAGTGATTCATTTCCTAACAAAAGCACAAAGCTACGATGGTGGTATTGAAACCTATGAGGGAGCTCATTCCATAAATACAAAGAACATTCTCCATCGATCGTACTATATATGCCTTGTCTTTAAATTGAACAAGTTAGATCATACATACATACCTAACCTACATACATACATAATGTAAAGAAGACACACAAGTTAAACCCTCATTTTAGATAATAGATCAAGCTTATGGGAAAGGTCTCTTCTTCCTATTGTAGTGTTCTTTTAGAAATGCATATATAAGATGAGATGGTGCATTGTATGTAGGCGTAGCAAGTTCACCCCATAACACCAGATCATCACTTACGGGGCTACATTATTTATCACATATAAAATGGAATGTGGTTGGTGATCACAGAGAGACATAGCAAGCTAAGAAGAAACCAAATACTGTGTTCATACTCACATTCATACATGGCTACTGCTGCTGCTTTCTCCAGCTGTTTGTTATTGAAGCCTTTCGTCTTCTTTCCCTCGCCACCCATCATCACCACCTGCGCAACCATATATATATATATATATATGTATGCAATCATAATTATTAGCAGAGCAACTGCCTAATCAATCATTTGAAACATACAGGAGGTGCTAAGCCTATTCTCAAAACAAGGCCAAGGTCAGCAGCAGCTGCCCTCGACGCAGACTGTTCTGATTACCAAACTGCCCGACCTCAGGGGCGGTCTGATTCTCCGACCATGTGGGATGCCCTAATGTTTTCTCCAGATTTTCAGGCAATATATATATATATATATTCAACCATTTAGACATATATCTACCTATCGATCCTGCCTAATATGATATGAAACTATGTGCTCTGCAGGTACAAACCTATGCTGAAGAAGTAGTTTATACAGTATTAAAGGAACAAATCAGGATCATGGTGGTGGATGAACAAAAACAAATCAACCCCAAGGATATGATGATACTCATAGACACACTCCACCGCCTTGGAGTGGCACATCACTTTCACAAAGAGATTCAACAACAGATTGCACGCATCTTCCAACTTCAACAACAAAAATTCGATCATGATTATGATCTTTACACTACATCACTGCATTTTCGTTTGTTCAGGCTACATGGCTACAAGGCTCCTTGCGGTACGGTGCCTTCTTTTCAAGTTTCCATTTCTTACTACACTATATCTAATATACTTTTCTTGGACCAGGTGTTTTCAATAAGTTTAAGGATGATAACGGAAAATTTAAGAAATCCCTTACCGAGGACATTAGAGGGTTGTTGAGCTTGTACGAAGCAGCCCAACTGAGGTGCCGCCGAGAAGACCTTTCAAATGAAGCCAAGGTCTTTGCCGCCCAATATTTAACACAAGCCATGCCGATGGCAGACTCTTGTCTTCACCACAGAGTGGAGCGATCCCTTTCCCGGAATATGCATTGGAGTCTTTCTAGATTAGAGGCACGCTATTACATCTCCATCTACGAGAATGAAGAGTCAAAGAATGAGCTACTTCTAAAGTTTGCCAAATTGGATTACAATTTGCTGCAAAATCTGCACAAAGAAAAGATAAATGAACTCATGAGGTAAGTAGTCAATCCACCATCCAAATAAAATTAATGAATACGTATGTATGTATGTATGTATATTTCAAGAGATGCTTACGATTTCTCACAGATGGTGGAAGGGTCTTGGCATCACTTCAAAACTACCCTTTGTAAGAGACTCTGTTGTGGAATGCTATCTTTTGACTGCAGCTCTCAACTTAGAGTCTCGACACTCTTTTCCCTGATTGTGTGCCGCTAAGGGCTTACTGCTCATTGTAGTCATGAATGATACATTCGACAGTTACGCTACATTGGAAGAAGCAAAAAAGTTTATGGAGATTCTTCAGCAGCAAAGGTACATTCGATCCACAGCATTATATTATTTTTTTCCCACGAGTATAAATCATAAAACCAAACATATTTACAGTATTAATAATCCTAGAAATCATTTGTCATCTTTTCAGGTGGGATATGGAAGAAGTTGATCAACTTCCAGATATGATGCAAATAGCCTATCAAACTATTTTTAGTGTATTAGAGAAGTTGGAACAACATATATCGAAGCAAGGGCGGCCGTATGCCGTTTCTTATTTCAGAGGAGCAGTAAGCACATATTTGCAGAAGGCTCAGCTATTTATACATCTCAATCAAAGCTGTTGTTGTTCTTCAAGATCGAAAATTCAGAAATAACAAGAATGAACATACATACAGGGTCTTTAAGAAAAGGATATTGAGTGAAAACAAAATCAATCTAGGAACAATTAAGCTACCTTATAATTGCCATGGTTCCTACTCTTAACACTGCACAAAGTTATCACTATTAATTTTATTTTATCATTTCAAGGTAGGAAGACTTGCTGCTAGTTATCTCATGACACTCACTTAGTACATGGGACCCACACCAACATTTCTCAAGTGCATTGGCAATGGGATTTATGACAGCAGCAGCCATGGAGTTGTGGCAGCATACCTTATGGGCACAGAATCAGCTTCAGAGAAGGTGTTTAGATGGCTTATGAGTGGTCCTGCAATTGTAGAGGCTTCTGGTCAATATGTTCGATACACCAATGATATCTCCACCTATAAAGTATGCTTCCATCTCTGCACTAGAAGATCACTTCCAACGTGTACATAAGTGATATTTTTTCAGCACTGATCATAACTATCTGTTTTAAATTTACAGCATGAACATAAGACAGACAAATTTCCAAATACATCGATTGATTGCTACATAAAAGAATATCGGGTGTCAAAAGATGAAGCAATAGCTAAGCTTCAGGAGCTTGCTGAGGATGCATGGATGGCAATGAATGGGGAATGGCTATCAACAGGTGATGTACCGAGAGAATTTCTGAAGCTGGTAATGAACTATGCAAGAGCTGCATATCTTTCGTATGGTGAAGGTTCAGATGGATTTACAAGTCCACAAACAGGGCTGAGTAAAGAAATCGAAGCTCTCTTCATCCATCCTATAACAACTAATTGATTCTTACATATAGTGCACCATCATCTAGAGGGCAAGTAAATTTACATTTCTTATACAAATTGATCTCTACACAAAGCTTCTATACATAAGAGATGAACTGTGGAAATCCATACTACGGCTACGGCACTAAAATTTGAACCTCAATGGGATTCCAGCAAAAATAAAGCAAGTAAATAGGAACCTCAGATGGGCTTACCAATCCAGAAAGAGGATTGAATAATGACATAGCAGCTCTCTTTATCCATCCCCATCACTATAAATTAGCAACAAGTGCAATAAAACAGAGTCAGTCCTAAGGAACATGGACAAATTTGAGATCAAATATTGTGTATCACCGAGTTCTAGTGAAATTTGTTAAGGATTTGCCATGGCTTTGATGTTTTGCTCAAGTTTTCTAGAGTTATAAAATCATTTTTATATCCTTTCAAGTATCTATAATGTAATGTCCAGGACATTGACAATAATGGCCATAATTACTTATAGGAAATGAGAGCAAATAACCATTGACATTAAAAATCCAAGCACTAGATCCCTCAATTAACTTCAATAATATTTATATATATATATATTGAAGATTTATCTTCTTCCCATGATCATCGGACCAATAACTCCACATGCTCATCATTAATAGATTCAGATCCATTTTATTCATATTTGTAGTGTGTGTGCGTGTGTGCAACTGCAGCCATAGGCATTTGCACGCGAAACGATGATGAAGTTAGGGCATAACTCAAAGGCGGCATCAACATTAACTTCAGTAAATAATGAATACAAGGAATTACCATGCCAAGAAACAAAGCTTTCAGGTGGAATCAAGTTGCCGGAGACAGGCCCACAGCCACGACACCGCCATACGACGCCCCCTCCTCCCGCTTTCCCGCAATCGATGTAAATTTTACACGCCGTGTTTATTTGTATTTAATTTATTTTTCATAATTTTTATTATTAAATCTATTTTTTTTAAACTTTTATTTATTTATTTAAAAAAAATGAACAATTATTTTTAAACAAAAAACAAAAAAAAATCTGTATAATTCTCTTTTGTAATTTAAAAATGGGCACGAGATTTTACTCAGTTTTCGAAATATTGTACAAATATTTTTCTTAAAGATCCTACGTGATATATATTATATATTTACAAAATGTTTTATGTAATTTTTTAAAATTTTTGTATAATATTTATTAAAATACGAAAAAAAAACCTTATACAATTTTTAAATTACAAAAGAATATGAAGCTGATTTTTAAATGAATTATAAGTAATTTTATCTATAAACTAAATTGAACAAACTATTGATCTGAAATAAAATAAACATTGAGATATGTTCTTTTTGTCAATATATCATATTACACATATTTAGCTAAATAATTATTTATATTTTACATTAAAAAATATTTGTACCCGATCGAATCTAAAATCCTGCAAATTAGGCTCGATACCACCAGACCATCCTTTCCGACCTCTCTTTCTTACCCTGTAGTATATATATATATATATATGATGTAAGATGCATGATTTTAATTAATATGTAAAGGGTGGAAGCTTTTGTTTGTTTTTGGCTGAAATGAGAAATTATAATGATGAGTTTCCATTTGCTGCATTCCCTTTTGGTAGAAAGTCTGAAATGTTCTGTGCCCACTTCCCAATTCAGCACTTTGCAAAATCTTTCATATACATACATACATATATATATACAGACTATCTGCCAAATTTCCTTACACCCATCATGTAATTCTATTACATTTTTTTTTTTTTAAATTTTGATAATATGAAAATTCGCAATCTTTACCTAAAGATATTTTGTATAAAATTTCGGCCGAACCTAATAGCCTGCAAACTATTCTGGACAAAAAGTTATATTAGACGAACTGTTAAGAAGAATCCAACTTAAAACAAATCGGTGATAGATGAAGTATCATTCAGTTTTATATAGTAAGAGAGTTTCCACATATTTACCAATATAGGACAGTGTTAACACGAACCATATGTAACAGAGATACACGTACAAATTGTTATCTTGAGATACACGGGTGAGACATACAAATATATATATATATATATATAGAGAGAGAGAGAGAGAGAGAGAGAGAGAGAAAGAGATTATGTGTATTGTAAGCTAAAACCTTGGCTTGGAATGCAATGAAACAAATTCGTGGTATGCGTTTTAGAAGTACAACGTATATATATTTATAATTTATGTTTATGGTGTACTTAAATTTAATGATTATCTTGCAAATGAAGAATCTTTAATTACATTCAATTCATGATTATTAGTTAGTTTAACACATCTATTTGTGTGTATGTGTGTGAGTCGTCAAATGGACAAAAATATGTCACTGTAGACTCATGATCATATTCATATTCATAATTCATATATATATATATACATATATCTGCTCAGCATCTTTCAATTCTCTTTAATATTACTGTGTATATATACATACGTATTAAGAAATATTAATATTTTATTAGTTAGTGGAAGTATGTAAGAATTTTTGATATTTGTATATATATAAATAATTGTATGTGTAATTATATATTTGTAATTTAAATAAAAATTAAAAGGTACTTTGATATTAGTTTATGATTACTTTTTTAAAAAATAGATACTTGAAGTACCAAAGACAAAAATGGTAAAACTGATGCTTTGAATTGGAATAAAGAAAATACTTTACATGTGTCATGCTAATATACTAATGTACTTAAATTAATTACTCTCTCCTTCTTAAATTAAAAATATACAAGTGCATATACCATTATTTTATACAAGGCAAAAATATCACCAACTATTATACACTTCTACTAACTAATAAAATACTATTATTTTTTAATTTACGACAAAACCACTCTGTTGAATTAAAATGTAAAGAGTATAATATATGCAATTAATTTATATATTCTAATTAAAATTATGTGTGTTAAATATATAATGCAAATTGCAAAGCATGAAGTTTAAGCATATACACCCTCAGTTACATATAAAATGTTCAGATATTTTATCACCTCCCAATATAATAAAAAAATAATAGTTGGCTAAGGTTATATGTTACACATAGTTCATCTGATATAACTCACCGTACTTTCGAATAACATAGTTCATCTGATATAACTCACCGTACTTTCGAATAACAGTGACCGCGGGTTACACATCGTAAATAAATAAATAAATAAATAAATAAATAAATATATATATATATATATGTGTGTGTGTGAATTATAAATCAAATACTCATAATATTTAAGTAATTAATTAGGCCTGGGAAGGCAGAATTGGAATTCCCCCATTCTAAGCAACAAAAGTAAAGTTAACCCCACAGAGACACACACACAGCCATCATCATCACCATCATACATATTAGCCCTCATCATTTTCCCACTCTCTTCAAGCCTCTCTCTCTCTCTATATCTATATCTATATCTATATGTATATATATAATACACACACAGAGACAAACAAACACACACTATAGAATGATCTGCAGTATATAATCTTGCTCCTCCTCCACAAACTAAGCCTCATTGCTGATCCGATCCCAAATTAAGAAAACCTAATTAATTTCGATCGATCAGCGCCGGCGATGATGAGGAAACCTGCAGGCGGCGGTGAGTCCTCCTCCATTAATAATAATAATATTATTATTCCAGTATCAACAGGCGGCGGCGGCGGCGGCGGCGGAAGTACCAGTAAAGCGGCGGCGGTGAAGCTGAGGAAGGGTTTGTGGTCGCCGGAGGAAGACGAGAAGCTTATCAAGTACATGGCGAGCAACGCCGGCGGGCAGGGGTGCTGCTGGTCCGACGTGGCACGCAACGCCGGGCTCCTCCGGTGCGGCAAGAGCTGCCGCCTCCGGTGGATCAATTACCTCCGGCCAGATCTGAAGCGCGGCGCCTTCTCCCCTCACGAAGAACACCTCATCCTCCACCTCCACTCTCTTCTCGGAAACAGGCAATTTTAATTATTCATTATTATACATACATTTCAATGTACGTATCTGTTACAACAGTAAGCTTCAGGAAATTACCTCCCAGGGATATATAGGGAGCTCTGCTCCCGGGAGTTCCCAAGTATAACCCAATGGAGTTTAATTTTAACATTATGTTAATTGAATTAGGGGCTTAGGAATGGGTTTGTTTATTGAAAATTTTTATTTTTTAGACTCTACATTTCTCTTACATTTTTTTTTTCAAACCCATAAAAACAAATATACGATAATATTTACTTATTACATGTATGTTTTGTGTTGTATGTATATATGTGTATATATATAGAGAGAGAGACAATCTGCAAAGTGAAAGCATGCATGAGAAATTAGTTAAGTATGATGTCATATTGTGTGTTTGAAGTGATCACACACTCTATTAAGTACTAATAAATTAATATATATATAGATAGATAGATATTGTCACACACACACATGCATACAGTTTCTACATTTAATTGCTTCATATTTAAGATATATATATATATATATTATATATATATGTGCATAACATGTGGCAATTTTAACATCGTTGAAAACTAGCAAGTATCAATAAGTCATTAAGTAGTGATTATTAATAATATCATTCGAAATGTGCTTCTATAGTAGTAGTAGTAATAATAATAATAATAATAATAATAATACAAGGGTTTTCTTTTTTCTTTCTTTTTTGAACACATGTTGTAATAATTAAGTTGCTTATAGTTTAATTAATTTTAATGTGTAATTTACACAAATTAAAAATATCTTGAACTCATCCTCAGGTGGTCTCAAATCGCAACACGCTTGCCGGGAAGAACAGACAACGAGATCAAGAATTTCTGGAATTCAACGATCAAGAAAAGGCTCAAGAGTTCTTCTTCCTCCACAGTATCCCCAAACACGAGCGATTCCTCGTTGGATCATAATGTATCATATGATCATCAAAATCAAGGGCTCCGAATGAATGACATGCAAGATCCCAAAACCAGCAACATAATCATGGGCATGTTTGTGGACTCATCGTCGTCGTCATCTTCCTCTAATTCGACTAATCTATCGGTGTCCTCGTCATCAATGCCGTCATTATCAATCATCCATCATCCCATGACTCCCCAAATGACCACCTTAAACATTATGAATCATCAAAACCATCCCTTTTCTACGAGTCTCAACCGAAACCCTAGCCATCTTACCACCCCGAGTTTGTTCGAACCTAGTTTGATTAAAGATGATACAAACCATCTCCATGCCGAAAACTACAACTATGAGGGAATATCCGGTGACGGAAATATTTCTACCTCTTTTCCCTTTGATGACATGATCGCACCTCTAGGTAATGAAAACCCTAAACTCATTGACATTAGTTACCATAGAAACAACAACAACCTAGATAACTACCATTGTAGGAATAACATGAAAGTCGAAAACCAAGAATTAGGGTTTTGGGGTGATTACAATTGGGATGGAGAAGATGAAGTAAAGGTAGAAGAATGGAGTTTGGAGGAATTAATGAAAGATGTTCCTTCTTTCCCTTTTCTTGACTTCCAAGTTGAATAACCCTTTCATCGACCATTTTTATGTGTATGTATACTTTTCTTTATCATCTTTGTTGTAAACCCATGATTTTTTATTTTTTCTTGAATTCAACTTGACTCTTTAATTTTCTTTTCTTGGAAAAAAAAAAAGAAAAAAGATGTAATCTTTGTAGGAGAAAACAAAAACCCTCTTTCCCCTTGTGTAACATTTAGTGGGATTTTGTTAATAATGGAATTAAAAGAATTCCACATTTGTATACGAATATTATAATTCACATATTAATGCATCATGTGTTTTCTATACATAATCCCATCATTTTTAAATTGTTTTCCACTTCATTTCTTCTCCAAATTAATAAATAAACAAAAAATAATTTTCCCCCATTGTGTGGGTTTTTTGTTTCAATCTACACTAAAAAGTTATAGTTGATTTATTTTCTGTTATTGAATGTAAGAAGAAAGTTATAATGATGATGACAAGATGTGACTAGATTTGTCGGCATAACAGTGATCTTGGGATTAGTTAGAGGAAATTAAATGTATCAAATTACAAAATGTCAAGTGGTAAATAAAGCCTTAACTAGTGGAATTATATATAGCATATGTAATTATGATCAAAGATTGATCATTATGTAGTTGAATTTTGTTCTTTAATTTCTCCACGTATTTAAATTTTACTTGGATTGAAATGTATAAATTAATATTATACAAATTGAGTGTGCATAAGAGAGGAGAGATAATAATTGACAATATTGAATTGTTTTGGCCTATGTTTTATATGAATTTTATTTATTTTTATGTTGTACAATCATCTAGATTTGCTTTGAGAAAATATATATATATATATATATTATGGTATGCGACCACTATTTAAATAGAAATACAAACATAAACACAAACCACAACACACAATTGTTAATTATTTTTTAAATATAGATTTAACAAATTTGTTTATTATAAATGATTAAACCCAATATATCTTGATTTTTTTAACGTGCTCTTTTTAACTTTTTTTTTTTTTTTTTGTTGCTATAATTCAATTTTAAAAATATTTTTATTTTCCGTACAAATATTTTTTAAAAAAAAAAACTATATACTCAATCTATTTATTATTTATGTTATTCAAATTTATTTTCACTTTTATTTTTGAATCATCGTAAGAAAATATTTATATTTTTATTTATTATAAAATTACTCTACATTTTTATACTTTTTTACTATAAAATATAAAAAATACACATAAAAATATGAGCATATATATGACTATTAAATATTTAAAACACCATGCTAGTAATATTATATTTACCTCAAAATAATTTAAAAGGCAAAATAAAATCAAAATACAACTAATCACATCCTTAATGTTTCCTCTCGTATTAATATATATATATATATAATATAGGAATTCGCAGTCGTTACACCTGAAAGTATCGGCATTTGAACTTATTACTTTACGGTCACAATATATATATATTAATTGTATGGTTCTTGAATTTAATATATTTGAATATGTGGGCCCAATGCATGCCTAAGTTATGCCCTAATTAATATATTCTAGAAGTACATAATTAACTATAGTTGAAGAATGTTAATTTGGTGATTGTTGATTGATGAGATTAATTAATAATATTAGTATTTTATTTTACATAAGCATGATGTTTGTTTAAAGGGGAGAAAGAAACTTTTAATTGATTTACTTTTATCTTTCTTAAAAAAATAAATAAATAAAAAGATGATTAAATTTTGTCGCAATGGAGTTTAATGAGTTATTAGGTGACATGTCCCTTGGAATTTGGATGAATGAATGAATAATTGATTTAAATAAATAAATATATATATATTTTTTAAAAAATAAAAAGAAAGAGTAGAAAATCAGCATGCATTAATTTGTAATTGTAGAGTTGGCCTTATATTACTTCTTTAATTAATACTTTCTCTTCAACTAAAAATAGTCCATTTGTGTTCGGAAATTTAAGAGAAATAAATATTTTATTGAAAAAATGATAGGTAGTTAGGGGTATTTTTAAAAATTTAGTTAAAAATAAAAGTAAATGAAAAAAATATAATAAAATTAGTGGTATTTGTTGTAAATAAGTGTTGAATGAATTTATTAGTAAGTATTGTAATAATTAAATGTTGATTTATTAACTTTGTCAAAAAAAAAAATTATTAATATGATAAATTTAATTAACAAATTAAAAAAAATAAGAATACTAATTGCTAATTAGTTAACCTAAATGGTGGGACCATTCACATATGTCTACGTCACCATTACCATCATACTCATCATCATTATTGTTTTTTTTTATTATTTTATTTTAAATAAAGTAAAATAAAATAAAAATATTATTGGCGCTCAAAGAAATTAAAACAAAAATCAAATAAAAGAGATCCAATTATATCCTCAGAAGTTACAGTTTCATTCTTTATTTTTCCGGTTCAATTTAATAATTTGTCTTTAATCATATTTTCTACTTTTGCAAATTCAAATAATATTTTTGATCCTTTTTATTTATGTCAATTTTAGTTTTTCCATTTTAAATTAAAATAACAATTTTGGTATCATATAAATAGTTCAATTTTAATTCTTAATTATTTTTTGTTTTTCAAAATTACTATATATAACTATTATTATATTTTTGACCTAAAAATATGATTATATTTTTCTATCATCTAAAATATAATTATTTGTATTTTTAATTTAAAAAATAAAAACAAAACCAAAACAAAAAAAAAACACCATATTGAAATTGTGAAAAAAAGTTTGAACTTATTTTTTTATGATCGGTGTAGTATATGTTTCATCTGAAAAATCTATTTTTATTTATTATTTAAATTAATTTAGGTTTTTTATTTCAAAATAATTTTAAGCACCAATTTAAAAATCATTCGTCTAAATAATATAGTTGCAGGTTGTTTGTTTTAATTAAATTATTGGCGTATGAAAACGAAAGAGTATTTTTTTTTTTTTTTACATATATAAAAGAATGAGATTAAATATAGTGATATATATTTTTTTGTTGATAATAAAAGTAACTTTTATGATTTTTTTTTTAAGTATAATATATTTGTGTAAAAAATGCATATAATAACAATAACTATTAATTTTTTTTAAAAAAAAATAATAATTATGAACAAAATATGAATTATATTAATTGATAAAGGATCAAAATGATTATTTTATAAATAAATGAACTAAATTTGAAACAAATAAGAATCAAAATGATTAAAAGCTTCATTTTAAGAATAAGATTACATTGACACTTGATATGAATAAAATAGACAAAAATGAATTATACACAAATATTTTACCCTAATATTTTATTTTTATATATTCTATTTTATAAAACTTTATAAATTTACAAATCATACTTAGTGTGTTTGTGTGACTGTGTTTCACACATTTTCTCATAAATATTAACACAATATATATAATATATATATTTCATTTACTAACAAAAATTGATTTTTCAATATAACTAATTAGTTGATAAAAATTATAAAATGAAAAATATGATTAAAATATAAAAAAATTCTAAAAAAAGAAAATAACATAATATATTGAGCTAATCAAAATAGAAAATGTCATGATATGTGAGATAGATGAAGTATTATTTTGACATATAATACATACTTGTATTTAAATAATAAGGGTGTGTTTGTTTGAAGGATTTTGAAGGATTTCTACTATTCATCCAATTTTTTCCCCCCAAAAACATCACATCAAACACCTATTTTTCATTTTTTATATTATACTAAAAATCAATTTTACATTTAAAACATCACATCAAACCCTATTTATATCACATCATACAACTATTCAAATTCAAAATTTTTACTATTCAAATCCCAATCCAAAATCCAAACCCCCAAACAAACACACCCTTAAATGGATTTAATATCTTATTAGATAAAATTAGGGCGATCCTGACTTTCGAATGGCCCGGGGCTAAAAAAAAAATATAGGTCTCTAAATATATAAAAATAATACTATATTTTTATTTATAATAAAATATAAATAATTAAATAAAATAATTTTCTAAGATTTTTAGATGAAAAATAATATAAAAAAATATTTTTAAATGTTTGAGACATATAAAATTTGAATTTAAACCTCAATATTAAAAATTAATCTTTGTACCATAAAACTACAATATTTTTTCTTTATATACATCAAATAAATTATATATATAAACTATATATATATAATGGATTCTCTGTTTACTGTGGGCCTTGGGCGTGTATCCCTCCTGAATAAAATATTATATTTTGTCCCCCCAAGCCCAGGGCTGCCCCTGGATAAAATATTACTTTCTGATCTCATTGAAATATTATCATTTTTCATTTTAATCAATCCCAAAACGGTTATCATTTCATAATTTAGTAATTGTATTATCTACCTAACATAATAAATATCCTTCCAACTTATACTATATTACATAAATGTCATTACTTTTATATAACACAATACTAATAGGGGCATTTTTGTCTTTTTTACTACAACTTATTATAATACTAACATTCAAAAATATACGTGCAAAAAGTAAACGACAATTTTGCACCGGGACGGAAAGAGTATATTTTGTTCGCCTCGACCCCGGGCCGACCCGGATAAAATATTATATTTTGATATGAAAATTTTTAAAATATCTCAGAAAGAACATAGGATTGTTATATATATATATATATCCGATTCGTGATATTGAGGTGAAAAAGAGGGTGGATCGAATACACAATTAAAGAGATCAAATCAACACATTTTTCTAAAAATTATTTCAACCGTTCCATGTAATATGGGTGTATTACTGTAGACACGGGAATTTAGGTAAAGTATAATTAGTAAGTAATTAAGAAGTGTATTAGTAAAAATAATTATTATTTAGTAAAAATATTTATAAATTAAGATAAGTAAATAGTTTAATTAAAATTAAGAAAATTATAAAATTTAAAATTTAAAATGCGATTAAAGTCTATAATTCCAAAATTAGAAAAAACAAGTTATGTAGAATGGACGAAAATAAAAAATAGAAAATAAAAAAAAATTATATGAGATAAGAAGAAAGATGTCTTGAAAGAACAGTAACTATTGGGACAATGCATGAAGACAAAACTGGCTTTAGTGTGCCTAAAATGATTCACCTGAAGATTATTATTATTATTATTATTATTATTATTATTGTGCGGGTGTTACCATAACTAACACATGTCACATTATATCATTTAAATAATAATAATAATAATAATAACTATCACTCCTTTTGAAAGTGATGTAAATTTTGCATGTAAGTGAAGTCATAATTCACAATATACTTGTCATTCTCACCTTATTGTTTGTTTAGTTCCTATTCTATTTTATTTTTTTTCATAATTTTCAATAAAATATATTTGTAGACAAAAAAAAATAGTATAGGTGAATTTTATAAATACAAAATTTTTTCCTAAATTGATTTTTTTTTTTTTTTCGAGAGTCGAATTGAATGTCAAATGGATTTGAATGACTTGTTTGAAAGATTTGAATATTTGATCTTCAATTTGATTTTTTTTTTTTTTTTCTTCAAGGATTTGGAGGGATTTTGTTTTAAATTTGACTTTGCCTGAATTTAGACTGATTTCATTCTCATAAGCTGGAATATCAAAGTTAAACTGAAATATCTTTGATTGATTTATTGATTTGATCTTCGTTGAGGTGAATTTGATATTGCATAATAATTTTTGGTGACGTGTCCTTTCAATTTTATAATTGAGTAAAACCGAAATAATTATTTCAAAAAGAACTCAAATAACATCTTGAAACTTTGATACGATCTTAGTATATTTTCTTTGACTCTGACAATTTTTTTTAAAAAAAATTGGTGGTTTGATTTCTCGTTAGCTTGAATACACTTCGAAAAATGTTAATTTGTCAATGTTATTAATTAATACCGGATCATTTGTCAAATGATAAAAAAATTGTCAAAATTTTTATACATATTTTCACTAACTAATAAAATAGGAATATTAACTTTTAATTTACTATAAAACCTTAAAATAGTAAGTTTGAGTGGGAAAGAGAAAGTGCCAAAGTTTTTTTAATCACAATTTAAATACAAATACAAACCAAATAAATCTAAATTTATTATTGACAAAGACGGTTTGTTTTGTGAAATAATTTGTGAGGTATAAAAATTATGTATCTAATGTAAGAATAATGAATGTATGTAATACTTCATTTGTCCAGAAACTAATATCCTACTTTCCTATTTGGGACGTCCAATAACTATTGTCCTATTTCTTTTTTTAAACACAAATTTTACATTTTTACCTTCTATTCATTTATTACTTTTAATCTCTACTATACAATTAAGGTCAAATTTGTCAATTCATAACAAAAAGACAATCATCTAAAACACCATGCAAATATACTTTAGAATAATAGAAATTGGAAGGAGGGAATATATTATTTTATTTTTTTTGTAAAATCACGTTGAAAAAAAAAAAACACACAAAAAGAACACTTCTCATTTCAATTTATTTATTATATATATTACACTCCCTACATCCCAAGTATTAGTGTATTACGATTAACTTTTCTGTTGGTCTCATATTTTATATTCTCTCCGTCTAATTAGAAAGTATATATTTTTCTATTTTGGAACATACCCCATTTTTTTTTTCCACAAATACCATTACTTTACATCACATAATTACTTTTATACGAAAAAAAAGACAAGGGCAAAAATGATATTACACTACTTTTAACTACCCGTTATAATTAAAATATTATTAGTTCTTAAAATTCGCGCTAAAAATAAATATATACTTCTTAACCAGACCAAGGGAATATCATTTTTCTTTAAAAAATGATTACATAGTTTAATCGCATTTAGAAATTTTCAATGTATAATTTTAAAATTTTAATTATACTAATTAATTATTTTAATTTATAATTATTTTTATCATATTGTAGTTATTTTTATTGATATATTTTTACTTATTTGTTAATCACATTTCTCGTAAATTCACGTATCTACTTTATTTGATAAGAAAGAAATATATTTTTATAAAAATATATTATTAAATATTAAATTTAATTAAGATTTAAATATAAAAATATAAATAAAATAAACTCAAATGCAAACTAATATAATTATATTATTTTATTGTATATTTACATTTGTAAGTAAAAATAAATATTGAATATCATATATATATATATATAAATATATAAAGAATAATAATTCAATAAGTTTTAGGGCATGGAAACATTTGAAAATTTGAGTTGTTTTACTAATGGTAAAAGGTTGAGTAGATAATAAGGGTGCCTTTATTTTGACAATAAGATTGGGCTGTTGGGCCTCAATAAAAGTCCCAAACTAAGCACATGCTGTGAACTATTAATATAGAAAGAAAGACATCCCATCATTTATTTGATTGAAAAAATATTGGATTTATGTCATTAAATAAATAAAATTAAACTAAATTTATTTATAAATAATTTAGAGAAAAAAAAATTATGTGTCAATTATCAATAATATATTTATTATTTTTTATTATTTAATTAGAAAATAATTATTTCATTAAATATTTTATTTTTTTTACAAATATTTTTATTTCACCATCAAATCATTATCTTTATATAAAAAATTTCATACTATTTTAAACTAAAATATATAATATAAATACACATATATATATAAATAAATTAAAATAATTTTATAAAATACAGGGAGTAGTAAAAATAATATGTTAAAAATAATAATTACAACATATTACACACCTGCTTTAAGGGTTTTTTTATTTAATTATTATATAAAAATTTAGTATAAATAAAAAAATAACAAAAATATTTATATTAATATTTTATAATACTATTAATTTTTTTAAATATATATATATTTAAAAATATTTTTAATATTAAATATAATAATACAAAAATTAAATAACAAAACATATTTTAAAAAATAATTTAAATATTAATATGAATATAAGTGAAGAAGAAACATAAATAAAATAATGAGGTTAAAAAGAACCAGTGCAACAAGTACTCTTAATGATGGTGACCTTATTTAAAATCATATTTTAAAAATAACGGTTGTCTGAATCCACATGCCAAGGTTCCATGTCCTTTTTCGTCATTTTGCTGCTTCACCAACGCTTCTGTCCCATCTGAAACTCCCAGTCCGAACGCACCCGTTGGATGTCCTCTACTCACCACCTTCTTCCTGGAGTTCAACTCCAGGACCACACAAGCGTCCCGCGATATCAGTTCAAACTCCAAATACCGCCGCTGACATCCCCACTGTAATAAATTCTTCCTGTTCTTTTCGGGCAACAGAGACTGACAACATCGCTGGCGGAGTCTCCAAAATTCCGACGGAGTTTCCGATGTCGAAGAAATCCGTATAAATATAGCAGATCCGGTACGTATACGCTGTCGTATCCTGTCACCCATCGCCGCCGTTGGATTGTTTTATAGGTCGGACTGAACTGACGGCCAGATCTCCGCCACGGAAGCACGCTAGTGGTACGGATGGCGTCCTTGGCACTTTCCTCCTCCCTCAACCTTCGCCTCCGCCCCAATTCCGCCGCCCAAACCCTAATCCTAACTGCAGCCCCTAGATCCCTCCGTCTCGATTCTAGGTCAACATCTCCCATCAGAAATGAAATCGGCAGCTCCGACCTTCCGATTCGCGACAATCGTGTTCAATTTTGCAACCAGAAGCTCCAAATTTTGTCCCGGCGCGGGAGATCAACGGTCGCATCTGCGTCTCCGTCGGTTCCGCCTCTTCCGAAGCAGGAGCCATGGCAGGGCGCGGCGATCAAGCCGCTTATAGCATCAATCGCGACGGGGATCATCCTATGGTTCGTACCCGCCCCAACCGGCGTCTCGCGGATCGCGTGGCAACTTCTCTCGATCTTTCTCGCCACCATAGTCGGAATCATCACCCAGCCGTTGCCGCTAGGCGCCGTTGCTTTACTCGGCCTCGGAGCTTGCGTCCTGACCAAAACGCTGTCGTTTGCCGCCGCGTTCTCAGCGTTCGGCGATCCGATCCCGTGGCTAATCGCGCTGGCCTTCTTCTTCGCGCGAGGGTTCATTAAAACAGGATTGGGCAACCGAATCGCCTACCAATTCGTTTCCCTATTTGGAAGCTCCTCGTTAGGGTTAGGCTACAGTCTCGTCTTCAGCGAAGCCCTATTAGCACCGGCAATCCCCTCAGTTTCAGCTCGCGCCGGGGGTATCTTCCTGCCATTGGTGAAATCTCTATGCGTCGCTTGCGGCAGCAACGCAGGGGATGGAACAGAGAACAAATTAGGCTCATGGTTAATGTTGACATGTTTTCAAACGTCTGTAATTTCATCTTCTATGTTTCTGACTGCCATGGCTGCAAATCCTTTGGCTGCTAACTTAACCGCCAGCACGATAAACATGCCTATCGGGTGGATGGATTGGGCCAAGGCCGCAATCGTACCTGGTCTGGTGTCTTTAGTGGTGGTGCCATTGTTGTTGTACGTAATCTATCCTCCTTCAGTGAAGAGTAGCCCTGATGCACCTAAGCTTGCTCGGGAGAAGCTGGCGAGTATGGGGCCCATGACAAAGAACGAGATGATTATGGCTGGAACTCTGCTTCTTACGGTATAAACTAATCAACTTGATGAAAAATTCTTGTTATACCTTGCTCCTTTCCTGCAAATTATTTGTGCATAACTGACTGTTACTTTTGAGAATATGCAAATTACATGACTTAACTACTGGATTTTAGATCAATCTATTCATGAAGCTTTATTAGTCGATCTCATGTGTTTTCCTTTAAACAAAAACTGAAGGTTCATAGTTGTTTTTTGTTATTTTTTCGGGTCTGGACATTCGGATTTAATTCTTTAACGACCCTGTTTGGTAAAGATGTGCCTGTAGAGTTTTGACTGTGTGTACAGCTCCATCTTGAAATTGGTAGTACTTATTTGATGTTTTGAACTGAGTTGAACCTAGCAAAGCTTAAATGCTCAACTGTGTTTCAATCTTGTTTAGGGATGGCTTCAAATTATGCATTTGCATGTTGGTAGTAGATTTTGTTATATGAATAAAATGAACATGAGTAAACTCATTGCACTGAGTTAGGATACATTTTAATTGCAATAATAGATTTTGCTAGCTCGACTACAACTATCTATTCATCTTCTTGATTAGTGCTTTATACATGCGCGTGTGTATCAGGTTGGACTATGGATCTTTGGTAGCGTCCTGAATGTTGATGCCGTAACTGCTGCCATTCTCGGCCTTTCTGTCCTTCTTGTAACGGGTGTTGTCACGTGGAAGGAATGCCTAGCTGAAGCAGTTGCCTGGGACACACTTACATGGTTCGCTGCTCTGATTGCAATGGCCGGGTATCTGAACAAATATGGCCTCATCTCTTGGTTTAGCCAAACAGTGGTCAAGGTATGTATATATTTACTCACATTACACTGCCTGTGTAGTAGAGCTGTTAAACGTACCGGGCGAGCTCGGCTCGAATTTGTTAACAGTATATGTTTGGCTCGGCTTGTTAAGAATTCGAACCAATATAGTAGCTCGAGCTCGGCTCGTTAGGCTCAAATTCAAACTCGAGCTCGGCTCATAGACTCGAACTCGAGTTGGATTTGAATTTTATACATACTCTATATATTTTTAATATATAGATTAAATATATTTAATTGTATTTATAATTTTATTTATAATAAAATATTCAAATGTTAATAATAATTGTAAATTTGATATAACAAATTATATATATTATATTAACAGTTCAATTGAGCTACTCGCGAGTCGAGCTCGAACTCAGAGCTTTTAAACGAGCCGAGTCGAATTTGGCTCGCGAGCTACTCGATTCGTTTAACAGCTCGCTTGTGCAGATACTTTATGCCCTTATTACAACATTTTACATTTAGCACTATCTCCCGTAACATTGGATAATATGCATTTTTGTTCTTTCTACATAAATGGAAAGAAACAAGAGGTTCTTAAACACATTTTCTTGAAAGTACAAAACGACAAGTATTTGAAAAAAATAAATGTCGATAAATCCTTACATTCATGCACATTTGCGGCTGCTAACTGGGAATAACTATCTTAGACACCAGTTGTTTTTGTTTTATCTAATTATTATATTCGTCGTTATTGGCAGTTTGTTGGTGGATTGGGTCTATCATGGCAGCTATCATTCGGAATTCTCGTCCTCCTATACTTCTACTCTCATTATTTCTTTGCCAGCGGGGCAGCCCATATCGGGGCAATGTTCACCGCATTCCTATCAGTTGCCAGCGCCTTGGGCACCCCACCCTACCTGGGCGCTGTCGTCCTCTCATTCCTGTCCAACCTCATGGGCGGTATCACTCACTATGGCATCGGGTCAGCCCCCGTGTTCTATGGTGCTGGCTATGTCCCCCTTGCCCAATGGTGGGGCTACGGGTTCTTGATCTCCATAGTCAATCTCGCCATATGGCTTGGAATCGGCGGCATCTGGTGGAAGGCCATCGGGTTGTGGTAGGGAACCGTGTTCTCGATTCTAGAAGCTTCTAGAAGAAACAAGATGGTGTTTGTTGGAATTTGAGAATTTAGTTAGTTTAATGATTGGGACAAATACAATGCTGATAACACTCAATCCAAGATTTTGGGAGCTTGGCTAGGACAGGTATAAAATTTTGAGGTATGTATTACTTCTGTAGCTGTCAAAAATTTTCCCTTTGTAATAATTGGGGATTCTCTTGCAATTTTTGCCTATTGGAAATAAAGGCTGCAAAGTTACTTCTTATGTCCTGTCTTTAGTTATCATTATTTTTATTTATTTATTTTCCACATGTTTTTAGCTATTTTGCTTGTTTCAAGTGTAGTAGTATAAAATTTTAAACCATTTAGTCAAATGTTTTTCTTTCTTTTCAATTAATTTATAATTAATATTGCATGACTTCTTTGTATATGTAATTCTGTTTAGTTGCCAAAATTATATTATACCCACTCATAATGACACGGCGCATTTATAAGCTATTTTTTCTCTCGGATATAAATATTTTGTAATGATATTTGTAAAGTCGCTAATCACTGAAATCAATATGAGGGGGACAAAATTTAAAAATATGTTACAATAAAATTTAATGTGAAATAAATACTTGTAGTGGACAAAAATGTAGACAAAACAGGATTTTTGGTTTGCCTATGAATGTACCCGAATAATCCGTGCCACTAACTTTGAAGCTGATCTAAAAACGCTACAGCGATTTATCAGAAAACCGTCAACTGGTTTGACGACTTTTCCAGATTTCAAAATGAAATAAACAAAACCGAACACCCATCAATCATCAACAGGCAAACCCACAAATCCACCGCGCCCACCGGCGGCTCCGCCTTGTCGCATTCCCTCAGCCGCCTTGGATCGGAGCTCTGATCGATACGATTTTCTCTCGCCGCGTTTTCGCATCCAGCCGCCGAGATGCCCGCCTCCGCCGCGTCGAACCACTCCAATCGTCCGCAGGACTTGATCGGGCGGCTGAACTCGGCGCACACTCCGGACGAGGACAAGCTAAAAGCATTGAGAGACTTGAAGAATCAGATAATTGGAAACCGTACGAAGAAGCTGGCTTTCTTGAAGCTCGGCGCTGTGCCCTCCGTCGTAGCTATTCTCTCCGCCTCCGTCGCATCCGCTCAAGGCGGAGGCGGCGGGGACAATCGTGAGTTTCATGAGTCTGTTTTGATCCAATCCGCCGCTGCCATCGGCAGCTTTGCATGTGGATTTGATGCTGGAGTCAAATCTGTATTGGACTCCGGTGCTTTTCCCCTTTTGTTAAACCTTATCTCCCATCCGAACGAGAAGGTACACTTCTTATTTCTTTATTATTTGCACGAAATGGGGAAATTTTCATTTTCAGACGATAGCGGCGTAAAGTTTTGGATGCATTATTTAGAACAATGGTGCAACATATTTTTTGTAAACTTGAAATTTGAGTTGTTTATTGGTGGTTTTGCTTTCTCTGCTTTGTTCCCCTCTTTGATAAAACTGATTTTAACATAGCTGGGGATGCTTAGAGCTTTCTGAATTAAGGTAGATCCGCGGTTTCTTGCGCTTTATGGTGTTTAGACCATTATTCGTGTATTATGTGTTTGATTCTACGACTAAATTTCATTTTAAAAAGTGATTAGTGATTTCTATGGTGGTTGATACGTAGCTTGCGGAACCCCACTTTTAATTGTTTGTTTTTATTTATATTTAATATGCTTATACCTAATTATTTCCATGTCAATGTGAAATAAAAAAACACATCATGGGACTTTTTGGAAATGCTCAGATTCAAGTAGCTTATATTTAAACCCTTCTTTTCCAGTCCCAGCAGCAATTTTGTTGGAAAGATCAACTACACGTTCTGGAAGTGTTATATGAGTGTATAGGAGCATTGATTCCATGTTAAATACTATACTTGCTTCAAATTACAGTGCGGAGTGTTTTGTGAAAGGGCCTATTTACGCTGCTTTCGTTGGCCAATTTCGGACATGGCAGGATTGGAATGTTGTCTTTACTCATATATTGTTGAGGGAGATGGGTGTGTTTCGCACATGCTAAAACTATGTGCTCCTTTAAATGTTTAATTCCATGTGTGGAACTTCCCCTGCTGTGGTGATAGCTTCTTTGGTTGTTGATATGGTTTCAGTTTCTTTTGGGGATATTTATCGTGTTCTGTATATTATTGTTTCTTTTAACTTCTAGCTATATATACCCCAGAAAAATTCACAATACTAAATTTCTAATAGCGGGATCCCACTTCTGTAGGTTGCTGATGCTGGTGCTCGATCTCTTAGAATGATTTATCAATCAAAAATGGCTCCAAAGTATGATTTTCTTGAAGAGAAAAACATGGAATTTCTTCTTTCACTGCTGAACAGTGAGAATGAGAATGTTACTGGTCTTGGTGCAAGTATTATCACGCACTCATGCCAGACAACCATTGATCAGCAGGCTCTGAGTGAAGCTGGAGTTGTAAAACGGCTTGTTGGTCTTCTTGAAGGTTCTTTAATTCAGAGGGATGCTAGCTTAGAATCTCTAGCTGCTGTCGTCAAGGATAATCCAAAAGTTGCTTCGAGGTTCATAGGGCCTGAGAATGGAAGGGAACTAAATGTAGTAACTGAATTGATGAATGATAAGTATCCTCGGACAAGACTATTAGCCTGCATGTGTTTAATCAACATAAGAAATACTTCTACATCTTTTCTTCAAGATGCAGGAATCAAGAACAAATTGGTTTTGATATTACTTGAGCTTCTTGATGATCCTGGTCAAGTTGGAGATGAAGCACCATACGGGTTGTCTAATTTGATTTCAGGGAAGGAGGATGTACAAAAAGTTGCGTTTAATGCAAAAGTGATTGAGAAACTATTTGACAACTTAAAGAAAGGTTCATTTAAAACCAAACGTGTGCAGGGGATATTTTTAGCACTGGCCGATCTTTGCTCGAATTTAGAATGCTGCAGGGATATGGTCCTTCAGTTAAAGGTTTGTTGCTTGATGCAGAACAATATCATTTTTATGCTTGAATGTTGATAGAGAAACGATAGTGATTAGCGATAATGTTCTCATACTCATACTCATGTTGTTGCTTGCTATCACTCATTGAGTCAGTTTTTAATCACTCAATTAATTAATTATTGATCTCGAAAATTTTGGTTAATTTATGTCTAAAGCTTGATTTCTGATTTTATGATTGCATATCTTAATCAAGAGAGTAGGAAAAGTATGCTTCATATATAGGGCCCTTTTTTTGTCATCTGTAAACGGTTCTGTCAAATAGAACAGCAACACCCTTTTTTGACCCCTTCTCTTTGTAGGGCCCTCTTTACACTCCTCTTATACACTCTTCGTAGGAACATATGACTTTTTTGGATGGTAGGATTGAGCTGAGAGATAAAGCTAATAATTCAAGTAGTATATTCATCATCTAGCATAATTATACACCAGCCAATATATAAATTCATTAATTTGCTAGAATGCCAAAAAACTCTCGATGCTTTTATAGTAAATTGCAACAGCACAATTAATGATTGTTATCATTAACTTCCTACTTTGGCATGTAGGTGTTAGATTTTGCATCCGAAGCATTAGCTCACGATAGTGCTGAATTGCGTGCGGCCGCTTGCATTTTCTTGAAGAATGCTTCTCGTTCTGTCAAGGTTTGTTGATGCAAATATTAGAATTTCTGAAATTTCATTTCTAGCAGTTGGGCTCTGTTAACAATTATATTCTTCAGAGTTTGAGTGCAGGTCAATTTATGAATGAAACAATCATCTTTCCATTGGTCCAGCTTTTATCTGACTCATGTACTTCTGTCCAGGTATTTATTTTTCCTTTCTTGGTGACATTCTTGATCTTCTCAAGCTAATTAATGAGCAACTGCGTTTTGTGTTTTTTCTGCTTCTTTGCTTTCTTCAGGTTGCTGCTCTGGGGGCCATCAGTAACGTTGTAGTGAATTTCGTCCCCCATAAATTTCTATTGATGCAGTGTGGATGCGTAAAGCAACTTGTTCAGCTATCAAAGTCTATGGAATCCACCATTCGAATTAATGCCGTTTGGGCATTAAAAAATCTTATGTTCCTTGTGAACGAAAAATGTAAAGAGGAGATTCTCTTGGAGCTAACCACATCCACATTAACAAGCCTCATTAGTGGTAATAATCGCTTACAAAATATGGAACGAAACTGTCATGCATCTCTTTTTATTCACCGTTTGCTCTTTATTGGTAACACCAGACCCTGATGCTTCTGTCCAAGAGCAAGCTCTGGCTTTGGTACGCAATCTTGTAGATGGTAGTGTGAATTCAATAGAGTATGTGTTTGGGGATGATGCACTTCTCCTACATGCTATTGGAAGGCAATTACACAGCTCTACAAAACCTGAAGTTCTGGTTCAAGTAAGAAATTTCCTTTTGTTTTAACCCTACGGTCTTTTAAGTTGACAAAAGCTTTGCCCAGAAAATGACGATGTCTTAATTTCAACGCTGCATTAGAATATCTGTTGCACAGTCATTTAGTACTGTAGTTTTTGTGAATGCTAAAATATCTACTTGCAGGTTTGAGTGCGTAGGCAATATATGAAACTTCACCTGCCATTTACTTTTAGGTAAAATCAGTATTGGAAGTTCAGCTAAAAAATCAGAAACCGTAGTTTGGACTGTTGCAAATTAAGCAATGACCTTTTATTTCGTTTCATTTTATTTTAGTATTGTTTTTGTAGAAAGATGTTATTTACAGATTTGTGAATGACAAGGATATGTTTTTTTTCTGATTTTTACATTAAAAGATAACTGTAACTTTATTATAGACAAAATCAGATGTTAGTGAGGTATGTGTATGCATATTGATGGAAATACAATTGTTTTAATAATACAGTTGAAGCACATTAAGTGTTTTTTTCTCCTAGCAATCTTGTAGAATTTTGAAAACCTGAATGCAATACATTTTCTTACAGGGCATGTACACCCTCAGTAACGTGGCTTCCGGAAACGAGCACCACAAGGAAGCTGTAATGAACCAATTGTTCCCACAGGTGGGCACCCATATGGAAACAATTTTACTCAAGTTTCTACAGAGTGACAACAGCCAGTTACGAACAGCTGCTGTTTGGGCGATTGTGAATCTTACTTTCCCTAGCAGTTCAGGAGCATTTAGTCGATCTGCTGAACTGCGAAATGCTGGCATAGTCTCTCAACTAAAGAATATGGTCAACGACCCGTGTTTGGATGTAAAGGTGCGGTAATGAATCAGATTCTATAATTTTTTACCAGTATTCAAACTCATTCGTGTAATTCAAATTTCTCTCCTTGTTACAGCTCCGGACAAGAACCGCTCTCGGGCAGTTGATACTGTTCGATAATACCTCAACGTGAGGGAATTACATCGTACATTTTGATGCAAGATGGTGCACAGTTTTTGCCGCTTTATGTAACATAGACTGCTTCCTCAGAAGCCCGGAGAGAAAAATGGTACGCCTCCATTAATGAATGGTGTAATTTTTAAGTAGTCTAAGGCCACAGGAAGCATGTCATTTAAAATGTCGATATTTTGGCGAACTCTTGAGCGCTCCTCGTATAGTCCTATGCCTAAACTTCCCGAAACTAAGAAACAGTCTTTATTAAGTATGGTCTAGTAATTATTTTGTCCTCTGCGGTGTATTGAAGATAATGTCTTTTTTGTGAAATGTACCTGATGAGTTTAGTCGAACACTTTTGTTTCATTGCTGGCTGCCTGATTGATCAGTTTCTTTTTATATTTATCGTTCACAGCTTTGTGGGGAGCTCGACAAAACTGTAGGTCCGGATAAGCAGGTCCCCTTTTCCCCTTGGTTACAGTTTTGCATTTCTGATAGTTATGATTTCTTTTTCTTTTTTTTTTCTTCGTCGTTGCTATATCATTAGTCTTTTTTTCTTTTTCCCATGTATTGCTAGTCCGGTTCGATCAGCTGGGCTGTTATGCTACAGGTGCCAGCGGTGGTCGCCGGTTGTACACAACTACTTTTGTTTAGGCTAGACGCAGAGTTTTTGTCATGTTATGTTTTTTACTTGAAGCTGATAATGCTAGTGTATATATATATTTGAATCTAGAATCTGGAATCTTGTTGGTAAGTTTCTTGAATCTTGTTATGTGTGAAAATAGCTTGTATGTTTTGCAAAGTTTTGTCGAAGATTTGACAATGGTAGGAATAATTTATGATTGTACTACGTGGGAGAGTTTTGGGAATGTCTTCTTGTTGTTTGGAAGTCATTTTTACTGTAGTTTGTTTAATTGTTGATTTTAGACAGAAGTCGATGACACTGTTTCTTTAACTTTAATTTTTTTTTCTATTTCAGAAAAATTAATAGTGATTTAAAATATTACCATTCCTAAGATATTTTTTTTCGTTAGATAAATTTTTATAAGTGCATCTCCAATCCAGCTGGTGGCATTTGGCAAATTCAACGCCAAAAATGGTGCAACGCCAAAAGTAGCTTTTTTTTCTTTTTCTTTTTCTTTTTTTAATTTTTTAAAATTTTGAAATTATAAATTTAATTTTTATTTTTTTAAAATTTTATTTTAAATTATAAAAATAAAAAATTATTTAAAATAATAGAAAAAATTAAATATTTGAAGAATAATAGTGAAAAATGGAATTATAGTTAAATAAAATTATATATTTGGAGTTGGGTTGGAGATGGCCTAATTATAATGTCTCGGTGTGAAGAATCTGTCTGCTTAATTATACGCACTTTGTTCTATTTGGGTGTGTTTGTTTGGGGATTTGGATTTTGAGTTGGGATTTAAATAGTAAAAATTTTGAATTTGAATAGTTGTATGATGTGATATAAATAGGTGGTGATGTGATATTTTGAATATAAAATTGATTTTTAGTATAATATAAAAAACTAAAAAATAGGTGTTTGATATGATGTTTTTTGAGGAAAAAAATTGGATTAACAGTGTAAATTTAATCCAATCCTCCAACCAAACAAATTTTATAATTTATAATTTATTTAATTTTAATTAAATTATTTACTAATTATAATTTATTATATACTGTTTGCGGTTTTGATTTTGATTTTGTAAAAATGTTTTTCCTAATTTAAATAATGGGTTGGGCCGTGACTGGTAGCCCACTAAAGTGTAGGTGGAGCCCACCGCCAGGACACGCGTCGGATGACCCACTGCGCGTCATGTGACTTCTCGGAATTTTAATATTTATTTTAAAAATCATGATAAACTCACCTACTGTCGCACAACCACTTTTTTTTTATTTTAATTTTACTTTTTATATATTATAATCCTAGCACACGAAACTGTCTCTAACTTTATTATGTTTAGCCATACAATAATAATGACATTTAAAAAGAATTACGATTATTTTAAGTAATAATAATAATATAATTATTTGACATGATATTTAAAAAAATTAGATATTCATTATAATATTTTTAAAAAATTTAATATTATGATAATATCAAACTTTTAAAATAATATATAATAAAAAAATGAACTGAAATCATCATTATATACAACAAACTATTTACTTTGAATCCTTTATAAATACTGATTATTTTTAATAAAAAAAATAAAAATAAAAATAAAAATAAAAATAATAAAAACTTTAACATAACAATAATAATAGTAATATAAAGAGAGCAAGATACGGGTCAATTAAGGCGGGCCCCGTATTGGGGCACGAAATCTTTGGTGCCTCTGCGAGTGACTCAATGAATACAAATAAATAATCTCCCAAGAAAATGAACCCTCAAATTATGGACGCAAGGCAGATGCTCTCTTCTCTGCTGCTTCTCCATTTCTACGCTCCCATTCTCCTCATTGACTCCTAATTCTCTCTCTCTCACAATCCTCTTAAATTCGAGGTAGGTTTTTGCTCTGAAGTCACCGCTTTGATTGGTAGCCTTGTTTTTATTATTTTTTCTTTCGATTTTTGTAACATGTTCTACAGGACTTGGTGGTGCTGACTCATTTTCCTGCTCCTAATATTCGTTACGTGTTTGTTCTTGAGTAATTATGTTAGTTTTCGGTTTCTGTTTTTGCTGGACTTTGTGAATTTGGTAGGGGTTGTGTGTTTAAGTTCCGGTATCTGTGCTTGTTGATGGGGGAAGTTCGGTTTATACATAAGTATGAGTATTTGTCTATCTATTATTATGCTATTGATATGAGAGGTGGATTTGTTGCTTGATTGTTGATGAAGGTGCGAGTAGCTTCTTTTATTTTAAATTGCTGTCTTGTGTTTTCCATGGAAGAAGCGGATTCATTGCATTGCCTGGCCTGGCCTGGCCTTCCAATTTAAACTCAAAGGAGATTTAGCGTTTGTTTTTGCTCTCCCGTTATTGCAGTAAATTGATCTCAAGGATGTAGTGGATTGAGATCTTCAAATTAGTGCTATATTTTTTAGATTTTATATGCTCGTTTTGAATTAGGACACATGTGATTCAAGTATGGGTTTCTCTTATATAGTGCGTGCTGTCAATGCATTACATGATATTATAGATCATAGAAAATCGCTTGGGAAGAATTGGGCTTCGACACATGTCTTCTAGATCCATGTGTTCTATATTTTACTATGTGTTCTGGCTTCCTTTGTCCTTTAAAAATCTTCTGATGGTGTTTCTCTTAATGTTAAAGGTATTCTAAAGCTAGCATTTTGTCCTAAACCTGAATGGGCCATTCAGGTTCTGTAATGTTCCTATAAGAAGTTAACGGAAGAAACAGCTTCTGTTAGACATTATTAATGAATTTTGATTTGGTCACAATTATGGTTCAGATTATATATGTGAGTTGAGTATTTGCCATTTCCATGTTGAAGTGCAACAAAAGAATAAGTTGAATGGGAAACCTCTGTCCCTGTAATTATTTGTTTGATCGATTAATAACGTAGCTTTTGTTCATTAAATGGTTGAAAGCCTATAGTTGTTTGGTTTGCAGTTATTGATTATGGCATTATTGATTTCATTCCTTCATACCTATTTGGTTTTCTTGGTGGTCTCAATTGATCTTTTGTGCAGCCAAACATATAAGAGATTGTTTGGTCATCCCCATTTTTGTTCTTTTTCTCCTCTGCGGATTCTTCAAGGACAAGTGTTTTCAGTAATTTGGGGAACTAATGAGCATGCAATCCAAATCTAAAAGCGCCAATCAAGGAGAAGCCAGCTTTTACAATGTAGAAAATTCTTCTTCATGTTTTGGGCCATGGTGGAAGAATACTGGATATAATTCCTTCTCCCATCCAATGATGAAGGGAGACGCATCTGAGACATCATCGCTGGAACACTCTGTTGATGGCCTTTCACAGTCTGAGGGTGCAATGAATGAGGAAGATGACGAAACCATCAAACAAACATCGAGTACTGTATCAGGCCTGACAGGTATGGATTAAGAATACCATTCTTATTTAGCTTCACTTGGTTGTGTTCCTGTAATATTGTTTAGTATGCTCTTAGGGTGTCGATGATCCTGTGAGATATTAGGAAAAATTGACCATTAACTTTATGAGTATTTTTGTTCTATCAACTCTGTACATGATTCTTTGTGTTTTATGTTTGAATTTATTTTGCATTTGTTATGTGCATCTTTGTCCAGCGGCATGATTGAACTGCCACGACTTTCCTGATACAATACCTGCATTGCTTCGACGATAGCCTTAGCAAAGGTTCCTTATCTCTGTTTGCAATGACATTGTACATCAAGCATGAATATAACCTATTGCTATCCTTGTTCAATATAATATCATATCCAACAAATTGTACTTCTAATAATCATGTTGAATATAAATAAATAAACAAATTGAATCATAGAACAACTTCCATCTTCTGTTGAATAACAGTTTAAATCTTTGTCAGGGCGTGATGGAAATCCTAGGATGGAGGATACAAATCTGCAGCAAGCTGGATCTACCACACAACCTAGACCCAACGGTAACCTTGCACAAACAGCACAATTTGAGCTTGCTGCTCCCTCAATTGTAAGAATATCAGATGATATATTTATGGGTGCCAAAACTTTTATAACTTGAAACATTGCAATGGATTATCTTGTCCAAATGACAAGTTATTTGCAGGCATGTGCTTCAAATCCATACGATCCCTACTGTGGTGGCATGACGGCAGCTGCTTATGGCCAGCCTATGGTATGTGCATCAATTGGACTACAAAACCTTGCCTGAAACCAATCTGATTCTCCAAGTATCTTATCTTATCTTCATTTTTATTTTTTTCTTTTATTTTCCCCTCGGTCGAGTCAAGATTCCACATTTGTATGATCCAACACACCATTTGAGGATGCCCTTGCCCCTGGAGATGGCACAGGAGCCGGTTTATGTGAATGCCAAACAATACAAAGGTATCCTCCGGAGGCGCCAGTCTCGTGCCAAAGCAGAACTCGAAAAGAAGTTGATAAAATCCCGAAAGGTGGTTTTCCTATTCATCTTTCTAAGCAGCATCTTCCTCTACCACTATTAACATTATATTTTTCTTCAACTTGCAGCCATATCTCCATGAGTCCAGACACCAGCACGCCATGAGAAGGGCCAGGAGTTCCGGGGGACGCTTCGCCAAGAAATCTGACAATAACGCTTCTTCTAAAAAAACAGTCGCGTCACCACAGTCCATTAATCCATCGACTTCCTGTGGATCAGAAGCCCCTGATGCCCAACATTTGTACAACTCAGGTAATTTTCAGAACCAACCTGACTTGCAGGAGCACGGATATCAGTCACGTTCCGGGAACATGGGCGACGGGCATAGCTCAGGCCAGCAATGGGGAAGCGTCTCGTCTAATCATCCACTTGCAATGCAGTGAACTGAACGGGACAATCTGGATATGAATCGGTGAGTTTCGGGTTTTCAATATTGTCGTCGGCAATTCATTCTTGGCTGTTCTTTTGAGTAGTGTTTGTGCAGAGGAGTAAGTGATGGAATGGCTTCTTGTTCCTGTTCTTGTGTGTACCAAATGTCTTTTAGGATCAGTTTAGTTATGCATGTACTGCTTTGAGGGCTTGTTTGATTTTAGTAAAATATTGCTCCAATTTATATATATGTTCTTGTTGCATTGCATCGGTAAAATATATTTATTTTTCTGCTTTACATTTGCTACAAAACTTACATAGGATTAATACGTGTTGTTGTTTATTCATTGTTTTCTTGGCGTTTGTAAATAGATCACGTGATATGCACGTGTTGTTGTTTAGCTAGCTAGCTAGCAATAGCATAGGATCTTCAAATTGAACCGTAGACTAAAGTAGTTCGATCGCATGCCCAATTATCGATCCGAATCGGATAACGGGTCGGATCTTCTTTTGCATTAATTAATAGTAAGAGAAAAGTAGAGAGAGAATGGAATAGACACCAACGTCACCAGCCATGAGCCATCTATGCAGAATCCGATCCGAATATCAATTATTATTATTATATAAATGACAAAGTAAAACCTTCTTTTTCCACAAAGCAAACTGCCAAAAATGAAGACAACTTTTTATATCATTTTGAAAAGTTTTGATGTCTCCTCAGTAAATTAATTCACACCCAATTTTTTTTTTTTTTTTTATTAAAGCAGACAATTGTATTAGAAAATATCAATAATAATGGAATTAAATACTTCCTCTATCTCATAATTACGTATCCATTTGCTTTTTGTACGAATCTTATAAATATATTAGTATTATATTATAATAGAGTAGAAATAAAGTAAATGCGACTAAAATGACTTTATTAGTATTGTGCGAAGTAATAGTATTTGTATAATATATTGGAAGTTACATGAGTATTTGTAATATTAAGTAGACAGTACATCTACTAAAAAAAATGAATATTTTGTTATGGGACAGATCAAAATAAAAAAATAAATATTTTGTTATGGAATGAAGTGAGTATTAATTTGTAGTTTCGGAAAACTAATAAATAAGTAGAACTTAAAAGTTTACTCACGTAACAACTAAAAGAGAGTAACAACTATCTTCATCCTATTTTTAGGGTATATATCAGCTGTTTATCCGGTCGATCAATATGGTATTCATATTTTAACATAAATGTGTATATATATATATTGATACAATCAAATCAATATCGTACCGATTTGATCGGATTAGATAGAATCTATTGTTCTATTTCTAATATACTTTTTGCTCTAATAAAATAATTATTTATTATTTCATAAAGATTAAAAAAATGAAAAAAGAATTCAATAACATATATATATATATATATTGTATGTATTGGGCTTGGCTTTCGCTAATCCTAAAAAGCCATTGATGGATGTCCACTTTCAAATAAAAACAAAAAAAAAAACAAAAGATTTGCCTAAAATTGTATAGCGTACAGGATCAGAGAATCACACAAAAAAATCGCTCTGCCCACTTCTATTTCTATTTCCATTTTGGATGTGTTTGTTTGAAAATTAAATTTTAAATATACTATTCACATAATTGAAAGAATATTGATATTATATTAATAATGCATAAAATGTACAGGTAAAAGATTTCTTTTACTGGTGAATTTATTAGTATAAAAAGTAATGTTAATGAGAGCTATTGATTTGAAATGGATAACAATGGTAAAGAAGATCATTATATTGGAACAATAAAAAAATTTTTTATCGAATGTATTAATGTAAAAAGTAATGACAACGACACTATTGTTTTAAAATAAATAACAATGGTAAAGAAGATCAAATATTGTTTTAATATTTGAAATTTGCTATTGTGATGGGGACCAGCCGCCTTTCCCTTCTCTGTCCGAAAACGATATTCAAATACAGCGTTTGTTTGGATTCTCCGCCTGCCCGCTACTTCCAGTGCCGACTTTCGACCTTTTCCTAATTCCAACCCTACCAAACGAACGCGGCCTTAAATCTCCGCAATAAATGCTGTTATTGCGGTGCACCTGCTCCGCCCGCACCGTATCATTGCCAAAGCCCTAATTATACCAACCAACCTAGACAGCGTTGGCTGAGCAGACAGACGGTTATATTCAGGAAGCTGTTTGTAGCAGCGCCTAAGATTCGCCGCCGCGGAGTTCTCGAGGGGAGGAAGGAGAGACGAACGCCGAGCTCCGACGCGCCGCCGTGCAATGCCAATCTTCAGCACTCTCTACGTCGCGCATTCGACGCCGACGCCGACTCCGACTCCAGGCGCACTGTATGTTCGCAGCCTTGCAGATTCGTGTTTTGCACCTACGTCGATTTCGTTGCCCGCCGCTCCGAAGCCTTCGGTTTTGTCGATCTCGGCGAATCATGCGCACCAGCGTTCTTTATTTATAGCATTCTCCGCCAATACTGCCGCCAGCGACACGGAAATTGAGGCTAAATTTTCCGGCGGCGGAGGAGACGAAGGGAGTAATAATGGTCGCGGCGGAGGTGGAGGCGGGGACAATAGCGGCGGGGGTGATGGGGACGAGGATAAGAACAAAAAGAGGAACAAGGAGGAAGCTCTAATTGCTTTGACGGAGGCTGGGAGGAGCCTCGAGAGCTTGCCTAATGATTTGAAAGCCGCCATAGAGGATGGAAGGATACCTGGATCGATTGTTTTGAGGTACTTCGATCTGGAAAAATCAGGATTTCTTTCGTGGCTGATGAGGTTTGGGGGATTCAAGGAGAGGCTGCTGGCGGATGATCTCTTCCTGGCTAAAGTCGCCATGGAATGCGGTGTTGGGATGTTTACAAAGGTACACAAATCAATTACCAAAATACATAGTTTTTGCATATATCGATGCTGTAATTATATACAATTTTGGTTTTTCGTCTATAGTGATTGTTGTTGTCTCAGTTTTGACTGTTTAGTAGCTTACCTTGGAATGAAGCAGGTGCCTTTGGTTGGTTTATGGTCATTTTTATTTCTGTGATGAATATAATATTCTGATAGCCCGGCATGTTTTGTTTTTGCAGCCTGTGTGTGTGTGTGTTTTATTTTTTTCGTTTTCTTTTATGGTGCAGGTCTGAATTAGAATCTAGAATGTTTGGATTTTATTCAGGGTAGATTGGGCTCTGAGGTTGTTGTAGATGTTCTACAACCACAGTTATGTGTTTGCTAAATGCCTCTGTTTCTTATAGTTGATCTCATGTTTCAGAGTATGCAAATTTGCATATGCAATCATTGTCTTTGACGCATATGTATATGATAATGTTCTATTGTAGATATCACCTTGAAAATGATAAGATCACAGAAATGCCTTACTTGGATATGTTTGGTTTACATATCATGTGATTTCTAGTTTCTGAAATTTTAAGAGTTGAGAAAACAAGAGTGACTATATTCTCATGATTTCATAATTCTTTCAATATCATAGATCATGTGTCGGATCGTTTAATCTTCAGGTCATAAGCATTTTCTAATCTCGTTCCCTTTATTTTCTGTGCTATGTCCATTTTTTAACCATTTCATTATGGCTGTTCTAATTTACTCTTTTTTTCCCCAGACTGCTGCAGAATATGATCGTCGCAGGGAAAACTTTTTCAAAGAGCTGGAAATTGTTTTTGCTGATGTGGTATGTTAGCATGTTTTATGGCTATTGTCGGAGAATTTAATTGAAAATGACACATGTCCCTCTCCACTTGTGGTATTAGAGCAGGAAATGCCCATAATTTAATCTCCACCGATACTCACTATTGCAGTGAAAGAGTTGATCACCTCCACCTGAGAGATTCACGAGGGAATTAATGTACTAAATAAATATAAAACCATCATTATCTCTCTCTAAGTCAATGGATATTTAGATAACTTATAGAAGTTCTCTCCAGTTGAATTAATTAGGGTGGATTGGTTCAACCCTGATACGGGATTATATGTTAAACTAGATATGGTAGGTCTCATGACATCTGGAATTGTAATTAATGTTACATTTCACTTAAGCCATATGTCATTATCTCATCTTTACATTTATGTCTGTCCTATTATTAGGTAATGGCCATTATAGCAGATTTTATGCTTGTCTACCTTCCGGCTCCTACTGTTTCTCTCCGCGCCCCTCTTGCACTAAATGCAGGACGCCTTGCTAAGTTTTTGCACAGTTGTCCCGACAATGCATTTCAGGTGACTGACTAACTTAATCATCGGCGCTATGGTTCATATTTACATCGCAAATGTGAACTGTTTGATAAAATCTTCATTTAAATCCCTTCACAGGTTGCTTTGTCTGGAAGTTCATTCTCATTGCTACAGAGAGTCGGTGCCATAATGGTTAGCACACCCTTAAAATCTCGTTTTTACTTAAAATGCTGAAGCGTCAGTTTCCTTCTCATATTATTAATTTCATTCTGCAGCGAAATGGAGCAAAGCTGTTTGCTGTTGGCACTACTTCGTCTCTGGTAATTTTTCACATGCCTGCCGATTTCAAAACTTGAAGATAAAATTTTCTTTTATTTTTTAATAATATTTTGTAAAGTTTCTTTGGAAGTGGAACTGGACAAATAAGAATGTGAATGTGGTTTTAATCTTTAGGTTGGTACTCTTGTGACAAATGCATTGATCAATGCTCGCAAAGCTGTCGACCAGTCTGCAGCAGAAGAGGTTGAGAATGTCCCAGTGCTGTCTACTAGCGTCGCCTATGGTGTCTATATGGCAGTCTCCAGCAATCTTCGGTATGTGGGACCACATTTTGCATTTTTTTTATTGAACATATGATGGATAGGATACATTTCAATTTTCAACTTATAAAATATAAATGCATCAAATCTATTACTGACGTGTTTGTTTGGGAGTTTGGATTTTGAGTTGGAATTTAAATAGTAAAATTTTTGAATTAGAATAGTTGTATGATAAGATAACTTGATATTTTGAATGTAAAATTGATTTTTAGTATAATATAGGAAATAAAAAAAAATTAGGGTGTTTGACTCGATGTTTTTAGGAAATTCCATAAACGAACACACCCCGCATTTGTGTTGAAACTGTATTATAATTATTATTCCCAACAGATACCAATTATTGGCTGGTGTTGTCGAGCAACGTATACTAGAGCCAATGCTGCACCAACAGAAGTTACTTCTAAGTGCCCTCTGCTTCGCAGTGAGGACAGGCAACACTTATTTGGGCTCATTACTGTAAGTCTTGTTCCACTTAAATTTAACCCTTTTCATATATATATATATATATATATAGTTCCAAATCTGGTGTTATAACATACTCCTCCATTCACAGGTGGGTCGATTACGCGCGACTTATAGGGATTCAGAAAGCTCATGAAATTGAATCCGAGATAGTCAGCCATGACTCTAAGTGAAGGTAAGCCCCCTCCTCCGGCTTTCGAAATCGCAATTTGGGCACATGTAGTGTAGTTGTTTGCCTGTTAACAAGCTAGTTTCAGGGTTTTAAATAGTGTGTCCCCTTTGGTGCTTTGAAGTTGAGCAATAATTTATGGAGCTCAATAAGACTCAACTCAAGCTCTGCCTCTATGAATAAATATATTGGTAGAAGTAGAAGTATTTTGTAATTTAATTTCAATGAGAGGCAGCAGCAGAAGAAGAAGAAGAAGAAGAGGAAGAAGAGTGAGAGAGTATGTTTGTTGTTTTTTATTATTATTATTATTATTATTGCGTATTTGATGAGAGGTTTGTTGAGCTTTTTTGACATCGGTTCTTGTTCAAAGCAATCAATCGTTTTCGTACGGGTTTTTACACGAATTCAAATTAATTTCAGTTACTACATGCGAATTTGATGCTTGTAATTTAGAGTTTATTTTGGATAAAAATGTTGCTTTCTAATTATAGACATGGAATTGGGCTTAGTCTGTAATTGACCATACCCCATTGTTTAATGGGTTTAAGCGGGCTGACCCATTATGTGGCTTTTGTTTTTGTTTTTATTTGTTTTTTATGTCAAATTTGGTTTGAAGGAAGGAAATATTTGTATTTTTAATCCAAAATAAGCCTAAGATTTAATATGTTTGGTTTGGATTTTAAAATTTAAATTATTATTAGTCTGTTTATAGTATTTTTAATCAAAATGACCGAAAAGTCGTTTAGAAAATATAATTGTTTTGTTCTATCCATTTATTTTTTCACACATTTTTTCTAAAAAAAATTAGTATATTACATACATTTATTATTTTGTATTTTCTACACAATTAGTTATATTTCACTTCAATTTTTTCCTTTTTTTTTACAGTATTCTTTATATTTCATATAAAAAAAAAAAAAAAAAAATTCTTCTCAACAATCTCACTTCAATTTTTTCCTTTTTTTTTACAGTATTCTTTATATTTCATATAAAAAAAAAAAAAAAAATTCTTCTCAACAATCTCACAAAATATACCAAAACTCTTTATATTTCATATTAAAAAATAAATAAATAAAATTCTAACAATCTCACAAAATAAACACATCTTGACCTATTAGGATTGGTCAAAATTAGTAGTATCATTAAAATAAAACGGCTAGAAAGTTGATCAAAGTTCAAATTAGTAGTATCATTAAAATAAAACGGCTAGAAAGTTGAACAAAGTTCGGTGTGTGGAAGACTCAAATAGTTCACAATATATATTTAGAGAGCTTAATAAAAATATTGTAAGCTGAGTAAAAAATGTGTATATATATATATATATATATAAATATATATAATACATACACATACAAGCACTAGTCTTGAGCTTCCTAATCTATTTAAACACACACAATTGATACACCATTTTCGCAATCGCCAATCTAACGGCATCTTCAATGCAAAATTATAGAAACAAAATTGTCCATAACTAATTTAACTAAAACCAAAAAAAAAAGAATGAAAAATGAAAATAAATAAATATATGTAATATAACAGTGCACTAAATGAGTACGTCATCGTTCCGGCACTCCCTGTATTTAATCTTAGCCCTGTTGCCACTCAACCCAATCACGTCGCAGCATTCACTTCTCTCCACCTTTCAAATTACAACACCCAATCCAATAATTACTCTCAAATAAATCAAATCATTACTATTCTAATATACTACGGTGTCCATACCATAATCATCCACCATTTTTTATTTTATCTATCTCATCAAAATTCATATCTTTTTATTTTAGATAAAATTTTATAAATATAAATTTATTTAATTAACTACCTTAACATATAATATTAGGACTTACTCAAAAAAAAAAATTTATATTTTTATTCTCTCCTAAAAAATTAAATATCTTTATCTACATTTATGAGTTCAACTCTTATAAAAATTAGAGTAGGTTAATTATAAATAAATAAAAATATTTTTTATTAATTTATATTATAGAAAATTTATTTTTTATATAATTTTTAAAATATTTAAATACATAATCTAATTTTTTTAATTATATATTAAATTTATTTTAAAACTATTAATATTAACGAAGGGACTATGTATTTATAAATAATTACCTGATTTTTTCCTATATGTATATATATCTTTAAAATGAGTTATATATCTATATATATATATATATAAAGTGCAGTAGTCCGTACGTACCTCTTTTCGCTTATTCGCCGGCGAATAGACTCTGATTTTAGTCACAAAATCGGCGGAGTGATTCCCGAAGAAGGCGCACGCCGGCATTCCCCGCGGCGCCGACCGTGCGTAGTTGGTGTTGGTGACGTTGCTCTGCGGCGATTTCTCCACCGCCTGGAAGTAGAACACGTGCGGCGCCTCGCACGGGTCCTGCGACGGGAGGCGCGTGTTGAACATGTAGAACGGCGGCCCCGGCGCCGGCAGCCACTGCCGGAACGTCTCGATTGGGTACTGGAGAATGCTCCGCGGCATAATCCGCTCGTAGATGTGCACCGAGTATCCCCAGGAGATGGAGAACGTCCAGTTGTACTTGTGGTAGTAGCACACCGTCTGCTGCAGCATCCGCGGCTGATCCGCCTCCGCCGCCTTCATCAGGTGGCGCGTGGACTCGTAACGGTCCATGTTGGGGAAGATCGGATCCAGCATGTCGAAGTGGTGCAGAGAAATTAGAGGCGCGTTTGGATGTGAGGATAGGAATCCTGATAAGTCCCCGCGCAAATCGATCTGCCACAAACAAATTCAAATTTCAAGCGGTTAGTTAGTTAGTTACGCATCACGTGGACTGGATGGATGAAAATATCTGTTACTGTTCTTCCGTACCTGGTGAAATCCAGGATGCTCTGTTAGGCTGATTCCGAGATCGGCGATGCAGGACATCGCCGTCTGATCGGCGGCGATGAGATAACCGTATTTCAACAAGCAACGATCCATGTCCTTGGCCAAAGCCTTCGCCAGAGGATAACTCAGCACGAAGCTCGCTCCGCCGAAGCCTTGGGCGAAGGAGAAGAGGAAATTTGAGAGCACGAATTCCGATCGAGCGCCGAGGTAGTAGTACTTTGTGTGATCGTATTTGTTGAGAAGCTCGATCATGTTATCGAGGAATATGATCGAATCGTCGTCTCCCATCACCAGCCACCGTATGTCTTCATGCTCCGCGTTGAAAACCTCTCTGATTCCATTCGCGATCCTCTGCGGCGTCACGTCCGGTTTGTTGAGAAATTTCTTCAGATCGGCGGACACCTTGTACGGCGGAGAAGCCGGCGACCACGGCATTAGAGCTTCCGACGGCTTCGTGTCGAGGAAGAGGTATCCTCTCGTAGCGTTCGGCCTCCACCATGACTCGATGTAAACCTTCCTCTGATGCCAAGCTTTCTCCGATCCAACGATTCCAAACACCACATGCTTTAGCTGAGTCGGCGATCTCACCTCGACGGCGGCGGACGAACCGCCGCCTCCACCACCACCGCCATCTCCTTTCTTCTCTGAATCAACGACGCTTTTTTTATCTCTATCTACAGACAAATCAACACCAACACCAACATCAACATCGTTCCTTCCGGAAGATACACCAACACCATCCGCGGCAGTAATATTTTTGTCTATTTCAGAAACGACGCTTTTGTCGCCGTCGGAGGCAACAGCGACGTCCTTTTCATTCGTTGCAACCAAGGTAGGCTTCTGCCGGTCAATATTATCGTTAGCAATAGCCTCATCACCATTATCATTACCTGAAACCGACGTCGCCGGCCTGAGGAGCGGCGAAACGACGGCGTCCTGCGAGGGGCAACCGTAGCGATTGGAGGTGAGGAGGAGGAAGGTAAAGTAGAAGAGGACTCCGGTGAATAAAAGCGCTCTGCAAATAAAGCTGCCAGAAATCTCCATTGCAGCTTTCTGCTATTTTGGTGGAGGAAGATATGGGAAGAGGAAAACGAAGAATAAGACTTCTTCTTCTGTTATAAGGATGGACTGTTATTGTTTTGGATCAATGGCTTTTTTTGCATGTGCGCGTGAGTACCCTGACACGTGGCGCGTCATCACACGTCTACAAAAATAGTCGTATTTTGTACTCATGCATAAACAAATTCGATAAAGCGTGTTTTTGTTTTCTCGTTGGTTTAAAAACGCTACTGATCTTTGGTTCTGTTGTGTTGTGTTGTGGTTGGCTAATATCCAGAGCCTATCGGCCTGCAATGTATATTATAGGATATTTTATAGATATCGCTTTAAATTCGGTAACTATATATAAGGAGTATTTAACAGATGTATATTATATTTATAAATTTATAGTAGAATTTGAATATGTATTATATAATTTATTATATTTATAAAAAATAAAAATTATTGTATCTTAATTTTATTTTTTTATTTAACATATAATTTACTTTAAAATATTATATTTAATTTGTTTTATATCAGATATATAGAAACTTATTATATTAGAAAAATTGAATTATTTATTTATTTATTAAAAATGTGTATATATTATATTTTTTTAAAATAATATTAACAAAAAATGTGTTATAAAACTTTCCTAAATGAACCCACTCTAAATATTTTTATAAATTTTTAATTTATAGTATATATTTATAACTTTATTTTTATGATAATTGCATATATTTTTTAAATTATTATTCATTTTTATTAAAACTCTGTCCTATAAAATGAGCACACATTTGTGTGCGGAGGAGTATAACATTAATAATTGAATTTTATATTACTATTTCATAGCATCTTTATAGAAAAAATTAATAGTTTATCCAATTTGAAATTGATCATTTAATTTAATTTTCAAAATATATTTATAATTTTCTAAAAATATCTAGAATTTTACACATTATTTTTCATTAAGATTTCGATTGGTACTCTTTATATATATATATATATATACTATAATAAATAAATATATATATATATTTAATCTGATTTTTAAAAAAAAAAATTAAAAATTAAAAATAAAAATCAACCGAAAGCCCCATGAACAATCACACCCTAGGATTACACTAAAAGTTACTCATGGATCTACAAATAAAATACACCCTAAATTATATATCTGAAAGGAAAGATATATATAATCTTACATATAGTTGACGTTGTAATAGTCACGGCTCCCGCGGGCCGTCGGAGGCCTGAGCTCGCCGGAGATTCCAGTGAAGAATATCCCGGATGCTCCGGAGGAAATGGCCGGTGGAATCCATGCAGCATGCCGTCGGCACAGGCCATGCCGCCATGCTGCAAAGCAGCGAATCCCCCGGGGCCAGCTGCCGCCGGCTCTTGCCGTCAAACGACGCCCACGCATGGCCTCTGCTATCCGGCGGCACCACCACTCTAACCACCACGCCTTCCGGCAGCATAAGTTGCCGGAAAGACAGAGAGTGTGGGCAGATTGGCGTGAACAGGATTCCAGGCACCTGTAACACATAATTATACATACATACAAATATATAGTGCCGGAACAAGGTTTTGTTCTGATTGAAAAATCATATATTTTTATTATTTTAAGCAAAATTGATGGTAAAAAAATTTATTTTGAATATTTAATCAATATAAAAACATTAAATTAACAAGATTTGATCGAATTTGGACTAGTAGACATCTATATAATCAATAATATAATCATCGTAACGTCGAGAACGACGGCTTGGGACTCCCCGAGCCCCTATGTGGCTCCGCCACTATATATATGCAAAATAAAGGCAAAAGTGTGACAGGTTGAGCTGACAATACATACCTGGGGATGAACCATTGATCCTCCGGCAGAAAGAGAATATGCCGTGCTTCCGGAAGCTGTCGACAGAATAAGACCGTCGCCCTGCACGCGGGTGACGAAGGAGTTGTCACAGTAGCATTCGAGGTTTGTGAGGAACGGCGAGATTCCACGGTCAATTGTCACCTCGTTTAGAACCAGTATGGGACCTTCATTATCCGAGTCACTATTTTTGCGGATGATGTAGCATTGCAGTCGATGCCTTAGCATTATGGGAAATGGACCGTGTAGAATTGAATCAAGAACCTCCCGGAAGCCATCGCTGTCTGCGTGTTTGTTAAAGACCAACCAAACAAATGTTCGAAAAAAGAAACACCACCTTAAAAGAGTAATGATATTGTACAAGGATATGAAATGGAGTCATGAAACCGAGGGATCCGACAGAGATTGGGACCATGGGAGGAACGGGTCCTTTGAACATTGATGCAGCCTGCTACATTAACATTGTGATAAGAAGATTCAACGACGAATTAAGCATAAGAAAACTGGTCGAAGAAGGAGGATACATACCCAAAGGAGTGTTCCATCCCCACCCAGAGTCACAACAAGGTCAACCTTTGTGTGCATTAGCAGCATGTCCTTTTCTGCCAAAAATCACAATTGAAACTAATTTATGGAACCATATAATCGCGCATTGAAATAAACAAATCGAATAAATACATAAAACACTGAGTATGAATAAGCCTTAAACAGTTGAGGAAGAAACTGTTTAGTGGACAGTGGACACCATACATAAACTTTAACTAGTTTGCATATTGAACATTTGTAGAATTAGCAAATGTAATACGGTAGAGAATGCAGCTTACGGTCTTGCCAGGTTTGTAAAAAGCTGTAATACGATGATTCTGCGAGAAGTTCAGCCTTTACTATTGGCTCCACAAATATATTCAACTTCTTCTGCTCTTTCAGCCATCTAAGATGAATATCGATGAAACATGATTAACACAATGTCAAGTCCGATCAAATCTAGTTACTTAAGATATAACATTCACGTATTTTATAAAATCTAAGCTGTCAGAATTTCAAGAAGCTCCATTGTTTTGTTTGCGCAAGACAATAAGTGCATGATGGAAATGACTGGCTTGATTTTCAGACATCCTACCTGACAATTTCAAGACAGAGATTCTGGACGGAAATTGAATTTGGTTTTGCTAATACGAGCACAGTTTGTGGGGGAGAATCCCACTTCAAGGAAATCTGAACATTGGGAAAAAGAAAATAAAAACATAGGGAATTTGACACATAACAATTTGTTAATAGATTGAAACAAAATGGCATTGGAGTTGTTTTATACCTGTTTCCTGCAGCACTCGGCAGTTGTTATATTGCCGTTGTCAAAAGAGACAACATCATGTTTGGTGATCACCTTTTTCACCCTTACAGTATCATGTTAGATAATGACATCTATTTCCACAAACAAATACATATTTCTTATGGACTAACTAAAGATTTTGTGTATGTGAGTTGATAATCCAATTAAAAATAATCAAATATATTCTGAAAATAGCACTAAAGTGGAGTTTCAGAAAGCTACCAAATGATTGAGCATTTGAAGTACAAACATCCCTTAAGCACAGAGGACAAGTAACTATCTAGTTCTAGTTGATAAGTAACATTAATTAATTAATCAACTATGTTTTATTATTATGTTAGAAGCTTAGCATAAATTTCAAGCAGATTGTCTTTGCATGTTTTGAATTTTCTGTTTTCTAGTTTCTCTTATACAAAATCATTCATTTTTCTTTAAGCGGAACTTTGATGTGATAGATGCTCTCATGGTCACAACTATGCAAACATGACAGAATTGAATTCCAGGGTTCAGTGGCATTGCTTCATCATCATATTACTTTGGATATATGAAGAAGCAGAATCAAGTTTAAAATCATGAAGAACCTTGTAAGCACATATGCCATCTTCTCCACTGCAAAACTCAAAGTGCTTTCTGTTTTTTTCGGGCAGTAAACTCTGGTCTTCCGAGCCTCGAGTACTCTCAATGTTTGACTTGCTAAAATGCCCTCCTGGTGACAACACATTTCATTCAACAAGGAATCCTTTGCACTGATTAAAAACCTATATTGCAAACAGGAATGCAGAGTCCAAGAAAGGAAGCAAGTAAACAACTATATACACACAAAAAAATGAATAAAATAAACATGTGTTGGCTAATAGTTTTCAGCTTCTAGGATACACTTACCATTTCATGAAATACAGAAATTCGCAAGAAAAACACCTTTTTTGCAATCCAATGCATTAAATTTTTGGAAAGAAGTGGAGGTAATGGAAATATTCCCAAGAAATACATGTAAAAATATGTTCAAGTGAATGACATCTAGCAAAGCTAAAACTAATTCCAGGTCTGCCTACATTTGACTAAATGCAGAAGTCTTGTAAAGTGCTAATGTAAGCTCAAAATACAAGAGGCTAATATTCTTAAGATTACATGAGCAGGTTTCTACACTTGGAAAGAAGGGTCAACACCAAAATTCTCAATCAACATATATAGAAAATTATTAATAGCAATAAAATAAATAAGCTGCCGCATGTACACACGATATAAAAGTTTGTGTTTTAAATGGTTCACCTTTCTGCTCCAAATATAAATTTCGTGCTCTCTCAGTTTCATATTTATGCTTCCACTGAACAGCCTCAGCTTGCGCAGCAGCTTTCTCTTCAGCCACCCTTTTTAATGCCTTTGAAACATCTGTAATTTCATCAAAATTTAGAAGTTGTTTGTGCAGAAAACTCGGATTAGAAGTAAGTCAGATCTTATAAAGGCTCACTCATCAAAGCCTCGGAAAATTCGATGGAAGGATCGTTAGTTCCCTGGAGCAGAGGCTGCTGGATAATTTCCTGGACAGCTTTTTCAGAGTCTGGCATGGAGAGTGAGTCAGTTAATGCCGCAATCCAATCCCTGCTAAGAAGTTTCATAATAGTCTTCAGATCATGGCATTTACTACTGTAATATTTATTCCTTGTATGTTTTTTGTACAGAAAACAAAAGCCATAATGTATTTTTATTATTTGGTTATCTCATTAAAGCTATCAAGAGAAAAAGAAATTAAATTTGCCACTGATAAGTCAAGTGAAGTATGTAAATCACACATAACTAAATCGCAAAAGATTTTTTTCCAACACATAAAGTATTTTAGACATCCAGTCTTTCCAAAACCCATTTACATTCCCGCTGATATAGTTTAGAAATATATTAGTCTTCATATTTTTCCTTTGAATTGGAAAAAGTAAAAAGCCTAGGCGTGTGCATGGTAACCAACCTAATCATATTACATGAGGTTCATCAGGTTATTTATGATATGGCAACTAAAAAAAACAGTGATTTAATAAGTAATTGGATCAAGGATGTAACCATAGGCATTTTATTACCAGACCATGCAAGAGAAGATCGCTACAGGTTATGCATTATACCAAAGAGTGAGAGATTGCAGCTTTCCAAAAACATACCACCTCTCAACACTGTAATTATTGTTCAACAATAAAAATGATTTTTGCCATTCCCATAAGATTCTAGTTGAGAGAGCCTTGCAATATATGCAACCAAAAGCTGTGCGAGATAGTCAGGATACTGCTGAGAATAATTTCTTTGGATTTTAAAAAAAAAGGTGCAAGGTTTCACATACAAATCAATATATTGTAATAGAAAAAGAAACAAGTCTTCTCTATCTTGTGATTCAGCATGTGACGTACCATATAATCATTGCACCATATTTATCCATTTTTTGAGCTAATGTGTTTCATGTATTCTGGTAATCCAAGAATGGGGCGTGTACACAGCAACTTACTTCTTATCCATCATCATTCACTTTACTACAATCACAACAATTCTAGTGAGGGGCATCCAGACATCTACACCAAGCTTACTTCTTTCCTAGAAACATAATGAAGTTCTAAAACTAACTGTGATCAGGATTTCAGATTTATTTTTCTTTCTTTCTTTCTTTCTTTTATAACCTTCAGCATATTTAAACAGAATTATAAATGAAATCAAGAAGAAACAACCTACTTACATTCCCAACAACTATTACTCGTATGTAATTTTACATTCATTATGCAGCCATTAGTACACATCAAAGCAGTAAAATCCAAACGTATGTTGTATTTAAAAAAGTGAAGAATAAAATCCTATAATTCTGTCAATTAAACTCGTCTTCCTCCAGATAAGAAACAAGAAACGATTCAGTAGAAAATAATCAGAGTTATTCTTCCACAAACTGAAGAAATCGATACAGTAATCCATGCAAGAATAATATATATATATATATGTAAGAACTCACATCATATACAAAAAACAACTGAAGCAATCATGGCGTTGCCAATGCAACAACGAACGTATCCGCACATATATACACAGAGTCGATCATCAACTACAGTGAGTGAGTTGAATGCATCGGAAATGACGGTAAAGCGGTAAGAATGGAAGGTAAGGGACCACCGGAGGCGCGTCGGACGCACGGTCGACTGACGGAAGAGATTCGATGCCGAAGTGGAAGAGTGCAGAATGATTTTGACCTGCCTATTGCCCGTTGTACCGCCGCCCTACTGAAATCGCATTTTAGAAAACTGCGACTTTTCTTAACGACTTATAAATCACAGTTAATATCGCATTGTGGAAATTTCGTAGGCACGTCATTAAGGCAAAAAATTAAAATTAAAAACGCGACTTTTTCAGGGGTGCAAAGAAATCGTGTTATCAATTTTGCCTCGTAGGACGGCTTTATAGCGTACGCATTTATTAAAGTGTGTAACAGGCAATATGAATTTGATAGAATTTTATTAGTAATAAATTTATTTTTTTAAAAAAATATATTACATTAAATATTTATATTTATATTTTATTAAAAATTAGTTTTATATTCAAAATATTATATTAATATTTATTTATATCATATTTATTATTCCAATTTAATTTTTAACGATTCAAAATTCAAATACAAAATTTAAATTATGTATATTAATTTGTGTTATAACTGATTTTTAATATTTTGATATAAATTATATTCGATATGGAGTCATTTTATTATTTTTTTAGCATTCTGTCGTTTATAAGTTGAATCTTGAAACCCTTTATTTATTTTATTCCAAAAGAAGCAATTCTTTTTTGGATGAAATTCCAAATGAATGATTCTTAAACGGGTAAAATAGGATCGGATTCTTATCCGTATCATTGTTTGGGTTAGCAATTGTATTTTAAGTTGAAATATAATCCAAGGTATATAGGTTGCAAAAGTTTCATAATCTCCATTCAAAATATTTTTTTATTATTATTATTTTTATGGTTAGACTAAAAAATTAAAATATTTATGAATTAATAATAAAATATCTTTAACTATTTAAATTCTAATAATATTACTCCCTCAGTTATAATACAATAGTCTTTTTTATTATTTTTGTCCATATCGAAACAATAGTCTCATTTTCATAAATAATTATATCACTATAAAATTACCATTACTTTTTTTTCATTATTATTACACAATTGTCACTGTTTTTTACACTAATACATTCACAATAACAATAAAATCTTTTATTCATACTTTGTATCCACTACCAATATAATATCAATATTTCTTAAATTTCGTGTCAAACGCAACTCAAACTATAGTTTTTGGACGGAGGGAGTATTACATATAGTTAATTCATACATAGAGTTAAAAAAAAAAGGTGTTTAAGAAATAATAGTAATATTTTAATTATAATGCGCAGTTAAAAGTAGTGTAATGATATTTTTTACCTTGATTTTTGGTGTAAAAATAATGATGTGATATAAAGTAAAGGTATTTATAGAAAAAAATAAAGTATTTAATAAAATATTTACTTTGTAATTGAACGCCTCAAAATATATACTTGGGATGAAATATTATTATTTCTCAATCTTAATTTGCTACATATAATTTTCATTTAATATAATTTCTTTTGCCGAACTTAATTTATAAACTATTAGTTAATGTAATAAAAATGCAACACATAACTGACCTATTATATTGCATAGTCCTACAAACATATGATATAATATAGAGACGCACAAAAAGAATGATGCTACTATTTTATTACATTTATTTTAATAAATAATAATTAATTTGATACTATTTTTTATTAATTATTTAATAATTTTTTCATAATACTTAATTATTATTATTTTTTTTTTACATAATTCACTTTTACAGTAAAATACTTTATCAGTCCATCAAAATTAGCGTAATTATTTATTTTGGTAGTCCGTTAAATTTGATAGATAATATATTTATAGTCAATAATTTTATATACTCATAATATTATTACACTTATTTTAAAGAATTATAACTACTTTATCATTTTTTTTTATTTATTTACTCCACTATTTTTTGATCAATTCTTCGATACAATTCTTATAATACTTCATTATATTTTTTACATATAACACTTTAACATTTAAATTTGCTTTATATTTTAGTTTATGTGTCTAATTAAATCTACATAATTCTACTGAACAGAGAAAATATTATTATTTTTTATTATTCGTATTCGAACAAAGTTGTATAAAAAACCTAGAATAAGGGCAGAACGAGAGAATACAAAAGTAGCAATATATACTACATTTGATTTGATTTTAGTAACACATCTATTAATATATCAATACAATACATTTATACATTTTCATTTGACACAAATTGTAGTACATTTATATTTTCATTTTCATTTAACACTTATTCTTTATATTTTTAAGGGAAAAAATCAATTTTGGTCCAATATAATCAAAATTAATCAATTTTGGTCCAAATATAAAATATTTATCAATTTTGGTCCAAATATAACCAAAATTTATCAATTTTGGTCCCAATATAAAAAAACTCATCAATTTTGGTCTCAATATAAACAATTTCAATCAATTTTGGTCCTATTATAAACAATTTTTATCAATTTTGGTCCCACTGTTAAAAAACTAACGGAAATTGCTTACGTGGATATGACGGAGGTGACGTGGCAGTTGACCTAAAAAGTACACGGCTATGTACAATTATACACGACCATGTTGTTACATGACCATGTATATTTCAGTGTATAATTATATATGGTCATGTTGTTACAAGACCATGTACAATTATACACGGCCATGTTGTTACAGGGTCATGTATATTTCAGTGTATAATTATACATAGCCACGTTGTTACACGGCCATGTACAATTATACATAGCCATGTTGTTACAGGACCATGTATATTTCAGTGTATAATTATACATGGTCATGTTGTTACACAACCATGTACAATTATATACGGCCATGTTGTTACATGACCATGTATATTTCAGTGTATAATTATACACGACCATGTTGTTACACGGCCATGTATAATTCTACACGGCCGTGTATCTTTCTGTTTCGGTCTAAAATTTTAATTTTTTGTTATATTTTCATTTTTTTTAATTTAGAATAGTTGATATAGTTAAAATGAAAAAAAAAATAATAATTATAATATAATTAAAATATATCAATTTTAGTTCAAATATAAGTATTTATCGCGTATGTTCTTTTGGAAGATTTTGTCTAAAATTCTACTATTTAGCAAAAAAATTTCTCTTACAAACATCCAATTAATTAATTGAAATTTTTTGCAATGTATAATTTTTGCCATGTATAATTAGGGGTGTCAATTCGTATTTTTAGGTCGTGTTCGTGTCGGGTTGAGCCATGAGGAAAACAAAAAAACTGTCAACCCGAACTCGAAATCTGACCTGAAACCCTAGACCCGAACACGACACGAATTTTTTCAGGTCGGGTTCAGGTTGACCTGAATTAGTTTCAGGTCACCCGAAACCCGAACAAACCCGATACGAACCCGACACGAAACATGCCCGAAAATTTTTAAAAAATTAAATTGACCTAAAAAATATAATTTTTATTTTTATTTTTATATTAGTTTATATTTAAAATAATATAAATATTATAAATTAAAATAATAATAATAAAAATTTCAGGTCAACCTGAAACACGAAACCCAAAACCTAACCTGATTTTGATATTTCAGGTTATCAGGTCAACCCGAAACACGACCCGAACACGACACGAATTTTTTTCGTTTCAGGTTCGGGTCGACCTGATTTTTTTCAAACCCGAAATACCCAAACCTAAACCTGAAAAATTTCAGGTAGAACGGGTTCGGTTTTTCGGGTCGGGTTTACTTTTGACACCCCTATGTATAAGGTATTAAAATAGTACTGAAATATACATGGTCATGTAACAACATGACCGTGTATAATTGTACATGGTCGTGTACTTTTCAGGTCAACTGCCACGTCATCTCCGTCATGTCCACGTCAGCAATTTCCATTAGGTTTTTAACGGTGAGACCAAAATTGATAAAAATTATTTATAATTAGACCAAAATTGATTGAAATTGTTTATATTATAACTAAAATTGATGAGTTTTTTATATTGGGACCAAAATTGATAAATTTTGGTTATATTGAGACCAAAATTGATGAATATTTTATATTGAGACCAAAATTGATTAATTTTGATTATATTGGGACCAAAATTGATTTTTTCCCAAATTAAAATTTTAGACCGAAACAGAAAGATACACGGCCGTGTAGAACTATACATAGCCGTGTAACAACATGGTCATGTATAATTATACACTGAAATATACATGGTCATGTAACAACATGGCCGTGTATAATTGTACATTGCCGTGTAACAACATGACCATGTATAATTATACACTGAAATATACATGCCCCTGTAACAACATGGTCGTGTATAATTGTACATGACCGTAACAACATGGCCATGTATAATTATACACTGAAATATACACGGCCCTGTAACAACATGACCGTGTAACAACATGGTCATGTATAATTATACACTGAAATATACATGACCCTGTAACAATATGACCGTGTATAATTGTACATGGTCGTATAACAACATGGTCATATATAATTATACACTGAAATATACATGACCCTGTAACAATATGGCCGTGTATAATTGTACATGGTCGTGTAACAACATGGCCATATATAATTATACACTGAAATATACATGGCCATGGCCGTGTACTTTCCAGGTCAACTGCCACGTCACCTCCGTCATGTCCACGTCAGCAATTTCCGTTAGTTTTTAACGGTGGGACCAAAATTGATAAAATTTGTTTATAATGGTACCAAAATTGATTGAAATTGTTTATATTTGGACCAAAATTGATGAGCTTTTTATATTGAGACCAAATTGATGAATTTTTTATATTGGAACCAAAACTAATTAATTTTGATTATATTGGGACCAAAATTGATTTTTTTCCTATTTTTAAATAGGTGAAAAAAAAAAGATTAATTTTATTACATATTCATATTAAAGTGTGTCTAAAGATTAGGACATAAGTTTAACTCCTAAAAAGTGCTCCATCAATTATATATATTAAATTTATTTTAAATTTATTAATATTATTAATTATATAAAAATAATAAAATAATTTTATAATTTACTTAAATATTAATTTTATATAGAAAGGTGCCAATTAAGTCCATTTGGGCCAATGGAGTACAACATAATGTTAGTGTTGGAATTGAAAAGTTGGGCCATAGCCCAATCCAAAATGGGCTTTTGAGTCCACTAAAAATCTCCACCTATCCACTCTGCGATATTTATACTACAGATTCCTCGCCGGTGCGACGGCGGCGATGCGAAGCCACTGCAATGGAAGATGACAATGCAGTCCCGCCAGCCACCGCCCCCGCTACCACCAGCGGCGAGGGTGTCAGATGTAAAGCCACCAAGACCAATTGCACCCAATCCCTGCCAAATCGTGGAAATGGAATCAAGGAAGAGAGGGACACCGCCGCATCAGAAGAGTTCTCCTCCGACGGAACCTCCGTCTACGGAACACCACTCGGTACGGAAAACGACCATGAATTTCCAATGGATCCTCACGATTCACCGAAATTAGCACTTGAAACAGACGGAGACGAGGAAGAAGGCGAACGTCCCCATGCGAAGAAGCAGAAGCAGCTCGCGGAATTGGCGGCGCAAACTGGACACAACGAACCTGAAGTAAACGAATTGACCTCCCCTGCCGAGAAATCCACAGCTCCGTCGCGTAACGGGAAGCCGCCGCCGGTGAAATCTGCGAAGAAAACAAAGAAGAAGAGCAAGGACGTCTGGACGACGTCATCAAGGAAGGGGAAGAAAAAGACGAAGCACGCTTCAGCCTCCAACACTACGGCCGACGCCGTTGCAGAAGACAAAGTGTTCATTACTCCAATCCCCAGGTTTCCGGACAAGAACGACGACAGTCCGGACTTGAAAATCTGTCTCTCGAAGGCGTACAAGGCGGAGAAGGTCGAACTGAGCGACGACAGATTAAGCGCCGGCAGTACGAAGGGTTACAGAATGGTGAGAGCTACACGGGGAGTCACTGAAGGAGCTTGGTACTTCGAGATCAAATTGGTTCATTTGGGGGAGACGGGGCACACGAGGTTGGGATGGTCGACCGATAAGGGAGACTTACAGGCGCCGGTAGGATACGATGGAAACAGCTTCGGATACAGGGATATAGATGGGAGTAAAGTGCACAAGGCATTGAGGGAGAACTATGGGGAGGAAGGGTTCAATGAAGGTGATGTTCTAGGGTTCTACATTAGCTTGCCTGATGGAGGGGCTTATGCTCCCAAGCCGCCGAGGTTGGTTTGGTACAAAGGGCAGCGATATGTTTGTGCTCCTGATGCTAAGGAAGATCCCCCAAAAGTTGTACCTGGTGAGTAATTGTCTGTAATTTTCTGCAGTATATGTTGCTGGGATGAATTATGAATGTGAATGTTCTATTTTCTTGTCTCCATAGTTGCTAGAGGTCATATGCAAATTTCAGTAGTACTTGATTGTGCATAAATTTAGGCATTGAAGGATTTTTGTGTGTTATTTGCTTACTATGCTTGATGGTAATGGAGCATATTATGTAATTCAGCTTGACTTTTGCATGCTGCTTAGACATGGCTGGGTTTGTTTGTATGCCTTTGCTGGAATATATGGATAAATAACTTAACAGGGAGCTTTATTGGAATCATTGATCATTATTAATCTTTGATGATGTCTAGCATGTTTGAATTATGATTAATGTACTCCATGTATGTTGAAAATCAAACCAAGCTACAGATTTGAGGGATTTTGTTCAATGTTGTGCAATCAATAAAAGAAGTATCCAAAATTGAGCATATTGTTAGAGTATTTGATGGTTGAATGTTTTGATAAAGATTTAAACTAGCCTAGCATATACATCTTCTTCTCAACCTGGTTAGTTTACACCACTAGTGATCCATAGAACAAAGTTGTTGCTGCATTTTTCTAGGATTTGAAGTACAGAACTAGAACCACTTCCCCAGCTTTGTTTTTGTCTCGAATGTGCTTGATCTTGGATGATAATGGCCCTTTTGCTTCTACATTTTTTTATAATTTAAGAAAACTGTAGCTAACAATTTGCAGCTATGTGATATATGTTTAGTGTTTGAATGGTTTAATAAAGTTCAAACATGTTCTTTGTTGTACGCTTTCTATTGTGTTAGGAGACCTACGGATTACAATGTGTATGAAATGTTGCTTATGGTTTGCAGGAAGCGAGATATCCTTTTTCAAGAATGGAATATGTCAGGGGGTTGCTTTTAAAGATCTTTATAGCGGCCGTTATTACCCTGCTGCTTCAATGTACACTCTTCCAAATCAACCAAATTGTGTTGTTAAGTTCAATTTCGGTCCTGATTTTGATGCATATCCCGATGACTTTGGTGGGCGGCCCATCCCAAGCCCTATGGTTGAAGTTCCATATCAAGGTTACGATGGCAGAGTTGAGAATGGTGTGTCCAATGAGATGAACAAGTAGCTACGAATTTGTTCTTGCACTTATTATCTTGTGGTTGTAATTCTGTTTCTTCAGACTGATATATAAACAGTCGCCTAGTTGTCAACTTAAGCTTCAACTTTGGGTTCCTCTTACCTTTCCCATTGAGATAGTTGTGGATGAGGATTTTAGCTCTAGATCAGCAAAAAAAAACAAAGTTGCTTTTTAACCATCAAGACAATGGAGGCAATGTCTTTGTTGAGTTAGATTAATTTGTTTTCAAGTTAGAGCACTGATTCTTTGATTTAAAGTCAAGTTTAATCATTCTTGTGAGCCAAATGACTCGGTGTTAATGCCCTGCTATTGACATATTTGTGGATCCCTTCCTATTGTTTAAGGATGTATTAGTTCCAAAATTTTCTACATTTTATTGCTGAATTCGGAAAGGGGAGGGGATGCTTCTCTTGATAGAAACTTTTCGTTGTGATGACAGGTAACCCATGGAACATCGCCCGCATGTGCCCTATGTTCAAAGTGGTGAACAAGGATGTTAGTAAAATTATGAATGCGGCCGAAATGGTTGACTAAGCTTGAGAAAAGCTCCCAGTAAGTAATGTTTAAATTGCAAAACTACTTGCTTCTCTTGTGCATTGTTAAATATTTGTTTAGGCCCTAACATATGTAAATAGCTATCTTAGGTGGTTTCTTGTATTTGGAATCATCATTGCATGTTGTAGCATTCATATTAGGAATAGTTGGAGTATCAAAAATGAGGTTTTAAATCATGTGTCAAGTTTAATATCCATCCACCAATGTTCATAAATAAAAGATGGTTTATAAGTTGAGGATTATGTAGGAAATGGCTTGAGCTCAACACAACCATCACTAATGTTTAATAGTATTTTGTGTTGAATGTTTCACATGCTGTTGAAGGAATGCATGTTTCTGAATTTGAGCTCATTAGTTGATGAAAAAAATTGCATCTTGGGTCATAATTCCATATTGTTATATTGGTTTTGATGGGGGCCAAATCCAACAAGTTGTGGATAACTTACATTTTTGGGTTAGATTTATTGGATTTTGGGTCCTTGTTTTGTATTTTTTATTTTATAGTATTGGTAACAACATTTGCATTTGTTTAGTATTTAAATTTTTTAAGTTTTTTATTGATAGTTATTGAGAATTGCGAAAGTGATGTTAAAATATTTGTTTTTGTTCTTTTTTTAGATATTTCATGAGAAAAAATAATCAATTTTTCTGTATATTGAGAATGGTAAAAATTGAAGGCAAATACATGATATTCAAAATTTGACTTTAGAACTGCTCAAGTTTATTTTGTATTGATTAAGGGGTCTAAAATGTAAATTATTGAATGTCTTAATTGATTTCACAATAAATCTTTGTAGAACAAATTTCTAAAATTTTCATGTCTTTAATTAAGTGAGGTGAGTGCAACCACACAGCCACACATGCATTCAATATGTTTATTTACCTATCTTTTTTTAATCGATAAAGTGGTTTAAAGTAGTTGCTATAACATACATGAAAGTTTTCGTAATATATATTTTGCCCTCACACAATTATAATATACTTTGGTAGATTTCTCACATGGAAAATTTTACATTATATACATTGTGTGAAGATAGATTAAATTATAATCATGCGGAATTTGATGAATTTATTCTTTTTTATATTAGGTATGACAAATTGTATCGATAATTTTAAAAGATAATATTTTTTATTGAATTATTGATTTTTAGTGAGTAGATAAAGTGTATATTATATATATTGTATTCACGTATATATATATTTTTTCTTTTTATAATATTTACATAGAATTGTGTCACCCAAAGACACAAAGTGAAATTTAAAATTAAATACTAATATACAAAAATAAACAAATAAGGTCTTTGTGTTTGTAGGTGTAGGTTTTGTAGCTATAATAGGTGTAGATTTGGGTTTTGTATATCAAATATGTTTGGATTTTGGAAGATCTTTAAAATTTTAAATAAGATAATGAGATGATGTTTGCTCAAGTATTAGCATATGATGTACTAATATGTTTTATTTATATATGTGTTAAAAAGTATTTTAAAGTTTGTAACTTAATAAAATATACTCAAGTTTTTGTAGATGTCTATATATTGTTTTCACAATACCAATGTTGTTGAATAAATTAGTTTATGATCAAAATATTCATTTATTCATATATTGCCCATACTTATGTAATATACTCAATAAAGTATATGAAATGCTGACTTCGAGTATAAAAATATGCTGAAATTTTATTACCACTTGATTCCTTCACCGCGTAAAAGGGGTAGATTATCTAAAGTAATTTTTAGTAGAATTTCACACTATAGTTCGGCAATTGGTGCTACATTATGCTCCTCTGTCCCACTCCAAATGGACTATTTGGAATTTTTTAGTGATTTATAAATTTTTTTTTATATTTTTGCCTTTTTTCTTTATGTATAATTTAATTGTATGTGTAATGGTATATTTGTAATTTAGGTAAAAGTTAAAAGTATTTTGGTATTAATGTAGGATTACTTTTACTAAAATAAAAAATAAATACTTTTAAGTGAGGCGAACGAAAATAGTAAAAAATATGCTTTGAGTTGGGACGGATAAATAGTATTTTGCTACCCATTTTTGGATTGGGGAATCTTGTTAGGTTTGCTTAAAGTATACATAAAACACACTTAAGCTTTAACATAATACCTTTGATATAATCCTAATAATTTGATGGACACATGAGCAATTAAGTCAATTTATATGTTTTTGTGAGATATTCTATAGCTTAATTGAGCTTCAATTTGCATCATACTTTCTCTATTTAGTTGTTCATTTTGCCATTAGGGAAGAACAAGAACATAAAGATTTCGTTAATAAGTTAGTAAATGGTTTGCATTCTTATGTTGGTTCGATCCTCCGGGTTTATTTTGTCTTTACTGAATCTTGATGAACTTAGTGAAATGAAAAATGAAATTAGTTTTGCGGTGCCCTATTGGAAATAGAAGATTTAATAGTCGAGCCTTGTTACAAACGATTCGTATTTAGGACATAAGTCCATTAGAAATTCGATATTTAGGGGCTATAAGTTCGTGCACAAAAAAATAAAATAAAATAAAAAAATCGTAGTTCCTTTAAGAGAGTATGATGGAGACATGGAGTTGAATGTGGTGAATTCATTATCATTCATCCCTGTATAATTAGGATTAAGTAAGATTTATTTGTCATTTGTTTTTACTTAATATAATATTTAAAAAAAAAATTATTGATGAATTGTGGTCGGGGGCTGTGAATTCATCCCATACCACCATGTCATCCTTTATATATAAAATTATAATTTATATATATATATATGATGATGAGGAAGTGTCTCAATTAGTTGAGACTAATATATTTTTTCAAGCCTTCGATAAAAATATACAAAACATCATATTAAAAAACAAACGAAGATATTTGATCCCAAGAAAGCACACCTTTATGCAACATAAACAGATAGGCAACATCATGTTTGTTAATACAACAACTCTTAATAATCTTTACATGCCAATAGGTTCAATCTATTACGGTATCGAAGAGTCGAGGCCTTCTTGAGAAGATAATGAATGGTACCTCTTCGAAGACGAAAAGGATGTCCTCATCTTAAACGAAGGTCGTTTCTTGAACTGATCCAATACTCTCTCGGCGTAAATCGACTGAAAGAAGTGCATGATTCTTTCCTTTACCTTGAGAACAATTAGGAAGACAAGTCTATAGCACAAAATAAGGATGTACACCGCGAGCAAATCTAGCCATTTCGAGTGGTCTAGAGATATCCCGAACATTTTTCTTATGACATCCTCGCCTTTAATTTTAGGATCACCGGGTACTAGAGGGTCGAACACTAGTCCAAGCATGTCATTCTTGTACGATCCCTATACGATGTCATAATTTATTTATTTATACATTATGAAGTCAACCAACATATACCATATTATATGATCATCTAGCCTAAAAGTTTTATTAGGGTCATTTAACATGATATCAGAGTCGAAATGTTCGTTATTCGAGTTCTATTGCACCCATTTGTCATCATTCACGTACAAGATCCATAAGTAGCCCATAATATATTAGTAAATAAATGATGTACATAAATTCAAGTTTTTAGGTGAGATGGTCATTTAAAAAAAATAATAATTAGGTAACTTGTCAATATAAACGGGGAATAAGTACCTGCAATGACCACGCCCCATAGCCAATGTATGATATCGGGTAGCGCCAAAACGGCTTAGGAAGATCGGGGAGTAATCGGAAGAAGCCCGAAGTCATCATCATGATTCCCTACCAGTAGTTTAAGGTTAATAAAGGGTTCATTTATACGAGGATGTTCGTATACGTATAGACATTCGTATATGTAGTTGTTGTATGTATTACTCACAAGAACTCCGGCCCCGGATACGATCCCCATCAAGAAGTTGGGAACTAGTGAAGCCACAATCATCATAACACTCTCTACCATTGCTATGCTTCCGAAAATATTAAGACAATAGAAGACATATCGCGAAAACTCCGCCTTAAAAACCATGTAGAATGTAATAGTCCCCGTGATGACCGACACCGCGACCAAGAATGGAAAGGACGATAGGAAATTCGATAGGATGAACACCGCCACACCGTAGTATCCATTGAGCCTTTCTCGACTAAATACCTATTTGGCGAAGATCATTTTCAAATTCTATAATGTAAAGAAAAACGTAATCTTTATAGTAATTTCTTACCTTCATTTCCTCGATGAAGGATGGAAATCCTCCGATCGACATAAAAGTCATGAATCCCGTCACAAATCCACCACAAGCTCCCCGAGCAAAGATAGCCGTGTAACCGGTCCCAACGTCGTAAAACAAAGTCCCAACGCATATCGCCACGATAATATATATAATTATCCGCGACCAATAATACCCGATGTCTCGAGACATATTCAAGAACGATCGTTGTGTCAATGTCGAAAGTTGCTTCCACCATCTTGCTTGGCTGCCTTTAATTGTTTCGATTTCAAGCCCTTCCAGCTGCTACATATTCGCAAGCTTATCAATCGGAGAATGTTAAAAGTTATAATGTTCTTCGAAAAAAATGTTTCGAGTTCCTTACAATGGTAGAGTTCTCTCGAATCTTCAGCCTCGCCTTTCGAGCATACTCTGAGCGCTTATACTTCTCGACAAGCACTGATTTAATCTCTGCTGTCGCAACGTTCATTAGAGGATCTGTCGTGATATTAGTTTCCTGTCATAGAAAATATCGAAAACAACCTTTTTTTTAGTGTGTCTACCAGTTAGAAATAAAGTTTAACACTATACATACTCGATGTCGCTGTGAACCTCTCAGTGTGGCTGTCACAACGTCGAAATCTGAGTTAATGCACCGGAGAAAATGATCCGAAGGATTTCTTCGACTCGGGCAGGGAAATCCTGCTTCGGCGAAGAACTAAAAGAGAAAAATAAAACTAGAGTGAAACCTCTCGTGATATAACAAGACAACTAATAAATACTCCCTTCGTCATTTAAAATTATGTTCATTTAACCTGGCACACGGTAGAAAAATGGGTAAAAATAGAAAAATATTTCTTTTATGGTAAAAGAGAAAAGTAAAAAATATAAAATAAAAAATAATACTACCACCGATATCAAAATGTGCACACATTTTAAAGAAAAGTAGGTAAAAATAAAAATATTTTCTTTTTAGCATTTTGGATGATACGGAGTATTTTTCTACTAAAAAAAACGAAAATAAATTTGAATGACAATCAAAAAAAGAAAAAATGATAATAAATTTAAATGACATAAAGTATTTTTCTACTAAAAAATGAAACTAGTATTAATTTGAACGACAACAAAAAAAAAATGTGAGGAAATTTGAATGATAGAAAGAGTACTTAAGAAACACCATAGCTAAGCTAGCTACCTTAATTGCCATTTTTGCTTCTCCGAGATAAATGGTTTCGCCTCCGGACAACAAACAAAGGTCGTCAAAAAGGGCGAAAACTTCACTACTAGGTTGATGTATGGATGAGACGACAGTCCTTCCATCGCGGGCAAGATTCCTAATAGTTTGGATGATGAAGAAGGACGCGGCGCTATCGAGCCCGGTAGTAGGTTCATCAAGAAAAAGTATACGTGGCCTTACAAGGATCTCGAGGGCTATGCTGAGACGTTTCTTTTCTCCACCACTTATGCCTCTCGACTGCCAATTCCCGACTCGACGGTCTGCGCAATCTTGAAGCCCGACTTCCATGATTGTTCCCTCTATGATGTCCTTAACTTCATGTTTGGTCATGTATGTAGGAAGCCGTAAATGAGCTGAGAATGTTAAGGTTTCTCGGACCGTAAGTGTTCCTAACAAGACATCTTCTTGTGTGACATATGCCTGAATAATGAATGAATGAGGGAATGAATTCGAGATGTAGTTAAAGTATATTTATGAAAAGGTTAGCGTAAGGTACTTACTACAACACCGTGGTCGAGCCTTTGCTTCTTCTTTCCGTTGAGAAGAATATCCCCGGTCATGACAACATTTCTCGCTAATCTACCTGTGTCAAAAGTTCGAAATTGTTAAATAATCATCTCAGCTAAAAGCTGATAGGGAAATTGACTTGAACACAAACCTCCTATTCTACTACCATGTTAAATGACCGAAAAATACATATAAGACAACACATTCTTTCGATGTTGTACCCATAATGATGCCCCTACCTTTCACAAATTCCATCTCACTTAAGATTTGTTTACTTGTGATTTTTTAAAATAAATAAATTATTTGAATAGTGAGTTAAAGAGGGCTCAACCCTTGGATGAATTTAATAGCCTTAAAATAGGCAAATGACACTAGGCTCACACGGTCGAAAATTTGAACCTATAATCTTATGGTCATAAGTTATTCTACACCACCAAACAATAGTAGTTTCTCTTTCTTGTATAAAAAACCGCTCGAGCTATTTTGCCTTGGTTCCTTAGAGGTTTTAGTCGCAACAAAATATTTTCTTGGTGAAATAAAGAATTTTAAACAATAAATAAAATATGTGTAATATATAATTAATTACAACTTGGGCATTGTAGGTAGTGAATTAATTGCTTAATAAATACACATCACGGCTGCCCTATAGATTTTGTTTGATTGAGCCAAAAATCTCTCAACTCGATGCAATATTGTACTTATTACTAATTAATAAATCAGGATAGTTGACATGAAAGCCAATATTTATTACTCCTCCATTCATTTTCAATTATAATGAAAACAATTATATAAGAATATTAAAATATTATTAATTTATATAAATATTTATCTATTTTGTATTTAAAGACAAATATCAAAATCATAAACATTTCTATTAATTAATAGTAGAATACTACTTGCTGTCTCAAAACATGAGGTATGTCTCAATGCTTGATCTACAAGAGTGAGTTTGACAAGTTAGTTAGTTACCTGCCAAAGAGTCGAGAAGGGTAGATTTTCCGGAGCCAGAAGGACCCATAATGGCCATGAAGCGGCCCGGTTGGGCATAGCCATTCATCCTATTCAGCAGCTTCTTCATGGGCTGCCGATGTTTATGGTGCCCCGCCAAACTTGGCATTGGCAACACCACCGTCAAGTCCTGCCATGCCAAGAATGCCCCCCCACCCCCACCCCCACCGTATGCCCCTGCATCCCTCTCCTTGTCTTTATCCTTATCCCCGCCAGTGTTGGTGTTGGTGCTAGCTTCGGCTTCTGCATCTGCACTTGGGCTGCTGCTCCTCCTCCCTCCTCCGCCCATGGCGACCACCTCCACTTCCATGATGATCGATCTATCTAATCTAATCTAATCTAATCTAATCTATCGATATACAATAAAGAAAGAAAGTAGGTAGGAATTCCAAGTTTCCCTTGCCCTCCTCCTCCTCCTCCTCCGGCGGTCCCTTGCTAGTTAGTTAGTGTAATATGTGAGAGATTGATTGAATGAATGAATGAGAGACATGCATACATAAAGGCAATAAATACATTACATTACATTAATGGGAGGGTATGGAGGTGGTTGTGCAGAGTAAAAGCCCCTTCCTTGCGCAGGAGAGGAGAGGAGAGGTGAGGTGAGGTGGGGGGCTGCGCTGCGTCGACACTCTTTTCTATTGGATTTTATCAGCAGTTGTAGTAGTAAATGAGAAATGAATTGGGATTCATTTGCATGTGGACTTGAATACTTGATTGCCTCCATCGAGTGTGAGTGTATATGTTTTCCTTTGCTTTGTGGTTGGTTAAATTGCTCTCTATTTCTATTTGTATTCGTGACACACCGCTGACCACAATTTATTATTGCTTACTACATTTATTGTGTATGTCTGCACACCCCACCCCACCCCACCCCAATCTAATTTATCAAGATGACTGACTCATCATACTCATGCCCATACTCACTCATTCACTCACACTGCATGCATTTATTTTTTAATAAAACCTGTAGCAGAATAGCAAGGGGATTGATAATAATTAATTAAGGAAAAGACAAGTATAAATCTTTCTTTCTTTCTTTACTGGATTAGCAATAAGTGCCGGAAATCACAACTAAATCAAGTGAAACTCAAAATGAATAATATGCAAAATTCTAATTCCCATTTCTCATGCAATAATCACCAGTTTGTACCATTCCTATGTTTTCTTCTTCAAAATTTACGGCCAATTTATGACTATTCAGGTTCAGGTATACCTAAGCTCTTTTCACATAATCGAACCTTTAACAGGTAAAAAGAAAAAGGAACAAAATGCAATCAATCCAATGACGCCTATGCTATGCTCATCCTAAGGATTTGTCACATTCAACAACTGTAGAAGCTCCATGTAATGTAATCAACAACATACCTGTAACTGTAATGCAATCCTTCGCCAGATCCGCAGTTATACAACCTGTATATAGTTTTATATCAGAAGATTGTTCCTGCAGAGCCGAAACAAATCATTCAGATGTGTACACAAGGGGATACAATCAAACGGGAGACTTTTAAGAATTAACAAACCAACCAATGGGAGCAGCTTGTATGTTCCTCACGCACCTTAGCTTCCATCCGTATTTGACTGGTTTTTCTTTTTTCTCTTGCGTTTGGGCTTAACAGCATCCTTTAGAGACTTGGAGTTGCTGATCAGTTCTTCAGGTTCCGCGCAATCCTCCTTTGGGGAGGAGGACATATTTGAATCATCAAGGGATTGTTGAGTGACATGCGACAATTCTGAATTACTCTTCTTTTCTGGGTTGTCTAAGGCTGCACAATGTCTAATGATTTATTTATCGGGACATATCTTTATGGGGCAAAGGAATTTCATATCACTCCAATATCGGAATGCTGATATATGTACCTTGTGAAGCAAGAGATGACTTCAATTCTTCGGCGTCAATGCCCTTGGAATATGGATCCCTACAAGTGAAATATTCAAATGAAATGTGAACTCAAGCATAGCTCGTATAATACATATTACGCCAATGAAATAACAAAAATCATTGTTCATATTTAATGACAGGGCATATCAGGCTTATAAACAGTAATGAGATTTCATCCCTCAAAATGAACCTTTGACAGGCCAATGCAAATAAACTTAATGAAGGATCAAAATAGTTAGATAGCATAAAAAGCTTTTACCAATTAGATGGTCCACCAACGAAAGCTTCTGGTTTCTTCTCCTCCAAAATGCTTCCATCTTTTTCTGATGAATTGAATTCAACCTCCATGTCGCTTTGATTGATGCTACTATTCTCTGTTTCCAATTTAGGGTTCTTAATGTCCTTTGATGCTCCTTCTTGGGTAGCTTTCTTTACATTAACATTGTCAGGGTGCCGTTTGATTTTCTTCAAAGATCTGGTGGCATTGTATGCCTCAACCTGCAAAAGAAAAAAAAAAAAAAAAAAGTACGTGTCCTTCAAACTTGTTTAAGGAAACAATTACAGGAAGAAAGGATGGAATTTAGAACAGGATTGTGGAAAAAATACTAACAGCTTTCTTTAATTTCTCGGTTATATCAGCAGCCTTCACAGATGCAATCCGTAAGCATTGCATAATGACACTTTGTATGACGCCTTGTCCAGTTTTTTGAATAGCACAGATATCGCCATTCGTGTTCACTGTAGCTGTCAGTCTCCCTCCCATAACAGCTTCTTCCAAGTGTGATGGATCAATTACCTAGCATTTTGTAGTATAGGCAGAAGTTGTAAATCAAAAGATATGCACAAGTACAAGAAGAGCATATAAAATCAAATGTATACTCACCACTCTACTCTCTTCACCGATGAATGAAAAGGTCACTGCTATTGGTAGGTGGTGTACAATCAATGAAAGGGGTTCCCTCACCTGTCAATAGAAGAAACAAGAAAATCTAAATCCAAGATCGTATCATACTGCCAGAGTAAATTGAGCAACAAACCTTTCTAAATTATAAATATATATAGCAATAATGAAGATACTTCTTATGTGGTAAGGCAATGTTTATTTTACCAGCAGCTCCTAAACCGTGATACCAGGAAAATCTCAAAGATGGTGTAACAAAAAATTACAAGCAAGACTTCAAGAATTAGAGAGTTCGCATCTTAAGCAGAATCATTGACAGAGAAAAAGACAACTGACCTCTGGCGGATGTATTATGACTTCCTGGCCATCGTCTCCCCCGATTGTGCACTCAGGCCTTCTGAATGTCAAAAGTGCAGCTAGAGCAGCAATGTTCGCGGCATCGATCAGATTTCTATTCACATTGAAAAGTTGAGATACTGACCAGATTTCGAATAAATGTATAGCAATTAGACAAAATTCATTTACATTGAATGCGCATAACTCACCCACAATTGTCTAGGATGTGAAGGTCAATACGAATGGACCACACCCATTTTCCCGCAACAACACAAAGTGACTCTGTATCCACGGCCCTGCTTTCCCTGTACATATCCCATAATTCAATATACGCAAATGAATTTTCCATCTATCGAACACTAAACGTAATTAAGACATGTCTCATTTCAATCTGGATTCTGTCTTTATAAAGTTAAAAAGGAGGCCACCAAATTGTTATCAAAACAGTTAAGATGACTAGCAATATAACAATGAATTATATTACCTCAACCCGCGATCAATAATGCGCCCCAATTCCACGGAAAATTCTCCGGGACGACCTACTTCAAATGAAGGGTCAGCCATTGGAGAAAACTCCGTAAAGATTGCAAGAGTTCCTTCATTCGGGCGGTCCCGATAAGGCTGCACCAGTTGGGACGTTACGAACCCCATCACACGTGTCTTACCCAGTTGTACCTCAGACAACCCATCTTCACTGTGTACATGCCAATACATCAACCCAGACAGGAGCTCCATATATCCATTACAATATCCCAAAATAGAAGGAGATTTCAAAATTGACAATAAATGAAATAACACTCGATAAATTCCTTTGTTTCCTCTGTGTTTACATTAGAATAGTAAAATTATTGGAGAACAGATAAGTTGAAATAGTGAAGAAGAGGAGTTTGGGTTAAATTTGAGAACAATAAAGGGGTGCATACTTCTCAGATTTCGTACTTCATTTCAAGTATTAGATAAGCTACGCGCCTCCAGCAGATCCAGATCAAAATTTCTACCAGAAATTAATAAATATTCCATTCGCTATTTCATGCTCATTTACAACTGATTGTAGATAATACAGAATATTAAATATAAAGAAATTGTTGCATGAATGAGCAACGGCAACATAAGTGACAGTATATAATTACATGTGCTTTGACATGTCGGTTGTGTATATATTTCCCCCAACAAATCTATGTACGAACAGTAGAACAGCTAGCAATATCAAGCACAAAATCTCTTGTCGTTGATCAAACTCCAAATATATTGCGAGGGTTTCCCGAAAAAAGTTCGTCTTCCAATAATTAAACTGTTTCCTCTGTTATACATATTTCTCATCTCAGGTATGCAATATATTGAATGAAAGATAATCACCGGCAGCAAGCAGAGGAATCACACTTAAACAAAAACGCAAAAGAAATCGTAGACGATCAAGAACTAATAACGGCTTCCAGAATTCTTACCCACCAAACTGTATCGTCACATTCCGGTAATCAAAAGGCCCGCGGCCATCGATTCTGAGGTCGGAAAGCAGCGCCGTTTCGATGAAACTCTTCTCATTCACCGTCATTCGGCACGCATTAACTAATCTCTGCTCCATCCTTCTAGCCAACACCGATTCTGCAACAGTAAGAAAACTTCCGTCTCCATAAAATCAAATTAACACATTTATAGGTAACAGAAAATAATACCACAAGCAAGAACCACTTCGAAAATGCAAATAATTCTATTGCAGCAGTAGTTAGAACGCACCTGGTCCACAGAGAGCGTGCCCCTTCCGGTGCCGGAAGACTCAGAGCTGACGGAGGGGAAGAAGAGGGTTTTTCAATTAGGGTTTTTGATTCAATAATAATTAGTGCGGGGCTTTAACGGGCCGGCCCAATTCATTCCGGGCCAAGTTTCTACTTGCCATCAATCCGGAAAACTATCTTTAACTCTATTTTTTCAAATCTATTTTTCTATTTTTGCAGGTCTATAGTAACTCATCTCCAGCTATAATATGTACTTAGGGTATCTTCTCCAACTGTAACCTTACTTTTAGGGTGTGTTTGTTTGGGGGTTTGGATTTTGGATTGGGATTTGAATAGTAAAAATTTTGAATTTGAATAGTTGTATGATGTGATATAAATAGGGTTAGATGTGATGTTTTGAATGTAAAATTGATTTTTAGTATAATATAAAAAATGAAAAATAGGTGTTTGATGTGATGTTTTTGGGAGAAAAAAATTGGATGAATAGTAGAAATCCTCCAAAATCCTTCAAACAAACACACCCTTACAGAGTTAAAAAATATTTTTTTATATTTTATTTTACATAATTTTTAAAATTACAAATAAAATTTAATATTTTATTATTTCTATACATTTAAGTATAATAATATTTTTAATTAATTAATTGTAAATTTTAATAAATATTAAATAAATGAATAATTTACTATAGATGTGTTTGTTTGAGGATTTGGATTTTGAGTTGGGATTTGAATAGTAAAAATTTTGAATTTGAATAGTTGTATGATGTAATATAAATAAGTGTTGATGTGATGTTTCGAATGTAAAATTGATTTTTAGTATAATATAAAAAATGAAAAATAGGTGTTTGATTGATGTTTTTTGGGGAAAAAATAAAATGAATAGTAGAAATCCAAACAAATCCCTCAAACAAACACACCCTATAAATATTAATTACAAAATTATAATAAAAAAATAATAAAATTAAAAGTAACAAGAATAAAATAAAATAAAATATATAAAATATAAGCTTAAAATAAAATAAAATAAATAAAATATAAAAATATAAATAAAATAAAAAAATTAATGCAATTTTTTATTTTGTTGATAATACTTAAAAAAATAAAAATTAAATAAATATAAAAAAAATGGATAACTAGATAAATAAATAGATAACTATATAAATAAATAAAAAATTATATTTAAAAAAAAAAAAATCACCCGTTGAAATAAGTGTGGCATCCGCTCATTCCAGTGGGTGAATTCTGCAAAACTGCATGGTAGATTGGAGCAGTTTTTTTCTTTCCACCCTGCAAAAATAGAGGAAAACCTCATCGATTGGATGGTCTAAGGCCGTGTTTGTTTTTATCACAATACAATTTTTTATAAAGTCTCCCCGATAGTGATTTAAAATAAATGGAGTACTAAACAATTTGAAAAAAAAAAATTTAATTAATTGATAAATAAATATGGAGAAAAAGTATGATACGTCACCTCATCATAGAAATTATATAAATAATTATCATTTCTTAAAAAGCAATTCAAACCTAATGACAATACACTCATCACAAGTAACCCAAACCCCTTTTGTTCCCTTTAAATTTATTTAAAAATAAACCACAAATTACTTATCCCATCCAAAATAATAATAATAATAATAATAATAATAAAGACCATAAACGTGCAGTGATGTAGTAACGAAAAAGAATCTAATTCTATGATATTTTTAAAAGAATTCACCTATTTTTTCTAACTTATTTTTTCTAAACATTTAATTATGGTTTTGGTTAAGATAGAAAATTTTGAAATTTTAAAAATAATGAAAAATGTATATAAAAAAAATTATTACTAATTAATTTAATATTTCCTCCGTCTCAATACAATAGTCTTTTTACCATTTTGTCCGTCCCAAAACAATAGTATCATTTTCATAAGTAATCATATCACCATAAAATTATCCTTATATTTTAATTATTATTACAAAATTATCACTACTTTTTACACTAATATACTCACAAGGGCAAAAAAGTAATTTACTCTTACTTTCTACCAACTAACTATATAATATCAATATTTCTTAAATATTGTGTCCAATACAACAAGATTATACTTTTGGGACATAGGGGATATTTTATTAGAAAAATATATTTTAAATATCCTCTATTCAAAAAATATGTTTCTTTGAAGTTTATATGATATTTAGTAAATATAGTATTGTATTAATTTATTGTGATACAACTTAAATATTTTAAAAAATATATAGTTTGATTAATAAGATGAGTGATTTTACCTTTTTTTTTTTTTTTTTTAATGACGTGGGAACCCGCAGTCGCTACCCGAAAGTGCGCACTTGGTAAACCTCCGACGATCGAATCTAATACCCTGTAAACTAGGCTCGATGTGTGACAAGTTTTATAATATGTTATCCAATTATAAAATTTTCATTTAAAAAATATCAGTTTTTTTACAAATATTTATACTTTACCGTCATAATATTTACACCAAAAAATAATGACATAATTTTACTGTAGTAGTAAAAATACTATAAATATCCCTATTTTTAGCCGTCCACTATTATTTGAATACTATAATTTTTAAATTTCGCGTCAAAAATAAATATGTAGATTTTTAAATTGGACTATGGTAGTAAATATTTCAAACTAATTATGAGTGTATTTATTTCCCTTAAATTACCTCAAATCAAATATTCATTTTTTTTTATTATGTCACATTAAAATTTAATTTGCATTCAAAATATCCTATTAATAGATATTTATATCACATTAAATAGCAAATTTAATTCATAATTTTACTATTTAAAATCAAAATTAAAAACCAAAATCTTACAAGTAACAACACTCTATGTAAACAACCCTTGTATGTGAGGAGAAAACCCAATATATTTAGTCTGATGTGTTTGAAAAAAATTTGGTTTAAATTTAATATTAAAATAATGTATCATAAGATATTTTATAAGATAAAAAATAATAATTTTTTCGTCTAATTATAAGGGTTACATTTACATTTTGCGTCGTTATATTTAACATTAAAAATATCTTTATATTTGTATTAAAAAAATTGTACAAATGTATTTTTGCAATCTTTTCTTAATTTGTACTACATTTTGATATAATAATTAATATTCAAAAATCAATATAAAAAAATAAATGAGCCCTTAGAGCCTTACGGAGATAATATATATATATTTAAAAAAATAAAGAATCCAAATAATACAAACTTGACTTTGTTTACTTCACTCATTTTCACTCACTTTTCAAAAAAATATTACATAAAATATAATTTTTATTTTATAAAATATCACATTAAATACTAATTTTTATTTTTATTTATTTTTTTCAAAATTTAAATTTTTTTCAAAAACCTCTGTGTAAATAAAGCCCTAAAATTTGAAGTCAAAAGAATCATACGTAAATGAACGGGAAGTGATTATAAAATTTTCAATGCGACGTGGCGTGTTTTCATTGGACTTGAGAAGTCATAGATATAATTATCATAGGGTTTTAATCACGCAGCAGTTAAACTACCCTATCAACAGCTTCACTTTCATTATTACCACAGAAGAATTGACTAAAAAGCTATTAATTAAACAAATGGCATGATTCATTGGCAGCTCCTTGGACTCCAACTCCCGAGTGAATGTAAACCAAAAAAGACGCTACAATTGCATGCGTGAGTTGGACTCCAGGAGTTCGGAAGTGTCATCAGTTATTAACTACCCTAACTATGGCAATGACCACACTCATTTTTCTTCTTTTATTTGATGAACTCTCGAAATATCATGAAAAGTAGATAAAAATATATATATATATATATATGATTTATTTGTCTTTTTAAAAAATATTAATTTATTTCTATTTTTGTATATTTAATTAATACTATTTTTTATACCAGCGAATAATACTTTTATTTGTATATATTATTTTATCATTGATATATAAATTAATATAATGATACTTCTATAAATAAATACTTTCTCATTCGTCCCACCACAATTAATATTATTTTCATTTTTGTCTGTCCTATTGCAATTGACATTTTTTTATTTTTAGTAAAAATTATTAAATCAAAATATATTTAATAAATATAAATAAATTTAATTAATTACATATCATACAACATCGTAAATGACGTAGGACACAATCAAAAGCTTTTTATTTCTATCTATCTCCTCAAAAAAATAAATATTTTTATCTATATTTAAAACTACACATTTTTTATAAAATTGATTTAAGTTAATTATAAATAAATAAAAATATTTTTTTTATAGAAAGTTTTATTCTCTATAAAATGATATACATATTGCATATATTTTTTAATTGCTATATAATTTTTGAATATTTAAACATATATTTTAATTTTTTAATCATATATATTAAATGTATTTTAAAACTATAAATATTATTAATTATACAAAAAAATAATATGATAATATCATAACTAATTATTATTAACTAATTAAATATCATTACCTTAAATACCGTGTCCCTAATCAAATGGTTCAATTCAAGTCGGACGAAGGGAATACTAAAAAATATTTATGTTTAAACAAACAAAAATAGCAAAATAAATATTTTTGAATGGATGGATGGCCAAATATAAACTATAATGTATGATTATATATATTGAAAATATTTCATAATAAATTGTTATTTTAGTTATAGCATAAAATAGAATGACATTTTCAATAAATAACAAGGGTATGTATTTCATTTTGTTTTTCCAATTTATATAATATTCCAGCTTTTCTCTTTCTATAAAGGTAATTTATTTCCTTTCACAAAATTTGTATTTCATTACTATTTAAATAAAAAAAAAATAATAATAATAATAAAAAAAACAAGTACAAAATCAAGAACGTTCTAATATGTAGTCATTTCAACAACTGTTAGATTAAAGGCATAAAGGATAAATAACACTTCATTCGTCCCAAAAGTATAGTTTTACTGTTGGATACTTGATTTAATGAATATTAATATTATATTGATAGTTGCTAAAAAAATAAGAATAAATGACTTTTTTGGCCTTGTGTAAAAAGTAGTGACAATTGTTTAATAATAATGAAAAAGTATAGATAATTTTACTATGATATGATTATTTATGAAAATGAGACTATTATTTTGAGACGAACAAAATGATAAATAAAACTATTGTATTGAAACGAAAGGAGTATAAAAATAATTAAGGTATGTAATATATTAATTTTTTGAAAAAAAATATATATTAGTTTGTTTTTACAAAACAAATAAATCACATATTCGATTGTATAAAAATTAATATGATATGTTGAATTGTAATTTTATATATATATATATAATTAGATATAAAATATATTGTTTGAATATAATATATATACTTAATTTTGATAATATTTTATTAAGAATTATGCAAAAAAAAAAAAAAAAGAAACAAAATTAGGTGAACCCATTAAATTTGATAAATAAAACAAAAATAATCTAGAGCTATATTTCTAGGTAGAGGCAATTTTCCTTTAATTCCCTTCAAATATTAATTAGTTTTACATAGCTATCATATGCATTTGTTAATACTTTATTTTTTCTTTTTTAAAAATAAAGACACTGTTTAGCGACTACGGATTATCAAGTTACATAAAAAAAATATATATATACTATTTTTTCCGTTCTATACGTTATAGTACAATATTTAGTTTTCAATACAAAATCTTATGATATGATGAAAAATAAACGTATATATATTATTTAAGTGTTGTGGTAATATAAAGAATAGTTAATTATTTCATAGTATTATTTTATAAATGTTGCAAATAATATGATACATGTTAAAATATAAAATATTACCGAATATGTCAAAAGGTTAAAATAGAATTTTATTTAACATGAAATTGTTATAAATTTCTAACAAATAACATGAGCAAATTTGAAATATTAGATTGAAACACACAAAATCGAATGTGCAATATATATATATATATATATATATTCTCTTGAATACACACTTAAAAAATATTAGTATTTTCGTACAAAATATTAATTCAGAATAAATTTAGTTAAATTCAAATACGAACTCAATATGCCCAAAATGTTTGATCCAATTTTTATCTTCTCCAATATTCCATTGCACTTTAAAAAAAAAAAAAAAAAAAAGAAACAAAAAAAAAAGTTTCTTCATTTTCCACGTGCTTCATTATTTTATTTATATTAAGGGTGTGTTCGTTTGATGGATTTGGATTAAATTCCACTATTCATCCAAAATTTTCCCCCAAAAAACATCAAATCAAACATCTATTTTTTATTTTTTATATTATACTAAAAATCAATTTTACATTCAAAACATCACATCATCACCTATTTATATCATATCATACAACTATTCAAATTCAAAATTTTTACTATTCAAATCCCAACTCAAAATTCAAACCCCCAAACAAACACACCCTAAATATATATATATATATATATGTATACTTTACTTGAAGGCATAAAATTGAAGGTTGTGCCCATCCAACTAAAAAATACATAACAAAATATATTATTGATTAGGCATTCTTCCAATATAAGTATATACATTTATAATAAAAAATTGATCATAACACTTTAGTGATTTGAAATTCCGCGTAAACTTGTTGTATTATAAAATTGTATAGGGCATTTTATATTATTTTTAAAAAATCTTTAATGAAATCCTCCCGTTATACAAAAATATAAATGAGAAATTAATTTTTCATCATATAAAAAATTGTAAAAATAGATTATATGCAACATTTTTTTATAATACAAAAGGTGTCATACAATTTTAAAGTATTAAAAAATTTAGCTAAGTTTAGCTCTCAGATATGTAAGTTATGGATAATTTTGCCAATTTATAATATTGATTTACCTCATTCAATAATATAAAAAAATCCAAATGTTGCGTAAGGGATAGTAGGTGGTGTGGGATGAATTTGTGACCGTAAAATCATGAGTTTATATTTCGACGCTTCCAAATTATTTGCTATACATTATTAATTTAATGTAATTTGTCTTGTCAATAATTTACACGTAAAAAGAAAAATAAAATAATAAAAAAAAATAAAATCCAAATGAACAAATTCACAAAACAATGTGTAACAATAATAGTATATATACCTTGTTGTAATTATTCTGTGAGTGAGCAGAGTACAAGCAGGTGTTTCGTACAGTACTTATATTAATTAATTAATGTGTTTGCATTTTATTTATTTCTTTCTTTCTTTCATACTTTGGTATCTCATATGCAATCTTGTGTTGTCGTCTTCTTCAGTCTCCCCTAAACCCAAATGCCCACCATTAATCTCCTCTCCTTATTCTTCTCCTTCTCCCTCTCCCTCTCCCTGCTATCCACCCCCCACGCCCTACCCCTCTGCAATTCCTGCCACCGCCTTGTCGGAAACCCTCTCAAATTCCACCAGTACAACCTAATATTCTGGCAATTCAACCACCAATCAGAAACCTGGGTCCAACTCACCTTGCCCTACAACCTCCTCTCCTGCATCAATGGCGACTGCACACCCGTGGCCTCCATCCAAGCCCCCCCGACCATCACAAACGACTCCTCCGATGATGGCGACACAACGGACGGTCGAGATGATCCCCCTAAAAGACTACCCCTGCACCCTGTAAGAAGAAGGGCTTCTCTTACCAGACTGTCCGAAGCATCCGTATGGGTCACCGGTCCGAGCGGCTCCATATACGAGAGGTTCTGGAACGGCCTGCAGTGGGTGATCGCGCCGCACGAGCTCCCCGTGTCCGCAGGCCACGCTGTCTCCGTGTTCATGGCGAATCAGATGATTCTAGCGCTGTCCGAATCGGGAGCTCTGTACAAGGTAAGGTAAGTTTGATTATACTATTGTCCATCGTCTTCTAGGGTTTCGACGGCCTCCTCTTTTGCTGTCTGAAATTTCTCGTTCCTCTGCAGTTGGAATTGACTGAGGAATCACAGCCTGTATGGGCGGAATTAGAAAAGGGGATCGAAAACGAAGAACGTGTGCAAATCTCGTCAGGAATTTTATCAAACGACAAGCAGTGAGTAAATTACTGTTAAATTGCTTATAGACAATCTTAATCTCTGCTAAACATTTGTATCTATGTATTTACTAAGGAGACTGTATTTCTGTACAAAGAATGGAACTCTGTTTGAGCTGCTGGGAGTCGATCCCCTGAGGTACCAAATCTTCAAAAAAATGACTTCAGACATAATCGATGTATTTAAATGGTTGTCGATGACTTGATGTTGTGTTCGGACATTGGTTTAAGGTGGGAGAATCACGGTAGACCTCCGGGGACAACCTTGGCCACGGTAGCGGATGGCGCTGTGTTCAAACCCGGGCTTATGTTCACTATCAGGTGATCGAGATGTTGATGTCGATATCGATGGCAATCTACGATTATTTGTAGTTTCTGAATCGAAATCGACGTTCACGTCGTATTGCAGTGGTGCAGGGAGTCTATACGAGTACGATCCTACGAAGAAACCCGTTTGGAGAAAGCACGTACACCGCGAAGGAGGCACGAACTTGTTAGCGACCAAGGCGTGTAGTTTCTACGGAGTTTTCGGACCTCATACGGCGTCGCTCTTCCTCTTGACTACGGTAAAAGTATCGAGGATAGGGATTTGATTGTCTTATCTTTGTCAATGCATACGGTTAAATCTCCCGAGTTTGGTGTTTCGCAGAGCGGCGAATTGATCGAGCGGCGTCTAAATCAAAGGAAATGGAAATGGGTCGTCCATGGAAATCCAGACGGCGATCATCCGTTGACGTCGATCACCTGCGCTTCGCAAGACGAGAACGCCGCAGCCGCCGCATTGTTCGCCACGGCCGCGTCTGGGCTCATGTTCGAGTACCGTATGCAGAAACCTTCAGGTGTTTATCGAAGGTTAATAGATCGAACCGGTTGCGTTTTCGTTATAAACTTGTCGAAACTTTTTTAAATTTCGCTACTTCGCAAGGCAGGCGATAACCGAGAAGATCCATGGCTGCGCCACGAGCATCCGTCGCAGGCACCCGTCGCAAGCGGCGTTCCTGGGCTGCAGCTACAGCCCGGTAGGCTCGTCTTTATGCTCGATGACGGCCGTCTCGGAGAGCTACATTTATCTGGGCACGGAGGCGAAACCGTCGGCCCCAACACGCCGGCCAGCGTCCGTCGAAAGTCGCTGCTGAAGTACGTCTGGTCTGTGCTCGACAGCCCCATAACTGAGGGATGGAACGCCGAGTACTGCACCGAACAGCGCGGGCCGTCGAATTGCATCGCGGGGACGAAAGGCGAAACGTCGAGTTCGAACCGGGGGAAAGACAGCAGAAGAAGCCAGCAGAGTTACTTGCTGCCTGCGGCAGCTCCCGACGAGCACCACGGTGTCGTCGCTGATGAAGGGATCGACAAATTCTTCCGCCTCCGGCTAATGCAGGAGGGGTCGTCGTTCTTCATGGTGACGAAAGACGGGTTGATGTTCGAATACTTGAGCCACGACGACGCCTGGCTATGGCTAAGGCACGAGCATTCAACGAGAATGAGAAGCGTCGTCGGGAGCTACAACGGCAGCCTGTTTACCGTTGACGAGCACGGTAGTTTGCTTCTTCGAGAACGAACCGCGACGGATCTGACGTGGACGAACTGCACCGCGATGCGGAAGGGTCGAGCGGTGGCTAGCGGGCCGCCTTGGGATAGCGGGATTCCCGGACGTATGTCGAGCGCGAAGCTGGAAGACTCGATTTTCTTCGTGAGCAGAACGGGGAGACTCTTACAATTCAAGGTGAGACGAGAGCGAGAAAACTTGCGTTTTGACTCGTAAGGCCGTGTAATTTACGATGGTATCGAAATGCAGGTGGCGATGAGGAAGTTCAAGTGGAAGGATTGCAAGAAACCGGCGGGGGTGAAGATCGTGAGCATCGTCGATCAAGAGAGGTTCCGGGAGAATGTGGTGTTTGTCGTCGGGAGGAACGGTCGACTCTACCAATACAACAAGGTGACGGAGATTTGGCACGAGCATTTTCAATCGCAACACCTCGTTTTGGCGGGGTCGCCGGGGACGGCAATGAGGCCGGGTGTGGAATCGCTAGGGGGTTCGATATTCATGATATCGAAAGACGGCGGGCTCGTGGAGTACGAGTGGAGCTCGACGGACGGATGGGAGTGGGTAGAGCATGGAACGCCGCATACTAGTAATGCGACGCTTGTTGGCGCGCCGGGGCCGGGATTTGGAGGGAATCAAGTGTTTTTGGTCGGGTCGGACGGGAATGTTTACCTGAGGTTATTCGACGACGGGGAGTGGAAATGGAGGAACTATGGATTTCCTAAGAATGTCGGGGAGAAAGGAGACGAAGAAAGATGTGAGGAGAAAGAATACGCCGATGGCTTTGAGAATGCCGGAGAAAATATCGAAAATATCTCCGGCGACAATGTTTGCGACCCGAAGGTTTCTTCTACGAGAGCAATCGCATATTCTGACAACACGGCCGTGTTCGAGCTAGAAGACGGCAGGGTAAGCTATAAGCTCACATACCATTACATAACATGAATATATATATATATATATTTAATAACGTGAAAATCCGTCGTGATTCTTGTTGCAGTTAGCAGAGATGAGAAGAAATGGGGACAAGAATTGGGAATGGTCGCGGATTATCGGCACTCCGACGAGCCGATGCTCGGCTAATTTTTGGACATCGTGGGCATCTTAACCTGAAGTCGTGACTGTAAGATTATGAATTTAAATATCCGAAATATTTATTTTAGTCTGAATATAAATACATACATAGGAGAACAAGAAAACACACATATGTAGTTGTAGATGTAGATAGAAATACACATGTACGATGTATGTATTGTAGGGTACATCTATAGTCTAAACATTAGTATTATGTTATGTTGAACAATAAATAAAATTGAAATCTCGATTATCCATAGCTTCGTATCTTTCCTAACTTATTTAAGGATGTAAATCTTTTTATTCAAATACACGATCCCACAATTGTTATTTGACATATAAAATATCCAATATTTGGTATGCTTCTAATGTTACGTTGCATGTAATTTTCAATTGATTGAGAAATAACTATAAGAAGAAAAAAAAGGAAAAAAAGAAGAAGAAGGTGTTAACTATTAACCCTAAATTAATACTACTGTTAATTGCAGAGCAGAACAAAATTTTAATTTCACATGAAAGACAAATACATACATAGAGAAGGAAAATCATCTATCGTTGTTGAAATTTGAAATCATCAGCTCAAAACGAAGGCTAAAAACTGGAATCTCCGGCGAACGGTTATCAATTACACAAGAGATTCCGGCGATAGAGACAGCAACCGGCGGCGGCTGCTCCCCATGAAGAGAAATTTTGAAGGATAATGAAAGCAGCAAAATTTCCCCCCAAAATGGGGATTTCACGAGCGGGTGGAAGCACTCGGATTTTGTTTTTGTCCGGTTGGAAAAGGACAAGACATCCCCACTGCCCGAAAAAGCTTTTCCTCTCCCAATGCCAATTCCAATTTTCGAAAAACCCCCAAATTGTTTTTCATTAATGGCTAAATTGAAAACCCTAGAAAATTACTTGCAGGGTGCGATCGAGCCTGAGTGGGCAATTTTAAGCAACAGAGTGGGTGACCGTGATGAGGTAAACGTCAAATCTCTTTCCCTGTCTTTCTCCCTCACCTTGACCTTGCAATTAATGTCGATCGGGCTCGGGCTCGGGCTCGGGCTCGGGCTCGGGCCAGAGCCATAATCCTTTTTCGAATTGAAGGGTATGTGGGCAAATGCAATGATTAGCGCAATGCCTGGGCTGGATTGGATATTGCCATTAATAACAAATATTTGATTAAGTACTGGTATAGATACTCTATCCCTGATTATTAGTGAAAACCGTTCCTTTTAGTTATCATCATCATCAATCATCATGCCCTCATTTTTCTACTGTTTCTGTTTCTGTTTCTCTTTCTGTTTCTCTCTCCCGCAGATGTTTTCGGCACTCTCTAAACTGCTCAAAACCCTATCCATCTCTTCTTCTTCTTCTTGGACCCTTTCTTCTCTCACTCTAACTAAAGCCCGGATTAGGGTTTACAGTTACACACATTGCCATTAGGTTTTGGTTTTTTTGAAGTCGAGAGGAGAAAGGGGGTTTTACTGTTACAAAACCCATCATCATCTTCATCATTCCATCCCTGCCATGGATGTATACGAGGCCGTCCAATTTGTGCTGCCAAAGATCAGGAGTTTGGATCCTGAAAATGCTCCAAGAATTATTTACAGTATCTTGACGCAGCATGGTGGGGAGAAGGAGATGATAAGGTTAGCCTTTTTGCCCGATGCTGTTTTCTTGTCTTACATCAACCGAATGAAGTCAAGTCTCGGGCTTTGCCCCGACGGTTCGTCTTCAAACCCTTCGTCTTCGTCTCCTCCCCTCAGGCCTGTCTCCCCACCTCAACTCCATATCTTTATTCCAGACTCTGGCTCCCATTTGATCAATTCCTCGAGTTTTCAAAAGAGTAGCCCGAAGCCCGCTTCGTATGCGGATGTGCTGAGTGGTTCCCGTGGCCCGACTCTTTCAGGGTCTCCAAGCTTGCCCTTCTATGGCGGCGGTGATGATTTGTACAACGGGGGGGATGACACATTGATGGATCCAATTGTTAGCCCAAGTGGGAATAGTGACTCCCTGATTTTCCCCTATGTCGGGAACATGAACAGGAACTCGTCGATTTCTTCATCTCACTCCTACCCTTTCCACCACCGGAGGAGTTTCTCGGTCAACGATGCTGCAATTCTCTCTGGCCTTGAAGAAGGGGGTGGGGGCGGATTTGGGTGGAAGCCATGTGTGTACTATGCTAGAGGGTACTGCAAGAATGGAAGTTCCTGCAAGTTCATCCACAGTGACATTATGTGTGGAGGAGAATCATTTGAGATGGGATCTCCAAGCAGGCCTGCTGCTGCTGATTCTGGATTCGATGAATTGCTGAGATTCAAAGCCCTTCAGCAGCAGAAGTTTGCACTTATGGCTTCCGGAGGAGGAGGAGGACGCCATCATTTTCATTACAACAAGTTCTTGACTGGGAATCAGAGGTTGGTTCTTCTGGTACTAACATTTTACAATTTGCTTCGAAGACTCGTGTCTCGTCATTTATGATCTTTGATTGCCCATAAAATTGTTCCTTGGTTTCACCTTTAAGCTTTGTAATGTTTCTTGTTGCTGTTTTGCTATGATCGAAATTCGTTGGTATCAATTCATGATTTTTAACTCTTAACATTGAAATGCTTCTTGATTTCTAAACAGTGGTTGATGTTCATTTCTGTATCAATTTCAATTTCAATTCCTGATTTTTTTTCCGGACCAGTTGATGCTTCATTGACAATGGCTGATGAATTGCACAGAATTAATGGTTGTGGTCCTAACAGGAATGACTTCTTACCCATGGGATTCCGGCCCGGTGAAAATTCGAGCATGCATCAAATTTACCTGACTTTTCCGGCCGACAGTACATTCAGTGAAGATGATGTTTTTGTATACTTTAGGTAAGTGATAAGGCATTTAAAAATCCAAGAAATCGAATAATATGATATGGCCTCTAACTCCGGTTCGGTTTTTTGTTTTGAAGCAAGTTTGGTCCCGTGCAAGATGTAAGAATACCACACCAACAGAAGAGAATGTTTGGATTTGTTTCATTTTACTACCCGGAGACTGTTAAGCGCATTCTGGCGAAAGGGAATCCTCATTTTGTCTGTGATTGTCGCGTGCTCGTCAAACCATACAAGGAGAAAGGAAAATTTTCCGAGAAGTAGTATTTTTGCTCGATTTCAATATGCATGTACAAGTGTTTTTATTTTTTTGTGATAATTGTATTTATCTGTTTATTTTCTCGTCTTTAGGAAACAACTGCAACGTCAATACTCAGATAGAGGAGAGTTTGCATCTTCTTTAAGCTCTGCAGGGATTGATTCTAGTGAACTTGTCGATCTCCCCATTGGTAGGCTTTTGAGTATATATATATATATCGACAAATAATAGTGTATGTGTATTCTGTATAAATGGCCTTTTGCATCTCTGCAGGGCCGAGAATGTTTGTTAACCAGGAAGAGATGATTCGAAGGAGAAAAATCGAGCAGGAGATGGAATTACAACAAATGCTCGAACTTCAAGGTAGAAGGTTGGTGAATTTACAGGTTTCCGACAGGGAAAATCCGCACTTAAATAACTTTTTTGTCCCAAACATTCCTGGTGGTGCCCTAATGAATCGAAACAACACCCGTCGAGATGTCTCGGAAGGTTAGCTAGCGCAGATCATGAATTTTTGTCGTATGTGTCATCCTCATCTTAAGCCAACTTATTGCGTCTTTTAGCTGCAGAGTTTTGTGGTTCTGGCGAGGCTGATGAAAAGCTCTTCAAAGTAGCAGAGGTACCTTCATCTAACAACAACAATGTCAATGTCAATGCCAATGCCATTAACCATCAACGTGTAAATGATCCGAATTCGTATTTCCTAGAAAGGTACTATAGTTCTTCGATCCATTCCTAAAAAACTACGCATAGGATCAAAATCCAGTGCTGTTTTTTTTTTTCAAGAACACGATCAGATTTCTCTACGACTTGGTATTAACATTCATTCGATTTCTTTTGACCTGAATATATTATCGGCAGTAACTTTGAGCACGCCCTGCCTGACAACCTATTCTCCTCCCCGACAAAATTAGCCACCGAACAAAAGATCATCTTCTCCCATGAATCTGTGGATGTGGGCGACACTGGCACCAATACGACCACAGAGAAGGTATATCTATCTGTGTATCTATCTGTATAAATTTCAATATAGTAGGCTAAATCACTTGTTAGATATATATATGATCGATATGCTTGTTTGGTTGTTGTTTGATTTGGCAATGTAGAGAGAGAGAGAGAGTTTGGCTTGAGCATCTGAAATCAATTATAATACAGAGATAGATGGAGGGAGAAATGATGATTAGCAGCAGCTGTATAGCAATAGCAACATAGCAAATAGCAATAGCCATAGAAGAGCAGCCACAGAAAAAAAAGAAGGAGAAGAAGATATGTAAGGAAGAAGAAGAAGATCTAATTCAATTGTGCCACTTAGATTTATATATATATATATATATATATACATTTTATATTAGTGATAGAAGGAAGGAATCAAGAAAATATGATGATGATGGGCATGGCATTTTGAAGTGAGGTATGATGGATGAGGGTGGGGTGGGTGGGGGTGGGGTTAATTTTTTGTTCATATATACTGTGTGGAGTGTGACCCCTCCTATCCTATCTTTATCTTATGACCAGACCATAGCATTTTGTGTACTGAACTGAACCAACTGCTGAAAAAAACAATTATAGCATTAGTATATACATATGACATTTTCTGATATAATAGCAGTAAGGAAGGTAGGTGGTGGTAGTGGTTTTTTACTTTATGTGCATGAGAATGTAAAAATCAACCTTTATTCATCATCTATTTTTATTTTTATTTTTATTTTTTTAATCTCTCTCTCTCTACAATACCAATTAACATTGGTGAAAATGGGAATCTTGTGTTTGTGTGGTGTGGAGGGGTTCTTTTCATTTCCACTTTCACTTCCAAGAATGAAACAGATTAGCTCAGCGAAGCTCTGTTTTTGAGGATGGTGGACTGAACAGGACAGCAAAATTTATGAGATAGCATGCATGTGTATGACAAAATGGCTGCCTCTTTCTATGGTCTGACGGGTGTAAGGTGGACTCAGGTGAAATTATTGGGTTTATTTCCTTCAAATTTTGAAGGTTATTAGGTTAGATTTACCTAATGTGATTTGATTTATTTTGTCGGACCTAGCTTGCAAATTATTAAACTCGATCGAACTTTATTCAGAATGCATTCGTAGAGTAGCAAAAGTAGGTATAAAATTGAAGGTAAAAGACTGTCTTATAGAGTAAGGATTACTAAAATATGACCATTGTTTTGGGACGAACGAAAAAAAAAAAAAAAACAATTCTTTTGGGACGAACGAAAGTATATTTTTATTAAAAATTATATATATATAAAAATAATATTGATTTAAATTTAAAATAATTAAAAACAAAACATATGTGCACTTGAATTTTATTATTATTATTATTGTTATTATTTACTTTTTATTATTATTATTATTATTTACTTTTAACTTGTATTATTATAATGAAATGATATGATTATGAATAAAGAGTTATGTTCATTTAGGTTGAATATTTTGAAGTTTTAAAAATTTAAAAATAATATATTTAATGTAATATTTACTCCTATGCAAAAAATTAGTTACATTTCCTTTCTAAAAAATATACATATATAAAGAATCATATGTTTGGTATGTAAATATAATTATATATACACAAAAAATAAGCACACTAATTTTCACCATTTATCCTTATTTAATTTCACCAACACACGTATCAATTAAAAAGCCCACATCCAAATCACCCCCTCCCAAACCCCTCCACCAACCCCCCACACACAAACACCTGTTTTTTTTCTTTTTTTCCTTTTTTTTTGAGTTATTGCATATACTCATCCACATCAACCTATAGACTATTCTCATATTCAAAGGGAATTTTCCTTTTTTTTAAGAAAAAAAAAACCTTAAATTTTGATCAAGAATTAGTTGCATGAAGTGTGATTAAAGAGGCATAAATCCCTTTCTTCTTCATCAAACTATGATGGCTCCCTTTCTCTGCAATCCTTCCATCCTTAATCACTGCTATGCTATCTGAACTCTTGATCGTCGACAACCGATGCGCCACCACTATCGTCGTCCTATCCGCAGCCGCCGCCCGCTCCAACGCCTCCTCAACCACCTTCTCCGACTCCACGTCCAGCGCGCTCGTCGCTTCATCCAACAAAAGAATCTTCGGCGCCTTCACTATCGCCCGCGCGATCGCCACCCGTTGCTTTTGCCCGCCGGATAATTGTATACCTCGTTCCCCGACAACCGTTTCATAGCCCTGCATGGCACCAACGATGATCGACGTTAAAATTGTCGTAAAAATCGTTTATTTAAAACGAGCCGAACTCACACATAAAAGATAGATTAGAGTCAATATAATTTAATTTGAGGTATTGAAAAGGGAAAGGAACCCACATTGTCCATAGCATTGATGAATTTACTAGCATTGGCCAGCTCGGCGGCGGCGACGATCTCGGCCTCAGTGGCATCACCGTCCTTCCCGTACGCGATGTTCATCCGGATCGTGTCGTTGAACAGCACCGGGTCTTGGCTCACCAGCCCCATTTGCCGGCGCAGCCACTTCAAATTTAGCTTCCGTATGTCGAGACCGTCGAGTGCGATTTGCCCCGAACACGGGTCGTAGAATCGCTGCAACAACGATATGATTGTCGTCTTCCCGCAACCGCTTTCACCGACTATTGCCACTGTCTGATCAAACAGAAACCTCGTGTCGGTATCGATCGATACGGCTGTAAAGATCGAATATTTAACTTTGCTTAAAAAGGAAATGGATACTCTGTTTTACCTGGCCGGAATGAATTTCCAGGCATAAGTTGTCGAATATTTCGACATCAGGCCGCGCCGGGTAGCTGAAGCTAACATTGATGAAGGAGATGTTCCCCTCGACATTATCTAGAGTTGTTCCCGATTTGTCTGAAGAATCTATCGACGAAGGATGGTCGAGTAGTGATAGAACCGAGGCTGCACCGGCGTGCGCCTTGCCGGAATCCGGAGCCAAGGCGCTCGACTGGGAGATTCCGACAGCTGTCATGCTGAGGCCAAGAAAGACCTGTCGCAATTTGGTCCAAAACAGACAATATCATATTACTGTAAAATTGAACCAGATAGAACAAACTATAAATGCTAAAACACGCTAAAGAACGAGCTCTCGCTTACCCGAAAAACTTCGCCGAAGTTCATCTTTCCGGCCTCGACAAGGCGAGCCCCGGCGTAGTAGCTAATCGCATACGCTGAGTATAAGAAGAACAACGAAATTCCGAAACCAGCTCCGCTTGTCAATCCTTGCTTCATCCCTATCTTCATCGGACCTTCGCACTTTTTCTCGTGCAATTTCATCACTCTCTCCTCGGCGCAAAATGAGGCCACCGTTCGAATGCTCCCAATGGCATTGCTCGCAACTTGAGTAGCATCTTTGTATAGTTTCTACACGCAATATTTCGATTTGTTTGTTGAAATCGATTCCAAGTTAAACAAATGTTATATAAGATCGGATCGTACCTTCGAATCAGCACTGAAACCAGCCAAGAACTTCATATGAAGATAGCCATTGAGTCCAATGAGAGGCAACATGACTATGACAATAAGGGAGAGCTCCCAACTTGCGCCGAAAGCGATGATCAAACCGGAGACGGCTGTCGCGAAGTTTTGCACAAGCAACGCGAGCGATTCTCCAACCAGACTTCTTACGGATTTGACATCCGTCGAGAGCCGCGCCCCAACTGTGCTGCTCGAGTTCTCGGGCCTGTCGAACCACCCTATCTCCATATGCACAACTTTCTTGAAGCACATTAGCCGTAGCCGTTTGATCAACTTGCATCCCGCAACGGCAAAGAAATAAGTCCTCAGCGGTGTCGCCAGAAGCGAGGCGACGCCAAGGGCGACGAACATACATGCCCAAAATCTCGCATCCTTTTGAAGCTCCTGAGGTGGCTTGTACAATGTCCGAATGATGCTGGCGAAGAGGAGGCCGAAAAGGGGGAGTATCGCGCCATTGATGATCGCTGCCAAAGATCCTAGAAGAAGCTCGGGAATCTCCGGTTTGCTAAGGTAAGCTAGTCGATAAAGCCTTGCTTTATTCATCTCCCGGGAGTTCGATGAAGTTTCGGGTTTTCTTTCGCCCCATGGCTCATCGGTTGGTATTGGATGCGACTCGTGATGACTGTATCCCAATTCTGAGGACGATCCTCGACTCGTAGAGCGTAACGACGAGATTCGATGGCTCGAATGCCTCCGAGAGTTTGCATCGATCTCCCGACGATCGAGATCCTTGTTCGAACTTTGTATCGGCGCCTTGTCGTCGTTGTCTTGTAGTCGCACGAGTTTGTTGTATGTGCCTTCGCGATTTTGTAGCAACTGCGATGGTGAACCTATATAGCCAAGAAATTGTGTAAGTTTTCGCCTTTCCGGGGTCGTTTATACGAGCTTTATTACACGACGTTGTACGTACCTTTTTCCACAATTCTACCGCGACATATAACGGCGATGGCATCCGAATTCTTGATTGTGCTAATGCGATGAGCTACGACGATCGTTGTTCGACCGATCATTACTGTCTCGAGCGCCTCTTGCACGGCTCGTTCTGATTCGGCGTCGAGCGCGCTTGTAGCTTCGTCAAGGAGGAGAATCCGAGGGTCTTTTAAAATTGCTCGTGCTAACGCTATTCGTTGTTTTTGTCCACCGGATAATTGAGTTCCATTCGCGCCTACTTTCGTGTCGAGTCCCTACAAATATCGAATCAGACGATATGTTTACTTCGATTGATTAGATAAATTTTTAAGAATCGAACTCGAGGCCTTACCTCGGGGAACTTATCGATGAAGTTAGCGGCATTGGCATGTCGCGCGGCGACTCTAATTTCCTCCGGCGACGCGAAATCCTTCCCGTACGCGATGTTTTCTCCGATGGTCGAGGCTAACAACACCGGTTCTTGACTTACTAACCCGATATTTCCTCGTATCCACCGCAATCGAAGATCTTTGATATTAACGCCATCGATCAATACTTGGCCGTATTGTGGATCGTAGAATCTCTCGACGAGATTGATCACCGTCGACTTGCCACTTCCACTCTCTCCGACCAACGCTAACGTTGTTCCCGCCGGTACCGAAAGAGAAAACTCGTGCAATATTCGCTCGTTCAGTCGAGATGGGTAGCTAAAAGTCACATCCTTTAGTTCGATATCACCACGAAAATCTTCAAGCTCGCGTCCATCTTCGGCGTAAGGGTCGATCTCCGGTCTCCTAACAATTGTTTCGAAGATTTTAAAGGCGGCGACTTGGCCAGCCCCGAATGCAGCTAAGCATGGCGATATTTGCCCGAACGAGCTGAAAAACGCATTCGACGATGTAATATGATGAAATCGAAAGCAAACATAGTGCGAAAACAAAATCGAAAGCTATGAAAAACGCATTCGACGACGTAACATGATGAAATCGAAAGCAAACATAGCGTGAAAACAAAATCGAAAGCTATGAAAAACGCATTCGACAACGTAACATGATGAAATCGAAAGCAACCATAGCGCGAAAACAAAATCGAAAGCTATGAAAAACGCATTCGACGATGTAACATGATGAAATCGAAAGAAAACATAGCGCGAAAACAAAATCGAAAGCTATGAAAAACGCATTCGATGACGTAACATGATGAAACCGAAAGCAAACATAGCGCGAAAATGACGTAACATGATGAAATCGAAAGCAAACATAGCGCGAAAACAAAATCGAAAGCTAACTAAGTACTTACAACGAACCCAGCAAAACGGACATAACTATGTTCAAGAAGGCGCCTCCCGAGTACCCTTTGTCGATGATCATTTTAGCCCCGAACCATATCGCCAATGCGTAGCTACAGAACAAAACCAACATGAACACACCTGAACCCATTCCGGCAGCCAACCCCTCCGACACACCGGCTTTGTAAGCTTTGTACAATGTCTCGTTGTATCGAGCAACAGCTCGGTCCTCCCCCGTAAACGACGCAACCTAATATAGAGCAACATAAAGATTCAGAGTATAGATTGCAGTACTCATCCATGGAGTTTTAAGTTATTACATACTGTTCTGATAGAATCGATCGTCCCGTCGACGACGGAAGCCGCCTCCGAGTAGGCGGCCTGTACTCGCGACATCAGCCTAGCCATTAAGACCGTCATGAAGGCGGCGGACACGATGAGCAGAGGGATTGCAGAAATTAAGACTAGTGTAAGAAGCCATCCTCTTATGAAAGCTATTATGAAGCCTCCTAAGAATGATGCTGAGAGCTGCAGAAATTTTCCTATCTGTGGACAGGTTAGTTACTCGACCGATCGATTATTCGATCGAAAATCAATCGAATTAACGGAAGAGAAATGACGGGTACCTTCTCACCCATGGCGTCTTCGATTACGCTCGTGTCGTTCGACATTCGGTCGATGATTTCACCCGTATGTGTCTCCTTGTCAAAGTATCCGATGTCTTGCCTTAGTATAGCTTTTAGGTATAAGTTTCGGATTCGGACAGCCTGCCTTGCGCCGGTGATCGTCCAACATGACACCTCTATTACATTTTCGATCGAGTTAAGGAACTTTCTAGTTAAGCTAAAAGCGCACGTTAATACATTAAACACTTACGTGAGAATGTCGCGATGCCTGATCCCAAGGCGAGATAAACGAACTTCAAAGATACCTAAAAATCATCCATACTCCCTTTTACATTTCTTCTTAACACATGTAATAATATGTTCTTTAGTAGTTTTGTAATAGATCCATAAAGATTGTACCTTTGATACTTCCTCGACAACTCTTGAAGTGGTCGTGTTGTGTCCGAAAGAATCAGCCAACTGTCCGAACAAAAGAGTCATTAGAGGCAAGCATAGACCGGCCCCAATGGAAGTTATTACACCGATGATCATTAGCGCACAGTCAACACAGTCTGCAAAGGCGAACAGCTTGTAGTATGGAAGTTTCTCGGCAAGTTGGTTCTTCTTGTCGCTGGTGGACAACTTCTCTGTTGATTCTGATGCTTTAAATCCATCTTCGTTTGGACAGCCAACCTCGGCCATTACCGGAAGTTTTTGCGACAGCCCAGGGTTTTAGTACTGCACAAGTCTTTAGAAACGAATATAAAGTCTAGTTGTTAGAAAATTCACTTACCAACCGAAAATTTAACTCGGTTTTGTAAAAACAGAGGAAAAGACAAAAGAAAAAGGATAATTCGAAGAGAGCTAAAAGTTCAGACAAAGAAATGGCAAGACATGCATGATCTGTAAGAGGCTCCGACGACCAAATTAGTCAGATGGAAATTAAATATGTGACTAGAGAATTAAGAGCCAAGATAAGATGGAATAAATCGAGTCACGATTCTCATTTGAACAACTTATATTAGAAGATGATGACTGATCGATGGATCGAATCGATCTATATCTATATATATATATATGTATACATGCATGAGATGATTTCCATCAGACCAAGATTAGTTGAAACATTACAATCGAGAATGTTAACATCAATTGTGTGATCGATCATGTCCAAAGAAGGGATGTGGTCCTGCCCTGATCTCATCGATATATCCGCATGCTAGCTAGCTACAAAATAACAAAAATGTCATATATATAAATATATATGTATATATACATCGTCTTCTTCGACATAGGCAAATTCAAATTCAAAAACATGATCGGACATGAAACCAGAAAGCAAATGTATTGCAGGATGAGATGAGCTACGATATGGCAAGACAGACAACATCCATGATAATTCGAAGAACTTCAGACAGCCATAACTAAAAAGTAAGTCCTTACATATACATACATATCTACAGATTGGTTGAGACATTACATCGAACACGTTAGCTGCTTCAATGGTGTGCTGATATCTGTGAAAACGAGAGGTGGTCCTGACGAACCAATCATTGCATAAACAAATTAATAGAGACCATTAACTATGGGGTTTTCTCCTGGGGACGAAAAATGGATTTGAATTACACGAATAGGAGAGGCACAGCGACCGATTATTTAAAGGGAAGCGAAAGCAATGTCTGGGAATAAACAACATTAAAAAGTGTACGACGTTAACCGAAGCATTATATATATATATATATGTTGTGATTTGAGTTTTGCAGAAGTACGAAACAAGACAAGAATCATCGTCGTCTCGACTCGTCTGGAGTTTCATTTGGTGTGTGTTTCTTTCGGGGAATTAAAGATATTCAGTGGAGAGGGTTAGTCGATTTTGGTCCCAAAGTGGGGTTTGTTTGTGTTGTCCGATGCTTCTTTTGCAGATGGGGGGCAATAATCAAATGAAACTTCTTTTTGACTTTTATTTTGGTTTGACTTTTTGTGGTCCCGCGTATCATATCATATCGTATTTATACACGGGAGTCACCGAATATAAGTCAAAATATTCTATAACTATCGTTAAAATAAATTAATACTAGTACTATTTTAAATATTATATATGTTTTTTTATGTTTGATTTTTAATATTAATTATTATATTAACACGTAATTTAAATAAAAAAAAATGACAAATATACATCTATTAGTCTCTTATAATATAAATAAAATGATATTTATGGAGTAAATTATACAAATAAAAATATTTTCAACATTGAGTATAACGACGCCAAAGACAAATGTTGTCATTTTTATAGGACGAAGGTAATATTATTTCTTCCGTCTCAACTCAAAGTATAAATTTTACTATTTTCGTTCATCTCATTCCAAAATATATATTTCCTTTGTTTATAAAAGTAATTATACATCAATACCAAAATATTATTAACTTTTATTTAAAGTACATACATACCATTAAACATAAAGTTAACAGAAAAAATGTCATAATCTCTTACACACTTTAACTAACTAATAAAATACTATTATTTTTTAATCTATTACAAAATCTCAAATAGCCCATTTGAACAGGACGAGGGAGTATTTCCTACGTAGAAAGAAAATCATGCAGTAAACACGATAATATAAAAATAGTATAATTTATAAATAAGTAATAAATATATTAATAAAAATAATTAATATATGATATAATAATTATAAATTAGTATTATATACTCTCTCCATCCCAAAAGCATAGTCTTATTGTATTGGACACGACATATAAGGAATATGGATATTATATGGATAGTTAGTAAAAAATAATGATAAATGACTTTTTTTTGCTCTTGTGAATATATTAAGTGTAAAAAGCAGTAACAATTGTGTAATAATAATAAAAAAAAATGATAGTTTTATGGTGATATGGTTATTTATGGAAATGTGACTATTGTTTTGTGACGGACAAAAATAGTAAATAAGACTTGTATTGAGACGGGGAATATTATAAAATTTGTAATGAAATTTTGAATTCACCATATATTCCACAAAAATAGTGCATTTTTTATCATAACAAATTTATTGTGTTTAACATATTTGTATAATATTTTATATAAATGTCATTCTATTATTATTATTATTATAAGATACTAATAGTATTTTTATTGCTCTCTTTTAATTTGTAATACATTCTGATATAATAATTAATATTCAAATATCAATACGGAACTACTTAGTTACAAACGAAAGGAATAATTGTTATACTATCTCATATTTATTTATTATTTAAAATTGCAAATATACAATTAATTTAATTATTTAATTAAAATAAACTAATTATACATACAAAATAGATAGTGGGACTATCATTATATTTATTTGAAATCTGATTTTATTTTTTTATTTTTTCAAATATTCAATTTTCACGATTTTTATAAGATATTAATAATATTTTAAATCAAAATATAGAATCAACTATAAAGATCAAACCCTGTATAGGGGAGAAGGTGAATAAATGCTGCTACTTAATAAATTAACATTAAGTGGAACAGTTCCTGTTACATTAAATAGGTTAACGGAATATAGCAAATAAAATAAATAAATTGATACCTAAAGTAATCAAAACTGATACGTTCAACAGCTCTTTAATTAAAGTGTCTTCGTCGGGGTTTTATTTATTTAATCTGGATATGATATTTTGTGTGAAATAACATAATATATTTTTATTAAAATATTTATAATTTTTATATGAAAATAATAATAATAATAACAATAACAGTAAACTACAAATGGGCAAAATAACTTCTGAACGGTTTGATGTTAATATATATATATATTTTTTATAATGTGAAAATCCAAAACCGTTACCCGAAAGTGTGCACCGGGTAAACCATCAGTCGAACTTAATACCCTGCAAATTAGATCCGACGAAAAAGTCACACTAGGCGAATAATGTGTGGTAAGTGACCTGAGGCGTCTAGGGTTTGAACCCATGTTTAGCTCCTTTTGATCAATATTTTCATAGGTAATATGTATTATATATTATTCAATTGATCATTTTATATGAAAATTGATTAAAATAGCTTTTTTTTTTTTTTTTTTTTTTTTTTTTTTTTTTACATTGTAACTAGTTCCGTAACAATACATGTAGCTATTGGTGTTGAGTATTAATATGATTGAAATTTTGGTGTGTTTACTTGTAATATAATAAATAAAAATAAAAATATTTAATTTGATATTTATCGAGATTTTTTTTTTTTTTGAAAAATGGTAAAATCTAAAATCAAATATAAACACATTCTTTGCCATCAAGCATTGTGGCATTATCTCATTAGTTAATATATATATATATATATCCTACTTTTATGGCTTTAGCATGACACAGTTCATTGGCATGCTGGACCACATGCCGTTCAGAAATTTTTGGGCCTATTTTTTAAGACTCAAATACGATTTTTTTGTGTCAAGTTTGAATCGAAATTTTTGACTGTTGTCGTAAAAAATTATCACCGGCTTAATCGAAAAAGCCTGTCGAAATTGATTTGTTCGAACGGTTCTTCAGCCTATTCAAGAAAAAAATAGAATTGATGAAAAAAGAATCTGTAAGAAATCTGTGAAAAAATCCGGAAAATAATGCAACTATAAAATTAAAGAAAGAAGAAAATGAATCGATGTGAATGGCGTCTGTCAATCTGATCTAATATGCTCTCTTCTTTATCTTGAATTTGTTTTTATTTTTTGGATAAAATATTATCCCATTTTTTTCAATGACAACTACAATCATCTTTCAAACACTTTCACATTCTTAGCTTGTTTCTCATGCTGGGCCATCTCAAATCAAACTGGGCCTTAATATTGGATTAGACAGGTCGGCAGGCCCGTTCGCTGATTTAGGCTAGCTTGGGACAAGTTAGCCGAAAGCTGGGCCAATAATTATTCTTCTTGAACTATATTTGTACGGGATCGGTCTAATTAATTTTAAGCGTACAGATAGACTATGCTTCTTTTTGTCAGTTTTATATTTAGTTAGTTGATAATCAATCAATCAACCAAGTTAATAACAAATAAAATGAATTGTAATTAGTTATTATTATTTTGTTAACGTGACAATTTTCTGAATATCAATTGAATATATTTTTTTTTGAGTCGAACGTAATAGTTTTGGAAACACATCTAAATAAATATTGCAAGTTACATTACTAATTAGAGTTAATCATGCCATTTAATCTATTCAACATATATTAAAAGCACACACAACACTTGTTATAATGATTGTAACACAATAAATTATATTATATTAATATAGTGCAAATATTAGTCACACAATAAAGAGGGGTTAAATAAATAGTTTAATTTTGTTGTTAATTCACCACCTGTGCTGATGCATAGAAATTTGTTCTATTTAATTATAAAAATTAGTATAATTATATTTTAACTTGTTAGCACTCTGCTGAATAAATTCAATCAACACTTGATCCGTGCTGTTTGGCACTGCTAATCTTCATAGTTTTTATAAGATAATTTAATTACCTTAATTATTCATTTATTCGTTTGTTTATTAACTATCAAGCCATTGATTGTAGTTTTGTATATCACTTAAATACAGGTTTCATTGCATATTAGATTTAGGTTTTTTGTTTTTTTTTTTTTTATTTGAAATAAATCAATATGTTCTTCTTTTTTTTTTTTTAAAGTAATTGTACACTCCTCGATAATTTATTTTTACTATCCTTATTTAATTAATTTATTATTTATAGAAGTAAATTTGAATTTTGTTTTTATTGTATTTATATAAAATATTAATATTTTAAAATTTAAGTGCAAAAATAAATCAATAAATCATCAAAATTTATTTTTACTTTTATCTTTTTTGTTGTTATTTTAAAAATCATCAGGTCCAATAAGTACACTATTTTTTAATAAAAACATATCGTTTTATCGTATCAAATACAATATCAAAATATAATATAAATTAAAATAAAAAATCAATTTTAAACAAAAATTAAGAATGTATTATTTTACATAAAAAAATTTAAAGTTTTACTATTTTGATTATGCAATTTTTTTATTACAAAATATCTTATTATATATTATTTTAATATTAAATTCAAATTATTTTCTTTTTTTAAATATACGAAAGAAACGCACCCTAAAACTTTTTCACTCATATTATTTATTTATTATTTTTTAAAATTAATATTTTCGTTTTTTTTTTAATCGGAAATTTTTTAAATACAGTAATATTTTGGATATACTTAAAAGTTTAACGGAGCACAAAAAATTTTTGATAATTGCTCAACAGGAAACCAAAAAAACTGCGCATTTCTGAGCTATCTGGGATTCTTCTACAATTGAAGCAAGTCCCTCCGAATTCCGCCTGAGCAATCCGACGGCGACCGTCGCTCGTTGATCCCCGGCCATTGGATTAGATGACTTATGTCGCCGGCCTTAGTTGACTCCGCAGCGCCGCCTTCATCTGGTTACGATCAGATATTCATTTCCTCTGCACAATAGCTCCGCAAGCCTTTCAGATCAAATGGATCAGAATTTCGGCTTCAATTCGTCGTCATTGGGACCCTCGACACCCGCTGCTGGACTCTCCCGCGCGGCGCGGTTCGCGAAGGTCCGGAAACCCTCGACCGGCCATCGTCCCAATTCCAATCTAGTCCGCCCGGTGTGGCAGCCGAGTGGCATCGAGTCCTCGCACAGTAATTCAGGGTTTGACACTGCCAAACCCTCTTCTGAGTCGAGTGTGGATCGTGGATTTGTGTTTGGTTCCAATGATGGTGGTCGTGCTAACCCTAGCAGCATTAGCAGTAGTAGTTCTTTATTTGGTGAAACTGTTGCGGATAGCAGTCTGGAAACAGGTAAAGTAGTGGATGAGATGAGGAGATTGAATATTGATAGGGGAAAGGCTTTTTCGAATAGTAGTCACAGTACCACAGGCCATAATCCAAATTTGATGGGTACCGGTCGCTCAATTAGAAGCGTGGATCAGATCATGGATTTTGGATTGCCTGATGAGATGAGAAGGTTGCACATTGAAAGATCCTGGAGTGTTGGTGGCGGAGGTGATGCTGACCATTTGGATTTTGAGCTTCCTAACAAGATGAAAAATTTGAATGTTGAAGATTCTTTGAACCAATCAGTGAAAGAAAAGGTCTACAATGCTCGTCCCAGCGACGTGTATGGAGAAGAAGACAGTGGAAATGCCAATGTGTCAGCTGGCTTGAATGCAACTGGAAATGACACTGCTCACCTTAGGCCCGAATCAAGTTTGCATTTTGCTGCAGAAGCTGTGAAGGGCATGCATGCTATGGGTGGTGAAAGTTTGCAAAATGTTTCTGAATTGTTCAATACTAGTTTTAATTTTCAAGCTGGATCAAACAGCAGTAATAGTGGTAGTCAAGGGAGTTTGATACAAGAACAGGATTCGACTTCGTCAACATTGGGTGGCATTCATTTCAAACCATTTGGGAGGGTCCCTGAGATGCCATTTGTGAGCCAAGATGAAAAGAAAGTTGAGTTTAGTTTCACAAGCAAGTTGGGTAGTGGGATACCGCAGCATGTGGAGTTCAAGACACCAGATCCAATTGGAAACAAAATATTTGGCCTAAACAGAATGGTCGATACAAAGAGGGAAATGGCTAAGGAAGGTGGATTAAAGAAAAAGAAGGGCAAGTGGAAGAAGCCTAATCAAGTTCCGACCAAGTTACCACAAGAATTTTTATTTCATGATAATTTGGCAGAAAATACAGAATCTTCAGAACAATATTCGCCCATGGACCTTTCCCCATATGAAGAAACACTTGCTGATAGTACTTTTTCAAGAGAGACCTCAGTGGCATCTGAGGAATCTTCTCGTCTTGATGAAATAAATACATCATGTGAAACAGGCCTAAATGTTTCAAATGACGATGTTGATGATGTTTTAATTTCTGCAACCAAAGACTTGCATATAAATGAATATGATGTAGCAGGCAATGAAGGGCTAAATGAATCTATTCATTATGCAAATCATGGTATTAGGGTTGAGAGTCCTGAAGAAGGTGCTGTATCAGGGGGTGAGACTGACAGTTTCAAGTCTGCTGCTGATGAGTTGGATTACAGTGTTGACTCCTTTGTTACTGCAGCTGAGACTGAAGTAAGTTCCAGCTATAGTGAGAGACAACACAGTGATGGAGACCAGTTGCAGAGTATGTTCACCTTTTCTGCCTCTTCCTCTTCTGTCAATGAGGTTCCTGCATCAATGCCTGCCCAGAAAAAGAAAAATCGGGTCAAATTCAGCCACGATTCATACAGCACCGCTCCAAGTATCAAAGTTTCACAGGCATCTTCAGACTTACCTTCATTTCAATTTTCTGGATTTCCGGCAGCATCTCCTCAGCAAGGTCACAGTGGTCACTTCCCTGAGTTGGGCTCAAAAATGGATAAGGCTGAGCAAGTCAAGGAATTGGGAACTAAGCAAGATTCTGCTACAGTTTCCAATATTGCTGTTCAGGAATCTTGTGAGAAATGGAGGTTGAGGTGTGAATTCATTCACCTATGCTTTAAGATTAATGGAAAAATTGTACTTTTGGTGTTGTTTCTACTCTATATTCAGTATGATGGCTGTTTGGTTTTGGTTTAGTGACATCAGTAGTTTCTTGTATGATTGATATATGGGTTTGCTTCTGATGTTATTTAATGTCAGGGGGAATCAAGCCTATGCTAAAGAAGATTTCTCTAGAGCTGAAGATTGTTACACTCAGGGAATTAATTGTATATCCCCGAATGTGACATCTAGAAGCTGCCTCAGGGCTCTAATGTTGTGTCATAGCAATCGTGCTGCAACACGCATGTCACTTGGAAGACTGCGAGAAGCATTGGAAGATTGTTTAAGGGCTTCTACAATAGATCCAAATTTCCTCAAGGCGCAAGTTCGGGCTGCAAGGTAAGCATGCTTTTAATGTTTTTTGGTTTTTAAACAATGGCCCTGTATTACACCATATTTCTTGATGGACTATGCATAATGTTACCTCTTCTTAGCCCTGCAAAACTTGTAGCTTGGAATTAGTTTGGTTTGGACTCCAGTACGATTCAATTATTTGGTGATATGTTGAAGTAGCATAGTTGACTTGCTCTTCTACAGCTTGAATCATTTGGACTTGGCTCATTGTTTGAATTGAAACCGTTGATAATTTAGCTCCATTTCTAATGAATTCTTTTTTTTGTTTTTCAGCTGTTATCTATCCCTAGGGGAAGTTGAGAATGCAGCTCAGCATTATATGAAATGTTTGCAAGCAGGGCCTGAGGTCTGTGTGGACAGAAAGCTTTTAGTAGAGGCTTCTGAGGGCCTTGAGAACACGAAGGTATTATAATCTGCATTATTACAGAATTCCTTTATATTATGAAACTTTAGTTGGAACTTGGAACAACGTTTTGTCTTTCACATTTCACCTGCTGCTAGATCACTTATGAATAGCTTAATAAAGTGGCTGGCGCACGTCATACCTGTCAATTCTCTGCATCTTTCTATATCTGTAAGTTAGATGTAGTGTATGGAGGAAGCTGTTGTGTATGATGATTCCTAACATGACATTTGTGTGCCAGGCTTCTATGTTCTGTCAAAAATTAGAAGTGTTAGTACTTAAGAATAGCAGATAATTTTGATATGAAACTAATTTGTGGATAAGAGGCTGAAGTTTGCTGTATATTATAGGTACACTTAACACTTTTGGCTTCTCACCATTATCATGAAATAATATAAGTTGAGATTAACCTGATATCCTGATCTACCTGCAAGTATTTTACTCGGCAGTGATTTTTTTTTAATCTCCCATTATCAATGCTTGAACCCCTTCTATCTCCATCTTTGAAATTGATGATGACCTCAATATTGTTCTATAAACTGACTTGGTTCAGGTTCAATTTATTTATTTTATTTTTATTTTTTTAAATATTGATGCTTCTGAAACTTCTAGGAAATGTCTTTTGTTTTGAACTCCTATGTAAACTTTTATTATCATGAATTTTCAATCAGGATATATTTCACCGGGGATCAGATTGAACATGCTGGCCCTTGCAAGACTTTTTTATTTTTGGAAGTCATGTTATTAATGCTATGGGGCAGTGAGAATTGCCATAAGTTTGCCTTAAACTATTGATTTTTTATTTACCTTTTTTTCCCTGTGAACTATAAATTACTATACTTAATAAAATAAGCAATGCTAAGATAAAAATGGCTTCCAGAAAGTTGCAGAATGTATGAAGCAAGCGGGAGAACTTTTGAGACGAAGAACATCCAGTGACATTGAACATGCTGTTGGTGTGATTTCAGAAGCATTGAGGATATGCACTTATTCTGAAACTTTGCTTCAGATGAAAGTGGATGCTCTACTCATGGTATGTAACTTGTATTAGGAGAAAAAAAACACATTTCTTTCCAGTGGTGTATGGAACCTGTATCTTTGTCTTCTGTTTTTGTTCAATACCTTATATTCTTATTTTCATAACAGCTGAAGAAATATGAAGAGCTAATTCAATTTTCTGAGGGCATTCTTGCTTTGGTGGAATCAAATTTTCTGTTATCTGGTTGTTCTTTGCCCTTGGAGCTTCATGGCTCTGACTTGCAGAGGGCTCCTTCCTTCAAGGTCTGGTGCTGGTCACAGATCATTAACTCCTACTTCTACTTAGGAAAACTTGATGATGCCCTCGGTTATCTTAAGAAGGAAGAGGAATCAGTTTTACTTGTGGAAAGGTAATATGCACTATGCTCAATTGTGTCTATATATATGCTTCACTCAATTAGGGATGACGATAGGGTAATGCTGTGGCCTGACCTACTGAGTTTTCAGTGGTTCCAGGACAACCACTAAATGTAACTTGTTAGATCCAATAATTCATTTAGAATAATTAATGCTATTGGTCCCTTCCTGCTCATTTTGTGATTGCCTATGGCTTTCAATCAACTTAGTTAACAACTCTTATTTTTTTATATTTTTTAGTTAATGTTTTTTAATTCAGTTGGAGCGGGCCCAGGTTGAAACACGTCCTAGGTTCTGGTTAATATTTATTTCCCTAAACTGAGACCAAATTATTGCTATTGCTATCCCCATTCCAATTGATTGTATTGCTCTGGTGGCTTAAAGTTTGCTTGGAAATTTGACTTTTCAGACGCGAAAGCAGAAAACTTGAGTCCATGATTCCACTTGTCGGTACCATACGGGAGTTGTTACGCCACAAGGTAGGCAGTCTCTTGGATAAGCAAATTATAAATTGTGTTCTTCTAGCATTTGATATATGCGTTGTAGTTGGGAACATGAATTTGCTTATGCTGTAAGTGCAACCAAAAATCTGTGTATAAATCAACAATACAACAATTGTACATATGTAACTCAAGTTTATTGTTACTGACTTAGTACACAACAGTGTTCTTTATGCTAGAGAAATTGTCATAAATAGCACATTAAAAAATTGCAGAATGAGTTTACAAATAAAAATTGTTTCTCAATATGGTATGGGCTTAGGCTTATTGGCATTGTTACCCTGTCAGTAGATAGATGCTTAAACCGGACCAAACATTGACTGTAACATCAGTTAAACGCAGGTAACATATTAAATTATCTTTTTAAACAGTTGGAACTTACATGGTTGCAAATATGATGCTGTTGTATGTGATGGTGATATCCATTCAACTTATACTACATCCTAACTTAGCAGCAATGTCATCCAGTAGGCTAAAACTTATAAAATGCTGAACTGCTTTTATGTGACTAGCGGATGACATTTTGAACAAATGATATGGAGTTTCTTCTACTCATTATGCCCAACAGGATATTATTGATTGATTGAGAATTGAGAGTGCCTTCTTTATGTGCAATCCATTGACAATTCTCTTTTTTTCTTCACTTGCCTCTTTGTTCAAGTACTAACATAGATAAATCAGTTTTGCTGCTTGTTAACGGAAACTATTCTTTTTTGTGTGTGTGTGTTTAGGTTGCAGGAAATGAATTATACAAATCAGGAAAATATGCTGAAGCTGTAGAACATTATACAGCAGCTATATCATGCTCTGTTGAGTCGCGCCCTTTTTCTGCTATATGTTTTTGTAACCGTGCTGCAGCACACCGAGCTATGGGCCAAATTATAGACGCCATCTCAGATTGCAGCCTTGCCATTGCTCTGGATGGAAGTTATCACAAGGTTTTCTTCGAAACATTGGCTTGGTTTGGATTTGTTTTGGGGTTTTGGTGTTCTGGGAACAATAAACATTGGAACTGAAATAAAATTTTGATATGATCCTTTGGATGGAAGATTAATTTGAAGGTAAAACTTCAACTGAAAAATGAGTTTTTGATCACATGTTCTTAAGGGGAAAAATATTGATGAATAGCGTAGATAAGATTATCTCAAATTAGCTACTGCAAATGTTTTGTCATAAGTGATATCTATCTAATCTCTGAATTCTAGTCAATGAAGTTAGTCAGTCTGGCATTTTATGTATTGCTGTCCTTCTTGGTGTGCAACAGTTGGGTTGAGTTTCATGATGAAAACTGACCACCTGTCATCGTAAACATCACATACTCGTCCAGTGGAAATGTTTCCAAGTTCTTTCATGGATTTTGTTGAACCTTTAGTGACTGGCTTTCCTCAATGATGAGCAGGCACTCTCTCGAAGAGCAGCACTATATGAGATGATTAGAGATTATGAACAAGCAGCAGGGGATCTTCAGAAACGTGTATTCCTTCTCACAAACGAATTAGATAAGAAAGCTGATATATCTGGAACATTGGATAAAGTGGACTATTTGAACGAGCTTCAACAAGCTCGGCTTAAACTTTCAGAAATGGAAGCAGCTGCCCAAAATGAGATTCCCCTGAATGTGTATCTTATTCTGTAAGTACACATAACTATCATTCAGCAACTCTGTTGAATGTGAACTGTTTGCCATGTTTTTGAAAGTTTACAATCTTGGCTTAAATCATATGTCGAACCAAAGAAGGTAGGAAGTAATTAGATTTCTAATGCCATAAATTTCAATAATAGCACTAAAAATCAATTAGATGTATTCAGATACTGTTGTAAGAATACTAGATTAATATTTGTTGAAGCTTGAAGGGTTCTCAGATGCCTATGGAACAAATGAATCCAGTTGATGAAAGTTTTAACTCTTCTAAATTACAGGACTTTAACATAGGAATTAAGCAGTTTAGAGCAATTATAGTTTATTTCATGACTTTCTGTCTCCTGAAAGCTGCTTCGATGTTCTGAGTTTCATATTCTGTCTGTACTGTCGCCATTCTACATGTAATGGAGCATTTTCCTGTGAAAAATAGGTTGACATTCTTATGTGATAAAATCATTGTATAAGTAATCCAACTGTTATGCTAAGTTGATAATTCGACTGCTTTTTGCATCCCAGGGGTGTCGATTCATCAGTCACTGCATCTGAAATTAAGAAGGCATACAGAAAGGCTGCATTGAAGTATCATCCAGACAAGGTATTGATATATAACCTTTGCTTGGGTGCTGCCGCGCTTGTTTGATTCATTCATTTAAATGCAAAAGGCTAACCTAAAGTACATTTTAATTGGATGGTACAGGCTGGTCAAATTTTCACAAGAAGTGAACATACAGATGACGATATTTGGAGGGAAATAGCAAATGAAGTGCATAAAGATGCAGACAAGCTATTCAAAATGATTGGAGAAGCATATGCAGTACTTTCGGACCCTGTCAAGGTATCTTTGATTCATCGAAACCTAAATTATCTTTTACCTACCATTAGTTTTGCTGTGGTGCTTAATTTAAGCCGAATTTGCTTGTTGCTGGGATGATATATATACTGAAAAAGTGGGTCATGTCGTAGCCTCGTAGCTGATAAGAGTAGTTATTTTATTACATGGCAAGGTAGCATACTTAATAACAAAATTGCATTTGAATGTGAAATTGAAATTAATGAGACCTGGGGTTCACATTGATGGAATAAAGCAAATTACACCTCATGAAATTTTTGTTTCCTTACAAAAATAACCATCAGTGGGAGGTAAAAATTTAAGATTTTATTGGAAAATGAGAATATTTATTTTTTCTTCTGCAGATTCATCTATAAGATACACATTTTACAAATACAAAAATAATGTCATTTACTTATCGAGTGCTTTCCCCTTGCAGCGATCACAATACGACCTTGAAGAAGAGAGGCGAAATGCACCCAGCAGAACCCATGGCGGAAATTCCTCCAAAGGGTATTCTGATTTCCAAAACTACGCATATGATAGCAGCGGCAATAGGAGACACTGGCAAGATGTTCGGAGATCATATGGGAACCCTACGCGATGGTCCAAAAGAAACCAGTACAATTGGTACTCATGAATGCTTCATTTGGGATGAAATCCTACTGATTCCTGTTGTAACAACACAGCCTTCTTCTTCCTCTCCCCAAATAAAATATTCATTTCGACAAAACCGAGAAGAAGACTACAGGTAGCTGATTCCTGCCAGGTATATACATACACATAATAGCCCTTCAATGCTTGCCAATTTTGCGCGGATTGACGAAATTTTATGAGAGAACAGGGACAGGAGAGGTGATATGTGATTGTATTAGGGAGGATGTGTGTATGCTTGTATTGATTTGTAGAGTATATCACATTGTTGTACAGTGATATATATGCTTTTTCGATGAATTTAAAGTTGGAACCAAAATTGAGCAACTACAATTATTTGTTTTTATTGTTGTATTGTAGGATAGTGAATTGTATTGTACTGTACTGTACTGTATACTATGCTTGATTCCTTTATATTTGCTCCACCCATTCATAAGAAGACACGTGTCATACAAAATCCACGTCAGCTGCACTTCTGTGCCTTTGTTTATTAGGGCTTTCTCTGCACAAACACACACCAAGAAATCATTTTCAAAATTGCCTCTGCTCGTAGAATGAGAAATTTCCTTTCATTACTCTGCAAAATTAAGCGATCGTTGTATGCAGACATCGGTCATCGTTTCTGCAAATTCGTCATGAGGAAGACAACGCCACAGCAAAGCAGCACTGTCATCGTCGACTCTTCAACAGCAAGTTCCGTACAACACTGGCAAAGCTTGGAGATCGCCGGAGACATTCAGAAAATCTAATTCTCGCAATAATTGTATGAGGTCTTTAATCTACTACTCTGGTTTTAGTTCCTTTCTATATGAGGTGGCGGTGTGCAGGAATTTCCTGATAGTATATCTATTCTTATCTGTTTTAATTTCTAGAATTGGAAGTATAAGGATTTACCAACGGATGAACATACTAACTGAGTCTCACTCAACGCCAATTCAATTCTTCAGTTAAAGTAAAGCCGACGGGATGGTGATTGGACCGATTGAAGTGCTAAAGGAGCTGGGACCTTGGGTCCCGACTGTGGAATGGAATGGAATGTATCTCAAGTTTGTTTTTTATGGAGTGTATTGTTGTAAGTTTTAGTGCTTAATTTTGTAGATTTTGTTTTGTTTGTTTGAATCGTAACTTTCGGATTAATTTAAAATAAAATATTAATTTAAAATTTTATTTAAATAATATTTTGATTTAATATTTTATAAGAATTTAAAAATATAAAAAAACAAAAATATATATTAATTTAAATTTGAAATAATAAACAAACAAATTCAAAATTCATTATATTTATTCCATTTAATATATTTTTATAACTTTATATATTTACGATAAATAAATATTTAAAATTATAAATACTATACAAATCTATGATGAGCATATTATATATCTATTTGATTTATTTTAAATCAATATTTTAAACAAACACCATCGTAATATCTTATTAAAAATTATAAATATTTGATACAAAGATTATCTCCTAAATCCCAACTGTTTCCGTGTCCGATCTCCTAATTTGCTACATCCAATCAAAAAGAGCCACGTGTCATTAAAAAAATTAGTGTCAGCCTGGACTTTGTTTGCCTATATATACACCTCTTCGCTGCACCGACTCACCACCGTATACACACGTTGATAGTTGTTTTATAATTTTTTGATCGCCGGTAGGAATTCGACGACGAGATTATCATTGATTTCTGCAAATTAATTAAATTAGTCGTCATGATGAGGACAGCACCAAAGCAGCAGCACTATCGCCGTCGTCAGCAACCACTTCCGTACAACGCCGCCGGCAAAACTTGGAGAGGATCGCCGGCGACATTCAGAAAACCTAATTCTCATAGTAATTCTACGAAATATTCAATCTACTAGTGTATATTTGTTTTTGTGAGATAATTTGAAATGATATTTTTTATGTGAGGTATAAGAAATTAGTTGAGGAATATAAGAATAATGAAAATGTCTTACGGTGTGTTTCCTAAAAAAAAAATGAGGCAAGATAAATAAAAATAGTCTTATTTTTCTTGTTTATTTGAATCCATAAATGGAACTTGAAAAATAAATCATTTTTATTTCTTTAAATTTTCAGTTTTACAAAACAAGAGAATTAATTCTTTCTTTCCAATTCAATTATGTCTGTCCTGTAATTTCATTCTTTGTACCTAAGGTCATCTTAATATTTTTGAAAAAATATATTTTTTATTGAAATATCTATTTGAGGATTATAAAAAAAACATAGAAATGGGTGTATTTTTTTTGGTTGAGTTTGAAAATTTTTGGTTTGAATTTGATATTAAAATAATATTTGATGGGATGTTTTGTAAGAAGAAAAAATATACTCCCTCCGATATTTAAGGAGATGATGTTTAATTAGTTAATAATAATTAATTATGATATTATTATATATTTTTTAAAATAATTAATAATATTTATATTTTTAAGTAAATTTAATATATATGATTAAAAAAATTAAAATATATGTTTAAATATTTAAAAATTATATAGCAATTAAAAAATATATGTAATATGGATATCATTTTGTAGAGAATAAAATTTTCTATAATACAATTAAATAAAAAATATTTTTGTTTATTTATAATTTAACATAAATCAATTTTATAAAAGATGTGTAGTTTTAAATATAGGTAAAAATATTTATTTTTTTTGAGGATAAATGTAGAAATAAAGGGGTTTTAAGTGGATCCTGCATCATTTATGACGTTGTATATTACGTAGTTAATTAAGTTGATTTATATTTGTTAAATATATTTTGAATTAATAATTTTTACCAAAAATAGAAATGTGTCAATTGTTTTGGGATAGACAAAAAAATAAAAATAGTGTCAAGTGTGATTGGAAAGAGGGAGTATTTTTTTGGAAAAATGCAGAGAGTACAAACAGTAATTCTTTATGGTGATATTTGCGCGTCAATCCGGCCATGCAAGTAATTTAATTATGTGACTGAGGATTATTTCTACCAGATATTTTTAATTAATATCTTATTTTGATTTAATTAAATTTCAAATTTATAATTTATATATGCATGTAATTACAAAGAACGGTTATACTGAATGATATATATATATATGTTGATTTTTTACAGTGGTTTGGGTGCCGGCGGTTCCTAAATGGGAGAAGGACTTCTGCCGGAAAGTAGGCCAATTCGAGTGGCGCAATTTCGTCGAAGCCAAAAACAACGCTATATCGCTCGCCGTCGACCTCTGGGATGACTCCGCCGCCGGTGATGCTTTCCTCGCCGCCAAAAGTAGCTATTACGCGCGCCACTGCGGCGGCGCCGCCGATCAAGCCACACCTCAAAACCCTAATTTATACATCGACGAAATTGTCTGGGAAGAGCCCCGCGGCGACGGCGACGGAGATGATGGAGACGAGGATTTTCTGAGGTATAACGACGAGGAGTGTATTGCCGGAAAAATTTGTGAGATCCCGGTGGAGGAGATTAAGCCGGTGGGATGGGATCCGCCGGCTCCCCGATTTGCCCCTGGGTTTGATCTTGAAGGAATGGTGATTGGACCCGATTGAAGTGAAGGAGGGGCTGGGAGTATGGGTCCCGAGCTGTGGAATGAATGCATTCGTTGATGTATCTGGAGTTAGGGATGAATTTAATTTTTTGAAAATTGTGATGATTGGTTGTTTTTTATTGTATTTAATCGTATTCGTAAAAAATATGCTCATTTAGTTTTGAACACGAATTCTAACATGTTGTGTATCTTTTATTTTTATGATAACAAAATTAAAAGATAACATTAAAAATATATTTATTTTTATATAATTTTTTTATATATATCATTCTATTATTATTATAAGATACTAATTAAATTATTTTTTTAATTTTTTTTAATTTGTATTACAATTTTATATAATATTTAATATTTAAATATCAATACACAAAAATTAAATGAACTTTTAGAATCGAACAGACGGAGATAGTAGATTAAAAATGATAAATGTATATATGATTTTAGTTGCCATATTTTTTTAATAAAAGGAGTATTAATTAATTAATTAATTAATTAATTAATTAAAGAAGAAGAAGAAACATATAGTATAATGTTTGAATTTTTATCAATGTTTTAAGAAAATTGTAATTATAAAAATGCCAAATTTATAATCTTATACAATTCGGTTTTAAAAATATATTGACTAAATTAAAACCAAGAAGTTGGAGAAATATTTGAAAGTTAATTGAACTAAAAAGATTTTATCAATCTAATAAATGAGTCTCAACAATGTTCATATGTTGTTTAGGAATTATATTTTTGATATATAATGAAAATAAAAATATTTAGATCTCACTTATTGAATTTATTGTTTAGTCGGAACTTAAATTCGATGTGGCTTTAATAAAAATATCAAATATATTTTTTGATCTAAACTTATGTTCGTTACCATTTAATGAAAATATTTATTTACATCTCATATACAAATATTTAACCGTTCGATTCAGAACATAAGTTCGACTTAAATAAATACGTTTACTTCTTATTAACTAATCTCACTGTTAACACCTCACTTGATTCGATGAATTTGTATTTGATGATATATTTTAATTAAATTGGTTTGAAATTTAAATATATTATTTGGTATTACAAAATATTTAAAGAAAATAGATTAAATTTGAAATATGCTCTTAACATCATAATTGAAATTCACTGTATTATCAAATTAAATTATTTGATTTTAGAAAGTAATTTATATTTGTTTTAGACCAAATCAACCTAACCAAGTAATTAGAATTAGGGATTATTAGTAGATCTTAATTATATAAAGTTGTAAGTGTTATAAAAGCTATTTAATTTAATTTTTCTATTTTCAAAATGAACAGTAAATAACATTTAAACAAAAAAAAATAAAAACTTTCATTTCATTTTAACATTAACTTCTTATACTTAATAAAATTATTGAAATAATTAGGCAAGTTTTTTTAAAAAACAATATGTATGCAAGTTAATCTAGATAAAATAATAATTATATATCCAAATTTTGTTATATACACTATCAATATTTTTTAAAAATTTAATTTATTAATTATAATACAATATTAAATTTTATATAATTGGTCGAACATAAATTATGTTAACTATAATATAATATAATAATCGACAAAATTAAATAAAATTTAAAACCATTTCATCTAATTATATCGCTAAGAATCCCAGTAATAAATTGAATTAATTAATTATATTAATGACAAATGACAGTAATGTTTTTACTAAATCCTCTATCTATAATTCCTAATTTCCCAAATTAATACAAATATTATCTCCTAATCCCAACGGTCTCCACGTCCAATCCTCTAATTTTCTACAGCCAATCATATCAATACACGTGTCATTGAAAATCCACGTCATCCCGCCCTTTGTTCGCCTATATATATATATATTGGCCTCTTCTTTGCACCGCCTTACCACCGCAAAATTATTTTCATAAATCATAATTTCCTCTGCTCATACATTTTGAAATCATTTATTTTCCCCACTATCAATCGATCGTCGACGTTAACCGTTTTTTTTCTGATCGCCGGTAGGAATTCGACGGCGAGATTTTCGTTGATTTCTGCAAATTAATTAAATTCGTCGCCATGATGACGACAGCGCCAAAGCAGCAGCACTATCACCGTCGTCAGCAACCAGATCCGTACAACGCCGCCGGAAAAACGTGGAGAGGATCACCGGCGACATTCGGAAAACCTAATTCTCATAGTAATTCTACGAAATCTTCAATTTACTACTCTCTCGTGCTTTTTATTAACTTAATTATTAAGAGAAACCGTTTTCTTTGTTCCTGTTTTTTGACCTTATTATTTAGTTCTGTTACTTAAACTTTGTATTCGATTAGTTTCATAATTAAATTTTATATTGAATTAGTTTCACAATTAAAAATTTTAGGTCAAATACGAAAGTTATTGGCCTTGTGGCATCGTCTTATGACGGAGATTATGTGAATTACAAGTGGACGTCTACTTGAGGATTATTTTAAAATATTATATTGAGAAATTATACTTAGACGTTTCTCACATGTCATTCACATGCATAATCTCCGGCGAGCCTCGATGCAGCCACGCGAGCACTCTTGTATTTTTAATTATGAGACTAATAAACACATGGTCTAATTCTAGTTTTAAAATGATAGAGTTTCGTACTTAGACTGAAAAATTAAATTTCCATTAATTAATTTATTATATTTTGATTTAATTAATTCTCGAATTTACGTATTCAGATATGCATGCAATTACAAAAAGCGATTATATTGCTACTATTTGAAATTAAATAATTTTTTAATATATATATATATATGTTTATTTTTTTACAGTGGTTTGGGTGCCGGCGGTTCCGAAATGGGAGAAGGACTTCTGCCGGGAAGTTGGCCAATTCGAGTGGCGCAATTTCGTCGAAGCCAAAAACAACGCTCTATCGTCGCTCGCCGTCATCCGCTGGGATGACTCCGCCGCCCGCGATGCTTTCTTCGCCGCCAAAAATAGCTATTACGCGCGCCACCGCGGCGGCGGCGCCGATCAAGCCACACCTCAAAACCCTAATTTATACATCGACGAAATCGTCTGGGAAGAGCCCCGCGGCGACGGCGACGGAGATGATGAATTGTTGAGGTATAGCGACGAGGAGGAGACAGACGAGGAGTGTATTGCCGGAAAATTTTGTGAGATTCCGGTGGAGGAGATTAAGCCCGTGGGATGGGATCCGCCGGCTCCCCGATTTGCCCCCGGGTTTGATCTTGAAGGGATGGTGATTGGACCCGATTGAAGTGTAGGAGGGGCTGGGAGTTTGGGTCCCGGGCAGTGGAATGAATGCAGTCTACGATGTATCTGGAGTTAGGGGACATGAACTACGATGATTGATTATTTTATTGGAATGAAACAAACTAATCCTTCAGTCCCACTAAAAAAACAATTTTATTTTTTATTTTTTATATTTTAATCAAAGTAATTATACATTAATAATAAAATATTTTTAATTTTTATTTAAATTATAAATATATGATTACATATATAATTAATCTATATATTTCTTATACACTCTTCACTGACTAATAAATTAATATTACTTTTATAATTTACTATAAAATTTTATAGTAATTATGATATTATTTGCTTTGTATTGATGATTCATTTTGGACGTATACTTAAGATTATCTGATATATAATTAAAAAAAAAAAATTATAAAATTTATTTGTAATTTATTGTTGATATTATTTTAAAAATAAATTTAATAGCTTATGAAGTCTATAATTTTTTATTTTTTTTTCTTGGACTCCAAAAAAAAATAATAAACGGTCCTCGGTATAATTGTAGAATTATTTTATTCTTCTTCACTTCTCCTCTCTAATTAAAGACAAAATTGCTCATTTTTATTTTTTTTTTTCTCTTTCCATTTCATATAAATCAAACTCACTGCAATTTTTAATATCCTCTCCCCAACCAAGCAGGCCCAAATAGATTATAATTAAAAATATCTCTAATTTAATTTATTTATTTTAAAACATATAAGAAAGAACAAAATATATATTAGCATTCATTTATATGTGATTTAAAAAAAAAAAAAAAAAAAAAAAAAAAAAAGACAACTATAAGATGGTTAAGTATTAAACAATAAAAATTGGTTGGAAGAACAATAGTTTTTGTAATAAAGAAACATCCATTTTGAACAAAAATTATTATATTCAACAACCATTCATCTAAATAAACAACAAAAAAACAAACCCCAACGCCTGATATAACTTTCCCGTCGAGCCTGGTTTGTAGGGTATTAGGTCACCTGCCACACATAATTCGCATAATGTGACTTTCCCGTCGAATCTGGTTTGAAGGGTATTAAATTTGACTGCGGATTCCACGTCATTTAAAAAAAAAAAAAAAAAAACAACAAAAAAAAAAAACAAAAAAAAAAAACAACAATACACAAAAAACCATCCTTATACAAGTGAAGAGCGTCTCTTAATACAAGTGAACTGTAAGAAGCAGCAGGTACAGGTTACAATCCTTATAAATCCGCACAACCAACGAACGGACATACGATCTATCTAACCTAGTGCGTTGATGCAACCGTAGTATATATATCGAGCCTGCAAGCCCCAAATTGCATTGCACATTTTACCGGGGAATGCAGAAATTGCAATTTTGCATAAATATATATATATATATCTCAAGAAGAATGAATTAACTCTCTACACTGAATCATCATAATCACCAGTCGTAGTTTCTTCCCATCCTGTTGTTGCTGTTGTTCCTGCTCGCGTTGTCGAATCTTGAAGCAGAATATCTGGGCCGATGAAATCTTGTTTGCCCATTGGAGGCTGAATCATCATAATTAAGGTTGCGAGGCCTTTTTGAAGAATGGGAGGCGGATGCATAACCGCCATTTGAGCTCGGGAGTTTAGCCCATCTACTCTTAGGGGTGCTTGGAGATCTCCAGTTCTTCGATTTGGATTTACTGTGGTAAGTGTATTCAGGTTCAGAATCAGGATCTTCGGTGATCCAGCCACCTCTGGATTTTGGCTTTTTAGGTGAAGCAAATTCTTGATGCTGAGATTTCTTCTTCCTGCGTGCCTTTGCGAGATCTTGAGGTGCAGATCTTGTGTCCCTTTTATCCCTATTCTTAGAAGACTTCTGTTTTGGTGTTGAAGGTTCCCGATGTCTCTTACCAGCCTGATAAAGACATGAAATTTTAAAACTACAATTACTTGGGATGTATGGGAGAGGCAAATAAGATACCTTGGTTGAATTGGTGCATTCCCGAGCAAAATGCCCTTCTAGACCACATCTGTAGCAAGAATGTGAAGGTACCATGTCCTCTGTATCTCCCGGTTGCCACGTGCACGCCTGCAAAAGTGATAAATGACGAGCATGAAGAGTTGCACATAAACTGGTAGAAAGGAATGATATCATGGCTGTTTGTAATATCTTAATTCGCGACATGGAAACAAAATCATCTTAATTCTTGTCTAATCCAGGTGTAGAATACAAATTGCCAGAGCTGAAAACTGAAGAAAAATAGTTCCTATAATGTAGCATAATTAGCTCGTATAATATCACCATTCAGGCAAGCCTACAGCATTATAAATGTATATGTCTTCTACTGCTACCAACATGTATGTCTTCCTACTGCTATAGCATTGTTGCAATTTTGGGGTTCGAAATAAATGTTTTTTTAAGTTGGGTCAGTTCAAGTTATCATCAATTGAGATCGAAAAGCAGATTGAACTCACCAAACCAGAATGGCCAGTAAGACCACATCTGTAGCATGAAAGCACTTGAGGACCACCATCGCTGTAATTTTTACAACACAGATGACCAAACCTTCCACAAATGTAACATTGTATCTCCTACACAAAAATACAAGTGCGGGGTATGAGAATAGGAAATTTGCTAAACCTGAGAAGAAACTGGCGTAAATCAGTGAACTATCACTAATGATACCTGGAGATCGTCTGAATAATAGTCATTTCTACACGAGAACATATCATGCCCTGGATCTCCACATTTAAGACATATCCTAGAACTTTTGAATTTGTCAGGACAGTCTTTTGCACGGTGACCATGCTGTTTGCAGATAAAGCAATCCCGTCCCTGCAAGATTAAAGAAACAAAAGCAGAAGAATCTAGTATTAAATTTAGTTGCTAGACAAAAGATAGGTACAATTTAATCACTTGAATGGCATTTACTTTATTAGAAAAAACTACAGTAGCAATAAATAATACATGCGTACTATGAACACTATAGTAGTGAGTTTAGATAGATTAGTGAAAAGATTGTTCACTTTAGTCGAATGACTCGAATCTACAAATTTATGAGATGAATTTAAAGTCCAGAAAAATATTCGATCTCATGGAAATAACCCATGCAACCACTATGGAGTCAGAAAACGGGGGTGTAGGAATCGTGCAAATAGTGAAATCCAAGAAGTAACCCCTTGGCCCTTTGAGCACCCACCTTGGAGCAATAGATGATGCATGTGTGCTATGAACACTATAGTAGAGAGTTTAGATAGATTACTGAAAATACCATTCTGAATTCAAAGTCATGGAAAAGCATTTGATCTCATGCAAAGAACCCATGCAACCACTATGGAGTCAGAGAAAATGGAGGTGTAGGAATCGTGTAAATAGTAAAGCACACACCTTGGAGCATTGTTTTGCATTATGTTCAAAGCTCCCACAGACAAAGCAGGGCTTCTTGCGCTTAGCAGCTGTACAGTTGACCGTTGTATGACCCTCTTCCCCACAATTGTAGCATGTTCCCCAACTACTATCTGGAGGATCAAAGTACCTAGGCCCCCTCTGACATCATAATAATTACAATCACGATGTGCAGTTTGTCTTACAAAAACAAAGCTTATCACAAAGTATTTTATCTTACAAGAAGCTTCCTCAGAACAACATTGTCTGATGACTCGGCAGGTTTTGTTTCATCAGCATTAAGTGAGGCATCAATTGCTTTATCAGGCAGTGGCTTCTCATCATCCTTCCCATGATCTCCCTAAGTAAAGTAGAAAAAGAAACAAATAACATCTCAGATCGAGAGCAAGGACGCATAGAGAAGTAGTAAGATCACACTCACATTTAATCAACAGGAAACCTACAAAGAAAGAAGATAGGTTCCCCCAATTAAATCAACTTTAGATAATACTCCCTCCGTCCCTATTTGCTTGCTATTATTTTTATTTTGAGATGTCTCAAAATGTTTGCAGATTTCTTGACTTTATACTGCATTTTTTTCCCTTTTACCCTTATCAATACAATTTATAAAATGGTAAAAGACTATGAAAATTATACCGCTTAACAAGCCATGCCGGAACAAAAACTATCAAAATAAATTGGGACGGAGCTAGTAGATAGTAACACAATGGTAATAATTTAATATGTGAACTTGTGAATGACAAACCCCTGATATATTCTAAAAAATATCATAATTTCAAGCTCCACTAACCCCAACTGAACCAATTTTGATAACAGAGCTTCTAATGCCTGTTATACAAATAGAGACTCAACCCTCAATACTAACAACCAAGACCATCTCCACTGTAGCCAGTTCTGAATCCTATAATATGGATGAAACTTTATCCATCATTTCAGTGTACCTATATCTAGAGCTGTTAAACGAGCCGAGCGAGCTCGAGTATTGGTTGTTCGAGCTCGACTCGAACTTGTTAATGATACAGGCTCGGCTCGACTCGTTAAGAGTTCGAGCCAAAATAGTGCTTCGAACACGGCTCGCTAGGCTCAAATTCAAGCTCGAGCTCGGCTCGTAAGGCTCGAACTTGAGCTCGAGCTCCGTTTGAATTTTATACATATTCTATATGTTTTTTAATATATAAATTAAATATATTTAATTTTATCATAATTTTTTATAATAAAATATTCAAATTTTAATAATAAATATAAATTTTGATATAAACGAGCCTTGTCGCGAGCCAAGCTCGCGAGCTACTCGATTCGTTTAACAGCTCTCCCTATATCTAACTCAATATCAACCATGTCAATAGTATACATACATGGTTATTTAAAAACATACATACATCCGCACAGCAAGTTCAGATCACAATCGTGCACAACTCATGTTATCCACCAAACAGCATCTAACACCCATCACACGCACAAACTAATACATTCTCAAATGCCTATGTCGTGTGGGCAGAAATCTATCAATCGAGCGTATGAATAGCTTAAATCTACTGAATCAAACATGTGTAAACATGAGTCATGAAGCTAAAAGTAGAAGATCAATCTTGAGACAACCAGAACCTCTCCCTAGTTCCCCACAAATATCTCAAAACCGAGTACCTATCAGACTGAAACATAATATTAATCGCTAACTTTGTGCGCGCATAGTTCTGAAAAATTGATCAAATCAATAGCATCCCATTAAACAAGTCTAAAACGAGTGCTTACAGAATCATCAGGAGCTTTAACGTCATGGGTCTTCGCCTTCTTCCTTTTCTCCGCTTTCCTCTCCTCTTCTTCCAACTTCACTACTGTTTCGTTCAGGTCTATACCAGAATCGACATCCACTCCAATTTCGTCGCTCTTTTTCTTCTTCCTTTTCTCCTTCCTCTTCTTTTCTTCCTTCAAAACCGTAACAATTTCAGAAACCCCATCCGTCCGCGGATCATTATTGACCGCTCGGCGCATGGATTTCCGAACGATTTCCAAGCTGAGGTCTCCATTAGCCTCCTCGTCGTCGTAGCTGCTCGCGGAATCTCTCCGCTTCCCCATGTCGTCTTTCGATTGCGCCCTATTGCCCCCTCTTCGATACTCTGCCGCTACAACGATAAGCAAAAATATTATAGTAGAATATCAGGGTCTTGGCAACAATGACAACGTAGGAATCAGCAAGGTCGGAACGATGGGGAGATACAAACCCTAACCCTAAAAAGTTCCCAAATCAGTAATCAGGACTGTAAAAAATTGGGCCCGGATCATCAAACCTTCAGTTTATATAAGCCCAGTCCCAAACAACTTCTTGAAACCGATGAACAAAAAGACCAAAATACCAGCATTACCGTATCTTTAATTGTGTGATTGTTAGAGGGATTTTGCCTAAGATTTACTATTCATTCAAAATAAAAATTTTAAAATTATCTCATCAAACACTATTTTTTTTATATTATTTTAAAAAATTAATTTTATATTCAAAATATCATATCAAAACATATTTATATCACCTAATACGATTCAAAATTTTTACTAAACCTCCAAACAAACACAAAAAAAAAAAAAAGAAAAACATAAAAGAAAAAAAAAATTAAGTTAATATTTCTCATATAATTAAAAAATATATTATTAAAAATAGTTATTATATAATAAAAATAAATATATATTAAAATTAATATAACTAAATATTATAATTAAAATTTAAAATGGAATTAGAGTATATAATTATAATAATAAAAAAATAATAAATTATGTGATGTGGACCAAAATAGAAAATAGACATTTAATTTAGGACAAATAAAGTAATTTAAAATATTTTATATTATACATTTTTGTTTGTTTGTGGATTGGAGAATTTGCTTTTGAATTTTAAATATAAAATTTTAAAATTAAATATTTAATTTGATATAAATGAACATTTACATAGTATTTTAGATATAAATTAAAATTGAATATAATGTAAATTATAAATGAGTAGGAATAACTTACATACACAACCATTAAACAAGCACAATAAACATAAAATATTATTAAAAAATAATAATATTATTACACTAATTTGTCTTTCTATATTAATAAATTTGACAACTTATAGTATTTTTTTCACTGTATACATATAAAATTATTAATATTAAAAAATATATTATATTGATTTATTGACATAAATACTCATTATTAAAAATGGGACATATAAAAAGAAGATAAATGGGCAAAAATACATTCTAGCCACAAGAACATAATCTTCTTATTCTTCTTCTCATCACTGTCACCATTTCTCTTTTTTTCTGTATGGCTTCCATATCCTCTTTAGCTTCTTTTAATTATCCCACCCTTAGATCTCAAATTCGATCGGTAAAATGTTGTCTAAACGATTTACCCATAAATACAAATTCATCGCAAAAAGAAAAATCAAAACTCGAAATTGGATCGCCGATAATAGTTATCGAAGCGCCGCAACTTTTGAAGACGGCCACCTCTGTTCCTTGTTTACGGGCAAATAACAATGTGGTCAAGCCGGGAGATGTAGGAAGGTATGCAATCAAAAATACTATTTCTCATTTCTTATAAGAAGAGTATTATGGATTTTTTGTACGTTGATATTTGACTATTAATTATTATGTTAAAATATACTATAAATAAAAATTTAAAAAAATACAAAGATATCTCTATTTGTCTCTTATAATACAAATACATCTGTAGAGTAAATTATATAAATATATGATTTTTTTTTTATGTTAAATACATTGACGCAAAACGCAAACGATACTCTTCTTATGGACGGAGGTAGTAATATGTTTTTATGATATGATTATTGGTTAGGTGTTATATTTTAAATTTAGTATTTTATGCTTTGAGATGAAGATGAATATTTATGTTACATTTGTACATATTTTGGGACGTTTAATTACAAAGTAAACATTTCATTAAATATTTCACTTTTTTTTTTTTCACAAATACTCTTTTTTTACATAACATCATTACTTTTAACTAATTATAATAAAATATTATTATTTCTTAAACATCGCGCAAAAAATAAATATTTACTTTGTGTATGGTTGGAGGGAGTATTAATTTATCAATAATTGTTTGTTGAATTTGTGAGACTTGTAGGATTGTATCGAGAAAGCCTAAGGATGTGTGGGCAGTTCGTCTCACCGTTGGCACTTATCTTATCGATGGAAAATATTTTAAACCCTTAGAGTTGGATGAATAATTTAATGTATATAGATGATTGTTTGTGTTATTCTATATATGTTATTCCAACGTTTTGTTGTATTGTTTTTTGTTATCATAGTCTTATACTCACTCCGTCAACGGAGAAAGTATACATTTACTTTTGGTGTCGAGTTTAAAAAATAATAGTATTTTAAATATAGTAGATAGGTAAAAGTAGTGTAATGACATTTTTGTCCTTACTTTTTTTTTATATAAAAGTAATGATGTGATGTAAAGTAAGGGTATTTTTGTGGAAAAAAATTGGGTATTTAATGAAATTGTTACTTTATAATTGGACGTCCCAAAATAGAAATATGTATACTTTGTAGTTTGACCGATGGAGTATATTTTTAAATGACAATTTTACATGTTTATTGTTTTTAATTTTGTGTGTTTTTTTAAAATTTATATTTAGGTGAAATGGATAGATGTAAATAAATATAGTATATTCTTTTTGAATGAAAAGTCTATACTCCCTCCCCCTCTCCCATTAAAATGTTACGATTTTCGATTTTCGTTCATCCCAAAACAAAGGTTATCATTTCCTAATTTAATAATTGTATTACCTATCTAGCATAATAAATATCCTTCCAACTTACACTATATTACACAAATGTCATTACTTTTATATTATACAATACTAATAGGGGTATTTTCGTCATTTTCACTAATATTCAAACATTTAAAAATATAAATAATAAATAAATAGACTCTGTAATTCTATAATATTAACCATGTTTTCTAATAGATTGATTTTTGGTGTATGATATGGATAATTATATCAAAAATATAAAATATATAGTTTTAAATTGAATATTTGATTTTTTAATTTTTTTTTAGTAAGTATTTGAATTTATTTATGTTTTTTAAATAAAAGTTTTTGTATTATTTATAATTATTTTTGAAGAATCGCAAGTAAAAATTAGTATTAAAAAAATATGCACTGTTTGTTTGATTGTAATTCAAATTTGATTTGATACGAATATTTATCTAAATATTATTTTGATATAATTATTTTGTTAAAAAATGATATATTACTACTAGAAGTTAAATAAAAATGAATATTATTAATTTTGATATTAAATACTAAAAGACAAACAATGTATGTTTGTTCATTTTTAGTTAATCCTCACGATATTGCATTTACACATGGACATTTGAGTCAAAGTTTATATATCAAGAATTCGGGTAGCGGCTGCGGATTCTCACGTTATTAAAAAAAACTTGACTTTCGACATAAGGTACCTCCGCAGGTCACGAGGGTGAGTCCACCACCACCACCTATGCCCAATGCCACCCAGTCTATTTCACCGTCTAACTGGACTGCCTTTGTGATAGGCGGTACAAGGTGGACAGAGAAGACCCGTTGGTTAGTCCTTGATTTGAAGGGAGGATTGTTGAAGTGCAAAAACTCAAGTTCTACGTTGAAAGTTGCTAAGAAAAATTTCACATTTTATAAGTCCCAAGTGAACTCCACTAGTAACGAGGCCATTTGGAGCAAGTCTAAAAACAAATTCATGTGAGTTATCACTTTCGAAAATATATACATAATAGTTTTAGGATTTATTTTATAGAAATAATCACAAGACGTTCTAAAATAAATCATTTTGTAAGAGTATAACAATTCCATTGTTTATGTTTTTTCTCATTCATAATAAAAAAATGTTTATGAACAAATTTAAAAATATATGTTATTTTTATCAAATATTTTAAAAACAATAAAAACACTTCACAATTTTATTTAAACATAACAATTGATAAAATGATAGACAATACTTAAAAATGTTTAAGGTTTAAACTTATAATTTTACAGTTATTAATTTATCCCCAAACTATAAAGCCATCTATTAAGGATAATAGCCACGTCACCTCCGGCGAGCCACGCGGGCCTCTTCAGCGCCGGAGGACTAAAACAACGAAAATTTTTCATTTATGGAACTAATTTGCGACATGCTCTACTTACCGGACTAAAATGATAAAAGGGTCTAGTTACTAGACTAAAAAACAATTTACCAAATATATATTATATATATATATTGTGTTAACATATATATTATATTTTTTATTATAATATTTATAATAAATCGTATTATCCAAAAAAATAAAAAATAGTTGAACAAATTCATTTATTGACTATTTTGGAAACACCCAATAACGCCTATTTTTGTGTACAAAAATTTCATAAATGTTTCTTCTTCTTTTTTTTTTATGATTTTTTTTTAAATGTTATTATTTTTTATATTATATATTCCACATTAAAAAAAATTAAATTAAAACGCTAAATAAATAAATTTATAAATTTATCATTATTAATTTTAAGAAAAGCATTAAGCTGTCAATATATATATCGGATCTGGTGCTACAGTATAGCGCACTACGGACCCATTACATTAATCTGGGCCAGGGTTGAGCGGCCCGCTGCTGTGACCCGTCTGGTCCGGGTCGGGCTGCCCCTTTGGTCAACTTGACATGCGCGTAACGCCCCTATATAAATTGACGCATATATTCATAACCCATTTCGAAATAAATTGAATTCCTAGAACGATATCGGAGACCCTCGTCGCACCGGAAGATTCGGATTCGTATTCTCTTTCCACCGATCCACCGAATCGAATTGCAATCCCAGAATTCGAAATAGCACCAAGTAAATTTTCTCCTAAAATTCTAGGGTTTTGTTTGTGTTGGAGAGTCGGCAGTTTGAGGAATTGTTTTTATTTTTATTTTTCATGTACAATTATATATTCTATCGGTGTAGTTTCGAATAATTAAGGTTGGATTCCGCCGATCGTCGATTTGATTGGAGGGTTTTAGAGAGGAATTAGCAGAATGTTTAACGGAATGATGATGGATCCGGAGCTGATGAGAATGGCTCAGGAGCAGATGAGTCGCATGTCGCCAGCTGATTTTGCTCGGATTCAGCAGCAGGTATTTGTGATCTTTCATACACGCTCCATACATTTTTTTTCTGTCCAATTTATTGCGTGTGTAAATGTCTGTGGTGTTCTTTGAGTTTTGGCATGACTTCGAGGAATCTGGTATATTGTGTACATATTGCAAAGCACTGAAAACTCTTGTGATATATATAGATTTGGTTGGATTTGTTTTGTCATTTGCTGTCTATAAGATATTATACGATGAGTGGAGATCGCCTGAAAGTGGAAGGAATTCTACGAGTTTTCAGAATCCGTCTATTGACATTTATCTTTCTATCCCTATATATTTTGATGATGATCATCTAAGAAAAAAAATGTGGGGTCTAATTCTAAAAGTTCCATCTCTTTCTAAAGGAAGACAATGATTCTGTGGGTAAATATTGGGTCTAGAAGTTAATACAGGTAGCAAAATGTAAGTTAAACTTGGACACGGCGCCGGCTATATACCAAGTTGAAGCAACCTAAGTATGCGATCTTTAGGTATATAACATGCATTTCATTATCACGCAAGTGAGTTTCTAAATGACATTTACCATGCAATTCGAATGTAATAATATAATTTTAGGAGATACAAATATATGGTCTTGTATAAAAATTGCAGTTTAAATTGGTTCTACGTGGTGGATACTGGATAGTATGTTCTTTCTTGGAATAGTGTTAGGTGGCTTGTTATAAAAGCTGGCAACAGGCTGGAATTGATGTTGTTCATGGGGTATTTGGTGATATGGAAATGATTAGCGTTGTAAACTTACCTTGGGTATGATTTATTATGTATATGGTTACTGTTGCTTGAATGACAAATGACAAGAAAGGATACTAACAGAAATTTCACGTGCATCTCCTGAGGATGGTGATGGTGTCCATGTTTGTTTACCTTGTTGAAATTGGGACCTTAATTTACATTTCCTTGGTACATGTGTATGTTTGATTTACCAACAATTAGTTCCCTGACTATATGTTACTACAGTCAACTGCAATGTATCAATCCATCAAATGGATTTCAAGTATGTAGGAGTTCATAAACAACTCCACCATATTTCAGCATATGACTTGTTAAGTTTGGTTTAGGTTTAATTATTCTTGAGCTAATTTTATTTGTTTATGATCAGTAGTTAATATGGATACAAAACACTTCTCTTTGCAGATGATGTCGAATCCAAACTTGATGAGAATGGCTTCTGAAGGCATGCAAAATTTGAGGCCTGAAGACTTAAAATTTGCTGCAGAACAGTTGAAGCAAACTCGTCCAGAGGATATAGCTGAGATTGGTGAGAAGATGGCGAATGCCTCGCCTGAGGAAGTAGCTGCAATGAGGGCACAGATGGATGCACAGATGACATATACAATCAATGCAGCAGAGATGCTAAAAAAACAGGTGACTCACGAATGAGGAAAAACCTTTATTCTTCTTATGTTCGACAGTGTCACTTCTAACTCTCTCTTGTTATACTGTGTGAGTGTCATCTCATGTTGAAGTGAACCTAAGTAACGTTGGAAATATTTTATTTAGCTCAGTGATTGCCTTCTTAGAATGCTTTATTATGTTTGGGTAATTTCCTACCTTCCACACCCCCACCCCCCCCCCCCCCCGTCTTCCTATATTAATATGTAATTTGATGCTAGGAGCCTAGTATGTAAGTAGTCTTTCTATCATCCCGTTTAGGTGAAGATATACAAATAATAGTGGTTGCACGATGGGGCTTTGCATATATTAAGACAATTCTGATATTTGAACGGCGTTGAAGGAAGAGGGTTTTCTTTCATTATTTGGTTGTGTTTTGGCCTTGGGGGTTGTTTTGAAAATGGTAAAATTTTGAATTGATTTAAGAATGACCTGTGATTTAAATAGGTGTTTCATGTGATCTAGATTTTCATTTCACCCTTTCATTTCCTTGATTGGTTGTTTGGCATTTAAGACACCCTGGATGACCTCTGTGAGCATTGAGGCATTTAGCTTATGTACTTGTTTGCGAATCTGCATTCTGCATGTCTTAATTTGCAGTATCATGGTATTCATTTACTTGAGTTGTTGGTATCAGGGGAATGAACTTCACAGTCAAGGAATGTACAAAAATGCCCTGGAGAAATATATGCGTGTAAGCTCCGATTTGGTGCTTGTTGTTTTTCCCTGGTTATTTTCTCTTACATTATAGCACATACAACAGCATCTAGTTTTTACGTTTTCTTTTATGGTTTGTGTATGCTTTCATAGGCAAAGAACAACCTGAAAGATGTTTCCACTTCAAAAGGCAAAAACCTTCTCTTGGCATGCTCTCTTAATATGATGTCATGTTACTTGAAAACCAATCAGTATGATGAGTGCATCAGCGAAGGAACAGAGGTATGGGTACTCTTAACTCCTGTCCGACTCGATTAAATCTTCCAACTAATGTTTAAACATGATCTTCTGATCGTTCAACCAATTTATGTAAATCTCTAATTCAGTTCTTCACACTGTTTTATATTATTTAATGATTAATATTCATAATTGATTCTTTACCAGTGCAATTATTGTCCTTTTGGGTTAAAGATGGTCTATTTCATTGTGAACATTGCATTCCAAGAAATCTTTCATAGAAGAATAGCGCAAATGACCCCATGTTTGAATTTACTTCCCAACATGGAGTGCTTTTTGCACGTTATCGTAAATACTAAATACAAGGAGGCATTGCCTATTAATTTATTCACATTCTGTTTCTTTGAAGAATTTGGTTGACACTAGAGGAAAAATCTTGTTCTGATAAATGCTTTTCTGTTGATACATGGCCTGCGACACTGTAAATAATCTTAAATTACTTGCTCTGTACCTGTTACGTCTGATTTCCTTTGCATCAAGAGCATGCAAAAAGATGGAGAAATTGAGCTACATCTTCCTCATCCTACAGGTTTTGGCATATGATTCAAGAAATGTCAAGGCCCTCTATAGGAGGGGCCAAGCATTCAAGGAATTAGGGCAACTAGGAGTAAGTATTTCTCGCTACTATCTGTAGTTGCTGAAAGTTTAACTGTATGTTATTAATGTACTTCTGAAGAGTTCTTTACTAACATAAAAATTTCAGGATGCAGTATCGGACTTGAAGAAAGCAAATGAAGTTTCTCCTGAAGATGAAACGATCGCAGATGTCTTAAGGTACTGAAATTTTCTATGAACTAGTTCTAGTCTTATTTAATGACTATATCTACAGTGTGTTGAGATTCTGTTTCCACATCCTACTCCATGAGCAGGTTCTGGGCACTTTGTGGTTTTATCTCTTTTGATTTAATCGAAAAAATCATCTTGGGATTTCAAATACAATCTCTTTACTTATACGTAGGGATGCTGAGGAAAGAATGAGGAAGGAAGGGGTGGGGCGATCATCCAGAGGTACAAATGTTATAATATATCTTGACCAGTAAGTCATCCCAATTCAATTTGTAATTTACTTATGAGTTTTTGTTGAATCTATTTCTCAATTTTATTTAGGGTTAGTTATTGAAGAAATTACTGAAGAAGCCTCTGGATCATCGGACAACCCCAAACATTTTCTATCACAAGAACCCAGTCAATGCAGTACAAATCAAACTGACCTTAGGGAGCCTCGCCCAACTAGCTCTGATTACCTGGGATCTCTAAAGGATGATCCTGAGTCTATCAGGTTTATTGGTTGATAATATATACTCATCATTGCTCACATCTCCACATGCATGATGTTGGGATTGCTATAGATGTCGATGTCATGAGGAAAACTCACCTGTTTTTATCTGTCGTTGTCCTATAGGTCCTTCCAGAATTTCATATCTCGTGCTGATCCTGAAACCCTATCAGCTCTAAGTGGTGGGAAAATTGACAGTGTGTCTCCCGATATGCTAAAGACAGCATCAGATATGATGAGCAAGATGTCCCCCGAAGAACTAGACCGGATGTTCAAAGTAGCTTCCTCATTCCAGGGAGAGAATTCATTTCCAAAAAGTGGTTCGGGTTTGAACCCGGGATCCATTCCATCTGACCTGTCACCCGATATGCTCAAGACTGCATCTAACATGATGGCTAAAATGTCACCAGGAGAGCTTCAAAAGATGTTTGAAATGGCATCTTCTTTGAAAGGGAATGAGGCAGCAGGTTTTCATGCTGGCCCTGGTTCAGTTCCTCCAAACATGAATCCTGAAATGATTAAGATGGCAACTGAGATGATGGGTAAGATGTCACCTGAAGAACAAAAAAGGATGTTTGAAATGGCTTCATCCCTGAGAGGAAATGGAGGCACACCCATGGCCGGAACTCCATATTCAGATGGACTGGGATCGGGTGACTTCAAATTTCCAGAAATTTCACAAGTAAATGGTGGCAATGGCGGTGAGAGTAGTTCCTCTCAAAGTTTGAATCCAAGCTCGACTTCAGGCACTACCCAACCTAGTTTCCTAAATTCTGGTGGTGATTTACAAGAACAGATGAGAAATCAAATGAAAGATCCAGCTATGCGAGAGGTTGGTCTCTACCTAAATTACTCATTTTCAAGCTAATATGATCGGTTATTCTGATATACATACATATATATTAATGTTTTGTGTAAATAGATATTTTAAGCTACAGTTCAGTTTCTTGTTTGAAGCTTAACTCCCATGTGGTTAGTAACATGATAATTTGATATCCTTCGAGTATTAACATGGCATAGTTGATCAGTTTCTAGTTTTTTTAAATCTTGATTTGAATATATTGCCTTTCTGATTTTTCCAGATGTTCACATCAATGATGAAAAACATGAGCCCGGAAATGATGTCTAACATGAGTGAGCAGTTTGGATACAAGCTTTCACGCGAAGAAGCGGAGAAAGCTCAACAAGCAATGGCATCTTTGTCGCCTGAAGCTTTGGATAAAATGGTACGGTCTTAATTTAAAACAGCATTATAAATGGTTATGCACGTTATATTTTTTATGAATAATCCTGATTCTTTTGTTACATGATTGTAGATGAAATGGGCGGACAGGGTTCAACGAGGTGTAGAAGGCGCAAGGAAGACAAAGAATTGGCTACTGGGAAGACCTGGCATGATTTTAGCCGTCTTGGTGCTTATTTTGGCTGTTGTTCTTCACTGGTTCGGCATAATCGGTCAATAGATGTTATACCAGGACACGACAATGTTTGAGGTAATTACTGTTGTTTTGGCTGATATATATATATATATATATATATATATACACATGTAACATTAGATGATAAAAGTACATTTAAGTTTTAAGTTGTTGTCTAAGCGCAGACAAGAAAGATTATTCGTTGTTATGAATTGAATTGACATGGCTGGCATGATACTCTACTGATTTTTGCTACAATCCTAATTGATAGGAAAGAGTGAATAATTATTCAATAGTTGTAAGAAGAATAAGAATATAAGAATGAATGATGATGTTATTGAGTTTTGATGATAAATAAAACCTTTGTTTGTTTGTTTTTTTTTTTTTTTTTTTTTTTTGATCGGAATAAATAAAACCTTTGTTGATGGTATGGAAACTGGTTCCATCATCAGTCTCTTAAATAATTATTTTTGCTTGGTTATTAATTTTTTTAATACTGCCTCATCTGAAAATTCAGTATTTTTATCTATCTCCCTCAAATGTCTATTTTTTATTATATTAGAAATAATTATATATAAATATAAAAAAAAAAGATCTATTGGAACTAAACCAAGGGATAGAATATTTATAAAAATAAAATATATATTCTATTTAGATATTTTGTTTGTTTAGTGTTTTTATTTGAAGAAAAAAAATAAAAATTGGATGTAAAGTACAATAAATTGTATAGTAATTTTAGGCAAACAAACCCAAATCTCGGAATTGAAATTTTCAAAAAAATTAAAAATACTATTATTGTTGATAAATAATATGTTTATTAAAAAAAAAATTAAAATTAAAAATCTATATAAATTGAGCCACATTTTTCTCAGAAATATTCAAATTGTAAAAGGTAATTAAATTTCAAAGGAACACTGAGGCTTTGTTCTTTCTATGTTTTTATCTTCCCATTTTTTTAAAAAAAGTTAATACACTACACAAAAAAAAAAATAAATTATATTTATATTATTTATACAATTTCATATATCTTATATAAAAAAATAATAAAAATTGTTTGCCCAAATTTATTTTCCAATACATTTTCAATATACAAAAGTCAACAAAAAAGTAATAATAACATTTACATTTACATTTTGTTGCAATATATTGAAGATAATAATGACATTTTGTTGCCATATAATAATAATAATAATAATAATAATAATAAATACATATCTATGTCATAATTAAGTTTCGTATAAGTGAACTCGTGAGACTGTGACAACATAGGGTGTGTTTGTCTGGGAGTTTGGATTTTGAATTGGAATTTAAATAATAAAAATTTTAAATTTGAATAATTGTATGATGTGATATAAATAGGCATTGATGATGTGATATTTTGAATGTAAAATTGATTTAGGTGTTTGATTTGATGTTTGGAGGAAAAAAAAATTGGATGAATAATGAAAATCCAATCTAATCACCCAAATATTAGAGTTTTGATGCAACGTGAACGTTGTCTTGCGATTGCGAATAATTAATCTGGAACATAATAAACATGAAATTTATTACCTTTAATGAAAATATTATAATTATTATACATTTATTACATTTCTAAAAAATGGATTACCTTAAATAATAATAATAATAATAATAAAACATATATTATCCAAAAAGGTTTAAATTTAAAATTTAAAACCTAACATAGACTATTTATAAATATATTTAGAAAATTTATTAATCAATGATAATGATCTATCTATCATATTTCAAAATTGCCTTTTGTTCTCTATTTTTTTATATTCAAATTTTAAAATAATAAAGTATATATTTCAAGTTAATAAATTTTATATTGATTAATATTTATATAATATTATATAAAATATTATTGGACATAAAAATATATAAAAATACATATAAATAAATAAATTATCTAAATATTTTTTTAGTTTTGTATAAAGTTTTTATTTTTTATATTTACGTCCGTTTTTCATAATTTACTTTTTAAAAATATAATTATATATAATAATTTTTTAAAATTAAATTAAATTATATTATATTATTGACAATTATATTTATTATATAAAAAAAATAAAATAATGAAATAAATGTAATAACAATAGCATATATTCCTAGAGTGGGTTGGGTGATTGGTAGCTGCTAATAGGTAGTGGAATTAATTAATGTGCACGGTAGGGTGGGGTAGGGTCAGGCATAGGCGTAGGTGTAGGCATAGGGGTGGGTGATATTGACACGCAAGCGCCAGCAATGATTATGCATTAGATGACAAAATATGGGCCCACAAAACCCGTCAGTCAAAGTCAAAGGTGACGGTCTGTAATCCTATCAATCCCTTTGCCTCTCTCTGCCCTGCTAAAAGTTACTGCACTCTCGCATTTTTACCCTTTTTACCCTTTTCTAATTCTTCTATTCCTAACATTTTATTCTTCAAGCCATGCGATAATATTTATTTATTTTTTATTTTAAAATATTCCCATGTGAATTTTATGGTGTTTTCTTTCCTAATTTTTTTTAAAGTATATTTTAAATTTTTTTTAGGGTGTGTTTATTTGAAAGCTTAAAAGTATATTTTTTGATTTAAAATCTCGCGTTTAATTTAATTAAAATTATAATTTTGAGACAGAAAGAGCATTATTTACATAAAAAAATTTATATCTTTAAACAATTTAATTGAACAAACACACTTTTAATACTCTTTCCATCTCCGGTAAGAAGATTTTTTTTTTTTTGTTAGGAACATAGTTTTAATTTTTCATAATTTTTTATAAACATATTTTTTTTTGTAAAAAAATAATATATTACGTATATTTATTATTTTTATATTATTTATATAATTTTCTATATTTTACATAAAAATAAATATATATCTTTTCAAATAAATTTTCTAAACAAAAACATTTTATATTTTAGATATTGTAGTTTAATAAATTAATTATAAAATTATTTAGTCTGTCTTGTTATTATTTTTAAAATAAAATTTAATATAATACTATAAGAAATTTAAAATAAGTATTTCAACATTTTAAACACTATATCTTAATAGAATATATATAATATATATTATTTGTGTAAATAATAAAATTTTATATAATACAAATAAATATAAATATATATATTTAAATATTTATAATTAACATAAATTAATTTTATAAAAAATTCAAAAAATTTAAATATAGATACAAAGATTTATTTATTGAAGAAAAAAATAAAAATAAATAAAAATTTGAAATTTGATATGTAAAGTGTTTTAAATTAATTTGGAGTAAATGGAGAGAATCAATAATTTGTTTAAATTAATTTTTATTAAAATATAAAAATATATATAATTTTAATAACATATTATTTAAAATATCATGTAAATTGAAGCTCAAATAATAAATACACAAATTCAATAACTTAATCATTTCTAAACATGAAATGTCAATTTTTCATGATTTTTTTGAGCAACTTAGTAACTATAAATATTTAAAATCAAATAATCAGATGCAATGGATTTTTCGAGTAATTTTTTAAATATATATTTTAAAAAATTAATTAATTTAATATTATTTACACAATTTTTTAATATTTTATAATAAAAACTATTAATTGAAACTATTTTACAAAATAATCGGCCCACAAAATTTTCAGGGGCAATAACGTAATTACGTACTCCATAAATAATAGAAGTTCACACATAAACACGTGACTCTGGTAATGTATATAAAATTAGTACGAGTGACGAAGAAAATTTCTTCTAGAATTAGTCTGCGGTTTCCGCTGTATCTATAATCGTCACCAAAAATCTTTCCCATTCAGTTGCGATTCTCGATCCGAAAATATTCAGAGGGATCATATTCAGGCTGTTTTCGATTCAGTATACTCTGTCGTTTTTCGCAATCATATTCGTGAGCAAACAGACTGCAATTTCCGGATGGAAGGACAGGTTGCGGCGGTGGTGCGGAGGCAGCCTCTGCTGATGGAGGCGGTGACGTCATCGACCGAGACCGACGGAAAAACCGCCGGTAGCAAAGGAAGGTGGAGCCGCATGGGCGAGACTGCAGGTGAGTGCACCGCGGTGTGCTGTTGCTGTCCGTGCGGAATGATGCACCTCCTGATCCTAGCGGTGTACCGTCTCCCCGCCGGTATCTGGCGAGAGAAGAGGAGGAGGAGGTTGTTGAGGAAGAGGAGAAAGTTCTTATCGGCGGAGAAGGAGCGGAATATAGAAATGAACTTTTCGTCCTGCTTGTATACGGACGAGGAGGAGGAATCGGAAGCCGGCGGCGACAAAAACGACGTCGTCGAGTGGGAGAATGAGGTTTTGGATCGGTTTTATATGGCTGGATTTTGGAGAAGTAATTCTGATAGAGATGATGATTGAATGGTCGATTGCTTGATTGAATGTGAACAACTGTTCATTGTGCGTCAATGGATCCAATTTCGAGTTCGATTTGGGGATTTAGGGTTTTAGAAACAAATTGATTCAATTTTGAGCTCTGGATAAGAACCGTTAGGGATTTGTTTGGTTGGTGACTTAGAGTTGCGCCTGTGGGATTTAAGTTGCATTGCGGAGGTGCCTGTGAAATCATATCCTGCCACACAGGGACGATGAACTTTTGCTGAATTGGAAGAGTTCACACCAGACAGCTGGTAAATTTCATATTTGTAAAATAAAATTGAAAAACACTTCAATTGTTTGAATTATTGGATCGGTGGTTTGAATTTTGTTAGTGTAGAAAATATATATATATATATATAATATTAAATGAAACTTAAATATATACGAGATGATATGTCAAACACCATTTGAATAATTTTCACGACTGAGTCTATGTTTAACCGGCAATTATTTATTTATTTATTTATTATTTTATTTGAATTTTAATTTCAATATTTGATAGATTTGTTTTTAGTAATGGATTCAATAGTAATGAATCAAACCAAACAAACCCTTGATTTTTAGTTCCAATAATTAGGATTGAGCACGGTTTGGATATATGAAAATATGCTAGTATTTGGTACCCGAAATTAGACCGAATAAATATCCGGAACCGAAAATTTTGGTGAAGATACTTATATAATATAATAATATAAATATATTCGATTTAGGTAATTGAAAAAATATTAAAAATCAAAATGTAATCAAACAAATATCAAATATACATTATTTATATTGGAACTGATTTTGTTCGATTAATTGAGATTTTACTTAAATTTTTTATACGCTTTCGATTAATATTATAAAAAATATATAATATATATCTATACAATATATAACATATACTTGAAAAAGTCAAAATTTTTTTTTTCATATCTCAGATAAAAAAAAAAAAAAAAAATCACACACAAAACACAATAAAAACACTAATATATTTTTTACACTAACTATTTGATTGCAATAATTTCACAACAAATATTCTATATATTTTCTTGCGGTATAAATTTAAAATTATATTTTACTTAAATTTTTATATGTAGCATGTGTGTAGACAAAATATCTGGACTAAGGGATTATTGATTATACTTCTCCGTCCCACATAATTTGTCCCTATTTTTCTATTTTCGTCAGTCCCACGTAATTTGTCATTTCTTTTTTTGGAAAATTAATTATACACTTTAATCATAATTTAAATTTTTTTAATCTTAATTAAACTATTTAGTTATCTTAATTTTAATTTATAATTATTTTTACTAAATAATAATTATTTTTACTAATATATTTTTTAATTACTTACTAATTATATTTTACCTAAATTCCCGTGTCTACAATCATACACTCCATATTATATGGGACGTAGGGAGTAGAATATTTGTTGTGCTTATTATTGTTATTTTTGTATAGAAAAGAATAGGAATACTCCGTTACAAATCGTACGTACTCACATTTTGTCACATTACCCCTTGTAGAATAGTATATTTATTGTTAGGTACGTACGGTACAGCCCAACTGATTAGAATTCATGTGTAGTAGCTGGACTCATGTTGTTAAAAGTTGTTTTCACTTAACAAAAATATTCCCAATTTATGCATGCTATGAAAACTAAACATACCTTAATTAAATAAAACCAGGCACTAATAATTTAATTCTAACTTACTACCATTTTTTCTTTTTAATTTTTAAAATGATAAATTTGGAGTGTCTTTGTTTTGTATTTTGATTTGAACGAACACAATCCCGAAAACGGATGGATTTTGGGATCGAATAGAGACATTTTTATTGGAGTGTTGGCTCGTGGCTGTGTTGTAGGATATAATATAGGATTAAACATGATTGTGTTCGATCCTATTCAGATGCTACGTCAGTTACAACCACGTTAGCAAAATCAATTGAAATTTGAACGATGAGATAAAAAAATATTTCTTCCATCTCACTTTTTGTTCACGATTTTCATATTCGTCCGTCCCACTTAATTTGTTTACTATTTTCATATCCGTCCCACATAATTGTCCATTTTATTTTTCTAAATATAATTATACACTTTAATCACATTTTAAAATTCATAATTTATAAAAAATTTTTATTTTAATTAAACTATTTAGTAATTTATAATTATTTTTATCATAATTATTTTTATTAATACATTTCTTAATTATACATAATATTTAAAATTTTGCGCCAACTAGAGAAGACAAATTAGTTGGGACGAATGGAGTAATAATTTATAATTTAGTATGAAATTAACTTTGATAAAATCTTTTGAGTGGAAAAAAAAATAAAAAAAGTGAATTTGGATGAAATTAATAATGATTTTTGCTCCAAATATTATTATTATTTAATTTCGAATGTCCAAGACTGAAATAAATAAATAATCAAAACAAAACAAAATCTTATATTTCTTTTGTAAAATTTTTTCAAATTTTACTATTTAAATTCTATATTTTTCGAAAAAAAATATATTTTTTCTATTAAATATTATTTTTATATCAAAACTAAATCAATTTTTTTCCAAACTCATGTAAAGAAACAGACCTAGGTATGTATCCATAAAGCAAAACTTTCACTTTACTTTACAAGAACACATCTTCAAATCGGCTAAAACTCAAAATAACACGCTGCAAGGATTATCTTCCTCACGACGACACGCCCGTGTCCTGCAAAATTAAACCCCACTTTCTACTAATTCTCTTCATTAACATTTCCCCCCAATTAACAACAGTTACTTTTAAATAAAAGTGTTGGAACGAACGTTCGATCACATTCAAAAAATCAATCAAAGAACCGGTCTTTCCCATTTTTGGAAAACAGAGGCAGAAAAATTAATACGAATTCGTTTTACCCACTCCCCACAGCACACCCAACGCGTCTTGATTGTCCATTTCCGCAACCCCAGTCGAGATCGAAATCAAATCAAATCACAGCACCAGTCTTCTTTGCGAAAATCCAAAATCCAAATCCGTGCAGTGCAGGCGGGCGGGGCGCGGCGCGGTTCTTGGTGGGCTCCGCCGATTGTGGGAGTTTGTCAGTGAGTCAGTAGTCAGTCGTCCCTCGCCACCGTCAATAAAGTCAAGTAAAGAAATAAAAGCCAAGCAAATCACTTGGATTTAATGATATAAATAATATTTTTCTCCAAAACCAACAAAAGGGAAAAGTCCACAAGTCGTTCCCCTTTGGTATTCTCACTTTTCTCACACCTCCATCAATCCCTTCCTCTCATCTCCTCCTCGTCCTTTCTACACACTTACATACATATGCATATGTTCTGAGAATCGATTTTTTCTATCTGTTTGCTGCAGTGGTTTGATCCGGGGCTCTGTTCGGTGTTTCCGTGTCGAGGTAAAATTTTGGGATTTTTGGGAATTTGATCGATTAGGGTTTTGGGTTTTCTGAAATTTCTGTTATTTATTACTGGATATGATTTTTTTGTACTGTGCGAGAAGCCGAGGAAAGGGTTTTGCCCTCGCTGTTCTGTGATGTTGAAAAATGATTTGAATTGACTATTCGTTTAATAGAAATGATTTACTAGTTTTGAAGGCTGAATTTTTGTAATAATTTGTTGATTTTGGTTTGGGTCTGAAGTATGATGACACCCTCAGCTTCTGCTATTGTTTTGGTTGCTTGACGGTGAAGGTGCGATGGTTTTAGGGTTATGAATAATACTGTGATTACTATTATTAAATTGTTATACTATTTCTAGGTAGCTGTTGAATTGATGGGGTAAGTTTTTATGTTCTATTTCTAAAACATAGACTGTTGTAAGCTAATTGAATTGATGGTTTTCTGTTTAGGGTTCAAGTGTAGTGAATCTTCTGATTGTTGAAGTGAAATTTTACAGAAAGAATTCTTCTTATAAAAGTGATGTAATTTATTATCTCTGCCCTGTTACCCGATTTCGGTTTAAATTTGCAAAATATGAGCATTGAATCAGTTTTGATTAGGGTATTCCATCAGCATGATCTGGTGATTGAGTCCTTGTATCTACAATGTGCTGCTATCTTATTTTCGTAACAGTATGTACTTGTTCGAAAACAAGAACCCTACTTCACTGAAAAGTTATAATTGATTCAAAGTTTTTGTGTTGGTCTTGTGGCTATTAAATATTTTGTTTTTCCTGTTTATGCAGTAGATGGAAGAGGGAAAGGCTTCCGAGAGCCATATGGCTTCTGCGGCTGCTTTTGTGGAAGGAGGATTACAGGAAGCGTATGAAGATGCTTGCAGTATATGCCTTGAAGCTTTTTGTGATAGTGATCCTTCGACGGTATGTAAATAGTCTGATGGTTGTTTGTACAGCTGTTGCGGCTTGGGGCTGGATTATGCAACTAATTGTTTTCTTATGACTGCAGTTGACTAATTGCAAGCATGAGTACCATCTTCAATGCATTCTCGAGTGGTACAGACCTCACTTTCCTTTTTTCAAACTATGATTTTATTGTTTTTGGTTTTATGATGTCTCTGTATTTACGTATACTGAGTTTTCTAAGTATTGGCTGTTCTAGTGTTGAAATAGTCGAGTATCCCACTATCTGTACAAGTTTATTAATTATACAACAAGAATTAATATGAAGGTTTGAAGTGTGTGTCTATTTATGTATATATATATTTCTGAGGTAGGTTCGGGCACTAAACTTGTAACCTTCCATGAATCCAGTCAAACCTTTGTATCTTCGCCACTAGATTATTTGGCCTCAAATCTGCTCTAGGTCTCGAACAGAACTGATCCCCTTCTTTCTAGATGTTATGGTTGGACTTAGTAGTATGCTCAATCTTGAATCTTACGAAATATAACAGGGCAGTAATTTTTTCCTGTTTTATTTGTATATCTGATTATTGTCCAGGCTTACAGATGTCTTATGGTTTATTGGGGGTCAGTGTACAGTCATGTTGTCCGGATGTTCCAAGACATCTGCTATCGACACTTGATTGGGAAAATTGTATTATGTTTTAATGAAGTGGTAGATTAAGCGATAATGATTATCCTATGGAATCTATGTATGTGAAGAAAAATGAGTTGGTATATCTATTTGTGTAAATGATTTATATTTGAATTTAGAATAGAGGTAATGATCTAGAGATGGTTGAAATTTGTATTATTTATCCCCAAGAGGAAATTGTTTTTGTTCATACGTATTTTGCAGTGTTTTTATGCATAGTTTGTCTTTTTTATGGAAAAATGAATTCGAGATTGGACTCCTTTTCGAATATATTATCTGATTTGAACGATATAGGTGCCAGAGAAGCTCCCAATGCCCAATGTGTTTGCAACCCATCAGCTTTAAGGATCCCGACAGGTACATTAACACTGCAACTCCTTTTGAATTTACATCCACCTGTGCTCTTATCTTTGTGTTTGTTTGGCAGCCAAGAATTGCTCGACGCCGTGGAGCATGAGAGGAATATCCGTATGAATCCGCCTCGAAATACTGCTATATTTCATCATCCTACCCTCGGAGACTTTGAGTTACAACACGTACGTTGCTCCCTTTCCCTCCCTCGTACTCTTCCATAATTTTCTATACATTCTATACATTACAAATACGTGTAGCGTGACATATGTAATATTGAAAAAATAATTGCTGATGAAATTAAAATAATTTATTTATGTATTTATTTCTAATCTACCAAATAGAAGGAATTCTTTGCTGATTCATTTAAAAAAAAAACTCTTGTTTTTATCGATCCAATGGCTGTGCTGGACAAGATTATCTTTTCACAAGACTTACCCAAACTTTTGTTGCAGTTGCCGGTAAGTGCAAGCGAATCAGAACTCGAAGAGCGCATTATTCAGCACTTAGCTGCTGCAGCTGCAATGGGAAGAGCCCGCCATTTTGCTAGACGGGAAGGTCAGAGGAATCGAACCAATTCCCAAGGGCGTCCACATGTTTTGGTGTTCTCTACTCATCCTAACGGGGCTTCTGGCTCTTCTGTTGGTCAGCGAGATGGAAATCCGCCTCCTGCAGTCATGATTGCCGGCCCAAACTCCCCGTTTATTACAGTCGGAGAAGACTCTACACACCTTACTGCACGGTCTCCTGAACAAGCCGATCATCCTGTGACTACTGCCCCTGGATCGAGCTCAGGCCCATCTCAACATGGGACAACCTCAAACAATAGGTATTGATATATATATATATTTTAAATCATATTTTGTCGCCCAAATGTTTAACCAATGTGATTCTTAACCTAGGAGATCTCCGCTGCACACTTCCCCGAACAGTCAAGACCGAGCTGGACCATCTGATTTTCAGTCATTCTCGGATTCCCTGAAATCCCGCCTTAGTGCATTGTCATCAAGGTATTAGGTTCGATGCATTCATTGTTGACGCATATATTGTTTTCTTGTAGTTATTCTCAGATGTGATAAGTCTTTCTAGGGTGTGTTTGTTTGGATGATTAGATTTTGAGTTGAGATTTGAATAGTAAAAATTTTGAATTGGATTGTAGTATCATACTATAAATAGGTATTGATGTGATATTTTGAATATATAAATGATTTTTGGTATAATATAGAAAATGAAAATAAATATTTGATTTTATATTTTTTGGGGAAAAAAAATTGGCGAATAGTGGAAATATGGGGAAATCTCCCAAAAGAACACACCCCTAGTGTATCCAAAAATTTTCGAAGAATCTATAATATGCAAATAACTTCTTTTTGGAGGTGATTGCTGCTGTTTCGAAATATTCCCTTTTTTTTGTCATTTTATTTTTTGTTTAAATGAATTGATCCAACAACCTCTTACTCCATTGGTTAGTAAATTTCCTTTTTATCGAGCTTATATTATCTCGGTTGCTTTCAGGTACAAAGAGTCCATAACCAAGAGCACAAGGGGCTGGAAAGAGAGACTATTTGCTCGCAACAATAATAATGGACCCGAGTCCGTGACTGAAATCCGCAGAGAGGCTGATCAAGGAAATGGTACCGGTACCGGTAATGGTAATGGTAATGCGACGGTGACGAGAATGATGGACCATCTGGCAGTAGCAGATGATGGTAGACCCAACACATCTACACCGTTAGACACTTCAGATGACGCCCCAGCCCCGGTTGAGATGCCTGCAGCAGCAGATGTTGTGAGTGACAGCCATTCACCAAACAACCATGAGGGCCGAGCACCTTGCGCGGGCTCTGCATCAAACTAAGCCAAAGAATTTAATGGAGCTCCTGGATTCCTTCCTTCTCTCAGTAAGTCAGTCTTATTTATTTTGATCGGAAAGTAAGTCTATTATGATTTACAAGGAGTGTGTTCTTTTATCAATTTTTTTTTTCAGATTTCTACGATTTTATTTTTTTTGTTGAAAAATATCAAATTGAGTATCTATTTTTTATATTATATTAAAAATTATTTTTACATTCAAAATATCACATCATGCAATTATTTCAAATTAAAAATTTTTACTATTCAAATCCCAAACAAAAAATCCAAATCCCCAAACGAACACAACCTTTGTGTTTACTTGTGATACATTTAGGGTGTGTTTGTTTGAAGGATTTTGGTGGATTTCCACTATTCATCCAATTTTTTTCCCCCAAAAACATCAAATCAAACACCTATTTTTCATTTTTTATATTATACTAAAAATCAATTTTACATTCAAAACATCACATCAACACCTATTTATATCACATCATATAACTATTCAAATTCAAATTTTTTACTATTCAAATCCCAACTCAAAATCCAATCCCCCAAACAAACACACCCTTAGCTTAGTTTATACTTTCCATTTTCCGCACTCCAGAAAAGGCTAAATATATAGAAAAGGTTGAATAATAAAATCTCGTAAGCTTTTCCTTTTCAACAAAATTGAAGGTTACATTTGGGCACTTACTTTCCTTTAGCATAGGATTATTTTTAGAATTGATCTTATTTCATATAGTAAGCAATATGCTGTTTTTTTTTTGTTCGCGACGTTGAATTTTATTATTATTATTATTATTATTATTTTCTCACCATTTTTGGTTAGGTGGCCTACTCTACTCTACTCTACTCTACTCTACTCGAGGCGATGCTACTGTGAGAACGACAAACTGAACTGCTGTGTTGAGGTCATGTAGTAATACTAAATAGTACTATTTTATACCGTCTGTCAAGCTTATTTACCGTCACTCTACATGATGATGAGTCGAGTCTGAGTCTGATTCTGATTCTGAGACGATTTGGTAGAATAAAGATAAACTGAACGGTGCATGGGGTCTGGAGCAGTCCTCCTCCTTTGGAAGGATTGTATGAGAGATTATTATTATTGTTGCTGTTGCTGTTGATGTTGTTGTTACAGAGAATTGTAACATGTAAATCTTTTGCTACTAAATATGGTATTATGAATTATGATGCTGCTATTATATCCATTCCCCTACTTGCCTAGTTACTCTACTCAAACCATGTCCAATATGTATGCATGGCATGGTTGGTGTGGATGTGTTATTAAATATTAGATATAGACAGAAGTAGATGTCTTTAGTTTGGGATCCTCAATTCCTTGCAACACCTACACATTATAAAACAAAATTATTTATATTTTTTCAAAACTATTCTTAGTTATCATTTTAATCTATTTATTTCATTCTTCATAGAACAAGGGTAATTTGATCATTTACATTTTATTTTATACTCCTTTCAATTTAATACTTGGGTTGGGATTCAATTTGTTGTCGAGTTTGCAGGAGTTTAGTTTGCAGGGACAAGGGGTTGGGTTTATAGAATAAAATAATTAAAAAAGGTAAAGTGATTTTTATTAATGTTTATTTTAATTTTTACATATTAGTAATTATTATATCTATATATATAAAATATAAATGATAAAAATGAAAAAGAAAATAGACGAAAGGATAATATTTAAAATTTTAATATATTAATTTTTTTTTCCAAAATTAGAAAAAAGTGTCAAAAACATCATTTAGAATCAAATAATTAATTCTTCAAAATCAAGAGCAAGCAAATCATAAGACAAGATGGATTACACAGTAGTATTTCCCCAAACTGTCACAGTTTCAAGGCTCATTACTACAAACAAACTTCACAAGTTCTCAATCAACACATCTCACTAATCTAATCTAATCTCCAGAAAAAGAAAACACAAAACCACATTCCAATCCCAAACTCTCATTATGGTTTCCAAGATTTGGTGACAAGACTGAGACTTTAAATCCATAATCAGTAATACCGGGAGCCGCCGCTGCCGCCGCCGCCACCACCACCAGAGCCATAATTGCGGCCTCTAGGGTACGGAACCTTCTGCTCGAATTCATGGTCCCTAGCATTGCCACTATATCGACCACGTTCCCTATTGTAAGTGTCGTAGTGATCAGAATTGTAGGCCCGGTGCGGTTCCTCTGTGGGAACACTTCCTGCATTGTATCCCCGGGGAGGGTCGTTGGGGGCTACAACACTGTTGGCGAATTGCTGCTGTTGTTCCATGGCGATCTGCTGATACTGTTGTTGCCTTGCTTGGGAATCTCTCCGGAGGAATTCGTCTCTTCGACTGGCATGGCGGGCACGGAGTGCAGCTAATTGCTCTTCATATTGAGCATTGATTACATTAAGTCTCTACAGTGCAGAATTATGAAAGAAAATCAGCATTGCTGTTATGGTATAAATGAAAATAAGAAATACATAAAGGGATAATATCCGGACAGCACAATCTTTCTCGCAATATTCAAAGAAAGTTTCTGAAGTTCTATCAAGAGCATCCTCGTTGAAGGGACATGAACCGTTCTATAGTTCCTTTTATTGACTGTAAACCCATTGGGATTTGATTTACGAAAAGTTTTAGGTGTTTCAAACAAATTCTGTTATGCAAGATCGGATGTTGGTAGCAAATCAATACTTTCTACACTAAAGGTCTCATACCATTCTAATTCAATGACTAAAGGAAAGTGAGATTAAGTAGAGGGTGTAACTGAAAGAATATCACTCTATTTTGGTCGCAACTCTAGTAATCCAAGATGATCGAAGTCATTTCTAATAAAAAATAGACTGGGTTGCAACCATAAAGCCGGGCTTGCTCAGGGATAAGACTACAACAAATTTTTTAATGTGGTGGTATAGGTAAGAGTAAAATTAATGGCATCCATCTTACATTAGCAGTTAATTTTCCTAATTGTCACAAAATGCTATGTTCTAAACAAAAAGTTTTCTATAACAAACAAATAAATAAAATTGTGGAACATGCACGCGGCGAAGAAGTAAGCCCTTAGAACATGTTTAATGTGAATTATTTTATCTAATCTAATTGCAGATATAGCGTATTGGATCAAAGCCCTTGATTATCTTTGGACTCAGTATAATCTGAGAAAATGGATTATCTACTCAATCAAATAAAGTAGGATATTATAAACAAATTACTTTAGGTCAACATGCATTAATAGAAAAACTGCGATGTTATTGAAATAAATTATAACTATCACCAATATTTTCCTATCTACAAAGTAAGCATGCCTATAGTGCATTAAAAAGATAATGCAAAAACCATAGGAAGAAACATCTCAAACAACTATGGTCGGTGATTAGTATAGGCAAAAGAGAGTATAATGATTCTGAAATTAGAATAATGAACGAATATTAAAAAATGAAAAAAAATAAAAAATAACAAACCGCTCTATGCCTGGCATTTTCAGCATCCTCAGCATCGGTTTGTTCCTTGCTCAGTTTCATAATGTCGTCAAGGAATCTCTGCTCGAGAGCTTCGAATGTCTGCACTACCTGATTGTCTTCGTATCCAATGTCCATATCCTCTTCATGAGCTTGCGCCCGGGGATCAACAACATTACTGCTTTGTTTTTCTAGAGGCATGCGGGGATCCATCCTCTGGCTCTGGTAATAGGATCTCGTGCCTTCATGTCCTTGACCTTTAATAACAATAGCATTAGAGTCAGGAAAAGGATGGGAAGATTGAATTCATTCATTGGTATGTCTGCCCCCAAGAAACAAGATTCAAATCAAATTCATTCATTGGTATGTCAGACCCAAGTAAGAAAGTTCAAATTCAAGACATGTAAAGGGTACGTTTGTTTGGGGGATTGGATTTTAAATACACTATTCATCCAATTTTTTCTCCACTAAAACATCAAATCAAACACCTATTTTTTATTTTTTATATTATACTAAAAATCAATTTTACATTCAAAACATCACATCAACACCTATTTATATCACATCATACAACTATTCAAATTCAAATTTTTACTATTCAAATCCCAACTCAAAATCCAAACCCCCAAACAAACACGTATCTGAAAATGCAGCAGGGGTGATTTAACATTTCTCTCTTGTGGCAATGCTTCACAGGTTTCTCTTCTGAGTAGTGATGTTAATAGAGCCTTATGGATATCAGTTCACTAGTTAAGAAACAAACAGTCAGACAAGGTGCAATAATCAAGGTTCATCAGCATTGTCCAGCTGGATATATCACAGAACTAGAACTAGTAGGAAAAAGGGCATCTGGCAATTTGTTCATACATTTAGTTTAAAAATTGACTCATTGCCAAGGGTAGCTACAATGGCAGTTCTCTGGGAATCAATTGAATCCACTAGATGTGTGAATTGCACACATTAGCAACTCCAGTAAAGACACGAAATTGATTAATTTCACATTGAAAAATCAACTCAAGAAACTGAATTCACTACATGCTAATTGCACACATTAGCAATTCTCCAGTAAAGAAATGAAATTGATTAATCCGACATTGAAAAAACCATTTTTACTACTGCAACTATTCACGAATACCAACAACAGTATGTTGCTGCACATCATCATAACTGATTTTATCCATTTCAATGAAGCACAACAACATTAGCAAAATTCATTTTCAGTATCTGCTTCTTTCATCACCAAAATGCTTTTGAGCAACTAATGTTCCAAGAACTGATATAAAGAAAAGAACCTTAAGTTAACCCCACAAACAATCGAAGAGATGAAAGAGCGAAGCAGATAGAATTGCAGCAATTACCTTCGGCGAACGGCGCAGTGGGCGACATAGGAGTCTGAGGCAATTTCGCCAGCGCATCATCTCTCTCCCACCGCCATTGATTGTGATGCTGATGGCCTTCCTTCTCGCCGATGGGCAATTCCTGGTAATACCCTGATTTATCGCGTTGCTGCTGTTGCTGTTGACGCATTGAACCCGCTCCACCGCCGTATGCTTGGTTAGCGCCGCCGCCGCCGCCCCCCGATTCGGCACCGTAATGACCTCCTTGCCTTCTCATCGTTTCTACTTACTTTCCTTGGAGGAATCGACTGATTGTACACTACTGATTTTCTATCGACACCAGATAAATCCAATCACTTATTAGTAGTATTATTTTCTGCAGTGCTGCCTGCAAGAGACAAGATTAGGGTTTTCAAAGCTTGAAATTAGAGTGTATGCCAAATCTCAAAACATTTTTCAAAGCCAGAAAATAAAAAATAAAAATCAAATAAATCCATTACACATTCAAATCGCTAAAAAAAGAAGCATCTCGTATTGCTTGCTTGTCTTCAAATCTGTATAATACTAATAATTGTACCAAAAAGTGAGTTTTATTTTTATTTTTTTTGACTATTTAAAATTTTAATTTGGACTAAAAAATACACCCAATAGCTTCTTGAATTTTGCATTATTTTTGGATAATTTACACTTATTTTGAATTTACTTGTATTTGCTTATTATTTACAATAACAAATTTTTTGTGTATGCTATTTAATAAAATTATATATAAAAAAATATATATGATAAATATTCTGTATTTATTTATATTTTAAATTTTTTAAACAGTTTTTGAGTATAATAAAACATAAACATTATTATAAAATATATTTTTTGTAAAATAATAAAAGGGTTTATTTGTTTAGGTGTAATATAAATTAATTAAATACTTATAATATGCAAATTCTGGGCCTGTCCCTAATTTAATTTATTTTAACTTTTAAGCCCAATATAGTATCAGTAACGGGCCCAATTTGGGCCCACAAACTCTGAGAATAATTCGTTATTCTCTCGCGATCGTATTTTCATCGTTCTCGGAAGGTGGGGAAATAATCTCCGATGGGTGAAAACAGCGGAACCACCTCCTCCGCCAAAGTGGCGCTGGCTGCTTCTACCGCCGACGAAGATCAGTTGCTGAAGCAATTTTTCTCGGAGGTTAGCGAGGTTGAGCGCGATAACGAAGTTCTCAGGTTTGTGTTGCAGTGAATATGTTCATATTCGCGGAATATTATTATAATTTTTAGGGTTTCAATGCTATCAGTTTGAAATTGCACCTTTATTTCCATTATTGGTCAATAATTTCTGATAAAGCGATGGAAAAGGGGACCTTGTAGTCTTATGATTTGTTGTTTGTATAATAGTTAATATATTTGTGTTGTGTAGCGTCGTATATGTATATTGGTATGAGTTAAATTGAAGGATGGATATGCATTGAATTATCGAAAAGAGAAGTATTGAGCTCAATTTGTCTTGAGTCTCAATTGTATACTTAGCTGCGTTGAGGAATTGGAGCTTGCTTTTCTCTTATTAGGTTATATTATTAAGAAAGAATCTTCATATGTATCATGTAAAGTCTTGTTTGAATATAATGCTGGTTAGGCTTCCCAAGCTGTGGGTGATCCTTTTTGTGTTTTGTGCTTTGGTTTTTTTTTTAATTTTTTTTTTCATGATTAGTATCAACCAACTGTACCTAAAGAAGATTCATTCTTTTCAGAAAATGAAAATATATGTTATGACCCATTAAGATTTTAGTTGATGCCTGCTGATTGTGCTCTAACTTTTTGCTGCTGCAGGATCCTTTCATGCTTCAAGTTAAACGCTTTTGAATATCTCAACCTACCATTTGATTCCTCTGTAGATGAAGTAAAAAGGCAATATCGTAAGGTAATATCTTAATCCTTCCTGTATTAATTATGTATTTTGATTAATCTAAATCAGCGAAAAGTGCTTATGGTAGTCTTGTATCTTACAGCTGTCTTTACTTGTTCACCCTGATAAATGCAAGCACCCCCAAGCTAAGGAGGCCTTTGGAGGTAATGATCCCATTTTTGGAAGGAAACATGTGATACTATTCATTGAGCTTGTAGTACTCCATGCACATGACTATCTTTCTAAAATTCCATAATTTTAGGATACTAATAAACTTGTTTTAAGATGTCTTTACTCCGCAAGGATATTGATTTCATGGAGCGTTTTCAAAAGCATTGAACTAGAGTTGAAGTTGTCAGTTTAGAAACTACATAATAACATTGATAGGATTCTGGTAACCCATCCACATAATAGAAATTTATATATTGATTTTTGAGAAGACCGGATCTGTCTATTTTAAAGCAGTTAAGAAAAATATTTTATGCGTCATCAATGGTCATGGATTGTTGTTTATGTGCTCTGTGGATTTTTATGATGAGATACACTGATAAGATATCATGGAAGTTTGCAGTATTGTTTGACCAGTTGCTCCCATTTACCCCCTTTCTTAAATTTTTACCTTCATTGGCATTTGTTACATCAGCTGAATACAAATTATTTTGTTACGCAGATAGAAATGTTTTGTTTGGGCAATGCAATTCCAATTAACTTACACACTGTTTTGTATATGAAACAGCATTGGCAAAAGCTCAACAGTTGTTACTTGATCCCCAGGAGAGAGATTATCTATTAAACCAAGTTAATGCAGCAAAAGGTTTATTTTTATTTATTATTATTTTTGTTTATAATTTTTTGTGGTTATCTGCATATTTCTCTTATATTGGGTTTTAAATGCTTTCTGCAAGTGATGAATTCTATGGAGACTCATGTTTCTGAATTAAACATGCAGAAGAACTTAAAGCAATTAGGAAGAAGCAGCTGAAAAAAGACACTGCTACTAAGTTGAAGTCTTTAGTGGATGAGGTGGATTTTTTGTTTGGTGGCACCTTATGATACCTTCTTAACCTGTTTTGCATTATCAACTACGAAAGGTTAATTGCAGTAATATGTGTGGGACTAATGCTATCCTTAGTGTACACCACCAAGTTCTTTTCATCGGTATTGCATGCAGCACTTCGTCTTTTATTCTATAGTTACGTTTTATTTGATTCAAGCGTAATTCTCTGGACATTTTATGATTATAATTTGAGCTATTTAAAAGTTAAATTGTGATGAAGACATCTTTTTTTTATTTTTTTTGATGAAGACAACTATCTTTTAATCTTATGAACTATGATGCAGGGAAAATATGAGCAGGAATATGAACGATCAGAAGAATTTCAGCAGCAGTTAAAATTGAAAGTTCGAGAACTCTTAACAGATCAGGAATGGAGGAGAAGGAAGATGCAAATGAGGGTATGCCGATAAGCACTCAATTTGTTCTAACTCTGTTTCTTACTCCAATGTTTACATGCTTCACATACCTGCAGATATCAGAGGAGGAAGGTAGATTAAAGAAAGATGAAGAAGAAACAAAAGAGATGTGGAAACGTAAACGTGAGCACGAGGAACAATGGGAAGGCACAAGAGAACAAAGGGTTAGTTCTCCTACATACATCGTCTTAAAGACTTGAAAGCTTTGTAATATCTGGTTCCCAGATGCTATATAATTTGCTAAGTTGGGTTTATTTTAAATTTTAATATCTTGTCAAAGTACTTTTCAGCACATTTCGTTTCCAAAAGTTCTTAGTGTCTTGCTAGATATATCCAACTTCACATTTGGTGGCTGGACCAGAAACATGTCTACATTTCTTTTCCCGATGTAGAATGTCTAATTCTTTTAATTGAACTAATTGAGGAACCTAAAATTCATTTGTACATATTTTCTTTCACTACATACAGGTATCGAGCTGGAGGGACTTCATGAAAGGTGGAAAGAAGGTTGGTTACATCTACATTTCATTCAGTTCTGTTTTGAAGTAATTATCATTTCTGGTAGAAATGAAGTGACATGAGATTTCGTTTGTACTTTCAAAGGTCAAGAAAGGAGAGACTCGACCTCCAAAACTCAAGACAGAGGATCCGAACAAATCCTACGTGCAAAGGCCAGTGAAACGAGGTTGACTATTAATATATTTCCCTATCCTTGTTTGAACTATCTGCCATTGCATACATTACATGATATTGCTTGATAAAAAGCCTTTTGAGGTTTGATAGTGCTATAGCTGTTGTATTAACTTGTGTTTGCTAGCCATTTTGTGCTGCTCATTGAACCCTATCCAAACCTAGGTATTCATTCGAGCATCCTAGCACCTATCCCTGTATTTACCTGAGTCGATGTACACATTCTGTAGTTTACCCTCACTGTCATTATAATTATCTACGAAAAATTCTTCAAATTATTAATCGAGGAAGGATCCTCCAGATCTAGTTCTCAGACTAATCAATTTGGACTCATATTAGGGATAGCCTTTTTTTTTTTTTTTTTTTTTACAAGCATTGATAGACACAAACTGATTCATGCTGTGTGTCATCTATTGTGTTTGCTAAAGATTGTGCTGCGTTAACCCTACAATTTGGTTCGTTGGTTTTTGATTTACTTGTGAAATAGTTCTCTATCCATTGCTGAAGATTATCCGGGACCTGTTGCTACTTGAAATTGTATGGTTTCATGTTTCACCATGCATTGCATTGCGCCTTTGAAATGATTCATGGCTTCATATTTCACTATGCATAATGATGATTTGTGGCTTCGTAGGCATATGTGTTCGGTCATCTTTGAAGTTTCATAGATGAGCCTTTTTTTTTTATTTTTTTTTATTTTTTATTTATGACATAGAAACTCACAACTGCTACTTTTCGAGTATCTTCTGGATAAATTTTTGGTTAAATTGCAAATTAGGTCCGATAAGGCAAGTTAAATGAGCCTTCTTGTTGATATATAGTAAAGTGTTTTAGACCAGTTACCGTGTCCGACTCAAGCCCCATTATCTTAATCCATTTTCCTTGAAATAACATTTTTATTATGGACTTGAGCTTGTAAACTATTCAAATTTGAATCTAATCTAGCGAATTAATTATTGTTTTGGTAAATAGGTATAAAATTAAAAAGTTGAATTGCATGAAAAAATGTGTTGGACATATATCTATTATGAACCTACAAATATATAATTACATTTAAAAATAATAGGTTGGAGTGTATTAGTATTTCTTCCAATTTTTACTATTTATTAAAAAAATATATATATCTATTTTTTTTATATTATATTAAAAATTAATTTTATATTTAGAATATTATATTAATATTTATTTATATCATATAATATACATTTTTGTGACTAAAAATTATATATTTCTTATTATATAATAAGATGAATAAATATAAATAATAAAAGATAATTAATTTCTTTTGTACTTACAAAAAAAAAAAATATATCAAAATTATTATATATACTTATACTAAATAAATTACATAAATTATCAAATTAAAACCAAACAAAACACATATTGATGATATTTAAACACGCATATATAGATGATATTTCTGTATGTAACAATGAACATCACCCTAACACATATAATGGTTGGGTCAAATCAGGAAAATGGGTCCTAACAATGAACACATTCATCTAGATGAAACTAAGCAATGTACATGCATGCATATGTGATTAACAAATGGCTTCATGTACTACAAGTCAGGTCACTTGCCACATGACCTGCCACACAAGGCGAACATAGTTCACCTAGTATGATTTGTTTGTCGGACTTAGTTTGCATGGTATTAAGTTTGACCGAAGGTTTACCCAAGTATCGGCTGCAAGTTCTTATGTCATAAATAAATAAATAAATAAATAAGAGCACCTAATAATCCAAAAAAGTTTTTTTTTTTTTTTTTTTCATCTTCATTACACAATATAGTTACACTACTACACTGGACTGTACTCTACTACATTACATAGAAAAAAAAATGAATCCACAAGAACACCACCCTCCCACTCCCCCTCTCTATTGTGCACACATGAATATATATATATATATATATATATAATCAACAGCTGAGGGGGAAGCTTAACACAGACATTATATCACCACAAGCACGCCGTTTATGCATTTAAAACACAGCAAATAAATTAAAACAAAACATAAAATTAATACACCTGCGCCAGCCAGCCGTGGCCGACCCAACCAACCCCGCGCAGGCCTCACCTTCCGGTCTTAGCCAGGTTGCCTTTTCGAACACATCACACCACAGCACTCCATGGACCTCGGCTGCCGACTTTGTTATGGAGATTTCCAAAAAGTGGCTTACAGACACACAGACTGCAGTTAGAATCCCACCAGCAAGTTCTCCAGCATTCCACAATTGTTTCTGCTATGTGCAAATCACTGGAAATTCCACAAGTTGTTTTTTAACATGAAAGAGAAGAAACAAGTTTCAGTAAAACTATCTGCTCGGAAGGAAGGAAAATCGAAATTTTGATTAATCTATAAAACCTAAATCCAAGCAACAGAACCTCGGTCATTGGCAACTTGTGGACGGCCCCGAGTTGGGGTGGGTGGTCTGTTAGCATTTAGCTCCTGACACAACCACATAGATCGTAAGATAGATCAAGATCACACTTGCAAAAAAGTTTTAAAAGTTTGGATTAACATCAGTACCTGCATCCATGTGTCTTCTATATGGCGCTCGGGAGAAGTTTCTGGAGATGAAATCGCGGGTGGCAATGGATGAATCAGTTTTGGCACAACCACCAAATCTCGACCCAGAACCAATATAGCCCCGGCATTGTTGGCAGTGCCTGCAGAAATTAAAATGATACCGGCGTTACAGCAGCAACCAATCAACGAATGTGAAATCATTTGGACTTACCACAATAGTTGGTCGCTGAGAAGAGGGTAATTAGATGTCCCTGAGCAAATCTTTCAAATCCATCCATCACGCACTCGTGTGCCCGGACAATCAATTGAAGGTCATTGTTGTTACAGAATTCCATAACACGGTCAGGCTGCAAGATAGGCGCACATAATCATGAAGCACTTCAATAATTTATAAACAATCTGTTTTTTGTCGGAAAATGTGAAGTCTGATTCAGACACTGACCCCGAAAGTTACCAATCCTGGACCTCTTGCATTCGGACGCAGTCCTTCTACACTGTCGTTTTCTGTGGGATCAGACCTGCGAAGAGGCGAACGCATCAAGAATACAGTAGTAGAAATTTGGAGGGTAGTAACAACATAAAACTAGAAGAGCGTGTGGACTCACCACAACAAATCCATAAGTACAATCGATCCTGCTTCCATAGCAATCGGGCGCTGAATGTTCTCAATCTGTTCTACATGGTTTATTGATCTCCCAATACCACCATGCATACAAATAATCTTTTTCTCGATCAGCGCAGCAAGAGGAAGCCAGTTGAACAACCTATTTATCCGATGCCAAGCCCATATCCCATCTCTCTCACCCTATTCAGGAATCGCTCAGGTTGGATGATTTATCCCAGAGAAATACAAAAATGGCGAGGGATTTTTTGTAACTTACCATACGCTCAATGCACTCGATCCGAAATCCAAAGAGAGCATTGATATCTGCAGCTTCATGATTTCCACGAATCAAATGGACTTGGTGGGGATACTCGACCTACATACCCATGCATTTGTAAGAAGCGTTTTCATCAGTTTCTCGAGGGAGAATCACAGGAGACAGTGCAGGATTTTAGTTGACAAGTGGGATGGCTACCTTCAAAGCAAGGAGAAGAGTAATTGTTTCCAAGCTGTGTTGACCACGGTCAACATAATCTCCAAGGAAGAGATAATCAATGTATCTGACAGACAAACAGACAATCAGCATGTGATGGAAACTAGGCATTGTACAAAGTAAAATGTTTGATCTAGGCCAAACATTAAAATTCTATCGGAAAAGCACCATACAGACAGAAAATAGCATATAAAATTATTATATACAGTTGAATTCTATCCATCTTCTTTTTTCCATAGTGCCCCTTTCACAGTAACATATATTGTATTATGCTGCATAACTCCTAGCAAGATAAAATGTTGCTTTAAAAAATTGTTGGTTTCTAACATAGCAAGGCAACATCCATTCTGTCTACCCAGCCCATTCATATCACTCGTGCATTGTCCAAAAAGCACATAGCGGGACTGACGTAATTCTCATTTAGTTAGTAAATTGTCCTTTATTAGATTATTGTTTTAGCATGTAGTCGAGGATAGGAATATCTGGGCAAGCAATCTAGAATTATCATTTGCAAAAAATTGCATTGTAGTAAACTTAACCCAACATGCATATGGAGCCAACATATGAAAAAAAGTAATTAGAAAAAAGTTTAAATGAAAAGATACATAATTACAGGCATACACAATATGCTAAAACGAAAATTTTCATGATAAACATCATAGCAACTACCAGCCAGCTGGGCATATTAACAAAATAGTTAATTATATTATCCTAACTAAGAATTTTTGGGTGCGTTTGTTTGGAGATTTGGATTTTGAGTTGGAATTTGAATGGTAAAATTCTTTAATTGGAATAGTTGTATGGTGTAATATAAATAGGTATTGATGTGATGTTTTGAATGTAAAATTGATTTTTAGAATAATATAGAAAATGAAAAATAAGTGTTTGATTTGATGTTTTTGGGGGAAATATTTTGGATGAATAGTGGAATTTTTGCAAAATCCCTCAAACTACACACCCTTAATGTATAAAGCAAGATCGATAAGGAGTGTCAGATTGCGTACGCTATATCCCCAGCAGTAGAAGGCGCTCCATACTCGTCAAACAGTCGCATAAGATCCCCAAACTGTCCATGTAAGTCACCGAATATCTTAATAGGAGCTTTCAACTGTAGTACGCTTGGTTCACTTGAGAATATTCTCTCAGCACTATCACAAAGATCAGCAATCTCATTGCAATCCAAGAAAAATTGCCTGCAAACTGGAGGTTTCCAACCACGAGGTTTCAAAAGATGAGCAATCACCTGTGCCAATAGCAATCATGATGTTGTTACTTAACATGATATTTTGTTGCACCAATTAATTGAAGATTTATTCAGAACTAAAAGAATATATGCTCCCAATCAACATTTGACTACTACCAATTTTGTGGAACAAGCATTCCTCATATTTCCTCAAGTGCAAAGGCACTTTATTCTATTGAAGGAACAGTCAATATAATTTCTTATCACTCTGAAATCATAGGAGAATAAAGTAATAATGTTTTGGGAAAGATACCTTCTTTGGTACACTGTTAATTGACATTTGCCTATCTAACAGTTTCCTAGCTGCAGTCGCACTTTCCGGAGTTCCATAGCTGACCCGCCTGCCTTCGTTTTCAAACTGATCAATAGAAAGCTGTCTGACCATTCCACCTAAAGCACCACTAGTCTCCGCAGCTACAACCACCTGGAAACAAATGATAGCCCTATGAATCCAACATTTATCAAAAGCAAGATCTTTTTCTTGTTGTTGAATATTCTCAAGAATCACCTTCTTGGATTCGTGAATTAAATTGTCTCAAAACTTAACATATTTCAAAATTTCTAAACTCCTCCTTTGAATAGTTCATAATTTCTTTAAACTACCCTTAACGCTGAGCCAAAATTTTGGACTTTGAGACAGTTTCAGCCTCTTCATTTAATCCAAAATTAAAATGGTTTGGTATAACAATACTCACAGCACGATGATGCAGTCTAACTCCAGTTGGGACTAAATTATTTGACACAGGAGAAACAGGCTTGATCAAAGTAGGTGTCCGTTCCCCACTAGGAGTAGCCTCTGATCCTCGATCTCTATCAGGAAGTTCGACATCTCCATTAACCTGTCTGGCTTTAGCTGCAGCCAATGCAGCACTAATAGCCTCAGCTTCTGCTGCAGAAGCTTCAACTAAGTACTCGACACCTTTGCTCAATCTTCTGTGCGGAAATACTATATATTAGACAGAACTCAAAGCAACCAACATAATTGAATTGCTAAATTGGCTATATGCAAACGATAAGGCAGGGCACTTAATTACCTGGAACCTTGGATCATGGCATTTTCTGTGCTTATATCTGTATAAATATCACCATTAACGGGGGGAGCGACAGGATTTCCAACAACTACTGCATCAGCAGCAGCAGCATCAGACACAGGGTCTCCATTCCTATCTTCACTAAATCCATAGCCACCTTGCAACCTTCCTTGTGGCAAATTGGAGGCAGCTTCTGTGGCAGCTGCATGAGAAGCTGCACTGGTGGTTTCAGTGGCAGCCAAATCTTCTGCAACAAGCAAATCATCCAGCAGCACCCCTACAGCAAACAAATTCCAACCGCTATCTAGCTTATCCGCATATCCAAATCAATATGTTGCGTGTACACACCCATAGCATGCATTAACTTCATATTTTACAAGGAATGTCCAAAATTGAAGGTACACAAAAGAAAAGCAGAAAATTAGAACAGATCAGCAAAAGTTCAGCTGCCAAGTCAGACCATGTAGTGTAGATTATCTCACATGAGATTCCAGTGTCCAAAAAGTAAGGTCAGAACTTCCCAGACCCTTCCAACCCCATGCCCTCAAAAGAATATAAACGTAATTTTACTAAGTCAGAAGCGAATCTTTATTATAATATCATGACTCAGCTGCACAACCATGAGTCCTGTAATACTTATAAGGTATAATGTTCGTATCAATTGAATTAAACTGTTAATGCATTATTTTCTATTGGCCTGTAGTACGTGTATATGTATATATTTATCATTATCAATAAATAATAATGAAATGATTAAAAACAGAAGTCCACAATTTATTCGAGGTGAATAGAACAAGGTCTTAAGTATCAGCATAGTATTCAACATATATCATCTTATTATGGGAGAGTATTATTGCTCACCTCCACGTAGACCACCATATATGAAGATCAAATCACCAACTGCAGCAGCAGCATGTCTGCAGCGCCTGGTCAGTTCAACTGCGGCATCCCCACCAGCAGCATCAGCACTGTACCTACCAGTCCTGGGACTCGTAACAACAGACTTTGTGTCACACCAGACACCAGCTGCAGTATCCAAAACTAAACAGAAAAAAAAGACATGAAACATTAATCTACAATACTAACTGTATTAACTACCAACTATTCTTTTATGGAGCATTCTCCTCTCTGGTAGATGCAAGAAAATCTAAAATCTTGGCAGAAAGCTTAAAGGACGGAATTACCAGCAACACTAGAGGAATCCTCGACCATGCGACCACCACCAAGAGCCCCTCCGGACACATGAAGACGTGCATTAACAAAAACCTAGTAAGCACAAGGAAATAAGAAGTCACTTATATGCAACTAAAATCAACATGAAAATATTAGTATCTGAGAACAGAGTTACTCAACAAAGAACTTACAGCAGCATGTTGATATCTTGCAGTCGGCGAAACACCAGGAGCTATGGCCCATTCCCATCGACCATCTCTATGCTTGGCAAGGCCAAATGCACTAGCCAAGGGCTGCATAACCAATCATCTCAATAAAAATTGAGGGGCAGCAGAAAATGCAGTAGAAATGTAAATGGATCACTAGCAAAGAAATTCTGAAACTCTCTTTGCTCTTGTATGTTCCTTGCCCCGACAAAGCATTGGGCAGGGCGGAGATTAAGAAGTCTAGTTGAAATAGAAATCAAATTGTGCTCTGCCTTGTAAAAGATAAAATAAGATAAATTCCAAATAGAGAGACACGCTAAAAGCCTTATTGATGAGTTGCCTTGAATTTCACAAACGCATACATTCAGCAGAAAAGTAAAAACTGAATCATAATATAAAATAACCTAACCATAAAATAACTGAATGTGTATAATCATAAATCTTCAACAGTGCAAAAGTATTGGAAACCACACTAACCACACTATTTGGATCCCTCCCACCACAAAGCAAAAGAAGGCCATCAGAACGTGCACTTGCAGTTGCATACCTAGGTAAGTGGAGATTCAAGAGAAAATACTGATAAGATTCAGATTATAGGAGATGAATAAATAAAACCCCCTTAAAAAGAGGACGTAAACTCCGGAGAAAGTTGGCATGTCAACCTTATAAAATATAGTAATAGATATGTTGAGATTCAAGCTCAAGAGAAAATACTGATAAGATTCAGATTATAGGAGATGAATAAATAGAACCCCACTTAGAAAGACGATGTAACCTTAGTATAAAGTTAGCATATCAACCTTATAAAATATAGTGAAGCTCAAACACTAAGGCCACAGAAGTAAAGTAAGGTGTTGAAGCTTTGCAACATACCCATTGAATTATGCGGGGCTTATCAAACCTAAAAATGAATCAGTACAGAAGATGCTATCGGAAATCTTGATAGAAAATCTTAGAAACCATTCATACAAGGACGCAAACATTTCAACTAGGATCAAGATAACTTCTCCAACTTTAAGGAGTTGAAAGAAGAACTGGTATAGAGTCTCAGCAGCAAGCTGACAGAGACTCATAGCCTCCTGTTTGCAGATTGTTAATCTTCTATTAAAAACATAAAAAGAGCTATTCATATCCAAAAGGCACCAACTAAGTGGTATTTTTTAAGTGTTCTCTAATTGAATCGAAAGACTTAATCAAGTGTTTGGTAGTATAGGCAATCAAAGACATACTATGCAAGATGTGCTAATACACAGAATGAACCATGAAAATGGAATAAAATTATGGAACAATAATATATAAGGAAAGTTTAGAACAATAATCAATGAATGGAACTTGGGAACAATATAATAAGAAGAAAAAGGTAACTTAAACGTAACAAGCTCACATGCAAGCAGGCGGGCCTTCACCCTCTGGTTCCAGTTTACGCCATTCATATGGCTTTGCAGCCGTGTCCAGAGCCCACACATCAGCCAATGGTCGTTTTCCTAACAAGAATGTACCAACTGATAAGCTATGCATAGTTGGGTTATAGTACGGAAACAAATGAAGATAACACAAACCATCATTTCCACCAATTGCCATAAGATATCGTTGCCCAACCAAAGCCATGACATGCCCATAGCGTGGGCCTGGCCCAGGACCTTGGACCACAACCCTAAGGAAATTATAATTTCAGATTGACTGGTCACCAAAATATGGCATAGTAAATGAATGTGTAAATACAAAAATATCGATTATAAAGATACCAACCTATGCCACCTAGGACGTTGTTGCGTAAGATCCAAAACATGGAGATCTTCAGCCGACAAGCCCGCTGGACCAATACCACCCTGCATCAGGAAGAATATTTATTGCGGCGTATATATACACGTGTATGATAGAAAAATAAATGCTGTAACTTAAAATTTCAATCCATGTGTCAACAATAACGACAAAAAAGATAATGGAACATATATATCAACAATCTCATACATCAGAAAAATAAATGTTGCAACTTCTATCTCTGTACACATGTCAACTGACCTGAATAACAACCATGGTTCCAACAGCAGTTGCCACATGAGCTGCCCTAGGTGTGGGTGGTTCTCCAAAAGGATTAATTCTAGAAAGATTAAAGCCAATATATCAAAGAAGCCAGCAAAACAGAACAAAAGTAACCATAATAAAAAATTTCGATCTAGTTATATTAATTAAGCTTACCGAGACCATTTATTGGTCAAAACATCATAACAGTGTACATCCGCAGTAGCCCCAGCCAACCCTGCAGAAAAATCCAGTTACTACTACTTTCCTAAAAAAAAAGTTACTTGAGAATGACTTCACAGTTCACACACATCCATAATCAACTTATAAGCATAGGAAGAAACTCTATTTTTTGTCCAAAGAAGTCTGTAAAACTTCTAACCACACTAAAAACCGGACACGTATAACTCCCTGGCAAACTCAGTAGTGCGAAAAAAGCTTCCAACTTTTTAGTTAAAAATAATTATCCAGTGCATTAAATGATATCAATCGACTCATAACCCAACTCGAGCATCTAAATAACGACATCAATGCATTACTTGCTATACACCCAAACACATAAGACTGCATCACACAACAATAATCACCCTGAATTCTGACTCAATTACATTTCCACTTTCCATTTTTAGTTCACATTAAAACAGCATGAAAAAACCAAACCAATTCTCAAGCTAACCCTTGCAGCACCATGCAGTTCTTCAATCCATGTTCATAAGAAGCAAAACCATAAGAATCCGAAAAACCTCAAACAAGCAACTCCAATGAACTCAGGCATATTTTAACGCTACAGATGGGTTTAAAAATTCATCTTACATTATACTAACACACAAATTAACAATTCAGCTAGATACATACGAATTCCCGCACTTCCAGCCGATGAAGGAGTTCCAGATGCTGCTGAATTTCCTTCCAGAGCTGTCGCCCCGCCAAAGAGAATCAATCTGGGACCAATATAGCCAGGACTCCCTTCCTCCCCCACGGCCGGCACCGCCGTGAGCGTGTGGCCACACCGCGGCCCAGGGCCATCATCCTTCTCAACTATCGCGTTCACCACACTATAAGTCGGTGCACACCGAGGCCCCGCCGCCACCGCTCCTCCGCCGCCGGGACCGCCGCTGCTGCTAACATTACTGCTATTCTCACTCTGCTGCTGCTCCGAGTCAGCCATGGATTGAGATTCGGTTTGCTCCTCCGCACCATTAGCCCCAGCCGGCTGCTCCGTCGGATCGCGATCGTGCTCCGTAGCCATACCCGAATCCATGTCCATCTCCGTAGATAAACCCTAAATTTTCAAAGCTTCAAAATAAGATCGGAGCTCGAATTCTCAACAATTCTCATCCGCAGTCGTCAATTAATCAAATCACCAAAACCAATAGCTTCCGATTCTCAAAAATTCACACAAGAATTAGTTTTTATTTCATCCAAATAATTTTATCTACATATAAAGCGGTGATAGAGAATCCAGAAGCAACCTTGCCAATCCAAAGTTTCCAACCCCTCACTCCCTCTCTCAACCCCCAACTATTTTCTCTCTCCACCAGTATACATACACACATATGTATCTATCTATCCACAATTTTCACACTGTAATAGTCAAAGGGAAAAAAGAGGGGGGAGTTTCTTTCACCATGTTCTTCGATTTAGGGCTCTTCTGATTGCGTGAGTGTCTTATACGGCTGAGAAGGCGCCACTGCGACTGTGCGACGGCGGAAGGACATCGGGTACAACTGCTGAACCACAACGTACTACACTGTGATTGTACCTTCCGCATCTCCTTGTTGTACCTTTAGTCCACTTGTGCCCGTCCACCCTAATTAGAGTATTAATCTAATCCTTTTTTAATATCGTTAAAAAGATATATGTTTTAGAATATAAAAGCCTTTTACTTTCATGACTATTTATCTTACTTAATTGTGTAGTTTTTATAATTGGATTGTGTAATGATGCGCATTGCAAGTAATTATTATTTATGGAATCAAAATTAGTATTATTTATTATGATATTGATTGACTTTTTTCTTTTTCTTTTTTTTTTTTTTTAAATATTTTGACCTATTTAAGTAATACTATGTCCATTTAAGAGTTCACTTTGAGTAAATATAATAAAACACCACATAATTGTTAGATACATTATACATTCCATATTAATCAATACAAGGTGTGGTATTTTGGCTTGGCTTCCTTCTAATACACAATTTTCCTTGTCTATAATATATAGTAACTTTTTATATTTTTTTCATAAAATATCAATATTTAATATAAAATATTATTTTTATATTTTAAATATAATTTTTTTATACATCACATAAAGAATTTTATCTCAATTAAAACATTAAACATACACACCCTTTGTATTTGAAGTGTTTGGTTTTATTTATTTTTTTGATTTTGTTTAAAAAATAATTTTTAAATATAATTTTATATTTTTTATAAAATATAGGTATAATAAAATTTTGAGAAAACTTTTTAAAGAAAAAATTAATATTACACATTAATATAATATATAGTATATATATTATCTATTGTTATTTTTTATATACTAACACAATTTAACAAATTGTTTGAAATTAATTTGAAATAAAATGATGTTTTGAATCGTTATTTAAATAGTAGTATCTTAATATAAAATTTTGTGAAAAATAATAATAGTTTTTAAAAAATTATGCATAATACTTTTGATTTAAAATGCTAGAAGAACAAATTTTTTGTTATGGTTAATTTAACTCAAAATTCAATAATATCTAATATGTTTAAACAATACAATCCGGAATATAAATAGACATCATGGTGTTCTTTATATATTATTTCTTAGCATGCAATTTTATTCTTATAATTTTAATACTCCCCGTCCCATTAAAAATATACATTACTCGATCCTACTGTAAGGGATGACCTGGTGATATTGGAGTTGGATTTGTGACCGTCAGATTATAGGTTCAAACCCCGAGGCCTCATGTAGTTAACTATAGTTATGGGACGGAAGAAATATTTTTTTTATTAAATATCTATATCATATATTATTTTAGTACTAAATTCAAACTAAATTATTTTCAAACTTATTAAAAGAAACATACACTTAAATATCAAATTTTAAATATAGTATATTTTTATATTAATCATTTATTTTTACATCATTTTTAAATGATACAAATTTAATATACTAATTATTAATATTTTATTATTATTTGATTTGATTTTGTAAATTATATTTATAAAATTTAAAATGACAATAAAATAAGAATATAAAAGACGCAAAAATAAACATATATCACGGGAATGCAGTGCAGGAGCATGCAGTTGTCGAGGCATGGCGGCCGCTTGTTTATCAGACTATCAAAAAACACTTCAAACCATCTAACCATCAGCCGCCATAGCCGCAGCTTCGACAAATAATGCTCTGTAGTATTGTATTGTGGCTTCTGGAGGTTTCAATGATAAACAAACACAAAGCTAAATATAGTCAGTGGATCAGTTGCACTTGCATCCATAATAGTCTCAATCTGGTGGAAAAGGGAACTGGAAATGGCTATCAATCAGGATTCAGGCTATGCAAATGCAATTCCCTGCCTGGCGAAGGAGAGATGCAGACTTGCAGTGGATTTTCGCATATGGACTGGACTGCGTTTATTCATTGGACTCACTGTTCTTCTCCAATACTTCGTACGGTGAGGAGGAAGATGATCGAACAACAATCAACAACGGAAGCAAGGAAGGAGTGGAGGAGTTGGAAATCTAGGCGGTCCAGAGAAAAGGAGATATGTCAATTCAATATACTAATTCTCTCTCAACTTCTTGCTATATCTAATCTAAATCTAATCTCCATGATGCAATCCCTTTCTCTTTCTCTCTCTAACTTCTATCCTTCTTTCTCTCTCCTATTTAGATAAGCATCTATCAATTTCACGTCTCCATGTAGCCAGCCAATCACAGTTCGCCTTTCCTTTTCCCTACTCTGCTTGTTTGAGATTTCTTGAATTCTCCGCCAAGCTTGTGTAGGGAATGGGATTTAAAGTCCAGAACGATTGAAGAAAGTGGAAGAAGCCCTAACCAGAAATCCGGAGAGGAGCTGACTGAATTCGGGAGAATCATGAAACAAGGTAGGGATTTCGTGGTTTTGTTTGTTAATTTGTTGCCAATAGCCAGTTTCATCGTATCTTTCTGATTGATTGGTGTCGAAAATATTTGGGGGATTTCTCAATTCTAGGGTTTGGGGTCTGGAGTTCAATTCGCACCCCTAACTTTCTAGATAATTCACCAACCCTACCCCCGCCCCGATTAGGGTTTATCCTTCTACGATTTGATTTTACGCTCAAATTCGTTCCCGAATTCCGATAAATTCATTGCCGAGGATTTCATCGGCAATATCTTCCAGACGAATCGAATTCGGGGATATCTAAAATCGCTTAAATATCGCGAAGAGGCTTGAAAACAACATTTAAAATAAGATCTGAAGTAAGAATTCATACTGTGATCTCATCGACGCCATTGATTTGTCTTCTTGATGATTCAAGATTCACCGGAGATGGATTCCAACGACGGCAGAGCCTTGCCGGAAAACAACAAGAAACGTTCAGTCAAGACACGTGCTCAGATCGACGCTCTGGAAAATTTTTACAATGGTATGCATAACTAGTCTCCGTTTTTCTAACTATATTTGGGTCTATGAAACCTTCAATACCAACACATATTGCTGAATCTTTTTTCAGAGCACAAATACCCAACTGAGGCAATGAAAGCGCAGCTTGCAGAGTCGATAGGCTTGACACAGAAGCAAGTGTCTGGGTGGTTCTGCCACAGGAGATCAAAGGACAAGTGGTCTGCTGCCCCTGGGAAGCAGCCTGGATCACAGGATATTGGAGTTGGGCATAAACAAGATTCTTGTGGCAGCACAAAGCAGGGTGGAGGTGATCCAAAAGAATTTTCTGCTACAGAGCTGACCTACGAGCAGGGGAATCGCTATCCTCAAAATGACAATTATACGACCGATCCCTCTTCTGATAGCAGTTTTTCGCTGCGAAATGTGTCAAGCCATCAAAATGGTGAGCTGTTGGATGGGGGGGTATCAAGTTACGTGGTAACAAAAAATTCGCCTGTGGGCATGAGAAGGCCGGGTCCATCAGGTTATTTAAAAGTGAAGAGTCGGGTCGAGGATCCATCCATTTCAGCAGTCAAGAGACAGCTGGGAGAGCATTATCGGAGTGATGGTCCTCAACTTGGTGTTCAATTTGACCCTCTTCCTCCAAGAGCATTTGAGACTGCAATGGATGGTGCAGTCAAAGGTAAGTTTTTGCCACTTCAATGGTCATTTGATGATTTCACCTAGAAACTAGAAAAACTTTTTCATGAATAGATTATTTGATGATTTCACCTAGCATGTGGAGAACTCTTTCAAGAATAGGCGATGGAAGAGAGTCAAGCTTAGGATCTTCCATTCTGAAACCAAATTAAAGGATTCTCTACCCTTTGTTGATTTGTTCTTTGATAACTAATGTGTTTTCTGATCGAGTTCACTATGATGGCTGTTTTCATAGATGAGGTGATACAGTGATAGCGGAGGTCCCTTTGATTCAATGTCATGTTCATTGATCACTCTGAGGAGATTTATTGTCATTCAACTTGCAACGCTATTCATTTCACCACATTGTCATCTCTGACATGAATTCTTACCAGAAACTTACTGTGCAGGAGAAGCTGTCGTGCCTACCTCGAAGGATGTTACAGATACTTTCCATAGTCCCATAATCAGCAATGTAAGCAATTCTTTCCTGTCGTTGTATTCTGTGCCCGTTCCCTTTGTCATCTTTAACTAAATTGTATGATATTGTGACCATAATTGTCCTGTTGGTTTCATTCTGTGCAGGCAAATAGGTACAATTCCAGCTCGGCTTCCTATAATTATAATACGAGGCACGGATATGATACTCATGATGGTTACGCTAACCATATGATTAGACCAAGCACTTATTTGCCCAACAATGAACTCTATAATCATCCTAGGAGAAACTCTTCAGTAGAATGGCCTGAAAATCCTGACAGAGACAAATACAAGATGAAGCCCAGGCCAGGTGTCGAAGCTGCAAGAATCAACTCATTTCCAAGCCATCCTCACCAACAACCTCACAACAAGAAGATAAAGAATGGAAATCTTAAGCCCCGCAATAAAAGAAAGGAACTTTGCAGTTCTGAGGACGGTGGACTGCCAAGGCAAACTATCAAGGTTCAACACTGCTTTCTTCCTTTTCCCTGATAAGGTGTCAATGCAGATATTCAACGTTTCGGCTATGATTATGCAGGATGCAGAAACTTACTCAGATGGGTGGATTTTGGATGAAAGCAGAGTTAAGAATCCTTTTGCCAACAATTTCTCTGTAAGTTTGAATCATGTATTGACAATAATGTACCAATTCTTGCTTAGAAGTTATCAATAATGTGTTTTGTTACTGTAGGTGGTACAGAAACCTGCATTCTTTGGGTCATTGCCGATGGCACAGATGCCATCTAGTTTCAGTGAAGATGAAGAAAGCGCGGAAACAAGTTCTTCAGTGGACTAAGAATACTGCCAGTGTCAGTTCGGAACATCCTGGTTTCTGCTTGAGATTTTCTTGAATCCAGGGAAGCAGGAAATTTGTAGGTTTCTCTCTCTCCCTCTCTCTCTCTCTCTAGCATTGTAATGTTAGGAAGGATGGTGTATAATTAGTTGTGAAGAAGCAGATGCTGGTGTGGACAATCATCAAGTTAGTTAGTTCATCCTTCTTGTACAGGATCAATCACCTTTTGACTCTTGAATTTGGAAATCAATTTTGGGTATTTGTTTCCCGGATGATGAATGTTTATTTGTGTAGGCATGGAGTGCTTAGGTGACTGTAAATGAACATGAATTTTCTTGCGGCCACTGGTGCTTTTGAGCCCTATTTTAATCCAAAACCAGGACTGTCAGAAGGCCGATCAAGTTTTTAGGAACACTGAGCTTCATTTTATTTATTTAAATCCTAGAAATGACGGCAACAAAGCGATGCTTTCACGAAAGATGATTAGGAGGGGTTGATATTGTTGATTCATTGTTATGTACTTATTAGAAATGTGTCTTGAACTCTTTACTTGTACCATTTGCTCATTAGGACTGCATGCAATCTAGGAAGTTTAGGGGAGGTTGTTGGGGTTGAGGGAAGTATTCGATGGAGCTGTTGGAACTAGAGCTAGAGCTGATTTGAATTCATACATACTTAACAGTTATGGTGAATTGTGCTGTTTAAGGATGGCAATTCTTTGATCATACTGAGATGAGGGAAGAGATGTTTACTTGGATGTAATGACATACAATACTTTGACTACGGGTACATCATGTTAATGTTAATTAGTATGTTTTGTGAGAAAAAAATATATATATTTTTTTCGATAAATTTCGAGTTTAAATAGTAATTTTTTTTTTTTTAAATATAATGAAAGACACCTATAATAAATTGACTAGCTTAGTATATTCATTTTATAATCTTAAGCATACATGATTTTGTCCTTATAATACCAATTCATCAACTTCAGAGGCAAAAATATTCTGTCATAATTATTTATGCGGTATAAATAACAAAATGGTGTTAAAAATTGCATACGCTACTAAATTCAATTCTTTATCTATGATTTCATGGAAAATGATTTCCCAATTACCTACAAATGCTAACGTCTATAATTTTGGACTTGCGCCATATTTGCATACATACATTTAAAACTTTCTAAGATTATTCATCAAATAATTATATATATTTTTAAAATAGCTAGGTTAGACAACTTTTTTTCACATAGCATGTTCTTTAAATATCCCTTATCATAACTATAGAGTTACAAATAATGAAAATATTTGGTTGATCTCTCATGAAAGGATTCAATAATATCATTATATGTTGGTTAATTTAAAACAAAATGACATTAACTAATAATAATAACTACAATAATAATAATAATATGACAATAGTAGTTTGTCTGTTGCCTAAAAATCCTCCCAACCCCTTACTCTTGGTGCAACCTGAAATTTCCCCAAATAGTCAAAAAGAGTAAATTTAGGTAAATAAATTTCCTCACATTTCTCCCTTTCTCTCCATATTTGTCTCCCAAACCACCATCCCATTTCCCCCTTCCCTTTCCCTCCCCTTCCCTTCCCTTCCCTTCTCCTTCATCATTCCCACAACTCTTCCTTCCTCCTCAGCTCCTCCCTCCTCCGGGCATCGCTGCCGCTGCCGCCGCGCCGCCACCGCCGCCTCTTCCTCCGCCAATGGGTAGCTGCTGTTCCCGGAGCGAAGACGATGCTGCCGCACAAGACCCCTCTGCCGCCCAGGCCCCCAACAGCGATGACGCATCTAAAGACTCCCCCTCCACATCCGGCCCAACCACCACGCCGCCGCCGTCCGCCACCCAATCCACCAAGCCTTCGAAGCCTCCCGGCCCCATCGGCCCCGTCCTCGGCCGCCCGATGGAGGACGTCCGAAACACGTACACGGTCGGGAAGGAGCTCGGACGGGGGCAGTTCGGCGTAACGTACCTGTGCACGCACAAACAAACCGGCGTGGAGTACGCGTGCAAGACGATTGCCAAGCGGAAACTTGCGAACAAGGAGGACGTGGAGGACGTTCGGCGCGAGGTCCAGATCATGCACCACCTGTCGGGCCAGCCAAACATTGTCGAGCTCAAGGGCGCCTACGAGGACAAGCACTCGGTCCACCTCGTCATGGAGCTTTGCGCCGGTGGTGAGCTTTTCGACCGGATCATCGCCAAGGGGCACTATACGGAGCGCGCCGCCGCATCGCTTCTCCGGACGATCGTGGAGATCGTGCACACGTGCCACTCGATGGGGGTGATACACAGGGATCTCAAACCCGAGAATTTCTTGCTCTTGAACAAGGACGAGAATGCGCCGCTTAAGGCCACAGATTTCGGGCTCTCTGTCTTCTACAAGGAAGGTCAGTACATCTTTCTCCCTAAATCATTCATTTGTAATAAACCTGAAATTTGAAAATTCGAGTTATTCGTCGTAATATCTTCGACAGGAGAAACATTCAAGGACATAGTAGGAAGTGCATATTACATAGCTCCGGAAGTATTGAAAAGAAACTATGGACCTCAAGTCGACATTTGGAGTATTGGAGTCATGTTGTACATCCTTCTTTCCGGTGTTCCTCCTTTCTGGGCAGAGTCGGAGACGGGCATCTTCAACGCCATATTAAGGGGGCATGTAGATTTCTCGTGCGATCCCTGGCCGTCGATCTCACCCCAAGCAAAGGATCTTGTGAAGAAGATGCTGAATCAGGATCCCAAGCAGAGGCTTACAGCATTTGAAGTGCTAAGTATGTAATCTTTTCTCCTGAAAAACAAAATTTGTGCGCATCCGCGCAAAATACATCATCATGGATGGTTTTGATGACATAAGAAGAATTGACGTATATATGGTTTGTCTACAATGCTTACTGCAGATCATCCATGGATCAAGGAGGACGGGGAGGCACCTGATACGCCGCTTGACAATGCTGTTCTCAACAGGCTCAAACAGTTCCGGGCAATGAATCAGTTCAAGAAAATGGCACTTCGGGTAAGTACCTATACCAGACAACTGATGAATGCTTAACATGGAGCTTTGATGAGTTTGAATGCATGATAATCACAAATGAAAATTCTAAAATATTATTACTCCATGCTACTTACCATATGGTGTCTGATTCGCGGATAACCTGAAAAAAAATGAAAATGAAGGTTATTGCGGGCTGCCTGTCGGAGGAAGAAATCATGGGTCTGAAAGAAATGTTCAAAAACATGGACGCTGACGGAAGTGGCACGATAACGCTAGAAGAGCTGAGGCAAGGATTAGCTAAACAAGGGACAAAGATATCCGAATACGAAGTCAAACAACTGATGGAAGCTGTAAGTATCCTTGAATGAAAAAAAAAAACCATTTATTGCTCTTATATATAATGCGTACCTTTCCTTACCCTGTCTGCGAATGCAAATGTAAAATCAGGCGGATGCTGACGGAAATGGTACCATAGACTACGAAGAATTCATTACAGCAACAATGCATCTCAACAGAATGGACAGAGAAGAGCATCTCTACACAGCATTCCAGTATTTTGACAAAGACAATAGCGGGTATATATATATATATATACATGGACAATGAGCATATTTTAAGGATTCGATCCCAGGTTAGCTACTTTACTGAGATAAGGCTCCTGAAAGCTTTCTTCTTTTGAAATCAGGTACATTTCGCTAGAAGAACTAGAGCAGGCTCTCAGGGAATTTGGCATGGGCGATGGGAAGGACATAAAGGAAATAATCAGTGAAGTCGACACCAATAATGTAAGCTAAATCTCAACTGCAACCTACACTTTGTCTCCTATACAATTCTTAATTCATAGCATGGCAAAATATACTGAATCTATATAAGAGAGACTGATTAAATTGTTTAAATACCTACAGGATGGACGTATCAACTACGATGAATTTGTTGCCATGATGAGGAAAGGACATCCAGACATGGTTGCAAACACCAAGAAACGAAGATCTGCCGTCTTCACATAAAAAAAAAGAAACACAAGCTTTGTTACAACATATACACATTCTGCGTCAATTTCTTCATCAAGGGAAGGACAACTAACAGCTCGGGGATCTGAGAGACACTTAACATCACAGTCTTTATGTATTGATCAATACAATAGCATTATACACGCATACATACAGACATACAAATATATAATAAATATAATACACACATAAAGATATTATGAATTATCAATGTCTTCAAGTGCTACTATAATTTAAATGAAGTAAAAAAAGCTCAAGTCTGCTTCTAGTTCTGCGTGATTTTCTAATGGTTGCTAGAATTACCGTCGGATTAGAACTCCTTTGTATGCAACGCAGTCAAAACCATTTTTTCAACTTGGAAAAGAAAATTGTAGATACAACATATACTGCTCCATTTTGCTATATTCTTTTTTATTCACCTTTTGCTTGTGGTTGGGGATGGGCTGGGCACAAGGGCATGATCTATATCAATAACTCCAAACTAATTAACAGTTTATGAAGGAAATATATGTATGCTGTTTGCTAATTTACATTACTCTTATTCTCGAAAATATGTGCAGAGTATAAGCACACATACATATAAAGAGGCCATATATGAATCTTAATTGATGTAAACTTGAACAATAAAACGCAGACTAAGCCAGCAAAAATTCACAAACAATACAAATCATATCCAAAATTATGTTGCATGCGTCAGAGAATTCAGAGCTTAGTCATACAATTAAGCTAACCAATTACAGTGTGTGCATAGACAATCGGCTCGAAGCAATCTCTACGTTCATGAAGTAGATTAACTATATGATGGCCAATCCAAGACTTACGCCTGGAGCTTCCGAATATCGCCTTGCTTCTCTTTTCCTGCTCAAATTCCTTTATCATCTTCGCCACGCTTTTCTCCAAAGCTCCACAGCAGACCGTACACATCCCATACAGCATTTATCCGGCTTCACTTCTACATTTCCCCATTGATTACATCGGAACGCCTATGATGCACTTCTAGAATCCCGTCCACCTCCGGAGGAACACGATTGTTGCGTTTCCAGAGGTTGATTGCTGCCATGGACAAAAAAATTGCCAATTTTTTTATTTTAGGGTTTTGCGACAGGCTAGGTTTTTTTTAGGGTTTAGGATTCAGAAAATTTGGGGATTTTAGTAGCACAAGCGACATAAGAAACGCGCTGAGAGTCTGTGACAACGCTTTAATGAAAAACACTATCTCAACAACGCCTTTTCCATAATAATCGATATCTAAAAACGCATTCTGTTTTTTTTTTTTTTTTTTTCCATAAACGCTTTCTTGTTTCGATTTATATTCGTTTGTTTCGGTTGAGTCGCTCTGCGAAATATGGCAAATGGCGCCATGGGCGACGCTGCAACTTCGCTCGTCCTCCCATTTCTACATAAAACTGCTCGTCTCGATTCAACTTGTTGCTTCAATTCTCATCATTGGTGGATATTGTTCTATTCCTCGTTAAGATTCTGTAAAGTCCCGTCCGGCAGTTCCAAATTTGTGCAGCGTCCCAGCAGTTTCCGCCGTACGTAATTTCTCTTCGCTAGTCTTTTCTCCTTCCATGGAAGACTTCAGGGGGGTAAGTTATGAGCCTTAATTCTACAGGTTTGGTGGCTGTACCACTTATTTCAGTTTTTAATACATTGTGTTATAATATTAACTTCAACTGCTCAAAAAATTTGATAAGAGCTTTATGTGATTAAATTCCTGTAAAGATAGGTTGAGAGTTACATATGATGGGAGCTGGCAGAATCTGGTGTAAAAGAGAAGTTGATTCTTTGTTAAGAGTTGCATTCTTTGTTGATTATTATGTGGCATCTTTTGGCCAATTCTGTGTTAGTAAATGTCTCCATGCCAAATGATCGTGCAATCTAATTTCAACCTTGAAGAGGGCCTGTTTTCAGATTCATTTAGGGTTTATAGTGTCACAAAATTGCCCATAGTGATGTGCATATCAAATTTGATGATGCACAATAATGACTTAATTACGTGCCCTGAAATACTACAAGACACAAGTCCTAACTGAAACTTTGCTTTCTTCCATGAAATTCCATCATTTTTATTTTTTTTTCAACCTATGTCAAAACAAATCTCACCATCTTGCATTTTCCATTTTGCAGAGTTATGTGATCTTGTAGTAACACAGGAAGGTTAACTGAAGCCATTGTGGTTTCTAGAGACCGGAAATCCCCATAACTCTTTTTGCTCATATAATTTGCTTCCACGAACACACATTAGTCAATGTGCTTCTCGGCCAAGGGGATGTTGACTAATGTGGATTTGTTTTCCTTAAATTTCTATGTTATCATCTGCATCACTCACTGTTGAAAATGCACTCAATATATGCACATATATATATATGTTTGTGTATATCTCTGATAGGAACATCCCTGTTGTACTTGCAGCACGAGAACTGGATATCTGTGCCTCAATTCGGAACATGGGATGGCAAGACTAGGGATCAGACCAATTACTCAATGGTGTTCTCACAAGCTCGGGCTAATCGGAAGAAATCAAAGACTGAGCTGATGGCGCACCATAGCCTTGGCAACGAAAGGGAACTCCTCGTGCACCAGAAAATCGCTCCTGAAAGCAACCCTCATGCTCATACTGGCATGGTAAGGACTCCTCCTCCCCACCCTCACCCCTGAATATTAATGTCATCATTTCTCCTGTATTTTATGCATTCATGTTTTTAAAGGGCATCGGTTATTGTTTTGATCTATATCCCCTTGGTCAAAGTTAGAGCACATAGATCAAAACATGCCAGAGCCATATTGTTGTGTAGTCAAAATATAAGACAGATTGTTAAATATAAATAATATGCATGTATATAATTCGAATAAAGATTTAAATATAAAAAGTAGAACTTTAATTAAAAGATTTTGAATTAACTGATGAATCACACCATCCCTTCTACATTTATACTTGTTAACATTTTATTCCGGGGAAAGTAAAACCTATGACCAGAGCTATCCAAATGACTATACTCTGAAGTAGTTGAACTGAAGAACAGATATATAATTCGATATTCTTAAACTAAGTGGGCCAAAATGCAAATGAAATCTCCAAGTCACGAGTTGTTCTAAGCTTGCTGATGTCCCGTTGCTTGAAATCACAAGATGAGTAATGTACTTCGTGGGATACAAAAAAAGAATCGAGTTTTATTGTTGTCTAGGTCTAACAGTTCAACCAAATGCACTGCCTTGTTGGCTTCAAGTAGAAAAAGGAAGAGGTCAACGATTTTCTATGCATTCTAATGCTCGGTGTTTGGCACACACTTGACAGAATTGTTGGTTGAGTTAGCACCTATGTAAGGTCGAGGAAGATACACACACTTAGCGAATCTTGGTCATTGAGGTGTATATCATGATTGGTTTAGGCAACATGGTTCTGAGTATAAACTCAATTTGGCAATCTACAAATAGGTGGAAATTCCATTTAGGCATATTATGGGTTTAAGAATGTGGAGAAAGTAAGAATTAGTATTTGCAAATAAGTAATATGCAGCGTACTTATGCTACATTCTTATGTTTCTTTGCATTTTTCTCGAATGTTGTTGCTCAATGGCATTCGAGTTTAATCCTCTTGCGTATGAAAGCTCTCTTATCATTGCCGTATGCGGGCCTAATGGATTTATCTCGACGAACTTATTGTTGTTGATTTTACCATAGCTTTGGATGGCTATGTATATATATATATATATATCCACATATCCCTAATAGTTAGTTGTGGTGTGTCTGGATGTGCAGCAGAGGAAGTGTGAGAAGAAGACGAAGAAAAGCATAAGTTGCTTCAGTTGTTTTTACTTTTAGTGTGCATTTAACTTTGGACATTCAACCCACACTTTTGAAAGTATTTTTTTATTGTACTTTCATATTTATTTTCATATTAGTCATATATTTTTATTCTCATTCTAAAATTATTAGATTAAATATTACTTTTCTAGTCATCTATAAATGTGCTCAAATTTTTGGGTACTCATGAGGGTATTTTTTATTACTTTTTATAGTTAAAAAATACAAAAAATATTATAATTACTAATTTTTAGGTGACAAATTAAAATAAAAAGAAAAAGAACACAAATTTAGGTAAACAAAAAAAAGTATTTTGTATTTAAAACATTAAATGAATCTCATGACTTCATAATAAAAAGCACTAAATGGTAAAATATAACCAAAGTATTATTATTATTATTATCTTTTTTTATGAAAACATGATAATTGACAGCTATTACTTTGTTTTTGGTAAATTTTCAGAAATAAGTATTTCTTCTGTTTTCTAATTTTGTATTCAAAACTTTTTGAGACGAGTTTTAATGTGGGATTTCAATTTAATTTTTTTTTATAGTAAAAAGTATAAAATTTAATATAACTCTTTACTAAAAAAAATAAAAAATAGGAATATTTTTTAAATAAAAAAAAAAAGTGAATATAATTTAGAAGGCGATGAGAGTAAGTATATATTAATTAACAATATATTTTTATTTTGATAATTATCCTTTACCAGCAACAATACATTTACTTTGATGATGCACTTAATATGGTTGTCCCACGTACCATGTTATTTTTTTAAGAAAAAAATAATTACACACTTTAATCTCATCTTAAATTTTTTAATTTTATTTTTTAAAATTTTAATTAAACTAATTAGTTATTTTAATCTTAATTTATAATTATTTATATTATAAGATAATTATTTTCATTAATATATTTTTAATTATCTATTAATTACATCCCTTTTAAAATACCGTGTTTACAATGTAGCAGATACGATATCGGATACGATATCGGGGATGGAGGGAGTATTTTATTATAACAATTACTATAAAATTACATACCCACCGCCAAAACATTTCCTTTTAGAGAAAGGAAATAACAATGAAAGTCAACTGTACTATACACTTATGCAGTATTCTTGCAATATTTTTTAGACGTGTTTGACTGGCGATTGAATTTTAAATTTATTATTTATTATTATTATTTTTTAAAATATAAAATTAAATATTTATTTTTTATATTATATTAAAAATTAATTTTATATTTAAAACATCACATTAACATTTATTTATATCACATCATATAATTATTTAAATTCAAAATTTTTACTATTCAAATATATCTCAAAATCCAAACTCTAAAACAAACACACTTGAATATAGATAAATAAATAACAATATATATAAAACATCAATATGTATAAATATTGGGCTTGTTTATTTTTCTGTATTAACTATTTATGCTATTGTATGCCAAATTATGATATATATATATAATATAAAATTAAATAAAATCAACATATATTGTTTCGATATTATATATATACTTCACAGATGTTCAATACTTCAATATAGACGGACGACGTCGTATACGAGTACTGCGAATTTGAAGGAAGTTCTACACAAGAAAAATATAATATACTAATATATATAATCTGTGTGTACGTGTCATGCGTGTGCGCATCTATAAGAAATAAAAGTAGGAATTTCCGCACGAAAAGCATTGTTGTTTGCGCCGTTTTGAATTTGATTCTCTGCGCCCTGACGTTCATCATACATAAAGTAGCTCACCTGGATTTCGTGCCAAGGATTTGATACTTTTCATCAGTCACTCGCATGAGCATTATACGCCTTCATTCGCGTTTCGGATTGCATGATAACAACGATTTGTTCGACTACTCTATTTGATTTTGTTCGCAGAATCTTTTTTGGCTGGATGACTGAGGTAAAGTAGGAAACTGTTGCCGTTTGACAATTTGATTATAGGATTTCAGCATTCCTTATATTATTTTAGATTTTTATGCTTTTTTTTAGGTTGATTGGTCTCAGGTTTTCTCGGAGAGTGCAGAGGAGTCAGGCGTTGGAATATAGAAGAATAATGGAGTTTCTGTAGAGGTGAATTGATGCTTCAACTGATTGATCTACTTCTGATTTGTTGTCTCCTGAATATAGAGAACTAGGCGCTAGTTTGTTGCTCGAGTTTTGAAGGAACTTTCAATGAGATTTCGTGTCTAGAAAAATGAGAAGTGATCATAAGAAGCAAGTTTTGGTTTTCAATATGGATATACATTTTTCATGGTTTGTGATAAAGTTATGCAGAGTATTTTGCATTTTAGGAGGAAATTGATTCCACTATTGTTTGTCTTGTCCTCTGCCTGCAGACGTTGAAATTATTAATTAATACCTTGCCAATTTCCCCTCCATAGTTCATTAGCAAACGTTGTTCCATGATTAGTCGCGAAGATTAATATAGCTTCAGATATTGATATCAATTCACCAACAAAGAGGAAGCCTAGAAGACATCAGCTCCTAGTTTAGATCAGAACTTAAATCAAGTTAGATAAATAAATAGCCAGCAGGTATGAGCTTTTTGCATGAGTTTGGCATTCTTTCACACACAATCACACAAAGGCTTATGTTATATCTATACTGTGTACCTTACCACAACAATGGAAGATTTTCGTGGTTATTATATTGCATCAGCTTTGCCTTGTTCTGTCTTCCCATAGGATAACATTCTAAACATCTCATTCTGAAGTAACATCTCCTTTGTTTTCTATTGGACAAAATATTATATCAAGTATTTGTTAAACATCTTTTAAGTCTTATAACTTGCTTCTGCTTGGTCAATCTTTTTTTCTGAGTTGAAGATGTGTGTTTGTTTGAGGGTTTGGATTTTGAGTTGGGATTTGAATAGTAAAAATTTTGAATTTGAATAGTTGTATGATGTGATATAAATAGGGTTTGATGTGATGTTTTGAATGTAAAATTGATTTTTAGTATAATATAAAAAATAAAAAATAGGTGTTTGATTTGATGTTTTTGGGGGGAAAAAATTGGATGAATAGTGGAAATCCACCAAAATCCTTCAAACAAACACACCCTAAAGTGTGCTTGAAATATTAGACTTTGGATAACACAATGTCCTGGCCTTCAATATGTCAATGAGTGGTTCAGCTTAAAACTGGATGCAATAAGAAGTTTTTATATCAAGAAGTGCTGAAATTGTCTTAATAAATCCAAATTTCTACTCACATCAACACAGGATCACCTGAGGCAAGTGATAAAGACTGCTATTATTCACAAAGGAAGCATATGCTGCTTTCACATTTCACTTATCTACTGAGTCTTTTTGATAAAGAACAATAAGGAGCCTTCTGTGTTTTAAATTTCAGAGAAAATAGTCGACAAAGCCAGCTATGCAAAAGAAAATGAGGTCAGCAGCTATTTACCCTATATTCTTGTTCTTGAAACATCTCACTTTTATTTTATCTTTTGGTTCTTTTTTGGCTATTGCTGTTATACTAATTGCTAATGCAGATTATCATTAGAACATGTTTTGGCGATTATAGGCGTTGTTTCTGATACTGTTTGTTTCCAGATCTTCTTTTTGGATGAAGGCCATAAGTAATAATGATGAGAATGATGCAGAGGGTGGGAGATTAGTTAAGGACAGAGATAAGGTGGTGCGAAGGAAAAGAATCGTAACTTTAAACAACCGGGCCTTTTTATCAGGAGCTGCCTATTGCCTTTCTTCATGTAGCATGATACTGGTTAACAAGTATGTCCTTTCCAGCTATGAATTTAATGCTGGAATATTTTTGATGCTGTACCAGGTTATTTTCCTTCTGAGATATCCTCAAGTTTATTTACTGTTGTTAATAATTGTTAATATTCTATGCTCATATTACATTATCTTAGTTCATGCTTGCAGAATTTCATATCGGTAGTTGTTGTTTCCATTCTGAGCTTTCTTGGATTAATTACAACGGAATCACTCACATGGAGATTAATCAGAGTCTGGTTGCCGGTGAACATAATATTTGTAGGGATGCTAATAACAAGCATGTTTAGGTACTGTTCTTTCTTATTTTGCTACCTCGATTATTCGTAAATTATTCACATAACAGCAATAATATTTAGTTTGATACTTGTTCTTGACAGGTGTTTCTGTATTCGATTGTTAACTTTCTCATTCGATAATTGGAAGTCTTATGTGTTCATCTTTTTTTTAAGCTCACATTCAGACTTTTTTTTAACATTTCTTGTTCAAACTCTTGCTAACACATATCCATGCTCTTGTCTTGCAGTCTAAAATACGTAAATGTTGCAATGGTGACAGTTTTGAAGAATGTAACCAATGTGATGACGGCTGTTGGTGAAATGTATCTCTTCAACAAGCATCATGATAATCGAGTTTGGGCAGCACTTTTCTTAATGGTATGTCATGTGGCATTGCTTTTTTTGTTATGTTAAATTTCTTGAGATGACCATATATATATATAGCTTTCATGTAAACCACATATTTTCCCGACTGTATTTCTATAATTGATAGTTTTACTTCTATTCTGACCAATTCGATGATCATTGTTTTTTCCTTTTTACATTTACCTATATTCTCATGACTATCTAACTGAAATGCATAGCCTTTTTGTAATCAGTTGCTAGACACGTAATGAGAATGCTATAGCTAATTTGGTTCTTGATAACTTGTTCAACCAAAGTAAAGTACATAGTTTATAGTTTCATACTTTCAATAATTACAGCAGAACAGAAACATATAACTGCTGGATATCAAGTTTGCAATGGATTGTACCAACTTTGAAGCTATTCATTCCCCTTGTGTTATGCAGATTATTTCCGCAATATCCGGAGGAGTCACAGATCTCTCATTTCATGTCATTGGATACACATGGCAGATTTTAAATTGTTTCTTGACAGCTTCATATTCTGTAAGTAAACCACAATCATATGTTGCTTACCTTTAAGAACTCTCTTTACATTGATGAATTGCAGCTGACCTTGCGGAGGGTAATGGATACTGCGAAGAAAGTAACTAAATCTGGAGATTTGAACGAGTTCTCAATGGTCTTGCTAAACAATAGCCTTTCACTGCCCCTTGGAATCTCTCTCATCATTGTGTTCAATGAAGTCAGTTATCTCTCACAAACGTAAGTAACTAAAACTAATGATGGATTCATTCTAATCAAAGTAAAGTAATCCTCTCACTGCTAGTGCTTTTGGTCTAATACCAGTAGGTTTAGTAACCATATTACACTTATTTAAGGAAAAAATTCTCACACACAGTACGCAAGCATAGCATAGACAAAGATATGGATTGATATAGTGTTGTATGTATTGTGATTTCAGACCACTGTTGAGATTGCCGACATTTTGGGTGGTTATGACAATGAGTGGGTTTTTGGGTTTAGCCATCAGCTTCACTTCCATGTGGTTTCTTCACCAGACCGGCGCCACTACATACAGGTACACTAAACTAAACAATGCTTATTGTTTGTGCATTTTGATCAATAGTAATAATACCTGATCTGGACTGTCACGGCATGGCGCAGCCTTGTAGGATCACTAACAAAGATCCCTCTTTCGATCGCTGGCATTCTCCTCTTCCAAGTCCCAACAACCATCGAAAACTCAGCCAGCATCTTCTTCGGTAGGGTTTCCATCCATCCATCCATCCATACAATAGCAAACCTGCATTCTTTCTTACTTGACTCTTTCCCTTCCTTGTTTACTTACAGGTTTGTTGGCAGGAGTGATGTTTGCCAGAGCAAAGATGCATTGAAGCAATGCCAAACAATTAATTCTTGGTAACATTGTTGTAATCAAACAATCAAAACTCACAAACTACTTACTGTACTGTGGTGTTATAATTTATAAATCACACTCGAGAGTATTTTTATATGACCATCAGTTTCAGTTCCTCATTGGTTTGTTAGGTGATTTGGAGGATCTATGCTGCTAATTTTTTTTTTTTTCACCTGGAGGTAACTTCATAAATAACTCCTCCAAGATTTTTAACCACCGTGCGAGTTCCAGCAACTTCATTTATATGCAATCCTTGTTGCGAGGCTTCACTGACCACTAGGTTATCCATTCTGCAGATAATTAGGATAAGTCACTTTTACATGGCTAAGGCTATGCCCAACACATAAAATCTTGAAAAGAAAAATACTCACTCCATCATCAAATTGTGTACCCAAATGCTTGGCACGAACTTTAATAAAAGTGAGTAATAATTGTTACTTTTTGCTATTTGTAGTAAAAAAGTACAAAAAAGTGATGTATTCTTAATTCTCGAGGGATTGCAGCACAATGTCTGCTATGGAACAATTGATTTGGAACGGACAAAAATAATAAAATAGAACAATATATATGGGACGGAAGGAGTAGTTTAAATAATGTCACCTACAAAAACATTTAAAAAATGTAGAGAAGCAAGCAAACACTTACACTTTTGCTCTGGATACATAGGCCAATATGAACTTGCAAGTTTTGCATTGACTTCTGCGAAGGAGTTTTCCCACAGTGTTGAAGAGCAGAGGAATGCTTGACTGCTGAAAGCTTGCAAGTTGTTAGGGAATCGTTTTCACTCGCTTTTCAATATTTCAAGTGCATTTACTAAAAGTGAAGACACTAAAGCCAATATATATTGCGATGATCAGAATGTAAAGAACAGGTTATTCATTTTAATCATTTCAAATAAGAAAGCGACAACATAAACTGTTCATGATATAATGCCAATAATGAAATGCAAACCTCATAAGTGTTTAGCAGAAACGAGAAAAGAAAAAATGAACCCTGATTAAAATTATTATGTACTCGGAAAATGCATTATGCTACTCACAAATGAATCAGTTTAAATGTATGGAATTCCTAAGTGATGAATGAGCAGCAACATGTAAGGATATAGATGTCGGCACCAAGAACAAGATCAAATCCTTCTGGATGCTTTTGCAGAATGTTATTCAGTTGTTCTGAATTTCCCCATTCTAGTTTCTCGGCTGCCAAAAAAAACTAGAAAAATTAGAGATATGATGTCTTCGAATGTCAGATTTGGCACTGCGATTGTTCACTTACTGGCAAGACAATGGGACTCTTGTGAAGATTGGTGAAGCTCTATATTCCTCTTTAATATCTGAATTTTCTTAAAAAAATTTCAGTTTCTGAATAAGGTCTTCGCTCTTGAGTCATATTGAAAAACACTTAAAACACATAACCTTGCCTTGAGAACCTCATCATTATGGTCTGTCAGAACTACTTTGCTGCAAAATCTGCTACAGAGGATCCCCGTAATGCCTGCATAATGATCGATCAGTTCATTTTTCTTAGAGGAAAAACAAAGAGAATCGATACAGTTCATATTTTGCAGCTCTGAGGTTTTAATCCTGAAAAAAGTATTAAAGTAAAATGTTAATTAATCAGACCTTTACTGTCAATTATCGTTGCAGATTAGTTGGCCCCCATGAACCTTTGAAAATTTCCATCTCTGTTTATAATTTATCTTTACCTTTATTTGTCACCAAGCATAAAATTAATTGATAATGTTTCTTAAATCTACAGTGATAAAAATTTTGGCTCAAATCCTAGAGATTCATCCCTGTAAGAATCGAAAAACCTTCCAAATCAAAAAATGCAGTGTCTAGTGCCTAACATCTGCAGAACATGAGATTGTTTCGGCAACAAATTACCTAATCACGTATTAAAATTCTGCCCCAACCCAATCAGCTTGAAGTATGTATTTAGATTTTAGAACAGCATCAATGGTAATATATATAAGAAACAAACAAGGGGATTGAAGGCTAATACAAACCAACACCAGACCCGAGCTCTATTACAGAACAGCCGCGGAGCATCTCATAATGTTTAGAGAGATAGTCATTCATAAGCTCTGCCCCAGGCCACACCAACTGCCCTGTCAAATCAAAATCCGCTGCCACAAATATAGTCGTAAGACTTACAAGTTGCAATAACCACTCAAGTAAAGTTCAAATCCTTCACGTCTGTTTTGCTCGAGAACAAAAATATTGTTAAGACTGAATTTCCACCAATATAAACACCTTAATAGCTATGCAATTACGAAAATACAATATCTACAATGTAACAAAATATCGAAGCCTCGAAAAATTAGGTCGAAGATAAAACAGTACACCTTAGCAACCATAACCACTACAAAGTACAAATCAATAAGAGAGAGAGAGAGAGAGGATCTCACTCGAAGCAGATTGGAGGCAGTACAGTTCCAGAACTTGCGAGCCATACGCAAACCTCGTCAATTGGTAGCTGCAAACGCAACCAACATCCAATTTACAAAAAAAAAAAAAACACAAGCAGACAATCCATAAAAGTTCCAAAGTTTAAGCATAATACTCGTCATTGACGAAGAAAGACTCGTCCAAGCAAACGATATCATCGTCGTCTTCCCCTTCTCTCACCATTCTTCAGTCACCTCCGCCGGTCTGCTCACACACTGAAACAGCATGCTTTTATAGTCAAATTTCCGTGCTTTTATATGCCCAATTATTTTGGGCCTTATCACTATATGGGCTTGGGCCCAAAACTCCACAATATATAAGCCCACTACGATTCAATAAATTACAGGCTTCGTTTAGCCCTAAGATAATTCAGCCCAACTCTTCATCTTCAACCTCCGCCTGCAATTCGCAGCAATTCCGATGCCGGAGAAGATTCCGATGATCGGAGTTTCGCCCTGAATCCACACCGAAATCGAGCATGTTATGTTCAATCATGGTCCTTTCCGCCGCGCAGCCGGAATCCGCCTCCATTCCCTCGCTTCCGTACGAGCACCTCAACCGCCGCCGGTACCAAACATTCTGCACCTATGCTCCGCCGCGCCGTCACTCTCCGCCGCCCAGAAAGCTCACGCCGTCGCCATTACGCATGGCCTCCTGCCTTCCAGCGTCTCCATCGCTGCCGCTCTGATTCTCTCCTACGCCTCGCACCATTCTTCCCTCTCAATTCTTCTATCCGTCTTCAACCAATCCGTCCGGCATAGCCGCTCGCCGTTCCTCCACAACACCTTGATACGCGCCTGCGCGCTTCTGTCGAACGATTTGGGGATTTCAGTGTACAATGATATGCTGCGGCGTATGTGCCTCCTTCCCGATGATTACACTTTCCCCTTCGTGCTCAAACTCTGCGCCGACTGTTCCTACTTTCCGAAAGGATTGGAAGTCCACGGGAGGTTAATCAAGGCAGGATTTGATGTTGATTTGTACGTAAACAATACCTTACTTCTCTTCTATGGCGACTGCGGCGACTTGGGCAGCGTCCGCAAGGTGTTCGATGAAATGCCTGAACGAGACTTGATCACGTGGAACACGTGCATTCGAGTTTTTTCAGACAATGAATGCCCCAAAGAGTCGATCACTTTGTTCAGGGATATGATCTTCTTGTCTGAATTCATGCCTAATGCTGTCACCATTGTTAGCATTTTGCCAGTTTGCGTCGCGCTCGAGGCCGGGGATTTCGTTGGTTTAATCCATTGTTACGTGTTCAAGGTTGGTTTTGACGATGAGATAAGAGTCGGGAACGCATTGATCGATGCATACGGGAAGTGCCGAAACAGAAAAGCAATGGCACAAGTGTTCGACGAAATGATCGACAAGAATGACGTTTCTTGGAATTCAATGATCGGTGCCTTATCCTGCAACGGCTTTTTCCGCGAAGCATATCGTTGCTTTACGACGATGGTGAGGGACGGGATGAAAGCGAACACGGTGACTCTAGCCACTGTGCTACCGTCTTTGTTGGATCTAAACAAAGGACGAGAACTTCACGGTTATAGTGTAAGAACGGGGTTGGATTCGGACATTTTCGTCGCAAATGCATTGGTCGATATGTACGGAAAATGGGGACGGCATGTTCAAGCGTTGAACATATTCGACGCGATGGAGACGAGGAACATTGTCTCGTGGAACACGATGATAGGCTGCTCGGCGCAAAATGGGCTCGAGTCGGTTGCCTTCCGACGCATTCGGGAGATGCAAGCTCGCGGCACGAGCCCTAATTCGGTAACAATCACGAACATTCTCCCGGCTTGCGCGAGATTGGGTTCTCTTCAACACGGAAGGGAAATACACGCCCGGTCGATGAAATTAACGTTGGCCTCGGATTTGTTCGTCTCGAATGCTTTGATCGATATGTACGCCAAATGCGGCCGGCTGGATCTGGCGCGGACAATATTCGACGGCTCGCCTAGAGACGAGGTTTCTTACAATACACTCATAATGGGCTACGCGCAGACGATCGAGTGTTTGAACTCTATTACCTTGTTTACAGAAATGGCGGCTCTCGGGTTGAATCTCGACGCTGTATCGTACATGGGAGCACTCTCGGCATGCGCTAATATAAATGCCGTCAAAGAAGGAAGGCAAATCCACGCATACGCATTAAGACGGCTGTTCCACAAGCATCTCTTCGTCGCCAACTCGCTTCTCGACTTTTATGCCAAGTGCGGACGAGTCGATGTCGCTACAAAAGTTTTCGCCCAGATCCAGAACAAGGACACGGCATCATGGAACACGATGATTTTGGGATACGGAATGCTTGGCGAGGCTAGCGCCGCAATCGAGCTTTTCGAATCCATGAAAAAGGACAGCATCGAGCCAGACTCGGTTTCTTACATAGCTGTGCTGTCTGCGTGCAGTCACGGAGGGTTAGTCGAGAAGGGAAAGACATACTTCGAAGAAATGCTGGCGAGAAGTATAGAGCCCTCGGAGATGCATTATGCCTGCGTGGTGGATCTTCTTGGCCGGTCCGGTCACCTGCAGGAAGCCGTGCTGATTATTACCAGTATCCCGGGTGAACCGGGCGCCAATGTCTGGGGGGCCTTGCTGGGGGCGAGCCAGGTCCACGGGAACATAGAGCTCGGCTGCTGGGCAGCCGAGCGCCTTCTTGAGCTGAAGCCAGGGCAGCCCGGGTATTACGTGCTGCTGTCGAATATGTATGCAGATGCCGGGAGGTGGGGTGAGGTGGATAGGGTTCGGAAGCTGATGAACCAGAGGCAGGTGAAGAAGAATCCCGGCTGCAGTTGGCTGCAGGTTAGCGATGAAGTTCATAGCTTTGTTGCTGGCGAGAGATTCGATCCGCGTCTGTGGAATGTAGGCGCCGGTTAGAAGCTATGGCTGCCTGTAATCATCTCTGTGATCAAACTAAGATTAGTAAACGACATTCATCAGCTCAACTTATCTTTTTACCATTCGTATCTTACTCGGCGAAAATGGTAGATAGCCTCAAAGCAGTATAAATTGTATATTAATTTCTGAGTTTTATACATGTTAATTAAAGAACCAAAACAACGGGTTAGAAACCACAAGAGATGTGGAGAACGATATCAAAAATTGATGGATCGACCGTACCTGGAGTAAGGAAAAGGGTTGGCTGCTCGAAACATATTCACCAGAAATGCTTTCAGGGCACATGAAAACTTAACCGAATGAACATGTTAGCATCGAACGGTATACAGTAAAATCCTCACTCACATATAGCCTCTCGGCCTGGTCTGGAATCAGCTTCTGCAACGCAAACATGTCTTGATAAAACTGCAGAAGACCATCTGGCGACCGTGTTCATAGAAACTGGATAGAAAAATCATCAGATGCGAAGATTGGATGGACAGACAGAGCCCACTGATCAACCTTTCGGATATTAAATGTTCATCAAGGCTATGACTGGTGACATATAACACCAGTACAGGATGAATCGCCATCGACAGCCCATAAATGTAAATTAGCAAGTTGCTTCGGAATTGCATCCGACTCTGTCTGGGACGGCCAAAACATGAATTTGTTCTTTGTCGGCAATGTCTGATTTCCACGAGCAATGCCAACATCCAAACCAAGCTGCATCTCATCCAGGTTGCCGAATTTGATATTTTGGTTCTCCAGCAATTTTGCAACCACGGAGAAAACAATACGGTCCTCAGGAACCGATTCTTTTCTTAATGTATCCACCAGAATAATGACGTTATAAGCAAAATCCTCCGGCAAAACTTTCAGAGTCGAGGAGGAGCTCCTGACAAAGAGAAGCCTAGAAATCTTCCCGATATAAAATTCATTCTTGTTACCAAAGGAATCCAACAGCGCGTCGGTGGCAACAGGAAGTGTGTTCCCGTCTACCAACCATATATTATAACCAAGTTCCAAACCTTTTCTAGTCGCGTATACTCCCACTAAGATCTCTTTCATCAGTTCCAAAGAAGAGTCTTGAAAATTGACTGATTTGGCAAGCTGGGCAACGTCAGAAAACTGGCTGGCATCAATTACAGGGTGCCCCCTCCGAGCAAGATCGAGAAGAAAAGAAGATGCCGGTCCCAATAAAATATAGTTGCGGATATTCAGCCTTTCGAAATGGCAGAGCATATTTCTGACAATGGACTCGGGCACTCTGTACAGACTCACTAAAACAACAGAGCTATCATTCTGTACGGATTGAAGCACAGATTCAAGGTCATTTGAACTCCGGGCAATTCTATCAGGAAATACTTCTTTAAAACAGAAGTCGTACCGCTTGAGATTTCTCAAAGGATACAGTTCCAGAAAATGGGAATCTACAGAGGTTTCGTCTAGCAAGGAAGAATCAGGACCGGCAGTTTTCCCATAGTTCACACCAGCATCTCTATGAGAGATGCTCAGGGCTGTCTCGTGAGCAAAATTGGTGTAAATATTGAAGTAGCCACGAGAGTGAATGAATTTGATAAACCATGGAGTCCAAATTTTCTCGCCCAACTTTTTGTACCATCCAGTTGTAACCTAAAAGTTGCAGGGATAATTTCAAATTAAATTATCCACCATCAGCAAATGAGGAGCAAAGCGATGAAGAAAATACCATTCCCTCGAGGGTGGGCTTTATTCCTTTAGTCTTATGTGTGTCATACCAGAGACGAAACTCTTTCCACTGTTTGGGAAACAGAAGCTGACCCCATGTGCCAACTAGTTGATATAAGAATACCCGAGGCACGTTTTCTAACAGCATTTTATTACCATGTTTACCTGATAAATCAAATGACGTTGTGTTAGAAGTGAAGAAAAATAACTGCAACACTGAGATGAGTAACTTGAAAAGTCTACAGGGGTTTCCAATGTGAAATCAGTGAAATTTTTATGAAGCAATGTGATATCTCGGACTATATATGGGATGAATGTTCATGAAGCATAGCTATAAATTCTGGAATCTCTCGTCACAAGGGAAGTTTTGGACTAATTCTATATCAACAGCTTGCCTAGATTGGTGCACTATGGTTAAAAACTAATACCAACGGTCAATCAGGTGCAACTTTTAGTACTTCCATGCCTAGCCGAAGTATGGCTGACTTAACTAGCTGAAGAATTAATTAAGGAGATAAGTACTACACAGTGGGAACCTTTAAATTGGATTATTAACTATTTACTCTGATTTGTTCGCATATATAACAACTAAAATAACTAAGCTGGATCAAGCCAGACAGCAAGAAAAGAACCTGGCACAAATCTAGGCCGTTGCAACGATGCCCCATAAACGGAAGGACTGAAATTTGATGCGTTGTAGTAATAGTTCGTGATGACAGCCTTGAGAAACCTGCTGACACAAGTTCATCTCAATTCTCAATCCCCCAAATGCAAATGTATTCACAAAAATAAGGTAATAAAACACTTAATCAGCATATATAACTTCCACAAAAACAAATTCAATAGTTCTTCTTTCCTACAATAATTGAAAATTCAACAACTCAATGCACATTACAAATACTTGTCCTCCCAAATCCATATACCGTTCACCCTCAAAAGGCTACTCATGTGACACTCCGGTATGCAAGCCACGCAAAGCCGGATATGTCGTGATTGCAGATTGGCCCACAGGTCAACACGAATCATTTCAACGTGCTTCTATTCTGGGAGACTTCCCAACTTGCTTAACTCTAGCTTTCTTCTTTCAGTAAAGCTTCCGAAAAGAAATGTGCATATTGTTGACATGAGTAGTCTATTCAATTCAATTAGCCTATATTCAACCTCGAATGGTCAGACACCGGCTCATTCACGGGAGTTGGCCTAACACTGGCCCAACTCCAGGGTATTATAACTCATTAGTCTAATTTCCAACCTCATCAAGTCCAATATATCTTTGGAATAACATTGAAAACTAATTACTATTTGAATCAACTAAAACATACATTCAAAACACTACAATTATAAATCCAAACAACATTTCTCATATTTGAATTTTTACATACAAAAACTTTCAGCAATTGCAGCATTTATTTGTAGTTTTGTTTATATATATATATATGCATCCAAACACGTTTAACTCTTATAATTCAAGAAAACACCACATCCAAAACTTATTCCTCATTCAAGAAAACTTCAGATACAATTAACCCTAGAAGACATCTAAACTCTATAACTCTCTTATCATACTCATATGTTCAAATTCAAATGAAATCCTAATTTTCAAATCATACATACCAATTACCAACACCTTAAATTAACAATAAATCTCAAATATAATCACATCATCTAACAATTCTACAGTATATATATAATATTTCCAGTTCATATCTATTCAACTTAATTGCAGAAATATGCATCATGCCAAGCGTTTAAGCACTTCAAAAACACACCCAAACGTGACAATCCAAGTTTCGATCAAAATCAACACAACAACTCAAAAGAGTTACGAAGGCAAAATGACGCACCTGTAATATAGCGGCGAAACCTCCAGATCATCCTCAACCACAAAGGCAAACTCATGATCCGATCCAGGCCACCACGCCTCAAGCCACTGCGCCTGAAGGCCAGCATTCGAAGTCCGATAATGCACCAACTTCTCCCCATACGCCCAATCGAATCCATCGACAAACTCGAGAATCTTTCTAGATAGATTCAGCTTCTTCTCCAGCTCGGCAGACGCATTCCGCGAATCTAGTACGAAATGGTCGATGAATACATGAAGATGAACTGTATCACCGACATCGTAGTGAGCTTTCGCGAGGGATTCGAGGCAGCGGGAGAGAGAGGAGAGGCGATTGAACGTGAGGACTTTGATGATGAACGTGAAGTTTTGGCCAGGATTATAATTAGGGCTGGGAATTTGTTGGAATTGCTTAAGTATTTGGGGCTTAGGGTTAGATGAAGGGAAAGTGAATAGGAATAGACAGGAAACGGAGACGAAAATGAAAACGAGTAATGGAATTATACGCTTGCGCGGTCCCGCCGCCATAGCCATCGTCACCTCCTGCTGCAACACTGTCACAGTTCCATTAGTGCGCTAGAGACAGAAGAATCGATAGATCTCCATGGGAGAGAGGAAGACGACGACTAGATTTTGGGCCTTTACAAAATTAATAATAATAAAAAATAAAAATAAAAATATTTTGGGCCTAACCCTGTTTGAACCAATCATATCTATTTATTGGCCCATAATCGGGCACGTGCGATCTTTAATAATACTAATATCTATTTATTGGGCTCATAAACCGGCACGTGCAATCTTTAATAATAGTAATAATTATAAAGCTAAATAATAAAATTTCTTTAAATTCTCTATATTTTTAAAATTGCATCAAATTTTGTCGTAGTTTTATGAACTTTTCGTTTAATCCTCTCAGTGGTTATTATTTAACGGCATTTGACCTAAATGCCTGCGAATAAATTTTAAAATATCAATTTATAAACCTTTAAAATTATAAATATATTTATTTTTCTTATATTTAGACTCAAAAATAAAAAAAAATATACTTAAAAAATAATTATTTTTCTAAAGTTTAAGAGTTTATTTTTATTTTTTTAGGTTAATATAAGAAAAATATATATATTTGTAATTTGAGGGATTTGAAAATTTAGATTTTATAATTTATTTGCAGTTTGGACACATTTAGATCAAATATAGTTAAATAAAAATCGGTGAGTGGGTTAGACGCATAGCTTATGAAACCACGAAGGAGTATGACGTAATTTTAGAAATATGAAAATTTAGCACAATTCAGTGAAAACACGTGTGAATTTGGTGTAATTTATCCTAATTATAATAATGAATCGACTTTGAATTATATAGCCGCCTTAAGCACGTTCTATAAATAATTTTAATAAAATAGAAACGGTACCGGAAATAAAAATTTACAAAAGATTAAATATTTAATATAATATTTATAATAAGAAATATTTATTTAATACAATGTCTAAACTAGGCTATTTAATATATAATCTTAGATCGATCAAATTCAATATGACGTGACGTGTTTAATAAATTGTCACATGCGCCGTTGGTGTATTACCTCATCAACACTTACATATGATTTTATTTATTTATTTCCTTAAATATTTCGCTTTTGTAAAATAAATAATGCTTTTTCTCTCTTCAAAATGTGTGTGTGATTTTTTTTATTATTAACACTAAGTGCTAAACAAAATATGAACCTATTTTATTATGGTTAATTTAATTTTTTTATCTTTATCTACTTTATCCCAATATAATACTAATATTTTTAAAATTTTACGCAAAAGAAAATAGATATATAGATATGGGACGAAAGAAGTATGTTTTTACTCATGATGCTAACATATTAAAAAATAAATAAATACTAATTTGAATGTGAATGAAAATGAAATAAAATTGTTGAAACGATGACTTGGATTTAGTTGTCTACCCGATCCAAAACTAAAGCGAAAAGGCTGTATCAATTGGCAGGGTTTCTTTTGGGGTGCTTATAAATATATAGCTATGATTCTTAGTCGGATGACACAGTTGTAAATTTCTGAATCAATATAATAAAATTTCTACAGTTCATGCCTGTTGAAGTAGATTGACACACAGTCACCCAACCACGTAAAACGTCTGTATTCTTTACTTGCTTTCTTTTTTGTTTTCTCGTAACAAAAATAAAATGACTTAACTCACGGGTCATTTCAACATAAAAAAATGCCCATATTTCCAATAATTTATACAAAAAAAATATTAACTTTAATACTCAAACTTACATATATATTACAAGCATTATTTTTACATTTAAAAAAAAAAAAAATTTTAAATACTCATTCCATGAAGCAAAATATATTTATTTTCTTTGTAATTTTTTTGTGGACAAAGTACAAAATATATCAAAATTAATAAAAATTATAAAAATTTATTATTTCATGTTGTGCATTATTAACTTATTATTATTTTATGACGCGTAACTTATGATCTTAATGTAACAAGTCCAATTTCATATCATTAAACCATCCAAGAACTCATTTTTTATATTATTTCCATAATTATTTTATTAGTTTTAACTATAATGATATTTATTATTATATTAAAAAATACAATTACCAACATTTTCCTGAAAGTAAATTACTTTCAATAAAAAATTAAAATTAAAAAAAAAAAAAAAGAAAAAGTGTTAAATTGAATGCAACAAGAACACAAATTTGACCGATATTTGAATAATTAAACTGCACCCGCATATAAAAGTTGAACTCAAGTTGAATCTCAAATCTACCCTAACTACCATTCCTAGCAATATTACAACTAATATTAAAAAATGATCATTTGAATGTTCATATAGAAGGGAAAAAAACTTATGAGGTTAAAATAATTATTACTTGCGTATCACTTTATTATAGACACAAAAATTTTAAATATATATAATTAGTAAATAATTAAAATTATATAAGTAAAAATAATTATTTTATAATAAAAATAATTATTAATTAAAATTAAAATAATTAATTAATCTACTTAAAATTTTAAAAATATATATAAATTAAAAAATTTAAAATAAGAGCTTAATTTTTTTTTAGAGAAAAAAAATAACAATATATAGCTAGTGGGGATTAGGGATGTCAATGTGGCAGATTTTGCAGACTCCGGGATCCGCCCACCTAGAAAATATTATAACCCAAGATATGCTCTGCCCCGTTTCAATCCGGCCCCAAGATATGCTCCGCCCAAGATATGCTCCGCCCCGAACTCTTCGGGTTCGGAGCCAACCCGATAAATCCGTTTTTTTAAGAAAAAAATAAAATATCAGCCGTAGTCCCAATTATAAAGAAAATTGTAAGAGAAACAAATGCGAAAATAAATTTAATTTAGAATTAAGATTTTATTTTATATTTAAATTTTTTTAAAATAAATAAATAATATAATTTATATAATATAAAATATAAATAAATTATAATAATTATTAAAATATTTGGGTTCGGATCCGAGTTCAGGGTAGAACGAATTTATAGTAAAACTCGTAACCTCCCCCAAATTCGGTCGAATCTAAAACTCAAAATTCACAATCAATCTCAAACTAAATTTTTTAGATTCGAACCCGATCCATTAAAATCGAAGCAAAGTCCGGGACTAACCCGCCCCATTTGCCATCCTGGTGGGAATCGTTATTTATATCGTAAAATATCTATGGTCAAAGCGAGTTGTTATTTTCTCCTCCTAAAAACAAATATTCACAAAATTCAAAGTGAGTGACGTCACCACGCTTACCCAAAAGATAAAATTCAAAAAAATAAAATAAAATAAAATTCAAACATGATCTGAAACGAGGGTTTGAAGTTTGAACATTGAATAGAATAGAATCGAATCCATGGCTTCTCTTTCACTCTCTATACATATCTGAATTCAATCATGTCAACGTCAACCTCTCCCTGCCAAAAACTATAATAGCTAATTATTAGATATGATGATTGATTATAGAAAAACAGTGCAACAAACAAACTCATCTCCCACGAATTTTCCTTGGAATTTTTTCGACCCCTACCTAACCCAACCTCCACACTACTCGTCTGGACTGACTGCCTCCTTTGAATCAAGGTCTGAACCACGCCTCAATTTTGTAATTTATTCAAATTCCACTTTCATCATTTCATGTTTGTTTCGATTATTCATTGACCGGAGACCGCAGCCTTCGTATTTATTATTGGCTATGGATTTGTGTAATTTCTCAATATTTTTGCTCTTCCTTTCTCGCTCATATTGTTGAGATATTATTATGGGTATTTGCTTTGGGAGCCCTGCCAGGAGTGATACTTCTTCTTCACAACTAGGTTTTGGTATGAAATACCATATTCTGCAGTGAATTAAGTCTGCTTTTATTGTGTGTGTGTGTGTGGAATTTTGGCTGTTGTTGTTAATCTCCATTGGAGCTGAATTTGGGAAATTTGATTTATTAATCAGTGGTTTTAGATGGAATCGTGTCCATTGTCCTGTGCATATATTCATGGAGATAACGTGGAATGTTTGCAATTTTTTGTTGATGATTTGATTCATGTTCATCGCACTAATGTCTAATAACAGCAATGTTGTAAGCTGATTATATGTTTTTTGGGGCATAACTCTGTCCTGAGATTATATGTTTCGATTAGCTATTGAGTATATGCAACTTTACTAGATCATTTTATTCTCTTTTCTTTTCTGGTATATTCCATAATCTTTCGAAATCGAATTTAGGAGTTATTGTGGTTCATTTGATGCTATTTTCTTGTATATCTTATCGTCCTGAAACTATGTTACTAAACTAATTGTTGGCTAGTAGCAATTTATGTATCCTATCAGTGCCTATTGTTCATGAAGCAATGTCGAATCCTCTGAATTTTCTTAGTAAATACTATACTTTTTTCAGCATTGGCCTATGCATATTGGTTGATTCCCTCGTAGTATATAAATAACTAAATAAATATGATGCGCAGTATTGAAATAATCATTTAATATGGTATTTGGCGAATATCCATGACTCCCTATTATATAAATAAATAAATAAATGATGTGTATCTCTTTAACATGGCAAATGACATTTCCGTCGTCCATTTAGTCACTTACACCATTGATCAATTTTTTTTTTTTTTTTCAGGAGCCAAAGTAGCCCCGGGAAGTAGCAAACACAGCTTGAACTCCTCAAACCAGTTGGAGGCAAATCCAACCATTTCAAGTGATGCTTTCATCGGATCGCTGAATGATCTCTACCTCTCCAGTAACCTCAAATCATTCACCTTCAACGACCTCAAGAATGCAACCAAGAATTTCTGCCCCGAGAACCTCATTGGCGAAGGAGGATTTGGTTATGTCTACAAGGGATGGATCAACGAGGCTACTCGAGCATCGAGCAAGCCAGGCACTGGGACAGTCGTGGCTGTCAAAAAACTCAAGGCACAAAGCTTTCAAGGCCACAGAGAATGGCTTGTACGTCCATCATTGTCCCAAGCAATCTTTTCTTCCCTCAGTTTTCCTATTGCCGTTAAGTTTAATTTCATGTGGTTTCCAGACAGAGGCAAAATACTTAGGGCAGCTACAGCATGAGAATTTGGTGAAGCTAATTGGATATTGCCTGGAAAGCCAAAACCGACTTCTGGTTTACGAGTTCATGCCAAAAGGAAGCTTAGAGAATCATTTGTTTAAGAGTAAGTTTTCTTTCAAGCTTTTTTAACTTCAAAATAGTAAACAAGACATAATATTTTAAATCATAGAGATAATAGTGAGGATTGTTACGGCTCCGTTTAGACCGAGACTTTTGGAATTTTGAAAATAGTAAAAAATTAGTATTTTATGTGATGATATTTTGTGAGAGAAAAACTATAATCGATGCTATGTTTTTCCAAAAGTTGAATAGTCCCAAAATTCTAAAAATGTTGTGTAAAATATGACATTATCCGTATGTCCCGTTGTGCTTTTGTAGAAGGGGTGCAGCCAATGGCGTGGACTACTCGACTCCAAATAGCAACTGATATTTCTCGAGGGCTCTCATTCTTACATAGTTTAAATGCCAATATAATCTTCCGGGACTTGAAGGCTTCCAATGTTTTAATTGATTCGGTAAGTTAAATAATTCAAGATCGAGTTTTGTTAACATTGCTCGACTTGGTTTGCATATTGATTGACAAACTAAAAACTTATGATGATAATGAATTATGTTCCTGTAATGTGTTATAGTATTTATCTTGTGACATGAGAAATATCCACTCCTATAATTAGTAGTGATCCAAGATTTTAAGTTGAAGTTGTGTTTTTTCAGTTTTAACAATATATTATGCGATGAAGCAGTGATTTTTGGTTTAAAGTTTAAGATCGTAGGAAGATGCATTATTTTTCTTTAATTCGTTTATGTTTATCTCACAATTTACTTGCTGCATTGCCTTACATATCGAACTTTTCAGAAATTTCATGCAAAACTCTCGGACTTCGGCCTTGCAAGAAATGGTCCTGTCGGCGACGGAACTCATGTTTCAACAAGAGTTGTAGGCACAATGGGATATGCAGCCCCCGAGTATGTGGCTTCAGGTAATATTCTCTAGTAACTTTCCGGAGTTTTTAAAAATAAAATTGAGAATAAAGTTGATTAAATATTTGATGCGACGTCCTGAATACAATTGAATTACAGGTCACTTAACATCAAAGAGCGACGTGTACAGCTTCGGGGTGGTTCTTCTAGAACTTCTCTCGGGGAGACGAGCAATGGGCGACGAGTCCATCGGAGGAACCGAAGGCACATTGGTCGACTGGGCGAAGCAATACTTGGGAGAGTCGCGGCAATTTTCGAGAATAATGGACACACGATTGAGAGGGGAGTATGCAAAGAAGGGGGCTCATACAGCAGCAATGTTGGCCTTAAAGTGTCTCTGCAATGACCCCAAGAACCGGCCGACGATGGTCGAGGTTCTGGCCGAGCTCGAACAGCTACAGACCCTCGAAACCTCGCCGCGCGCCAAGCTCGAGCATCGGGTCAAGACACTTAGTTCTCACAGGGCTCGGACACAATCGTAATTGGCTAAGCGAATTACATGAAAGAAAATTTTATTCATAAACACTACAGAATAATTTGGGTTTGTTTATTTTTTTTGGATTTGTCACAATGTATATATAGAGGTTTGTATTGGGAATGAACTGTTTTTAATGCTATATATTTGATCCTCAATTATGCTCAAATGTGTTTTTTGTTACTTAATAGTACAAAAATGACGTACAAAAATACACCAAAGTCTTACAAGATTAGAAGATATCCCTCGATTAGCGTCGTCGATCGTTATTCATTTTTCTCATGGGAGAGGGAATTAAAAGTACCCATTAGAGAGACACAAATGAAACCAAAGAATGAAGAAACACCAAACCTATAGACATGTCTGTCTTTTTCTTTACATTCATACACATCTATTTCGTTTCTTGCATATCCTCTTCGGTCTTCCAAACCACGTCTTGGAGACAAGTCGACAGGTTTTCATAGAACTGCACACCGACGTTGCAACAAAATCACGTGTATGCAATTAATCTGGTTAATGTTCAGTTTTCAATGTATGGGAAGTTTTTGGCATTGAAAGAAAATCGAATTTGTATAAACATCATAGTTAAATATTGTTCTGTGTACCTTGTTAAACTCCAAAGTATCGCCTTTTGCTTTCCTAACCTCTATCATGTGCAAGGACGGAGCTACTTGAAAAACCTGGATCATGCAAGTTGTAAGATAAGATTCGCGATAGCACAAGTGATAGAAATATTAAATGCTTCAATTAAGCGTGAAATGTTCGAATGTTATGTTTTATACCTCAGTGGCGACATTGAGATTGCCTTTTCTTCCTGCTTTTAAATTCTCAAGCCGCATCTGGAAAAAAGGTAGAAAAGAGATGAAAGTATTACCAAGCTGTAACATAACATATCCAGTTTAATCCTTGCACAAACAAATTCATATGTACCTTGTAATTATTCTTGTGGACGTCAAAACCAAGGGGTTTTGCAGCTTGTTCGATCTTTTTAATTATCTCATTAGCCGGGCATTTAGATGTAAATCTTGTTTCCCTCTTGTACCCCTGTCAGGAAATAGTAAATTAAATAACAACTGAAAAAATTTATGGTTATTTGGGGAATGTCATAAATCATAATAGATTTGTGTTACAAGATATTTCCAAGTGGCACTTCCCTCGAATTATGGAAACCTTTTTCTACTCCAAACAAAAAAGTGGGATTTTTTAAGAACTAATTTGGATGCTTCTTAAGAAAAGGAAAACGAGTTTGAACCTGTTCTCCATCAAACAAATTCCCGAGATTGAGCCCTCTCGACATGGAAATTAGCTCAAAGGCATTCATTGCAGCTGGCTGATGCTCTTTTTTCTCCATTACATGATATTCCTGTCAAAAAGAAAAAAAAATCTTTTTGAGCTTTTTCTGCAACTCAATTGCCAGTTAATTGGTGGGCATGATCAACAAACTAACCTCGGAATCCTTAAACACTGCATCCACATCATCCCAATTCCCTTCTTTCTCGTCAAATACAGCTGGTTTGTACCCTTTCCTAAACCACTTATCCTCTAAGATTTCCGGGAATGTTATGCGCTACAGATATAGAAATAGTTTTGACATTCTAGTTAAGTACAAAAACATATAGCAAGATGTTGGAAACATATGAGATGTAATAGAATGTGTGCAAACAGGTAGCTTTTATCCAATTTGCAACTTGTAAATAATTCAGATTCTAAAATGCACTGATGACATAACATAATCATATTTTTGCATTGGTTCCCAGTGCTTACTTTAAGAGGATTTGGATCAAGCAATCTAGTGATGAGCTTCATGGCCTCGAAAGAAAGCCAAGGAGGACAAGTGAATTCGGCAGCAGATATCTGGTGGTTTTACACAGGAAAATGGTGAAATACAAAAGATATAAAAAAAGAAAAAAAATCCAAAAAGGCATACACATAATTGTCGGGATGCTCACTTTTCTATATAGGTTCATAATATTAGTATCATCGAAAGGCAAGTAACCTGCGAGCAATACAAAAAGTATGACCCCGCATGACCATAAGTCTGCAGTTGCTCCATCGTAACCTTGATCATCAAGGACCTGTGCAGATTTTAATAAGACCATTTTATAAAGAAAGTTGTGCTTGGAGATGGAGATAATAGTTGAATACCTCAGGAGCTACATAATTTGGGGTTCCACAGGCAGTATGCAATAAACCATCCTCCTGCAAAATTAATTAAATAAAATGGTTACTTTGGTTCTAATCAGAGTAACTAATATAGAAAATGTATATATTAAATCTTAGATTAGACTGCACTATAATGAATTCACAAATCCCACAAACTGAAACAAAATATAAATGCTAGATAACAAACATATGTGTATACATAGACAAAAATGCAAAAATCTAACCCAAGAAACTTCTTGGGACATAATATATGTGAGTAACAAAACTCTAACTAATTGAGATTCGGAAATGTAAATGTATATATACCCCAACTTGTTTGGACAGAGCGCTTAACCCGAAATCGGAAACTTTGAGGTTTCCAGCAGCATCCAGTAGCAAGTTTTCCGGCTGCACCAAGGCAACCGTTAAAAAGATTCAGCCTATGAAGTTAGTATTTGTGAAATAAGTTAAAAGCCATTTGAGCTCTACCTTTAGATCTCTATGGAAGACTCCCCTGCTATGGCAATAGTCGACGGCATTAATAAGCTGCTGGAAATACTTTCTAGCTTCATCTTCTCGCATCCTTCCATGGTTCACCTTCGCAATCGCAAATTATCATTTACATAAATATAATTTACAGATCAGTTTCTACTAACATGTAAAGACACTTTTCATTAAAACTATAGGATATATTTCGCAATCACTATTTTCTTTGATAAGAAAGTCCAGCTGTCTGTGAAAGAATAAAGTTAAGTCTTACAATTTTGTCAAAGAGCTCCCCCCCGGTCACATATTCCAGAACAATAAATATTTTTGTCTTGCTCGCCATTACCTAATTGATATTTGACACCAAAATCATTAGAAGCAGAAAAGACAAACTACATTTCAATTAGCTCAAAAGACAAGTGTCCGCAAATTATCGAATCTCTGCAACAAAGAGAGTGGGAGAAAGAGACAAGACCTCATGCAATTGGATGACATTGGGATGTTTGATCAATTTCATGGTTGATATCTCCCGTCGAATCTGGTATGCAATCAAAAAAACCACCAAAAAGAAACTGTTTATTCAGCCAAGGATTATACAGATAATAAGATTATCCTTCGAAATTCAGTCAAGTAGAAGATAGAATTGTGGACCTGTTCAGCCATCTTGTGCTTCAAAACCTTCTCCTTATCAAGAATCTTGATGGCCACAGGCTGCCCAGTCTCCGAATCTCTAGCAAATCTGACCTTGGCAAATGTTCCCTCGCCAATTGTCCTCCCAACCTCATACTTACCAACTCTACGCTTAACTTGGGGTCGACTCATCCGCGATTAGTTGTTCAGTAAATGCTTGCAAATGCACTATCCAAGTCCAATTTCCTACACAAACAGTTAACACTTCATATAATGCTTAGAATTGCTTGGATACTGCCAGATACTTCAAAATCTTCCCGATTTTCACATGAAAAGATCTTCTATAATAAAGTAATCAGACACGCTATCCATAACCACGCAATTGAGATCTTCAAATTAGAAAAATTACAAAGTGCTTCGTTCATTACGATTGAAGTGGTAAAAGAATCCTGATCAGGATAAGGTTGGGGATTCCTGAGAGACGAAATTTACTCCCAAATCGAATACACGATGAGAGTATCGGCAAAAGTATTCACAGAATCTACCAATTATGGCAGCATATACGTTTCCTTGTCCTCTACTTCATAAACAGACAGCAAAACGAGCAATTAATCAAGTCACGAACTATCGATTCAATAAGCTCTTCCTGGATCGAATAGAGAAGCAAAAACAGTCCAAATTCACACTACACAATGGATACAAAATTCACGAGCAACAGTAATCCAGGAACAAAATTTCCTGAAGAACTTCCTTCCACATCCAACACCTGCAACACAGTATATATACACGCACCTATGGTCGTTCTCGTCTGCAACAGTAGTCCGAGCAACAACAATCCAAATTCCAAGCAAGTTGATTGCCAAAAGCGCAAAAGTGCTGCGAGTACTATAAATCTGTAGCCAAGTTGATGGATGTAGAATAGAATCGAGGGCAGGGCCACCGTACTCGTGCGTTGATAGCGGCTCTTGGAGTGAGAATGAGTCACGGAAAGGCTTTGCAGTGATACGGTAGTGAAGGTGAAAACCAGAGAGCGAAACAATGGCCTTTCTCACGATGCCAACTTTGCCATTTTCTGAGACCCAGCCACCGAGTGTCAGAGACTCCAATACGACCAAAATAAATTATTATCAAGATAAATCTAGAGTAAAATTAACTTATAATATACCCTATCCAATTTCTAAATTTGAATATATACATATATATATATCATGATTGTATATACTCCCTTATCAGTCCCACTATTATCTATCTTATAAATTTAAACAAAATATAAATTATAAAATTTAAAATATAATAGTTGAGTTAGATTATTTTTTAATCAATCAAAACCCTTATCCATGACCCTACTGTCGTAAATGAAAATATCATACTCGTCTCATAATTAAATATTCATTTATTTTTTATATTTGAATATAGTACAAATAAAAGTAAAAAAGATTAAAATAATTTTATTAGTACGTGTAATATAAAGGTAATAATATTTGTGTAATACTCTCACATACCGTGTCTGTTACAATGTAGACACGTAATAATTATTTTATAATATAAATAATATAAATTTAAATTAAGATAACTAATTAGTTTAATTAAAATTTAAAAAAATAAATTAAAAAGTTTAAAATGAGATTAAAATATGTAATTATTTTCCAAAAAAAAGTGATATAGAATGTGAGACGGACAAAAACGGTAATATAGACATGGTACGTGGGACGGAGAGAGTATATTGTAAATTGTAAATGTATTTGTAATGTTAGATAGATAGTAGAGTTACTAAAAAAAAATAGATATTTTATTATTGGGATAGACTAAAATGATAAAATAAATACTTTATTATAATGAATAATGAATCCGAATACACATATAATTATTTTTAAAAAAATAAAATCATATAGAATAGATCAAAATAAAAAATAAATAAATAAATAAACATGATTGAGTTTTTTTTTTCTTTTCTGAGCGTTGGTTTCCGTTTATTTATAAAAAATAATTTTAAAATATTAACTCAAATAATTATTTTTATATTATTAAATTAAAATATAATTTTATATTGAAATATTAAATTAATATTTATTTATATTTTTTTGACATTAAAAAAAAAAAATCGATTCACAATTTTAATACTAACTCAAAATTCAAACTACTAAATCAAATACACTCTAAGGTTTGTTTTTTAATTCATATTTTCTAAAAACTATATATATTATTTTATTTTATAAAATATTATATCAAAATACTAATTAAATAAAAATTCAAATCAAATATTTTATTTCAAATATATTTTGAACCGCAACCAAACAAACTGTTAATATTACTTGTTTTTGTTTGATTACAGATTTAAATACAAATCATTATTATTCATTTCGATACAATTTTTAATAAAAATATACTATTTTTTCTCACAAAATATCAATCATAATATTATTTAAACAAGAATTTAAATTATTTTCAAATTACACTCAAACAATAATAATTATAGATCGATTTCTATAAATATTTTTTTAAATGTTTGATGCTTTTTAAGTAATTTTTTCAAATATTATACTAGATATATTTTATCAATAATTACTAAAATTGTTTATTATTTTTATTTGTTTAAAAAAACTATAAAAACTCTGTATAGATGGAGCTTAAATAGTAATAAATGGATAATTATGTGTTCAATAAATTGTGTTTTAATATATTTATTATTATTTTTTTTTGTAATTCAATTTGTAACAAAGTCATAACATTTTTCATTTAATAATACCTTTAAATTCATTGGCCATATTCAACTTCATTCAATTAATAATATAGTTGGGTTTGTTAACTTTTAATTACTTTCCATTATCTATTTTAGCTTTTTTAAGAAAAAATTACTTTTTAATTATTATATTTGTTTTATTATTATTATTATTATTATTATTATTAAATCTTAAAAATAACATATATATTAATACAAAGTAAGACAATTATAAAATTGTTGAGTATGGAAAATCAATGTGTAGGATTTTCGAGAATGAATTTATAAATTAGAATAAGAATTGGTGTATAGTTTAATGGGTCTGTCAATAATATTAGGGTCTTAAATGGGCTTGGAGATAGGCCCAATAGTCAAGGCATTAGGCCATCTCCAACCCTCCACTCCATTTTTGCGGTTGCTACGGTAAATATTTGATCTACAGTAATTTTACTTCAACCATAAACTTCAATTTTTACTCTAAAAATATATTCTCTATATATTCCTTTTTTATATTATTTTATATAACTTTTCATATTTATAAATTACAACCCAACTTTAATTTATTTTTACATTAGATCTATACACATATAATTTATAAATTATTTAAAAATTACATATATAAAAATTAACATTTATAATTAATAACTATTACAAATAAAATAATTTTAAATAAATAATTAAATGCTATCTACACAAAAAAAATAAAAATTATCACTTTTCAAACAGTAAAATTATATATCAATTTGAAAAATAAAATTATATATTACTTTACAAAAACTAAATTATATCATTTTTATAAAATAAAATTATACATTATTTTTCAAAAAAAATAAAATTACATACAACTTTTTAAAATATAAAATTATATATCATCTACTAAAAAATTAAAATTACACAATACACAAAAAAATACCAAAAATATAAAAAAACACCATAAATGGAGTAACACTGTTGATTGCTGCAAAAATGGGGGGATTTGGGGGTGGGTTGGAGCCCTTCCCCCTATTTTTGGTAATGCAGTGGGTTGGATACTAACAAATAAGCTTATCAGGAGAACCTTGATTAGGTGATCAGCTAATACAGGGGTCAGACAAGGAGATGTCGGGCAAAGGAAAAGGAGACAGTAGACGTTTAGGTCGATTGGTGTGGAGGTCGGACAAAGGGAAATTGGGGGAAGAAAGATAAGACGGTCGATTTGGAAGACGGACAGAGGAAACGAAACAGTGGATGTTTAGGTCAGATGAAGCGGTTGGAAGAAGTTACAACTAGTGAGCGGATATAGAGGCACGACTTGATAATCGATATTGGGGCGGTTGACATGAGTTTTAAATAAGTCTTTTCATCACCTGAAAGAAGCATCTTCAATCGACATCAAATTTAGTGAAATTTCTTTTTAGAATCGTCCTTTTAATTTTACAATCTTTAGTATTTCTTTTTCATTTTTTATGTATTGTATTTAGGAATTTTCAATCTCATATATTTATTTAAGCAAATTCAAGAGTAATTCCCTTTTTCTTTCAAATTTTATTTTTTATTATTAAAAAAATCGCATTAACAAAAATATTTATTTATTTTACCATGTGATGCTAATTAAAAATATAAGAAGCCGTCTAGATTCTAGAATAATAAAAATAGAATTAATCATGTTAGTCAATGAGACCATAAAGTAGTGTCAAGAATATAATTATTATTATTGTAATTAAAAATAATAAAAATATCTATATATGAGTCACTGATGTATTAATTTCAATATAGACGGAAAATCAAATTCAAATCAAACTTGAGTTGCTATGATAAATAAATGGATTTGTACGGTCATATCATACGTTAAACCCATTAATATGAATAAGCGCATGTGGGCACCGCTTTTTTCTAACGAAGTAGTCCTTTCGAAGTCCGGGACCAAAGTGTCTTTTTCCATAATTAGACATGTAATAGCAGGGCCTGGACCACATGTCAGGCGTGGAACCGGACTGATTGACCGACTGACATCACATGATGTGCATGTATGCAGTACTGTACACTGTCACCACCCACCCACCCATCCACCCTAACATGCTTTTAGCGTCATCTCATCTGTACACATAAATAGCCATCCATCATCATTTTTGTGCTCCCTGTATTTCGATCCGTTCTAAATAAGTTTTTTTTTTTTTTTAAATAATTATATAGTTTAACTACAATTTAAATTTTTTAATTTTCATTAAATTATATTAAACTTAATTTATAATTATTATATTAAAATATAATACTTCGTCCATAAAATTAATATATTTGAGTCCGGCACGAAAATTTAAAAAAAAATATTTTATTGAAAAAGTGATAGATAGTTGGAAGTATTTTTGAAAATTTAATTAAAAAATAAATAAATGAAGCGATAGAATGTAATAAAGTTAGTGGTATTTGTTGTACATAAATATTAAATGAAAGATAATAATTAAATATTGATTTATTAATTTTGCCAAAATTAGTATTGGGATAAATTTAGTGGACGGACTAAAAATAAAAGTGGAAATAAATTTGGCGAACAGATGGAGTAATTATTTTTATTATTTCTTCCGTTCCTTATCATCCGCTTGTTTTTTGTACAGAGTTTTAGGAATGTTGATATTATATTGAGGTATAGTATAAATAAAGTATAAAATATAAAAACAACTTTATTAGTATTGTATGATATAAAAGTAACGACATTTATGTAATACTCCCTCCATCCACATACAAAGTATACATTTATTTTTTTGGCGATGTTTAAGAAATAATAATAGTATTTTAATTATAATAAGTAATTAAAAGTAGTGTAATGACATTTTTTCCCTTACTTTTTGGTATACAAGTAATGATGTGATGTAAAGTAAGAGTATTTGTGGGAAAAAAGTGAGGTATTTAATGAAATATTTACTTTGTAATTGGACGTCCAAAAATAAAATTATATATATTTTCTAGCTGGACGGAGAGAGTATATTGCAAGGAGTAATGATATTTTTAATGTTAGTAGAAAGTAAAATTATTAAAAAAAAATAGATACTTTGTTATGAA